TGTGGCCTGGGCCTCCTTCTAATATCGACCGACCGACTGCCCCGCCGTGGTTTTCGGTGATGGCAGGTCATATAGTCTTTTGTGACACCAATCAGGGTTCAAACTCAAGGTGGACAACACGTCGTGTTGGAGTCAGACTGAAAGTACCCATACCGGGAGGGTGTTTTCAAAGTTCTTTTCGACGGGAGATACCGTCTTGTCATCACCGTGACGGTCGTCTTCTTGGTCTTCAGTTGGGTCTTATAGTTGCGACGATGGGTGAATTCAGGATGGGACATGAAAGGAGAGGTCGAGCTGTCGTCTGACCCCTGTATTGCAGTCCCAACGAATGACCTCACAGTTATCCACCGTCCGGTTTTGCGGCGCGCAGGCAGTTGAGAGTTATGCAGTGGCAACCGGTCCGACCAGAAGGTGAAGTCAGATTGTATCTAAGGGAACAAGACAATGGTAGGCCAAAAGGTCAAACAGACTTATGCAACGAGACACGGTCAATAGTACGGCGCCTTCGGACGAAGCATGGATATGAGGAATAATTAGGAGGGATTGGATCCCAAGTGTGTTTGAAACGGGAGGCGCAAGAAACGGCGATGAGGTCGAAGTTGGAAAAGGTGTATGGCCATTTGGTTGTATATCACAAGTTCAGAAGAAGAAGAAGAAGAAAGAGGAGATGCGTCGGCCCGAGAGCCATTCTAATTTCGTTGACCCAAGGGTAAATAGATGCGCAGAGATGTCGCCTTGCCTGGATGCGAGCGCCACATCGTTGTGCTGCGGCCCATGCGGTGCGCCCCGAGTCCCTGTAGGACAAAGGTGCGGAACCATTGGTGGTGAAGTATGCCCAGTGATCTTGGCAGAGCCTGATAGAATGAGCATTTTGATCATATTGATTTGCAGACCGACTCAGAGCATAATATGCCCAAAGAAAGACATAAGAACGGTCTCAATCCATCGACGATGTTTTGCTTCATTCATCCTCCGGTCTCCTCCGCCACCCCCTCGGTATTTCTTTCCCTATCTTTTTCTCCGCTTTTTTCTCCGCCACGTACCTCTCCGCCTTCGTCCCCGGCTCCACCAAATCTTGGGCTCAGGGGTCCTTCTCCGCCATTCGAGTCATCGTCGCTTGCCTCTGCCTCCGTATTGTCGTTCGGGTCCACCGAGGGTACGATAGCGAGGTGGCCGCGACGGAGGTCGTCAATGATAGCCTTGAGCTGAGCAACGGTTTGCTTGGGCGATGTCTCTGCACTATGATGCAGAGCCATTTCGTATCTACTCTTCGTTCCGGGCTTGATCCGCAATTTGACACCAAGTGCCTTCAAGCCCTGGGTAGACCATATCATCTTCTTCTGAGGTGTGAAATCGCCTGTCGATGATCCCGTGTCGGAACGGCGATGTATAGTCTCGAGAGCAGAGTCTGTAAAGACGTAAATGATTAGCACGGAGTCGAGCCCGATCAGATGCAGACTACTTACTGAGTTGGGCGCGGAACAGAGTGCCGTGCCATTTGCCAAGAACGCCGCGAGTAGCACTGTCCATCGAGCGAGTGTTTGCTGATAGATGAGACGAAAACATATGTCACATAATTGGTAACGGTAACGTGGTCTCATGCGCGCATAACTTGCGGGGGCGAAAGGCTCACCCTCCTTCAGATCTGCCGCTTCATTGGCCTTGAGTGTCTCATCCCAGCTCATCTTGGAAGCAAAATTAGACAACAAGGAATTGCCGGATGGATCCTTGAAGTCGTTGCAGTGAGCTGCAAATCTGAGCCCACCTATCGAATGCACGGTTGCCTTCGTCGCTGGCGATACGTCGTCTTGATAACGAGGGACAATGAAGGCCAGGGTTTCCACTCCGTACAGCTTGGACATGCGTTGCGCCAGGTCTCGCAATTCTGCAATGTACTTTTTGCATTGCTCCATCCGAGTTAGGGAAGGAATGTCGGATGGCGACCGTGTGATGATGGTGGGTGGTACTATCGAAGTGAAAGTCGTATTATTTCCTGCCTCTGCCGCTGCAAAAGCCGCGCGAACAAGCTCTTCATCGTCCTCGCCAAGTTGGGTAGATCCGAGGTTCCCCTGGTCTCTCAGGAAGTTCCAGAGTTGAGCGGCAAGTTTGGTGATGGATTGCGATTTCGAATGATCCGATTCTGAACACGTTTGACACACCCAGGGTATGTAAGAACAGATATTGCGGACGCAGCGGTAAGCATAAGCGAGAGCGTAGGAGAGTGGAGTGGGCATGACCGGAAGCGCCCGGAGGACCGACTCACCCTTGCTTGCTCGCTGGTGTAAAACCTTGACTACAGGGTCCGAGAGAAATCTAGACCACGCATTGCCCTTCGAAGCGAGGCTGTTGAACTTTTTGACGGCCTGAACGAGCCTTGCATGGGGTATGCCGAGTTTCGCGGCCATCTTGAGCTCCGAGTAATATCTTCGAGCGGCCCAGTGCTTCAGCGAGGTCCACTTTCTTTGACTCATACGACCGGTCGCGTTCCGATGCGAGCCATGTATGGCCGTCCAGAGCCTGATAGCTCTTCGATGGTCGATCGCGACATCTTCAAACTCGCTCTCACTCTCACTGTAACTGTCGCTGTCGTCAGCCGAGGAGTGACTGGAATCGCCCCAATTGGGCTCGTCAGAGTCGGAGTCGGACGAAGGGGTTTGGGGCACGGGCATGCGCCGCTTTCTCTTCCGAGTCGGGCGTGGAGACGGTTCATCCAGAGTTGTGCTGGCTTGTGAGGATGCTCGACCGCTTTGATCGTCCCTCCGACCTGCAAGAGGTGTGAGAGAACAGAGAATTCTTCAGCTGTCCGGCAGGATTGAGTAGATAGAAGGATGAGGTCGATGACCGGCACTCTGCTCTCAGCCCTGCTACAAGGGATCTTAGTTGGCACACCAGACAAGAGCACTCACTCGGATGAGCGCCAAAGGAAATGGACTCTGCTGGAGAACCTTGCCTAGATCCCACGCGTATGTCTGACGGTCGCGTCATGGTGGAGCAACACAATTAGGCCCATGAAGGGGGATGTGAGGCGGGGAAACGCGTCCACATACCTCCATTCGGCAATAGCATCGATGTTCGTTCAACAGGCGCAGGGAGGTTTCAACGTATTGAGATGCGGGGCGTGGCGTGGGTCAAGGGTGCGCGTTGTCGCGTTGACGTGAGTGTGCAGAGGTCAACGTGTTCACGCAGAGCGCTCGCCAATCTGAGCTCCGCGTGCGGCCGCACAGCCAGGCACAGCCCCGCCTCAATTTTGCCCGTTCAATTACTCTCTGGGAATTGATGCAGGACTGATTGCCGCTGGATCCAAGTCGTCCGTCCGAAGGGGCTTCACTAGATATCCATTTTCTATACACAGTGCACACCGTTCAGAATAAGCGTTTGTCTGCTCGAGGACCGATCCAGGATTCCAGGGACCAGGACCGATCCCTCCCTCGGGCCCAATCATAGACACGGTGTGTACTCCCTCGGTCGTATCCAAACTAACAAATACAAGAAAACAGGACGAAAAGGTCTACACAGAATCTGTCGTACACATATCAGTTGATGGTATATGGAACTACACGAATTGAATGGACTGAGTACGACAAGCTGTATGACATTTATGACATAATTCGAACTTACAAGTCTTCGGAAAGTGTTATTCGTGATGATGGTGAGTCTTACACGAACTAGTAGCCCTTTATTACTTATGACCATTTGGGGTGCACTGAGCCGGGGTGGGACGGGGTGGGGAGGGCATTGGTGCACCCAACCTGTACCAACCTCCAACCGGGCCAAAAAAACAGAAAAGCTGCCTTAACTCGCCCGCGCGGGGGAGCTCATTTGGCTGGGTTAACTGACCTGCCGATCTGGGGAACGCTCAGCCCAAGGGTTCGGAAAACCCCGTCTTTGGGCCGAATTGTATACCGAATATCCCTATTCAAGGGGTGTATGTATTCTGGTGTCAGACCAAAGCATCGAGCTCTACTGAACATTCATAAAAAAGAAGGAAACATCCGCGTAGCATGTTACAAGGCACAAATAGGCCCCAAAGGTACCAATCTCCGAGACGCCGGCTGAGCTTCCCCGGGTCCTATTCTTACCATTCCGAATACGTACGAACGCCTACTCGTGCGATGGCCCAGGTGTTATCAAGACCGCCGGGGCTGTGCCGTAGTTTGTGAGCTATGACTACTAACGTTTTAATACAAGAGCGAGTCTCACAAAATGGGGTCCGGAGAAGGTACAGTGCCTGAGGCCCGCGGACCTGATGTTCTTGCCCGCGACTAAATTACGATGGATAGGAGGTTGGCATTCGCGTTCACACAGATAGACGTGGAGCAGCGAGCTCGCCCAGTGCTCGATAATTCCCTTCCTGTTGAGCCTGGCGATAACGGCGGGGCAACGAAGGGAGTCAACATCGATGATCAGAGATCTGCAAACATGAACTCGAGTTGGCCCTGTCCGAGCGCGTTCGAAGCTCGGAAACTGACCTCGACCGGCGGCCGTGCTCGTCCCGACAGTCTTGGTTGCTGCATTTTGTCTCGTTTTCCTACTAGTCTGCTCCTTTGTGTTCTGTAGTTTCGAGTGCAGGCATCGAAATCCGCATGCACCACGGATCAAAAATTGAGGCCCATTTGTTCCATTCGGTCACCACTGGCAGCAACGGCCGATGGGAGCGCCTTGCATGATCATGGCAATAGACTCGGCAACCATCTTCATCGACAGTTGAAAGCTTGCACCCAATGCACACTTTTCAGCTGGAAAGCAGGACCCAAACATCGTCTACATCTCAAGGCTCTCACATCGCACTAATACCCGCTTCTCTCAGCTCCTTCGCGAAGAATAATTACTAGTCGGACCGAACCTATTTTAAGCTTCGAGGCGCGAAGCCGCCGTGGGACATCGGACTCGCGGGACAGAATGTGGCAGCTCGGAGTTCAAGAAGGGGGGGTGGGGGGTCCCGACGTCTTTCTTCGAGTGTTCAGATCAATACTAGTCTGCACAGAATGAGCTGAACTCTATCAAGCCCATCGAATCATCGCATCATCCTTGGCCCCTTGCTTGGTCTTGTGCATCGTCATCCCTGCCGTCGTCGTCGTCCAACCCGTCGTCACCGAGCGGATTGAAGTAGCATTTTCCGGACCCGAGTTTGCTTGAAACGACTCATGAAGCGAAGTACATCGTGGGCTCTGCGTACCCTCCATCGGCGAACCAGGTGAGATGGACGATGAAGCTGGTGCCGGGTAATGACTGGCCGAATGAGGTCGAAGGGGTTGATGGGGGGTTGAACTTGTGGTCGTAGGCGAACTGAGCGTTGTATATTTCGAAAGGGACATGGCTGATGAAGCTCGGAGCGGCGCGCTTAAACGTCGCGGACCTAGACCTAGTGGTACGAGTGGGGAACGATCTTGGTCCATTGGGGCAGGCGTACGGTGGGTCATGTTTGAATGAGTGGGTGCGCCATCGGGGCCGTTCGGTGAGGCGTAAGGGTCTTGCGGGTGCCCGCCGAGACTGTTGCTATTCACGTGGCTTGCATAGGGAGAGCCGAGCGCGTCTGAGGCGTGAGCTGATCCAATCGATGCGCTCCTTGCCTCGCGAGGTCGATTATGTGAGAAGTGGGCTGAATATAGCGACGACTTGTTCGAATATGGGGGCGGAAGCTGCGTCGATGGGGCTTGACCCCCGTTCGCGACGGCGAGAGGGGCTGCATGTCGCTGCATGTTGGGGGCGTGAAGCACTGCGCAGTCTATTGTTGATGTCACGGTCAGTAGCGCAGAACAGGACTCATACAGTCAAGACAAGAGCCACGCACCATCATTTATCTCAGAGTAACCATATACCCCCGAAGCCCTCGAATTCGACCCATAGCTTTCGGCACCTTGCGAGAACGGCAGTGGCAGCAGTCCCGCCTCCAAGTCACCCGTCGGCACGCGTGAGTGAAGGCTCGACCGCCTCGAATATCCCGAAGGCGTCATAGGCCTCTGTGACCCCATTCGAACTGTGGAAGATCTTGTAGAGTCAAACGACGACGTTCGAGTCATGGGTGTAGACATCACCGATGCACGTCCACCTCCATCCGAACTAAACACCGATTGCTCGTAAGGCCCTGACGGCGTCCAATTATGGTCGACAGGGACGATATGCAGCACCTGACGAGGGAGCGGACCAACTGTCTCAGGCGCTACATCCATCCTCTCCGTTTGGGTCGCGGCGTATTCGAATGCCCGGGTAAGATACCCATCATCAATGATCATGTTGTCGATGTCGTCGAAATTGAGCAGCCCTGATCGTCGAACGGTCAAGTCGAGGCGAAAGTCGTCGAGGGGTGAGGCTTCCTCAGGGAGGGATAGATCGCTCGTCTCGTCGTCGTCGTACCTCATTCTCTCAATCTGGCGCGCCCAAAGATCGATATCGATAGACTCCTCGGATCCGGAACCGTTGTCGTCACTCCCCAGTGAAGCCGTGGATAGTTGATCGAACCTGGTCGGTCGTTCCCCTCGCACCCGCAGTCTATCAAGCATCAACCTGCCACCCCTCCCGATCCGTCTCCTAAAGCAAGCCGCCTTGGTCGCATTGACTCCCTTGAGAGGTAAAGGTACTAAGCCGACGACATCCCTTCTCTTCCCGTCTTGATCCCTACTCGAGACGACCTCGACAACGCGCCAGAAATCAGCCCCTGACACCGTTCCGCCCACACCCATTCGATGCGAGTCCTCAACGGGATCGTCCAACACGTCTATCCACTCCCTCTTTTCCCGCTTCTTGCCTTTTAGATCGTCTTGTATCCGCGTCTCGATCGCGAGGATGCGCTCACGTCGCTTCTGGAGCGAGTCGCGGGTAACCCCTGCGCGTTGAAGTGCCGCCGAAGCAGCGACGAAGGTGACGAGGTCGTTCGAGGGGCTACTTGAAAGAATAGGTGCACGGGTTTTAGCGCACTTGGATGGTCGCCAGAAAAAGGCTTTCCCTGTCCAAAGACTTACCCATCTACTCCCTTCGCCCCCACCGCCTCCTTGACCGGTGGGGGACGTCTTCTAAATAACAACTCCTCATCCCCCCCACATTCCCCAAGCCTCCTCTTCAAACCTCTCATCTCCACCTGTTTCTCAAACACCTCCCTTCCGATCCCCATCTCATGCCACTTCAATACCTCCCTCTTGTGCACCATCTTGAACAGATGTAATGCCGCGTAGAGGTCATCGCGGATGTGGAGGAGACGATCGACGGAACGGTGGTCCGAGGAGCGGGTTTTGCGCATCCGTTTCGAGTCGTCGCGTTGGCGAAAACAAACGTAGGCCGAGTCACCTTGGCCTTCGGTTTGCTGTGGTCCCAAGACACAAGATGCTTCAGTTTAATAAAGTGATGAGATCAAACCGATCAGGTACCCCCACCTGAAGTATTGGAATGATCGGCTGAAACCTCCTCGCCACCCTCCTCGCTCGCCAATGGGGATACACGATCTCGGCTTTAGGACCCAGCTTGCTCTGCACGCTTCGATTCGGACTCGTCTTGGGCGGGTCTTTGAACATCGGAGCCAAGCCTGCAAAGCTCGGGAGGATGAACGATTCCTAGGCGCAAGCCAAAAACCGAAACGTATTCAATGAGTGGGCGCAGTGGAGCACTCGAGCTCCCGTTTCCACCTTTTCACTCACTTTAGCGCTCTGCAGGCCCCTCGAGTCGGTCTCCTTCTCAAACACATCCATGATCAACTCGAACTCATCCTCGGTCAAATACCACTTGCCCACCTCACATCCCACCATAGACCTCCTCATTACGTTCAACCATCCCGTCCCCGCGGGAGGTTGACCTTTGGCGATCCTCGCGACGTCTTGGTTGTACGCGATGAGCCAATCTTCGTCTTGCTCGTCCATGGTGTAGTCGATTTGGTGCAGGAGCGTATCTTGCACCGTGTCGGAAAAACGAAGGTAGGTGTGAGGGTGGGACCACGGTGGGGAAGAGCGGTAGAGTCTGTGGTAGGTTTCGTCGTCGACTCGACCGGCTGCGCTCGGAGTCGGGATCGACGAAAGCTGTTCTGGCGCATCGGCAGACGCAGCCGCTTCGGACGAAGTGGGGATGATCTCGGTCGAAGTCGTCGAAGAGAATGAAGCGGATGAGAACTGACGTAGTACGAGTTGGAGATGCAATTCTTGTTCCTCCGTGACGTCGACCCCTCTCGTCGCGCGTTCATCCTCGCCGACCACGACCCGACTCGGATGAGGATCCTGCGACCCCAGGGACCCATCCTGAAGCGGGTCCATCGGACTATTTTCCCGTCCTTGCGAGTTGACCAGCATGGCCTGAGGTGAAAGTGCCCCTTGAGTGGTGGTGACCGCCAAGCCCAGCCTGTGCGTTGTATCGAGCTGAGCTTCCTCGGTGAGAATCGTGTCCGCCTGCACGCCGATGAGCACAGGCATCTTGTTGCGCGTCTTGAACCTCCTTGCTCGAGTCGTCGAAGCCGGTGCTATTGCGGGAAGCGCCGTCATCGATATATTTGAAACGGAGCCAAGTACGGGATTGGATGGGGTGGTCTGCGACTGGGAAAGCGCATGGTGGCGGAGCACGGTGCTGGTGGGACCACTTGACGATGACGCCGAGGCCGCGACTGATGCCGCCGACGGGGGTTGGATAGGGGGAGCACTGCTGAGCGCGCTTGCTGCTGATGCTGATACAGATGAAGTGTTGGGTACATGCATTCAACGAGGTGGTGACCAGATGTATGGGTGTAGATAGGACGGAGTGGGAGAGTTGGCAGGGCAAGGTGGTGAGACGCAAGCCAAGATTGCGAAACGCTTCGAGTCGTAAAGGAGAGAGGGAGGCAGGGAGGGGGGGGAGGGGAGGGGCGCCCAGCGGAGCCGTGTCACGCGCGCACACAAGAGTCCCGGATAGGAGAAGCTCCGCAGAGCTCGGATGGGAGCGGAGCGGGTCGGTCGGAGACAAGGATCAATTCGATGGTGAGAGTGGGAGCGAGAACGCAATCGAGGAGCGGAATGATGGTCAAGGGCAACGAAGCGGAGGCCAAGCGAAAGCCGACTTCCTCCGACTTCGACCGGCGCCGTCGCTCTTGACTAGAGGGGGTCTGTGCGCTCGGTGATTTTCCACAAGTCAAAGACACCGGGTGCTTCAATAATATTATCATTGTAAGTTAGCATTTGGGGGTGAGTAAAAAAGCCGAGACCGAGCCGCACGGAGCTCGCACGTCGTCCACGAGAATCGGAAATGATCTCAATTGCAGATTGGGGGAACGCCCCACCTCTAGAAGCCCATCGCGGCAAGCCATTCCTTGGTCTGCCGGACATAATCCCCCTTGACGACGACTTGCCTCGCGTGCGGTTTGATGTAGTTGGGGACTCCGACCAGGTATTGCGACAAATCTTGCCTCAGAGCCTGAAAGGATAATCTCTGATTAGTCGTTGACCCAACGTGACACCACCTGCAATTTTGCGATTATGGAACATGGACCTACCTCGAGATTGCCGTCGACTTTGCGAATGAGCGTAAGCCGCTTGGACCCGCCGTGGAGAACGTCGACGTAGACGGGCAACTCGCCGCCCGCGGTCCTCCGTACAAAGTAGGACAGCAGCCTTGGCTCCGGTTCGTTCCCGGTCGGTGCCGAACTCTTCTTCGGTGTTGGTGGTGTGGTCGTGGTCTCGGTTTCGAGGGTCGAGGTGGATGCGGTCGGCTCGGAGTGGATCGGTAGAGGGGAGGAGACGGGTGTCGGGGCCGGGGCGACGACGGTCGAGTATGCGTACGAGTAGGCAGGTGTTGAGGGGAGTGTTCGACCGGCCATCACCGTTCGTGGCAGGGACGAGGTCCTAGAGTAGCGGTGTAGGAACGACATGCTCTCGAGAGGTGAGGACGACCAAGTCGGCTTCCAGAGGGTGTGTGTGGGTAGCTTCGTCTTGTACTCGGGTGCCAACACCACTCGACGTGGGCTGCTTCGATTGTCGTCGTTGTGGAAGGTGTCGCAGATGGCGGTGGTGGGTGGGAGGAGCCGAACCGGACTCGAGCTCGCAGCTTCGCGGACGTGCCAGTTCCAGTTCGCGCCCGATTGGTGATTACCAATCTACTATTCCCGCGCATAGCCTTCCGGCATTACTCCTGAGTACTCCTGAGCGCGTCGGGTCCATCAAGCCGCACACGAGTCAGCCTCTTCCTTCTCTCCTCCTCTCCCACAAGCACACCGATCATCCACACTACCTCGGCCTAGCGGATCTGTGTTACCTGGGTATCTTGTGCTGCTCCTCCATGGCACCTGACAGCGCGACATAGCCTCAACGACGCGCTCCTCCACGGCGTCTCACTCTCGCTCTCTGCCTGATCGCGTCGCTTTCCCAGTGCAACCGCATTGTACTACCGCCGACTCGGATCTTCAGCGAACACCGGTCTCGTCCTTCAACACCTTGGCGTGATCGTTGGTGCTTTAGGCAGTGGCCACCAGCACTAGCACTCGACCACGGCGTCCGTACAGCACACCCCCACTTGCCTCTCACCCTCCGATCTCAACCATGTTGTCCACCCCACGCTTCTACATGGGCAAACCCAAACCCTCCCCCACCCCAAACCCTCACACCACCACCTCCCGCACCTCCCGCCCCAACGCTTCAACCGCTTTCGAGACGCTCGCCGAAGACGACTCCAACCTCCCCGAGTACCGCCACGACAAGGACGTCTGCCCCGTGTGCAAGACCGATCGGTTCCTCAACCCTCGCCTGAGGTTGTTGGTTAGTAGTTGTTATCATCGCATGTGCGTAGCACTCCACCCTCAGCGAGCTTCGTCGGATCGATCACCCACCAGCTGAGTGTGGGTCTCTTTGCATGGACCAGGTGCGAATCGTGCATCGATCGAATCTTCACCTTGGGACCGGAACCGTGTCCGGTCTGTGGGGTCACGATTAGGAAAGCGCATTTTCGGAAACAGGTGTACGAGAACTTGCACGTCCAGAGGGAGATTACGATTCGCACGAGGATGGCTAAAATGTCAGTGCGGCAGGGGGCGCAGAGAGTGATTCTAGCTCTAGCTTGGGATGAAAGCCCATTCGCTGATACGTCGATGTGCACCCGAACCCGAACGCAGCTACAACAAGAGGGAAGACGACTTTCAAGACGTCAACGCGTACAACGCCTACTTGCAAGAAGTCGAGGACCTCACTTTTGACCTCTTGAACGAGAAGGACGTGGAAAAAGTCGAACAGTTGTTGGGGCGGTACCGCGCCGAGAACCAGGAATCGATCCAGCTCAACTTGGAACGAGGGCAGGCGGAGAGGGAGGAGATCAAGAAGAGGGAGATGCAGCAGAGGATGGAGAAGGAGGAGATCAAACGAGGGTATGAGAGGATGGATTTGGAGGAGAGGGAGATGAAGGAACGTGATCGCAAAAAGGTCTTGTTGGCTTTGGTGGGTTGTGTCATAAGGGTGGTCGGCGATTTGAAACGTCCTCCTGACCGTTTCACGTTGTTCGTATGCCCCAGACCTCATCGGAAAAAGACGCCGAACAAGTCGTACGCGCCGTACGATCCTCGGCGCTCAAGCGCTCCACAGCGCGCCTCGACGCCGGTCCGATCCTGCAATCCTCCCTCCGGTCCCTCAACGGACTCAAATCGACCGACCCAATCCTTGAAGACCCTTCGCTCGACCCTCACGATGTACTCTCCGATCTGGCGAATTGGGATTCCTATTCCGATTTGTACGAGATCAAAGGACGGCATCTCGTCAAGGGTGGCTATGCGGAGGATCTGGGGTTGGGGCGGGAGAAGAGGTCGAATGACGTCGCGGGTTTTGTAGCGGAGCAGGTGTGGGAAAAGTGCATTAGGAGTGCGGTCGCGGGTTTGTGGTTGAGGCCTGTGATGGAGGAGAGGAGGGCGGCAGAGGAGGAAGATGATGTGGAGGGGATGGATGAGTGAGGCGTGGACTAGATGTGTACTCTGTGTATCATATTATTGCATTGCATGGAAGAAGTCTATGGCACCAAGACCATGCTTTAGTTCGCTTATTCCTCGATTAGCTTCGGGCCGAGGAAAAAGTCCCCGAGCCTCGTTCATTTCCGAGAGCAGCTATCAACTGCACCGGATAGCCCGCGCCGGAGCTCGACAAGTGGAGCTTCTCTCTCTCTTGTTCCGCTATACCCATCTCTCCTCTACCCAGCACCTACCTACCCCAACATGGCCATCAAAGCTGTCATCTTTGACATGTAAGCAGCCTCTTTCCCATTTCGCCCTCTTCCACTCCAATTCATTCCCAAACTGACCGCCGCCCCACACGCTCCTCTATCCTCTATCCTTCCCTAGCGGCGGTGTCGTCCTCGGTTCCCCGATCGTTGGCGTAGGGGAGGCCGAAAAGCTCTTCGACCTTCCTCACCACTACATCAACGCACACATCACCTATCTAGGGGAAGAAGGTGCTTTCCAGCGCTTGGAGAGGGGGGAGTTGGCCTTACCGGATTTCGAGAAGCAGTTCGGGGAGGAGATGAGTAATGTCGAAACGGGGAATAAGGCTTATAAGCTGTATTGCCGGAAGATGAATTTGGGTCAGTTGTATTCGGGGAAGGTTCTGGAGATGGGGAGATGGGAGCTGATTCGCAGTTGTTGCTTTGCTTTCATTCTTCGACTGCGTGTCGTTCTCCGCGGTTGTGTTTGCTCGCTCGATCCCGAACCCGACCTCCGGCTTCAAGACGTGCCCGAGTTGCCGACCAAGTTGAACATTGATGGCAGTCAGGTGAGTCGGCGCGCGGATAGCGATGCAAGCTGCTCCTATAATGCACTTTTGATCGAATACGAAATACTCACAGGGTTGATCTTCATGCCCACCAGTTGTGGTCATTGATGATGGGACCCGCGCTCGAACCGGATCCGATCATGCTCGACGCGATCAACGCTCTCCGAGGTCAGTCGTCTGCCATACGGAGAGCCGATTTTGCGCCTACGTATCGCGCCTTCACAAAGCTAGAAGGCCACCACTAACCCTCTTCCCGTGCTTCCCTGAAGCCTCGAGGAAATTCAAACTCGCCGCCTTGACGAACAACTTCGCCGTACCCGGCGAAGCGCCGACCCCTTCGAAAATCGATACTCTCCCTCACGACCGCCTCTTGACGCACGACGAACTGAGACAATCGATCCTCGACGCCGCTGTGAACCCGAGTAAAAAGGGGAGTTCGAGTAGCTTGCTCAAGAGACAATTCGACGTCTTTGTGGAGAGTGCTGTGGAAGGGTCTAGGTCGGTTTCTCACCATTCGTGCAGAAGAGGCGGAAATCCCGGCTCATAGTTTTCTTTCACGGGCGCTTCGGTGATTCAGGAAACCGGATCCCAAGTTCTACCAGATCGCTCTGGATCGATTAGGCGTCAAAGCAGAAGAGGCAGTCTTTTTGGATGATATCGGACGGTACGTACGGGTAGACCCTTGGTGAACCGTGAAGGCCCTTCCAGAGCTGACCTGTTTGGACCCCTGGACTAAAACAGGAACCTCGTCGCCGCGAAGAAGATGGGGATCCAGACCATCCGTACATCGAAAGATATGTGGCGTGCGCTTATTCGTTCTACGTTTCTGACCCCATGTCTCCTCCACAGGTGTCCACCCCAGCCGATCGATCGAAGCTGTTCGCGAGTTGGAGAAGCTCGTCGAGATCCCTTTGCAGGGCAAGGCACAGGCCAAGTTGTAGAACTTTCAAAATTTAAATTGTACTCCTTCTTAGATTACTTTTTGTCTGTGTATTTATTCCTCGTATTTATTCCTCGTTCCTTACGACCGGATGTGTATGATGAAACAACCGTTGTACATTGCAGGAGCGCGAACAGTCCTCCCGCAGGCTATACCCTCCTCGAAGCCTGTTGCCCGGCCACCAATTTCTTCTTGTACCCCTTCATCTTGGTCGACACAGCTGTAACCGAATGCCCCGATTGCAGACCCCCACCCGCACCGTGTCGATCCCTCGCGCTCGTCGGAGGAGCCACAGAGAAGCTCGCCGAGAAACTCTCGGGGATCCTCGCGTGCCTCCTCGCCAAACCCGCGTCGTCATCCGCCGCTTTGTTCGTCGTGCCTACCACACCAGCAGGAACTCGGATTCGTCGGTTCGAGTGGTTGGCATTGGGGTTCGTCAGAGGTTCGGCATAAGGGTCTTTATCGACGAAGGCTTTGGAGCGTCGGATGATGGGTCGCATCCAGTCCGAAACGAGTTGGTTCGCCATGCGTCCGATCGTCGGTTCGACGCGCTTGCATTTGGTGTAGAAGTAGACGATCTTGCCCAGACCGGACGATTTAAGCGCCGAAGTCTCGATCGGGAGCTGGGGAGAGAGCGCAGGGAATGTCGTCCGGTCAATCAAGTGTCAATGCGGATCGTTCGCAGGCTATAGTAACTCACTGTTCTTAGACTTTCAAACATGGCGCGTTGAATGTTGATCGCTGGCAACGACTTGTCCGGCAGGGGTTCGAGCCAGCGTCTGACCGATTCGAGCACCCCGTTCTCGACAATGGATTCTCCGAGCGAGGTCCTGAACAGAGCGCAGAGCATCGGTTAGCCGCTCAGTCCAAAGCTGCACTCGGAGGGTACTGACTTTTGCATCATCTCGACGACCCTAGGCAACATCCTCAGCTTGTTGGGGGCGTATCGGCCGGCTTCGTTCTCGGTGATGTCGGCGTCAGCGGCCCGCAACATGGCTGTGCGGAGTTCGGCGACCTTTTCGTCGTTAAATGCTTCCAAATCCTAATGGATGACAGTGGCGGGAGAAGATCAATGTCTGGCGCATGGATTGGGAAGCCCAACTAGGGTGGGTCCTGTGGCTCACATCATCGTCGGCGTCCTTGCGCTTCTTGCCTCCAGTCCTGGCCTTTGTCGGCTTGATAATTTCCTTCAGCCGGTCATCCAACGCCTTTCTACGGGCTGTATGGGTTTTCCGTCAGTTGTCGAGGCACCCGTGCCGTGCACTTCCGGCCTGACGTACCCTTCTCCGGGTCAGTCTCTTCCTCGATCGGTTCAGGTACCTCGGGCTCGTCCCTCTTGGGCTTTTTCTTTTTCCTGAGGGTCCGATCACAGTATCATAAGCTTTGAGCAAGAGGCAGCTGCCTACGAGAGTTCCTAAAGTGACCCACTTCCTCCTCAGTTCTGGGAGCTCGCCCCCGTCCTCGCCGCCGTCCTCGGTAGAGGCGAACTTTTTCTTCTTCTTGAACTTGATGCGGTTGAGATCGGGTTCTTCATAGTCGTCTCCGCCCTCGTCTTCGTCATCATCGTCCTGGTCCGAATCCTGGTCTCGTTGGGCGTCGTCGGGTAAGGGCGAGCGCGATCCTTCGGGCAGGTGAGGCAGCGAGGGCCCGTCGCCGTCTTCGCCGTCGCTGTCTTGTATCCGACGTGTCTTGTTGGACTTGTTGGAGGGTTCGTCGTCGTCGTCGTCGTCGTCGTCGTCTGTGGGGATGTGAGATGGGCAAGCGTGAGCACCTGGCTCGAGGGCGAACTCATGCTCTGACGCGAGCACATACCACTGGAAAGCGCCGACAGTTCCGAGTCATCGTCGTCACCAAACTGTACGAGTGTCAAACTATCAGCTACACTAGTGACAACTATGTACACGGATGCAGTTTCCGACTTGCAATGTCTCGATCGAGCTTTCGCGGTCGCTCCGATTGCAGCTCCTCCTCCTCCTCCTCGTCGTCGTCGTCATCCTTCTCTGCTGGCTCCTGCTCATCCTCCTTGTCGGCTGTTCCTTCTTCGTTGTTGTCATCCCCAGACTGGTCTCCCCCCTGTTCGTCCTCAGCGTCGCCGTTCCCCGTGGCGGTGGTCGTGACGGCGTCTTGCTCATCAACATCGATGGGCTCCCTCGCCGGCAAGGGTGGTGAGGATGACGAGGCTCGTGGTTCGTCAATGTCCATGGCTACAAGTGATGTGCGGGCGTGTGAGGGAAGAGGGCAAGAGGAGAGCGAGACGCGCGTGAGGCCGCGTGAGGCTTGACCGGTCAAGTCCACGCTCTTCAGCCGGCGCCATCCAGGAAACAAAGCTCTTAAGCTGCCGCCTTGGACTGCCTGCAGTTCAGGAAATACTTCTCGGCGGCTCGGCGTGGCGCTCGGGCCGGTCAACCGGTCTCCTTTCCGCCTCAAAAGTCACTGCAGCCCCCCGGTCACCCCTGAGCCGAGTGCTTCGGCGCTCTCTACGGGCGGTGCGATGCATTGTGTGCTCCACTCGCTAGTAGCACTCTCCCTGCTCGCCGCATCCCCGCTCACCGACGCGCTCGCCGGTGCGCGGTCTCAGATCGTGCTAAATCACGAGGTCGTCGTCGACCCCACTCTTCACCGAACCGACTCGGCAGCCTCTCGGCCTCGCTCCCGGTGGCAGTCGATCGGTCCCTTCCCCATCGGCACAAGGGAGTATCCCATCCTACCGCCCTTCCTACCTTCTCTCAATCAGAGTAGCTTCCCTTCCCCGTTCGTGTTTGGCGCCGAGGTGGGATGGAACACCGTCGAGGAGGATCGGGACGGCTGGATCCGTCTGGGGGACAAGAGCATAGAGTCAGTCTCAACCGAGTCATCGTCGACGCTGTCCCCGCCTCCCATCTCGCTCATGGGCCACAGACTAATCCCAAGACGATGAACCATCAGCTGGAACGCCCTTCGATGGACAGCAGGATGGTCCACGCTCCAACACAGAGTGCACTATCACCGCGTACTCACCATCCCACGCACGGGGCTCTACTCGCTCCATCTTCAAGGCGGAGCGACCGAATTTTGCTTATCTCGAAAACTGCAAGATCGGTCCGAGGACGAAGTCGATAGGAGATGGTACAATGGGAATGTGTACGACTATAAGTCTAACTTGGGCCACTTGGTTCGCTTGGAACGAGGCAGATACGACCTGCGAGTCGATTATGTCTTCGATATTCGGGTATCGGGCGAGCCCCCCGAGCGCGGCGTACCGACGGGTAAGTGGAGGCTGGATGTGGAGGAACAGAAAGAAGAGATCGTCGTAAGGGGCCAAAGAACGACCGTGCCGAGCTTAGTCAAGGGTTGGATCATGGGCGATGTCGTTGGGGTAGAAGTAAGTAACCTTCAAAGTGCCAAAATCACGATCAAGCAAGTCAGGCTCGAGGGCGGTGGCGACGAGGTCAGTATCCGACGTCTCGCATGGCCATACGTTCTGAAGCATGGAGAACTTATTGCTTGCTCGCACCACAGATCGTGGCCTTCCTCAGTCAACCCGTCACGATCGCGCCGGGGCAAACTCGTCTCGTCGCCATCCACCTGCGACAAAAAAGAGCGATTCGCAAAATGACCTCGCAAACTTCTCACGAGGTTCAACTCAACTTCAGCACCACCACCTTCCTTTCCAATGACGCCCCTCACTGCGGAAAAATTACCTTTCCCATTGTGGACTCGACACTTTCCAATCCTGCCGTCATCATCTCGACCTACCTATCCAACTCGGGTGCCCCGACCTACGCGAGCTTCCGTCCCCCTCGAGCGACCCTGACCTGCTCTCCCATCGTAGTCCTAGCACTGCACGGCGCGGGAGTTGATCCAGCCACCGCACCCGAATGGGCCTCTTCCATCAAACCGCGTCAAGAAGATTGGATCGTCTTCCCCCTCGGTCTGACCGAATGGGGTTACGATTGGCAAGGCCCTTCTTTACACGACTCGTTCTCGGCCGTACATCACTTAAAGAGCCATTTGAAGGTGAAGTGGGCCAAAGCCCATGGGTTATTGGAAGATGTGACGTCGTGCGAAGTGAAGAAATTGGTCGTGCTGGGGCATTCGAATGGTGGGCAAGGGGCTTGGTATTTGATGAGCCGGTATCCTGATTTGGTTGCGGGGGGTGTGCCGGCTGCGGGCTAGTGAGTCGCGGGTACATCGGAGAAGTGCACGGAGCACGGCGAAGCTAATTTATGTCGTGTACACGCGGTCGCAGCGTCAAGATCCAAGACTATGTACCATACCACCTCTCGGTCGGCCACCACTATCGAGATCCAAGCTTGGCAGGGGTGAGTGCATTCGCCGCCGGCACGCAGCTACAATCCATTCTCGCTGATCACTGTCAGGGTATTCAGATTCTCATATCTAGTCTCGCTTCGTTCGACAACGATCTCTACGCCTCCAACCTAGTGGGACTTAACATCTTGGCTCGGCACGGGGTGAGTCGGCGAATGCCACCCCCATTCCACTATCCTGCTGATCCGCCGACTCGAGGATTGGCTCTTCTCACCGAAATTGATCATCCATTTCTACAGAGCATCGACGACAACGTCCCCGTTCAACACTCACGCCAATACGTCACCACAGTCCGAGAATGGGCGACGAGTTCTCATGCCAATGCATCTCAGATCCAAATGAGTGAAGTCCCCGAGACGAGTCATTGGTGGGATTCGGTCTTCCGAGAGAACAAGACCCAACACTTTATTGATGACTTGGTCGAGTCGGCCAAGACGAATGCGAGAAATCCCGAGGGTCTTCGCGAACGCGATAAGGATCAAATTGAGTTTACTCTTACCACGGCCAACCCTCACGAAACCGGCTCGAAGCACGGATTCTTAATCAAGGAGCTCGAGACGCCTGGCAGGTTAGCTCGGCTCCACGTCAAATTATGGACATCAGAGGCGGGATTAAAGATGTCTCGGATCGAAACCACGAACGTATACGCCTTCTCAATCGGTCCATTGCCCTTCCCCTCGAAGCAAATTGCGCAGCTCAGTATCAACGTTCAACCCAGCATCGATCTCTCGACGACCGAAGCACCCGGCGTGTATCGCCATTTCGTGCAATCTCCCCACGACAGAACATTCTCGCAGGCACAAACACCTCCCCTCGCCCGTCCGTACGGACCCCTTCTCTCGATCCTTACGACCCCTCACCCTCTTCGAATCGTCATTGGGACTCAAGGATCGAGCTCCAGAACCGAGCACCTTCGATCTATCGCTCGTCGCATCGCTTCAGATGCTTATCTATACGGACGAGTGGATTCAATCATTCAGGATGATGTGCCATTCCTCGAGAAGGAGCATGTTGTGGGCGAAAGTAATTTGGTGCTTCTTGGGGACTCGTTCAGCAACTCGGTGACGAACACATGGGAGAAGGACCGGAGGGTACCCGGTAAGGCCCGGTGCAGACTACTTTAGTCGCACTACTCTCCTTACTCTTTGTCTGCTTCGTGGTTTTGTGTGCAGTCACATTCCTCTCTCCCTCGGCGATCAAGATCCACGACCGAGTATTCCAGGCCAAGCACCAAGGTCCGACCTACCACTTCATCGCCTCCAACACTCTACTGACCCCGATTCATGGCATCCATTCCAGGAATCATCTACCTCGCCCCCCACCCTTTTTGCTCTTCTTGCCTCACCCTGGTGCTGAGCGGTACGGATTCGCTCGGTCTTGAGAGGGCTTATCGCCTCTTCCCTTTCAGGACCGGCGTGAGCTTACCCGAATGGGGTACGTGATTTGCGGGACTCTGCTCTAAGAGCAACAAAAAAAACCGTTACTGATGGCTATTCCGCTACTGTTCCCAATTCAATTGATCACCGCGCAGTCGTTTCCTCTGGAGCCGAGGACGGGCAGAAAGGAGGGATCGAAGCAGCAGGGTCAGTCATCGATCGTTAACCCTAGCAGTTTCGGGCCAACCGATGGCGTGCCCCAGAAAAGTTCAAAGAACTGACCTTGCGTACGCGTACGCACCATTCCTACTAGGTTTTGGGGTAGGGATTGGGGTTGGAGCGAGAGCATGTCCTTTTTGTAAAGTCGAGGGTGCCCTTTCATGTGATCGGACTTATTGGAAGTCAAGTTGGGATGAGCACAAGAACACGAGCAAACCCGGAATGTGTATTATAACAATAAGATTGCTTTCCATGCGCACAAGTACAAGAATAGACAAGGAGAGGAGTTAAGCAAAAAAGAGATGCGTCACGTGCCCATACGATGTAAGAAACGGACAGAGAACACAAGGCCCCGTCGGGAGAGATAGTTCATTATACGAGAAGATAGGGTAAGGTGGAGATGGGGTTCAATCACTTTATTTTTCGAGAGAGGCCGGAGTCCCAATGAAGTATCCATGTGGACCCCAACCGTGCTCAGGAATCACCAACGATGCTGCGGCTGGTTCGTGGTATCTTGGTAGCCGTGGGGGAAAGACTCGTCGGCAGCACCGCCATAGTTCGATGGAGAGACGGCGCGTTGAGGGTAGTCGTTGTGCGGGTAAGCGGCAAAGTCAGCGGTGGAGTGGTTGTACGCCGCCTCGCCGCCTCTCGAGACCAATGGGTACGCCTCGTGGCCACCCCCGGGAATGCGCGACGTCGCGGCGTAAAGGTCGTCGACCTGGGATCGACCGTAGACCTTTTCCGACGCGTACCCCGCATCTTCGTCATGAGCGGCGGCGGCTCCAGCGTGCACGGTCGATTGGTTCTGGTTCGCGTAGTAAGGGTCTTGATCGACGGTGTCCCATTCGTTGACAAAGTTCTCGGGACCGTCGTCCTCGCGGCGTCGGCACAGATGGATGCCGAGCCAGATAAGTAGAGCGACGACGATCAAGCCCGCGACGCCGATACCGACGAAGAAACCAATCTTGCCTCCCATGGGCCAAGTCGAGAAGAAGGCACCTCCTGTAGCGGCAGCGGCGGTGGCGGTGGCGCTCGCGCTCGTACTCGCGGAGGACGACGACGAGGAATAGGAAGAGGAAGGCAAAGCCGTGTCAGAAGTGCTGTCAGGAGTGCTGGAAGAAGTCGTGATGGTGCCGGAAACGGCCGTCGTGGTCGGTGAGGCGGGCACGGTCGTCGTCACTGTTGTCGTAGTGCTAGACACAGTCGAACTGGAAAGCGTCCTAGTGGACGATGTTCGTCGGGTCGCGGTTAAGGAAGAGTTGGCTGCGGCTCCGCCGGCCAAGGTTCCGACGCCCCAAGGGATCGCAGATCCATCACTTTGGGTCGAGTGTGCGGGTGTGGTAGTCGCACCTGTGGAGGATGCAATGGTGAACCTCGTCGTCCACTGCGGGTCGGCATCGCTCATGGTGAATTGGAAAAAGTAGATCGCGCTGTTGGGCGTCACGTCGGGGCAGGTGAAGGTCGCGGTGCCGGACTTGGTGCCATCCAGACCACTTGTGACACGAGTCACGACCGACATGGCTTGGTTCGAGCCCGACATGAGATCAACATCGAACGAGGTCCATGTCTGCGCCGCGCAAGGGATGGGGGAAGGGAAGAGCCTTGAGGTCAGCCGAAGAGTCTCTTGGCGTGTCGGGCGTTTGGTCTGGCGACATTTCGTTCGTTGAAGGACGCGCGTGGCCAGGGCTGCCCCTCGCAGTCGGTCCCAATCGAGTGATTACACGACCCTTGGGGAGGCCCCCAACCACATGAGGCGTCATGATATGCTCCCGAAGAAAGTTTATGCTCTGAGGACGTCATAGCGGTTGCTTCGCTCGACAGCAGGTGGTCGGGGTCCGCCTACCGCGCCTCCTTTTGTTGGCCGTCTCACTCGCGAGGGCGTCGCCCGACGGACAAGACGGAATCGGCCGTGGAAGCGACCCCAGTGCACTCGAGTGGCTTCGACGAAAGATTAAGTTCGCGAGCACCACTTTCAATCCCACTCCAGACCAAAAGACGCAAAGCACTCACGTTTGTGGTATCGGCGGTCCACGTGAATGAGCATTGTCCACCCACGTCAAAGGTTACGCCGGGGCCCGGCGCGGTTGGCGTGACAGCGCCGAGGACGGATTTAGTCGCTAACCCGACCAACAGGAGGGCGATCGAGCGAGCACCAGCGCAACGAAGCATGTTGAACCGGTAGTCGTTCCTTTCCCGAGAAGACGGGAGGTAGGTTAAGCAAGCTGGTTGAAGGTCAAGAAATGCAGGGAGGAGGGTTGGGATTGGGCAGAGGGCAAACGCGAGGTCGAGAGGGTCTCACGTCGGCGCAGCGCGAGGCCGGACCACGATCGCGAATTGCATTTTGCAGTGCAAACCGCTGACTTTCAAGCCGATCTCGCTTGCGCGTCCGTATTGCCCGGATGTTTTTCGTTCAACGCCGCGAGACGCGACTTGCGACAACAGCGGTTCGGAACGTTACGGTAATTCAAGGCATCCGGCGCACCTTGTGACCTTATGTAGGCGAGTGCATTGGACACGTGCAGCTAATAAATCTGTTGGAGTCTACAGGAGAAACGGCTGCATCTGGATTCTAGTGACCACACGAGTCAATCGTCGAACGGAAAGCTGTCGAACGGCAGCCGGCATCAGGCGCGTGGGCTGTGGCAAATTGTGGCGCCGGAGCTTGGCTCACGTGATAAGGGACGCCAGACAGCACCGCCGCGTTGCGAGCTGCAGTTTGCCAATTGTCTCGGCGAATGCCACCTCGGTCCCGGTCAGGAAGGTACGTCCAATCGAACACCGCGTTCAAGCGAATCGATCCGAGACTCGAAATTCGATCAGATGGGTACAACATTTGTGATTTCACATCATCATGCCCTCACCACTCGAAGGGTCGAGCATCATTCCCGTGTTCGAAGGCAGATCTTGCTCCGAGTCACCCGTCGACAGCCCCTGAATCGGCTCGCCTGATGAACCAGTAGCCCAACTGCCTCGATCCAACCACCTAGCCAACAAGTCCGTGCCTTGCCCAAAGTGATCAAACATGAAGGCCGCATTATTCTCTTCGCCTCCGAGTGGTGTCGCGTAGCCTATGCTGGTGTGGCTGTTCCCAGGGCCAACCTCAGCGTCGTTCAGGCCGGAGTGCGGAAACTCTGTTGCTCCGGCCGTCGCCAGCGGCTGGAGGGAGATTGGCTTCGACGCATCCAAGACGGGCAGGTGTTGAACATGGTGAGAGCTCGACATATCGCTTGAAGGTGGGGGTTGCCATGCCTGGGAGCCCGCCGTCGGGTCAGAGACGAGGCCGAGGGAGACCAGAAGATCAGATTGATCCCATGATCCAAAGTCGAGCACCGTCGAGGCTGTCGCGGACGGGCCCAGTACGTCCGAGTACGATAAGAAAGCTTGGAAAGGCTCCGTTGAGACTGACAGTGCCTCGGCATGGGCCAGTGAGGCATGGGGAGAGTCTTTGGCCGGCTGAGTTGTGCCGTGGAGGGATGAGGTCAGCGGGTGCGGTGGTCGATCGACCTGTGACGTCGGGTGCATCTGCACAAAAGCATCGATCGGGCTGTCGTAGCCTCCTTCAGTCGACAACGGAGTTGCCATGTTCGGAGCAGAAAATCGAGAAACGGCCCCTTCGCGCCGCACCAAGCGATGTACTCGACCAAGCTCCTCGTAGGCGCCGCTAACCGAGGGTTCTTCCCCCAGACCAGCTTTGACGAGCACGTCGAGCGCCATCTCGACTAGAGGCATCGTTCGCAAATAAGTGAACAAGTCCCTAGTCGTCGTGGTGAGCTGTAACAGCATCGATATGGATTCTGGTGCGGGATCATATGAGAATGCGCGACCCCCCTCAGCCACGGCCTCTTGTGAGGGAGAGAGGCGAGCGTACAGCGAGTGCAAGGTCATGTGCATCTCGATGATGGACCTTGAGCGCTCTTTGACCCGATCGGTGCCGCGCGTAGACGGCTCACCAATCATCAACTCCGGTGGGAGCCCTCGTTCCCACGCCACGAGCGCTTTGATCAGGTTTTGTCGGTCGGCCTCCCCGTGATCCCCTCCAGCAGCAGGTCGAAGGCTCCAACGCAGGACAGCGAGTCCCAATGTGCACAAGCTCGCCGTCTTTGAAAAGAGGAGAAGCGTCGATGAACGGACCGCACCTGGTCGCCGGGCAATTGTGGCTATCGGCTCGAGTGCGTATTCGCCCCGGAGATGATTGGCGTTGTGCCCTAGACTCCACAATTCAAAGTTTTCCGAACCTTCGCTAGGTGGTAAGGGGACGTCATAGTCCTCACAGTTGATGATTGGTGGGCGTGATAGGCGGAGTGAAAGGAGCGTGTGTACGATGATTGCCGCATGGAAAGTCCGCAGGCGTGACGGACTGGGCGTAAGCGAATCGTGCTGCTGCCGCCTGTGCATCCCCAAGGTGATGGAGAGTGCAATGGAAAGCGAGCTTAATATCCATGCGCGCGACAGTTCGTTGAGTCCCCAGTCGGCAATAGCGAGAAGCGTGCAAGCTTGAACCGTTTCGACCGATGGGTCCTTCATCGAAGAGTACAGGTAGAAGCGCGCAGCCGCTGCAAAAGTCTCTGAAGAGTGTGTCGAATCCGAGTGCAGATAGGGAGCCACAACGGCAAAAACGCTCAAATATAGCTCAGCCGGTAGTGCTTGTGCGGCGATCGAGGTCGCAGCATCAGTGGGTGGAAGATAGGCCGACCAGCTGAAGAACTGCGCCTTGTCGAGAATCGGTAAGGTGGGATGGACAATTTGGTGAAAGTAGACATCGATCATCTGATTGCGTATCGCCTCGTCGGGGAGTGAAAGCACAACGTTCGATGAAAGGCTCGCCATTGATCCATCGCCTTCCGTGCCGGTACCCCTGAGGCCCCGGGACCCACCCCGCGCGGGAGAACATTCGGCTACGTTCGATGACCTTGATCCGGCACCCGTCGAGAACGTCGAGAACAGTCATTCTACGCCGATACCAGTCGATTTTCCTTCGCTTTCATCAAACGACGAATCGTCGGAAGCCACACCTAACCTCGCGTACGTGGCAGGACCCTCGGAAGAAGAGATCGAGACGATGGATCTCGACGAGGAATGCTCAAGGTGAGTTCGCTAGACGCCCATAGGAGTTGTCTGTCGAAGTTCGCTACCAGTGATTACGGATCCTCATGGGCCGTCTATCTCGTACTCACAGCATCCTCCGTCCCCGGGTCTCGAGACCTTGGGGACCGATCGTCATGCATTGATTGGGAGGGAAACCCTCATCTCGTTGGCAGATGGACACCCCGTGCCGTTCCTGTTGTCCCGATTTCGTGCCAAGAGCATGCTGCTGTCGTCTGTAGCTCTATTTATGTCTTGCATTACATATCCTTCTCTCTCGCTCTGTTCGCAACGTCTTCTGCGAGTCCTCTCCGCCATGCTCGGGGTTTAGTTTCGCACACCCTTTCGAGTGCGGAGGATTACACCGTCTACTATGTATAACGCACTACAAGATAGTATCTTACATAAACTCCTTTCTCTCCTCTCTCGCACTCTACATAACACCCCGGCTCATTCGCAACCAAACCTCCCTTCCCTCCCAGCCTTCCTCCACCCTAATCCCCCTCTGCCCTTCCTTGAACCTACAAATTCGATCACAACTCATCCTCTCCTCCAATCGATCACAAGCGACGACGTGATCGAGTGCTTTGGAAAGGGTCCAATCTTGCCAGTGGTTACGTTCGGGCCAGTCGTGGTTCATGAGTTTGATTGTGGGCGAGGAGAGGAAAGGTTCGGTCGAGAGCGTGGAGAGCAGGTGGCGGATGGAGGTGATTTGACGCATGTCTAAGCGGGGGAGAGGGGGGTAAGGGAGAGATATCAGTTCGTCGTTTTTCCTTGAGGAGAATTCGTAAGGAAGAGAACTGACCCAATTCCACTTGCTCCAATAAACCCAAACTCGTCTCCACCGTCTCCCTTTCCCTCCACCCAAGATCGTAATCGGTCATACCGGACCTCTCGATCGTACTCCCCCCACCGACCAAGAATTTGACCACATTCTTAGCATAAGTTGGCTCGACGATCCTCACCCCCAAAGCCTCTTCGAGATGAGGTAAAGGAAACGCCGAATTGATCCTCTTGGATCGTTTCACACCCCTCCCTATCGAATCGAGTTCTTGAAGGTCCGTAAAGACCGCGAAAGCAGGGGGTTCGAAAGCCCGTTGGGTATATTTCGAAACCATCAAAACGATCTTGACGAGTTGGGTGAGTTCGTCCTTCGTTCCTACTAAAGGATCGATCGTAACGAGTCGAGAAGGAGTCGTATAGTAACCTTTTGGTACGTCGGCCCAGAACCCTTGGGCTTTGGCGGAATACACCTTGGTCGGTGCATCATCGCCACATGTCATATGGAAGGAGACGGAGGAATGACGAGAAGCGGAAGGGACATCGTTCTCGAAATGGTAAGAACGAAAGAGGTCCGGGTCGAGAACGCGCACGCGGAGACCGTTGTTGGCGATGAAGGAGGACTTGAGCGGGCGTCGTCCGCTGCAGGGACCTTGGGAGGGGTCGCACGCTCGCAGTTCGGCGGTACCGAGGATCTGTGAGCGACGTTTATTAGATTAGCGCAGTACGACATCGGGTCGAGAGCTCCTCCAAGCGATTCCTCACCTCATTGAAGTTGTTCTGGTCCCTCGATACCTTGACCAAATCCCTTTGGAGCACCGCATTCCAAGCCTCGGACGAAACTTCACCCTTGCGCATCCAGAACCAGCCTGCAAGTGTGTGCAGGGAGGATCAGAAGAAGTTCCTTCGACTACATCATCGTCTGCACGACTCACCTGTGTTGAAATGATCCCACGAATCATTCTCTTGCGCGATCAGATCGTAATCTTCCATGAAGGGCTCCATGTGTGGATAGGGGTCCCTAGAAAGCAAGCGAATCACGTCAGTTGCGGGAACGAAAATCGATGAAGGTCCAGACCTACAGTTTGAACGAGACGTCCGAGTCGACAAAGAAGACATCCCGGTGTTTCAACACCTCAATGAGACCTGCGAAGTGTCACGAAGTGAACTTTCGGGTCTGGAAGGGCTCAGGGGCAGAAGAGGGGTAGCTCACCTGCAAGTTTCGGCCACGTTGCGACCCTGCATGTAGAATCCCTGGTGTCAGTTCAGATTCGCTTTGACACTTGTCGGTTCAATCGGTTCTTACAAGATCTGCGAAACGACAATGAAGAAAACTCAGTACCTCTCTCCCCGCCCTCTCCCTCAAAGCACATCCTAAACGAACCTTGTCCGGTCGATTATGGATAAACCCACCGAACGCATACCTCTCCATCTCCCCCATATTCTCGACACATTTTTCATCCAAACAAAGCGTCAAAACGACGGTCTCCCTGAAACTTTTCTTCGCTTGCCTCACCCCACCTTTCGAACGAACTTGCTCAACCCATCGGTCCTGGTTCAAACGATCGACGAACTCGTTCAACGCGGCTGCACCGCTGGTGGACCAAAACGAATCGGCTAACGTTAACCAGAGATGAGGTTGGGGGTCGGAAGTGGAGGATAAAGGGAAGTGGGCTTCGAGGTATTCGGTAAGCGATCCGGGACCCGAATAAGCTCGGAGGTTGAACGGCGGCGGCGGCGCGATTCGTTTCGGAGGACCGGACGAGGCGGCGGCGGCTACGGCTTGGACCCGCGCTGCGGAGGACGACGAGAACGGAGTCCGATTCGGTCGGGCGCCGTAAAAGTTCCAAAGGCTGGAGCTAGTTGCTTTGTTGGACTGTATGTCTTCAGGCGAGATGAACCGTATTCGATCTGGATCAATTTGCTGGTGTGTAGAAGAAGAACCGAGTTGATGGAATCCCAGTAGGACGAGCAACGCGACGACGAGCAAGATCCATCGCCGTCGCACCGTCACCGCGCCGGAAGCGCCGCCGTCCAAGAAGCCCGAAGGCGAGTACCTCGAGCTCGAACTCGTGCCACCAGCCGCGGCCGTCGCTGGTAACGGCAGTTTGGAGGGGCTACCTCCAGTCGTGGTGGAATGCATGGTTGGAGTGGGGAAGGACAGGACAAGAAAGGTGAGAGGTTGCTGAGAAGAGAAACAAGTTAAACGGACGCGACACCGGTTACCGCTGCTGCTTGGGTGCTCTCTCTCGGCGTACTGCGCATTCGCCCAGCCCAGCGCAGTAAGCGCTGCCCGAGCCCGACGGGTGGGGGCGGCGAGTTGGCTAATCTTGGTCTCGTTACAGCTGTAGCCATGCTCAGCAAATGTTTGGAAAAATGATGCTGCAGCTATTCTCACAAGCTAAGGTTCAATCTTTGGGTGCATTGTAGGTGTGCACCAACTGTGTTTTTTCAAGGACTGCTGCCCTGACACCGCTCGGCACTTACTCGGCCCTAGCCGGGCTTGGAGCTTGGCAGGCTCCCGAGTCCCCAGCCAGCCCCCGCCTCGCTCGGCCAGGCTCAGCCGCGAGCAGCGAAGGGACCTCCCCCACATTCTAAATTTCAACCCCTCTCCTCTTCACCACCACGCAACAGCGCACCAGCGCACGTCACGCGTTCCCTCCTCCCCCTCACTCCCGCAGATATGCCCTCCTCCGCTTACCTAACTTTGCTCCCCATCCGATCCAACACGGATCCCACCACATCCCCTCGAACGACCACCCCTCAAGCGGCTCTCCACTCGTCCGCGCGTTCCTCCCTCTCGGACGTCCCTCACGCGTCCTACGACCTTTCAATGGACTACGGACCCCAAGACGATGGCCACGAGGGAGGGGAAGATTTATTCTCCAGTAACCAAAGCAATGACAAAAGTCCAGAGCGACCTGGTCGTACAGTTCCGTCACGAACGGGTCGAGGCAGGGCTCGAGCGCTTTCGATCGCGTGCAGTTCCCCCCATCTGGGGAAAAGGAACGGCGACGATGCGGAACGGTCAGCCTCCGACGATGAAGCCTATTCCTATGCCCTACGACCGGAGGAAGAAGCCGAAGACGAAGAAGACGACGAGATTGACGGCTTGGAGATGACGCGCCTCAGTTCGACGACGACCTCTACGCGGGAGTCGCAGAGGGGGGATCAAATGTCGAATAAGAGGAAGGATTACTTGAGGAGTCGGTTTCAACCTTTGACGTATCATGAAATGGGGTGGATGGGCGTGACTGCGCTGGTCGTGCTCGTGCTCAGCGCGGCGGCGGTCGTGCTCGCGGCGATTGGATGAGGTGGGAGAAACTTCGCATGATGGTGATGGGCCAAGGTGGGTTCCCAAGTCTTTTACTGGTACACGAATCGACTGTTCTTGCCCATTCGCTGACCAACCTGGACATGCGCCCTCTTTCGTGATCACTCAGCCAACTTTCGTCAACCGACACGTCGCGGCGCGCGTGGCACCGCATCCGAGGGATGCGCCAACACATCGACGATCCTACATTCGTTCAAACAACTACCATGTTACACTGTGTAACAACAAACCATAACAGCACGCCCTGCAAAGGCCACCGGACGCATTACAACAGACCCCGCCGCCCTACACCACCTCCGGCCCACCGACCGGATCCACGTCCTTACCATACCACCTCTCCCACACATCCCCATGACTCCTCGAAATACCCCTCCAAGCCATCTTACCGAACACCTCCTCATGCAGATCATTCTTCTTTACCTCGGAAACCTTTTCCGAAGTCGACGCTTCGAGATGATCGAGGACGGAAGGGTGCAGGTCTTTGAGGGGGTCCAAGGGGGTCAGATGGGCTTGGAGGGTGGGAGAGAAGAAGAAAGGAATTGAGAGACGGGGTTCGGTACCGAAGGTGGGGAGTACGCGATGCGTGGTGGCGGAGTAGACGCCGCATGTCAGGCGTTCGCTGGAGGGGGGCAAAGTCAGGAATTTCGGCAGTTAGGGTGTCAGGATGTACCGAGCTGGGTTCTTGTGGAATTGTCACTTGCCACGGGACGACGTACAGTACTTGACCAATGTTGATGACGAGAGCATACTTTTTCGGGGTCACGTCGATCCACACCCCATCCCAAGCTTGGACCTACCCAGATCGGAAACTCGGAAAACCCATCAGGCGAAGCTTGTTAAACCTCCAATGTCCCTTTGAACCCGCCCTAACTGACCTGCAAACCGCCTGTCTGGTCCTGGGCCAGCAAGGTCAACCCACCACCATCCTTATGTGCGCCCACACCTAAAGCGCCCTCATCCTCTTCCTCCTTCCTCACCACGGGGTATCGCACAACCTTCATCCTCGAATAATCGGGTTCGTATTCCGCCAACTCTCGATCCCGAGGTGTTTCGGATAGCGGGTACCAGTGTTTTTCAATTAGGTTTGGGGAAGGGGTGATGGATTGTGCGATGAAATGGAGGAGGGTTTGGGAGATGGCGAGGAGTTGGGAACGAAAGGTGAGGATCGAGGAGCGGAAGTGGGGGACTTGGGTGGAGGTGGGGAATAGGTTGGGGCCATAGAGGGAGAGAAAGAGGTTCGAGGGTGTTTCAGGGTGCGGTGGTGTTTCGGGACTGGAATCACATCGTGTCAGTTTTTAAAGGGTCTTCTTTATCGTCGTCGGGAAAAGGCGTAGATCCACTGTCGTTCTCCAGCGTACTCACCCAAAATCGATTTGCTCCCTCAAATCCTTCTTGCCCGCCGTCACCTCGACTTTGAACCCCGAATAACCCCTAAAATGCTTTGACTCGAGCATACCGATCTTTTGTTTCTCTTCTATAGGAAGCTCAAAGAAAGCCCTGGAATCACTGAATGCTTGATCCCATGAGTCGATCCAGGAAGGGAAGGAGGAGGCGATGTCGTCGAGGTAGAGGAAGCCGTGCGAGAGGAGAGCGTCGCGCAATTGGTTGGTGAAGTTTTCGGGAGAGGTTTGGTGCAGGGCATAGGACACGGTAGGGAGACTTCTTATATGGACTGTCATCGCGCCACGGTGGTGAATTTTGCGTACGTAGGGTGGTGGGAAGAAGGCGAAGGGAGCGGGGCCAAGTCAGGGGGTCGCGCTTGATCTCGGCGATGGCGACATCGCGGGAGGCTGCGTGGGGATCATCACCGACGTTGCCGGCATTCGTGCCGCCGGAAAACGCTTCGGAGACGCCGGCAGTCAACGCAAAACCGATTACACACATCGTCAGATCGTGGATCGTAGTAATACAACATGGATCGTTCTTGAACACTACACGCCAGTCCATACTCGAACCATCAGTGATCACTCTGCACTACCATCGGGCTTCTTGGAGATCGGCAACGTCCCCCACTCGTCCTGGCCCGGTAATCGCTGCACCCTCTTGTTCTCCCATCCGTCGCCGGAACCTAACAGATCACCCTGGCCCGCGTTTTGAAGTCGCTGTGAGATGGATCAAGTCACTTGAATGTCAGCAGAGAGTTTGCAAGCGCGAATCGCTCGTTCCCCGAGAGCCGACCCCGGCCTCAAACCCAGCATTTTTGCTCCCCAACTCAACCCGAGATGATGACGTACATGATACTCCTCCCTCACATCGAACTTCCTCCTCCCCTTCTTCATACCCAACTCTTCCTCCTTGGTCACCGCCGAGACTTTGGAATCGCGTAGATCGTAACGAGTTTGGGTGAAAGAGGACAGTCCGAAGGAGGCGAGGACGATGATGGTGATGAAGGGGAGGCCGAAAGAAAGGAATGGTTGGCGTCGGATCGTGGAGCTTAGTGCGGAACTGCATGGGAAGAATGAGTGGAGGGTGTTCAGTCTGGAGTAGATGATGAAACAAGGGCAGCGCATGGAAGTCGAGGGGAAAGACACGTACGACTTGAGGGGCTTGGCTGAGAAAGGGGGCATCTTCGCTAGCTTTAGAGTGTGTGAATCGAAGTTTATTCAATCTCGCGAGTGTGCAGTGAGAAGGCAAGCCGTCTTGATCGGCGCTCCGCACTTCGCAATCGACTCCAGTCGACTCCCTCCGACGCGCGCCGGCGCTCCACGTGATCAGCCCCGGCGCGCTGTGAGTTTCCCTCTTCCCTTTCGCCGCCGCGTCCACGAGGTATCATGTCCGTCGACTCGCGGGTGTATTGCACCGCCAACCCCACGTCTGCGAAGTCGGTGGGTACGATCCGCTATGTCGGTTCGATCCCTCCTACGGCGGGCGAATGGCTCGGTATCGAATGGGACGATCCGACGAGGGGCAAGCATGATGGGGTACATGACAAGACTGGGGTGCGGTACTTCGAGTGTCGGTGAGTCCTGTCTGCTGGTTGGATAGGTCGATCTAAGAGCAATCGCGGGCCCCTTTCCTCCACAATGACGACTCTGATCCGGTCTTTCTCGCCCCCACTTGACTCGCCCGGCTTGCCCCAACCTCCAGCAACAAGTCCAGCTCGACATGCGCAAGTTTCATCCGACCCAACTCCAAAGGACTCAACCACGGCCGATCATTCGCCCAAGCTCTGAAAGCGAAATACCTCGATGCCCTGTACGACGACACTACATCAGCAGCTCCTACCTCCAAACTGGATCACCCCCCTCGCGCCGAAGGATCCTCCGGTACAAGTCAATACTACGACACTTTGTCCAATTTCAAAGTAGAAGTCGTGGACCTTTACAAGATCAAGAAAACCAAAGTTGAGGATTTGAAGAGGTTGAAGCAGGCTGGATTGGAATGGGAAGGCGTGAACGGTACAGGCTGGAAACAGGGGTTGGAGTCGACGAGTGCGCAGGAGGAACACGCCGAGGTCATAAAGGCGCTGCAAGGTGAGCATGAGCAGTCCCTAGTGACTTCCACCAAAGTCGAGTGAGCACTAAACCAGGATGGATCTCGATTCACAGCTCTCGAGAAACTCGATCTTTCGTACTCGCTCTTGCCGACCTTGCAAAGCGTCGCTGAAGTCGTGCAGGGTCTGACCAGACTGCGCCATCTCGCACTCAAGTATGTCGATGGCAGCGGGCTTGTCGGTCTCGCGAAGCTAGGGCTGAATGAGTTTTTTTCGATCCACCTCCCTAGTGCTAGTCGATTCACACCCCTCGGGGCTCCGACGATCCTGCCCGCTTTCTGCAACCTCAAGCAGCTCGACTTGAACGCAACCATGATCTCGTGGGCCGAGGTGAGCTTCTTGAGAGCCAACTGTTCCCATCGGGAATTTCAAACTAACTCATGAACATACTTATCTCGAAATCCCCAGATCATCCAACTTTCGTCGTCCCTCTCCAGCCTCGAAGAACTTCAACTAGGCGACAATGACCTCTTTCGACTCAACCCGGCCTCAGCCTTGGTCGTCTCCCCCACCGAAGGGACCGCTATCTTACTGCCTAAGCTCAAAGTCCTGAACCTGACCAGAAACCGACTTGAATCGTGGGACGACATCGTCTTCGCACTTCGGGGCATCCCTTCGTGAGTAACCAGCGCCCTATTTGTGCTCAGCCTCTCACGGAGACTTACACGATCTTTCTTACCTCCTCAGCCTCGAATCCCTCGTCCTCTCCTACAACGCTCTTTCCTCCCTGCTCTCAACCATTCCTCCACCACCCTCTTTAAAACACCTTACTATAACCCGCAATAATCTAGTCTTACTCCCCCGCCTTCCAGCCACACTGAAATCCGTCGAACTTTCCCAAAACCCTTTCGCCAATACCCATTCCCAAGCAGGGATGGATGAATCAGTTTTGAGGATGATGATGATCGCTTTGTACCCCGGGTTGGAGAGGTTCGAGAGGACGGAGGTGGGGAGGGCGGAGAGAAGGGATGCGGAGATTTGGTGGGTGGGGAAGGTGGGGAAGGAGGAGAGAGGGGGCTTTATGAGGGGATGGGTGGAGGGTGAGGTGGAGGGTGAGGTGGAGTGGGTAGAGAGGAGGGTGGAAGAGTTGGGGGGATGTGAGTGTAGACGGGGGAGATTCAGGTGCGAGATTTTGCCGAGACTTATGAACAGGCCTCTATATCTACAGTACACCACCTCGAACCCCCGGTCCCCATCGCCGCTCCAACGCGCGTCAATCCCAAAGCTCGTTTGCTCAACCTGTACATTCTCTTACCCCCCTCCCTTAACGTCCTCGAGAAATTCCCCCTCAGCCTCTCGATCCTCCCGACTCTCCGTACCCTCGTCCTCCGCACCCAAATTTCCAAACTCATCTCTAAGCCCCTCCTCAAGACGAAGTGTCGTCTCGTAGCATTGCTGAGGACTCAAAAAGGGGACGAATTGGTGGTTCCTATTCCTGTAGGGGAGGAAGGAAGATTGGTCGGGTGGTGGGGTTTGCAGGATGGGGATGCGGTCAGGGTTGAAGAGGTGTGAGAGTGATGGGGTGGGGTGGGCTTTGGGTAGCAGAGTTGTTGTTGCATTTTGAATCCCTCGTGACGTTCGACGAAAGGAGAGCTATACTCTCACAAGATCCTTCTTAAATCGATTCCCAACAATGTTTTCAGTGATATCGTAAAGACAAGAAAACTCTCTAAGGTGGTTCAAATTTTACAACTCGAACTTGCCCAAGACCTTCTCGACCAACCACTCTTGGTCGTATTGACTCAATGCGCACGTCATCGTGATACCGAGCACAATCATACCTGCGATGATTAAGAGCGCATCCAAGACTTCACCATCAACTGAGATGCGGACGGTGTGGATGAATCCCGGGGTGAGGTTCGTGTGTAGTACGTAGAGGGTTTGTAGCTTGCGAGATGAGACGAAAACCCGATCATCAGTTCATCGCCCGTCTGAGGCGCGAACGCTCAGCGGTATTGAAACTCACCTCTTCATCGTACTTCCACTCTCCATCACTCAACCTGACCTTCAACCTGCTATTCAAACCACCGAACCTTCTTCGAGGAAGGTAGATCTCCGTCTCTCGACTTCGCGGCGTTGTCCCCGGGATCGGCGGATCGTGGGTCGTCGCGAGGTTCTGGGGTCGTCGAGTTCGGAACTCTTTAGGACTTGTCGGGTTAACGTAGCTGAAGGTGCATTGGAGGAGCTTGAAATCGTATGAGAAGGCGTAGGGAATGCCGGCCACTTTACTTGCGTACGGACGCTGGAGAGGTCGATCATGGGTCAGGCCATCTCCTCTCCGTGCATGCCTGAGAAGACCCGAAAGCTCACCTCGACCGCATCAAGCACTCGCGCACCCACGTTCAATCGTTCATCTTCACTTTTAGCCGCATTGAATTTGGCCCGGGTCATATCGCTTTGCGAGAACCAAGAAAAATTTTCCGCGTTCCAAGAATCGCCCCATTGATCCGTATTGAGCGGGTTGTAGTTCCACAAGCTGCGGACGAGTAAAATGTAGGTCCCAGATCAGCCTGAACATCTTGAAACGACGCACGAGAGCTTCAGACGTACTTGAACGAAATCAAGTTCCTCTCCAAGGCCGAGCAAATGGCGTCCATCTGGCGTTCCTGCCACGAAAAATCGCCCGTGGCAAAAGCCTGCTTGCCATTGAGATCAAAGGGGACGCCGGTTTCGCCGAGAATAATGGGGAGCTCGCCAAGCGTGCGGTAACCAGATTGTATGACTTCACGGATCTGAGCCGTGTAGCTGTGTAAGGAAGAGAACAGGTCAGTCGAGAGCTTTGAAGGGAGGAGTGGACGGAAAGTTGCTCACTTTTTCCTGATCCCGTTTCGCCCGAAATACTGACGAATGAATCGGAGAGCTGAGTGCTCGGTTTCAGATGGGCACGCCCTCGTCGAAGAAGCGACTCACCAGGGCTCTTAGCAGGAACATCCCTCTCGCCAACCCTTGCACGTTCGCGGTCATAAAACCGAGCGACTTCGTGAATAGTGCTTGCAGGTCGTACCAATGCGGGGCGTAGATCAAATTGTGCGGTTGACCCTCCGGCGTCCACCTTGGGCACGGTTCGTTCGGTAGTGGCCCGGCCATGGTGTACCACCTCGGATTCGCTTCCTTTACCCTTTCTCCAAAGTCGCGGCAGAAGGGAAAGTAAAAATCCCTGCGGATATAGTTGTAGACTCAAGTATCAGTGGTGAGAGCCATCCCCGCGTTGATCTCGAAGCGAACTCACTTTGCCCAGTCCGTCTGGGCTCCTGTTTCGGGATGTTGATTAAAGTACTCTATCCTTAGCGCGAGCGCCTCTTTCTTCTTCTCATCCCATGCCCATACACCTTGCTCTTTCCACACACATTCGGCCCCCTCCTTCCACGCAGTGATCCCCTTTGGTGGGGAGATGAGCGTCTGGTGCGTCACAGCGGTCACGGGGAAGGAAGGACCGTAGTGGTCGATGAGCACCGAGTGGCCTGCACCGAGAGCCCATGATTGGACCGCAGTCGGGAAGTGACCGATCGCGAGATCCTTTTTCAGATTGAAGGAGTAAGGAGAGTGAACGCCGATGTATCCCGGGTGCGGCTCGTTCATTACCTGGGGGTCATCAGCGCGCCTCAGTCAGCGCCCAATTTTCCAGGGTCGAGTTCGGAAGCGAGGATGGGTAACCCGTTCCAGAGACTGACTTCGAAACCAATGACAGCGGGGAGATTCTTCAATGCATCTGCTAACGCCCCAAATGCGCCGATCATGCATTTTTGCATAAAGACCTGCACGCCGACCATCTCGTCCGGTGCGTCCTGACCCCAAGCGGCAGCGTTCTGGCCTCTCTCGACCTGGCGCTTCGGTGCAAACGTTTCGCCCGCCCAGAACAAAGTCGCCATCGTCGCTCCCGCAAGCTTAGAATAGCCTGATGGCCAGTTTTGTGGGGCTGGGTCGTCGTCATCGAGGTTAAGATTGTGCGCATGAGCCGCGCCCGTGGCTTTGAGGTTCCGAATGTCAAATCCGACCAGTTCCAGAGTCCACGTCGGAGCGCCGGATCCGCCGGTGTGACGAGACCACACGTCTTGGTGCGCGTCGATGTAGCATTTGATACCGTACTTGGGGAAGAGCGAGATCAAAGAACGAAGATAATCGATGTAGTCCATGTCGTACTGGCCCGGTCCCGAATGCTCGAGTGCCTCCCATGTGACGACGAATCGGACAAAAGTCAGACCCCACTGCGATAATCGTGCAAGGTGATCATGTCTGGGGGGGGGGGCAGGAACTTTGTGTCAGCCATGGAGTTGCTGTCGCCGCCATTCCCGATCCCGAGTTCCGAATCCAGTGCTTGGGGGTGACTATACCCCTGAGCGATGTCTCGGTTCGAGCTCGACCGACCATGGATCAGATGTGCCAAGATTTGGGGACTTGGGGGCTTCCGCATCATTATTGGGCTGCTGGCGCGTGCGCGGAGGCCGGCGAGAATCGACGCAGCACAGCCCGCCTTCGCACCACAATACACTGCCCCTTGTCCCCGTTATGCTTACGATACCAGCTGAACAGCTCATTGACATGTCCAACGGGGTTTTGACACCTCCTGCATCAAGCCACACGAACAGTGGGACTCACGCTTCGTCGAGAGGAAACGGCCGACCGACGAACGAGACGTTCTCGTGGTCCCACCAGCCTTCGTTCAGGACATGCGTCGCACCATCCGGCTTCGAAGGGAGCTTGTTGATCCCGGACAGGTTGCAGCCGTGTAGGAGCAGCCTCCGATCGAACTGGTCGTGGAAATGCCGAGAGCTCGACACCTTGCGAAGTTCCGAATCGGTCCATGACGCCGCTGTAGAGCCCGAGGACCCGATCGCATACTCGGCCGAGCATGAGGGATGTGATGCCTCTACAGCATCACTATAAGCTGGTGGTGGGTCTGACATGCTCAGCGAACTCACGAGGCCGAAGTCGGCGTCGGCGCCGGTCGATGTGGGGGGAGGCAGACGCTCGATAGGCCCTACGACACTTGGCAATCTATGCGCCATCGATGATCATGTAAAATTATGTAGACAAGCAAATCTCTCGATCAGACGTCAAGAGCAGTCCTCAGCTGGTGGGTTGGTGCTAGTTTCAACATGTCATGGCAGGTTGGATCAGTGTATTACACAAAAGTACCAGTGTGCTACTAAGGATGTGTCTTGTCACCCAGTCGGGACACTCTGCTGTTGCCTTCTCTTCGTAGCCGCCTTGACGTATCGAGATCGCTGAATCGCGGTAAGGTCGTCGCCTTCTCCGAATCGTCGAGCCCAAAAGCGATATCGAGATAGGTAGGCATTGGGGAGGAAGAATCTGCACATCGAACCGGCGGACTATCGGTTAATTTCGCGGGTCGGGTTGAGTGAACGTTTCGAGAGTATAAGGATCGTTCACTCACGGTCGGATCGGGGGAAAGTGGCTTGGATCCGTCACATCCTTGTACTGTTCCAAGTACTGGTCCAACTCGATCATACCGCGCTGCGATTCATCCCTCTGCAGCACCCGACTCGATTTGCCTATGGTCATAAAGTTCCACACCTCGTGGATCTTGGGGAATGGCATCAGGCCTTGGGCGACGCGTGATGTGTTCGTTTCGAGGAGATCAGCACGCATCCGTACTAGGAGAGCTTGGACGAGAAGTGATTCTGTGCAAGTGTACACAAGGCGAGTTGGTGAGTAGGTTGTCTCTGGGAGGCACGTCTCGATACCGGTCGCTTTCGAGACATACGTGCAAAATAGCTATGTCCGATCTGTTGAAAACAATTCGACTGATCCAATCAGCAACTTGGACACAGTGCGCGAACTACACAGGGCGGGAGGGCAACTCACACCCCGGGGAACCATGGCATGAATGCCCACCGATCCATGTTTTAGCTATGACATAGTGATTGGTAGCATCGGGGTCAACGCCGTGATGCATTACCAGTGGGAATATCCTTGAAACCGTCGTAGGGCTATAAGGGAAACTTACGTCCAGTTCAGCAAAGACATAGCTGTGTAGGCTGTAGCCCTCCCTCATTAGACGTTCCGGCCGCTCCTGGGCGATCACGTCCGGGTCTTGTGGTTGCAGAACGAACGTGTTGCTACGTTCTTGCTTGCTGGGATTGTGCCATCGGAGGGCCAGGTATCGTCCTGCAAGAATAGTCGAAGTGAAGTCAAGCATAGATCAGCGGTGCTTCAGGGCCCGCGTGAATCGGGATTCGAAAGCTCACGGATACCAAGCTCCTCTTCGATGTCCTGTGTAGGACGTGAGACCCAAAGCTATCAGCGACAAAGTTCATACGCCAGACAGTCATTGGCATGGACGAACTTGTGTCACCAAGCTGCTCAAGATGCTATGTAGGTCATTGCAAACCATTGCAGCGGTCCGAAAATCGACACAGAACGGGGCGTCCGACTCCATAGTGTCTGGGATCGCGATGACTACCATGACCGCCCCCACAAGCGCTTTGTGGGTCTCGTGCAAGAACGCCGCGAACTCGTCGCTACCGTGTGGCAGATCGGATAATCGCCACGTGTCGCATGTCGTATCCTCGAGCACCAGCGGCCTATGCGGGATAGAGCATGACTTTACACCGTCGGCGAACAGTTCCTTGAGGCGCCATTTCCCTGTGCCGACCCGCGGTGTAAATCGACTCCCACAGTCCGTGCATCGTCGGTATCGATCATGGCAGGATGCGCAGATGAACTCGACCAGTAAGTCTGGAGGCGCCTCGTCACGGTCGATGGCGCTAATAGAACCCGAAGCGATGATGCGCGTGCATACGTCACCTGAGGAGGGAAGGGGCCGTGGGTCTTCATAAGACTGCGTTGTGCATGTCAGACGCTTCCAAGTGACCTCACAACTCACATGCCGCGCTAGAGTCCTCCATCTCTTTCCGCTTCTTTCTCGGTCGGACTCGGTCGGGCCCGGCGTGCGGCCGCGGTTCTGGCAAAGGATGGCCCGATTCTTCCTCAACGAAGCGCGTGAAACTGTTGTAGTAGCTGGGTTCGCTCATGTTTTCGACGTGGCCCGAGTGGGATCTTTCTGGTTCCTTGGCGATTGGGCTGCAGTCGTTGCAGAGGAAGACTGCCCGATAAGAGGTGGCCTCCGCCGAAGCAGGACCTCGCAGGAGCAACCAGCCCAAGTCCCTGTGGCATCCCGAGCACACCCAAGGATCGGTGCGGGCGCGCTGTGACCGAGATATTTGCCAGCCGTCAACCGTGGTGGCGGCCGCTCCTCTTGAAGTCGCGTTGGAGGATGCCCTGCCAATGTGTCCGCTGAGGGCCTCACCTACGACACCCTGAGCCTCGGACGAGCTCGCGATTGGAATTGGAAGCTTGATCACGGGGAAGGCCGGGCGATGCTCCTTGAGAAACGAGAGCAGATCGAGACTCATGGCGAGCAAGTCCACGGATTGCGTTGTCTTGCTCTTGACCTGATCTTTCAAAGGCTCTGCCATTGCGTCGAATGGAGCGCTAGGGCTCGCAGCGGCGACAGAAGTCTGTCCGGAAGAGAAATCGTCTCGCCCGATTGTCGAAGGAGAGTTATCACGGCTTGTTTCGCTCGAGGGCTCTTTGTTCGACACGCTTGTCCGAAGACGCAGACGATCGAGTGATGAGGAGGCACTTATTTCCGGTCTCGCGTCGGAGGGGTGCGACGAAGCAGAAGTGCCGTCGAATTTTCCGGGCGACTCGTGCTGAACTTGGTGACGGTCGCCGCGATCGGCGCTCCGTGAAGGCGGGCGTGGGTTCGACGACTCGAGCGGGTAATGGGAGCTCAGCCTGTAGCTCGAGCGTGGGCGAGAAGAAGAACGTGCCTGACGTAGGTCGTCATGGTCGGGTCTTGGTTGGGAGTAGTCATAGAGCCTTCGTGCATGATCCTCAGCCAGCTCAAGCTGGAGGTGGTGCGGGGCGCTGACGCCGTCGTCATCGGGCGCTGCCCATCCCACATGCGACTCGGAGCCTAAGCTATGGGCCATCGGTTCGTCCAAAAACGACCCATGAATGCTTTGAGCTTCCACTCCTGGTGCATCCACGGATCTCGGATCTGCGGGTGAGGACACAAGCGCCAGTTAGCGGCCGAGCTCACGGGAGGTCTTGAGTTTCTTGTGCATGCGACTTACCTGCAGAGAAGTGACAACTTAGCCGTTGGCCAACCCCCCTATCTGAAGAAGGTTGGTACATTTCGTGGTGTACGTCGCGTTTGCGCCGTATACGACCACGACCGAAGTCGAGTGCCGAACCGGGCGAAGAACGAAGGCCGGGTCGAGCGGCTATGAGCCCGAAGTCAGGCCTCTCGCCGAGCTGATGCGAGACGTCTTGCGCTCGAGTTTACGGTCATCATCGCGCTAATGGCAGTGGACGGAGCTTTTGTAAGTACCCGAAACTGGATATTTCTCTATTTCTCCCCAGTAAGGCTGGGTTGGGGAAAGCAAACAATGCAAGCTAAATAGAGGCGGCGGCGCGCGTCATGGAGAGCGAGCGACGAAACCGAATCCGTGGTACTCGAGGTGACCGGCCCTGAAGAAATTGACATAAGTGTACACCCAAATTCAATTTCGACTATCGCGCCGGCCGCGCCGAGCAAAATTCTGCGTGCTGTACTGCTCATGAATCACTGCAATTCCCTTGTACATCCCAGGGTACTGACCAGCGTGAACATGGCATACTGAAGGGACTTCACTTCCCGGAGAGAGAACAGTTTCACAATTTCAAAGTGGACAGAAGCAGCAACAGATAGAACAAACAGAGGCCGTCATGGATGAAGCATGAAGACCGACGAGGCGTTGGAGGAACGATCATTAAACGAACGATTCAATACCGAGAGCTTCGCGGCGGCTGACGGATTGAGAATCGTAATAAGGCTTCTCTCCGAGCGAGACCACGCGATCCCCTTCGCGGGTGTCGTCATAGTCGTACGTCGCTGTAGGAATAGTGGGGACTATCAAATTCAGCACATTACTCCGATGACGAGGAAACCGGTTGCGAACGACTCACCAGTGTGAACAGTCGGACCGTTGGCCCAGATGGCGACATCGTTCTTGGACCAGCGGTAGCGAACCTGAAGATCGTGGTTCTGGTTGTAGAGTTTGAACAGGTACGCGAGTGTCTCGTCCGACTCGTCCTTGGTCAACTCGACGATGCGCTTCGTGAAGCCTTGGTTGATGAAGAGGCCCTTCCAACCCGTGATTGGGTTGGTGCGCACAACGGGGTGGATCGCACGAAGGTCGTTGCCGACGTTCGCTGGGTTGCCCCTGACCTCGGAGTAGACCTTAGTGCCTTGTCTGTAGAGAAGGGGAACATATTAGAAATGAATAATTTGCAAAAGAACTTCATAGATTGTTGATACTTACGCCGCAGCGACCTGGTGGAAGCCGTTGCCCTCATGCTCGGCGGTCAAGCCCTCAACGAACTTCTTGTAAGCCGGGCTGAGACGGTCGTACGCCTCGTAGGCAGAGGCCCACAGGGTGTCGCCCCCGGTCTCGGGTAGAGTCTTGATCTTGAGGATTGCGAAATCGGAAGGAATAGGCTCGAAGGTGATGCTTTTCGATCCAAACGTCAGTCAGGCAACGGGCGCGGTGAAATAGCGAGCTGGGATCCCGGACTCACTCGCTGTGCCAGCCACGCGATGCCAAGCGGCCGAGGGCGGTCCTGTGCTTGTGGTACGCCTGACGCTGCGAGTAGATGGTTGAGACGTCATTGGGTAGCTCGGCAGAGCGCTCGGTGGGATGGATGTGGAGGCCCGAAGCCGAGGGCCGGCCGCTGAGAGCACCGAGCTTGTTGCCGAGCTGCAAGAAACCGAGAAGAGGGCGTGTGGGTTAACATTGGCTGATTTGGAACCGAGCGTCCGACGTCAATGGTGAAATCCGACGGACTTCTTTCTGCTCATGAATCGTGAGCGACTGGTTCTTGAAGAACGCCACCCCGCGTTGAGAGATGACGATTGCGAGGTCGCGGATGAGCTCGTCGGCGTTAGGGGCTTTCAAGAGTTCGGACAGCTGAAGGTCGGGGTACTCGCGTCCAATGACGGGAGTGACATCAGAGCTCTTGTACCCGTCGAGTAGACTTTTGGCGACCAAAGGCTCGTAGGAACCGCGAAGGCCGATCGAACCGAGCGCACCCTTGTTCGGGGTGGTGGTGGAAGTTAGGGTGGTTTGGGCACTGGTGGATTGAGTGGAAGGCATGGCCGGCTGGTGGCGGGTTCAATTAAGAGATGGATGTCGAGTATGACGAAGGAGAGAGAAGAGAACTTTACTTGCACTGAGAGTCTTGACCCCGAGGGGATAAGCCTTTGCTTGCTAAGCTCAGCTTAGGGGGGTGGGGGTGGGGGGAGCCAGATTGCGCAAGTCACCCCTAGCCGAGGATGTCGTGATCCCGAACAGACTCAGGCTGATCGCGCAAACCAGCCAACGGGAAGCGGAACTACGCAAGCTGACTCACAGAGATAGCCCGCCGGATTTGCGGCAGGATACCTATTGTGCAGCATTTCAGGTGTAGGTTTTCGGGTTTCCCGATCCGATGTTTCCCAACTCAGCCGAAGCTTCCCCGCGCAGCTTATCATGCCGATCACGCAAGAGCGCGCCCCGCGGGGCATAGCGATGGCGCTAGGGGTCGCGTGATGTGTCTCGGCGCTGTGCAAGCGTGCGCGTGTCACATCAAGACGTAATCGGGCTCCTCGGTAGCTATTAACCTATATTAGATTTTCTACAGGGAGTGTGTGATCACTAAGCGACAGTAGTGATAATATCTACTAAGCAGTTTCTCGAGGGATCACCCAATCCAAACTCATTCGCTTTAATGCGGGGCGTCGCCGAAGACGTGACCGTGGCCTCGGTGATTTTCGTCAGCACGAGCGTATCACCTTCAACTCTCCTGTAGAGAGGCACCCACTTCCAAGATCTCCTTGTTCTCTCCTCTTCAACACCCAAAAGGACCATAGGATGTCTCCGCCCGCCCAGCCCTACGTCAACACCTTGTCCGCTCTCCCCGGCTCGACTGAGACGAAAGCCTACTCGAAAAGCGACGACCTCAGCAGCTTGGAGAGCGATAATCGGCATGGAAAGGCCAGCACGGTGCTCTCCTCAGATGAAGGTTTACTCGAGTGAGTCACCCACACACGTGGAGGCTTGGCCATTCGGGTGGGCAAAGCCTGACACACTCATTCGGATCACCAGTTTGTACAAGCCTTTGAGCAACTGGGAAGGGGCGCACCGCTATGACCCTACTGCGCAGTGGACAGAGGCAGAGGAGAAAGCCGTGGTCCGCAAAACCGACTGGAGGATCTGCCTCGTTGCCTGCCTTGTGATGGTGTGCCTGCAGCTCGATCGAGGCAATGTAAGACATCCTCTTTTCCCCAGTACGCCGCTCCTACTGTTCAGGACTGGCGGCTTACTCCTTTGCACCATCACGAATCGACAAATATCCAGATCGTCAATGCCTTGTCCGATAACATGTTGGGAGATCTTAAGCTTTCCACCAATGACTACAACTTGGGACAAACCATTGTGAGCCCTTTACACGGTCGAGTCAGGCGTAGACTGTGGGCTGATCGGCAGTTTCACCCGGGCCACAGTTCTACTGCTCGTTCCTCTTCATGGAGCTTCCCTCACAGCTCATCTCCAAGGCAATCGGTGTGGACAGGTATGTACAGCACAAGGCTCTGCTCATAATTTTCAAGATGTTTTGCTGACTCGAAGCGCGCCGGACCGCTTTCACAGATGGGTGCCTATCCAGGTAAGTCTCAGGAAGTTGTTCTGACCGACGACGCAGAACGCTCATCGGTCTGCTTTCTTCCCCGCACGTGCGCTTGTAGATCATTATGTGAGTTCTTACACGTGGATTGTTCTTCGGAGCAAGCTCTGATGTGCGACCGAACTCGATTCGCAGTTGGTCGATTGTGGCAGCCTCTCAAGCGGCGCTCAAGGGCAAAACATCGTTCTTCATCACACGGTCGCTCATCGGAGCTCTGGAGGGTGGCGTAATCCCCGATCTGGGTGAGTCACCCACATATATAGTCGAGGGATGAATTAGCGTTCATGGACTGAACACTCGAAGACTCTTTATATGCCCAGTATTGTACCTGAGCTACTTCTACAAGGGAGACGAGCTCACGACGAGGCTTTCGTTCTTCTGGGTTACCTTGTCGTCGACGACCATCGTCGGCTCGTTGCTCGCTGCCGGGATCCTGCAGCTCAGGGGAGCACATGGACTGGAGGGGTGGAGGTGGCTCTTCTTGAGTGAGCAAGAGTCGTAACCCCCCCCTTGATCCGAGCTGGGGAAGCTAATCGCGTCTGTCTTGGTCCGCCACAGTCGAAGCATTGTTCACACTCACTGCGGGGATCTTCGCTCTGTTCTATCTGCCGGCTAGCCCGACGGAGACGGCGGGTGGTCTGCGAGGCAAGAAAGGCTGGTTCACCGAGCGCGAAGAAATCATTATCGTCAACCGTGTCATCCGGGACGATCCTACCAAATCGTCCATGCATAATCGCGAAGCGAGTACGTCCATATTCATCCCGGTCCATCTACTTCGCCCGAATGGCTATGCTGAGCCGGCGCTTGTTTACCTTATGCGACTAGTTGGCATCCTCTCGCTGTGGAAAAGCTTCATGGACTTTGATCTCTGGCCGCTATATCTGCTCGGTCTCACCACGTTCATCGCACCGGCGACGGCGGGCGCTTACTTTACCTTGACGCTGCGCTCATTGTCAGTCGACACAGCGAGAAGAGAATGTTTCTCACGACCCGCGGAGAATCATCCGCCCAGTGAGCTGACAAACATGCTTTTTTTTGCATCCATTCGTCCCACAGAAAGTTCTCGACATTCCACACCAACCTCCTTCAAATCCCGTACCTCGTACTCTTCATCTGCCAAAATCTGGGCCTGGTGTGGCTCGCCCGCAAGTTGAACTCTCGACTGCTCGTCGCTTCAATCGGATCCTTCTGGCAGCTCCTGTTCTTAATCGTTCTGGTCGCCATTCCCGACAACCTCGACCGGTGGGCAAAGTATGCGATCACGTCGCTACTTCTCGCATTCCCCTATGCCCACCCTAGTGAGTTGAACAACGATTTCTGCAAAAGCCGAACCATTATGCGCAGACGCTGAGCTGAGATACCTTGTTTCATCCGTGCAGTTCTTGTGTCCCTCAACAGCCGCAACTCGGGCAGTGTGCGCACTCGATCGGTCTCGGCAAGTCTTTACAATATGTTTGTGCAAGCCGGGTCCATCGTTGCCTCCAACATCTATCAGAGCAAGGACAAGGTGAGCAAGGGGGAGGGACCAGACTGCGCATCGTCTGATTGCGCCGGAGACTGACTTCTGCCCGCTTCACCGGATCTCACAGCCGTACTACCGTCACGGCAACCGTGTACTCCTCGGTATAGTATCGGCCAACATCGTGCTCTTCTTCTTGGCCAAAGTCTACTACGTGGCGCGCAACCAACAGCGCGCCAAGAAGTGGGAGGCGCTCACGGTCGAGCAACGTCGCACGTACCTGGAGACCACCAAGGACGAAGGCAATCGCCGCTTGGATTTCAAATTTGCCCATTAATGCTTCAGAGGATGTATTTGGCGAATACTTGGTTTCATAAAATTATTAGACGCAGTAGTATTGCGATTGGTTTCAGGACGGTAGAATTTCTCTGGAGTGATTTACAGATTTGGGTATTAAGTTTAGGTTCTTGTCTGAACAATCAGTGGCATTGAGGGGTCTCGCTCCCGAATAGTGTATGCCGGTGGGTTTATGCAACGGTTGTTATCCATCTTTGGCTTGATCCTGACTATAGTAGGGTACAGCGGCGCGGATGAGAATGCTTCAACGAAGCGCATTAGTAGTACCTGCGCATACCTCCGATTTGGGTCTTCCATAACTGATCATCCCACGGCGCGCCAAGTCCCGTCAACCTCTGTCACCCACCTCGGCTCGCTTCTGCTCCGTTCAACTTTGCCCAATACGACCCCAAAACCACCCAACCTCTGTCTGTGAACTCTGGATTACGTTTTCCCGTCTTTCTTTCTTCACACGTCGAACACGTCGTATCTGTTGTCTCGCAATGGCCATGGCCAGCTCGGCGTCAGCCAGTTTGTCGTCCCACATCGAGCTGCCGTTGATCACGGTGCAGCCGACGTTCCCCGAGGTCGTGCACGACATCGGTTCAGGTAGCGACGCTTCGGCCGAGGATTGTTGGATCTCGTGCTATTGGAAGGGCAAGACTTCGGTCCATGGCAAAGTGAGGGTGCTCGAAGCCGAGGGAGGGGGTGCGGTAGAGCTGGTCGCCAGGGACGGGGTCACGTGCCGAATGGTCGATGGCAAGGTATGGAGCGAATGCTTGATCCAAACGCTCTACATACGTGACTCGTATCTCTGACGTGACCCGGATGATTACCGTGGGGCAGACTACAACCCTCGAGTGTTCGTGTGAGCAGCTGGCAATACCCCCCACTTTGGTCCACTTCCCGCTTCGCACCGATCGATTGGCCAACTTCGGACCGGTCAACTCGCTCGACATCGCCCCGGACGGATCTCGCTACGTCGTAGGCGGAGACAACGGCTTGGTGCGAGTTGTCGAGCTTTCGCCTTCGCACTCATCCACGCAAGCGCCGCGGCAGATCGCGCTCAAAGGTCACCTGGCCGATCTCACCGTCGTGCGATTCTTCCCGTCGGGCGAAGTCGTGCTCACCGGAGCGATGGACATGACCATTCGGATCTATTCGGCTCTGAGCGGGAAAGAGGTCAGGACCCTGACGGGCCACACAAAGTCCGTCTCGGGATTTTTCATTCTCGGCAAGGGCAGGAAGATCCTCTCGTCGTCGCTCGATGGAACGATCCGATTATGGAACATTGCCGAGGCCAAAGTGGAAAGAACGTGGAGGTTTGACCAACCCGTTTCTGCCTTCTCTGTGTCACAGTTCACCGGATCGACAGCTTTGGCGGAGGACTACCCCGAAATCGAGGAGCTCTACGCCATCGCCGCGCACACGAACGGTTCTGCAACGGCCCTTCCCCTCGGCACCGACACCTCTGCTCCCTTGCTACGACTGCGAGCTGGCTCATCACCCCTGCACTCGATCGCGCTCGATTCCGATTCTGGCCGACTTGCTTTGGGATCTCGGAACGGCCGCGTTGCTCTGTTCCAGCTTCCTGCTCTTGATGCAACCAGCCCAAGACCGGCGCAGGAGACGCTTGCCCCTCTGTTGACCCTATCACGCTCCGATACTGTTGTTCATCGACTCTGCTTCTGCACTACGTCGAATCTAGCACCGACGCAAGATCTCCTTGTCGCTGGCGCCGATGGACTCCCATTCCGAGTAACTTTACGTCAAGACCCTTCCGATGCCACAAGTACAACGGCATCAATCGTGGATGAGTATTCCGGCTTGGACTGTGAAGCATCTACTTCCGCGATTGCGTCGCATGGGTGGATCTGGGTCGCTGGCGCGGATGGGATGATTAGGCGATATAAGGGCTAAGCCGAGACCACCCTCCAGACGAGGGCCGATGCACGTTCCAGCCGCGACCCCAACGTGATTGTGCAGAACCCTGCTTCGGCTATACTCAATTTGTTACTTACATACCCCAGTTGATTTTGTGCGTCCAGCGAGTCCGACAAAAGGGACCGTTCGACTTGAGCTTGAAGCGGCCCGGGCGATGATGTCACGTGCCGCACGGCCAGTGATTGGAACGCGATTGAAGAGTGCCTAATTAAGCCAGCCTTTCACGAACGATGCTGCGTGCTATTCGATGTACCTGACTAAGTACCGATCGAATGAGTAGACGCCACCATGATGATATTCTGTCGAGGGTTCAGGCCTAGCGAGCCTTGAACTTGAAGGTGTCCTGCCTCACGGGGTGAAGACGCAACTTACGATAGGGACGAAGCGTCACCTTATCACCGTTGACTAGGCATCCCAAAGTGATCACCAGAATAGTCCATTTTAGCCGTTTTGTAGCACCCGCCGTCGTATGTGAACACTGGGATCCTGCTCGAGTGTCCCTCCCATGTTCGCAGAGCTGTCCAATCAGAGCCTCCTGATGAGTATCAGCCCTATCGTAGTAGCGATACCGTCCCGGATGATAAGGCCCTCGATGCAGTGCGCCACGGCCCGCCAACGCGGGAGCGCGCGAGCCGTCACAGGCGCGCGAGGCCTCACATGCCTCAGAGGCGCAGGCAGATCAGGGAGCGCGCATGCACATGGCCATTCTTGAGAATCTGTGGAAAATGAAAGGGATGACGACCCCGTAAGATCTGCCTTCGAATTTCACGTTCCTCGCACAGGAATGCCGATCCCATCCCCCTGTCGCGAGTCGCGAGTCGCGACCCGACGTCCCAATCCATGTTCAACGGGACGCATGCATATACGCAGCCCAGCTATCTTTGGGGGCGATTGCTGGACCGCCCATATCCTGCGCCTACCCCCCTAAGCAAATCGGCGACCCTCCCTGTTGCTACAGTTCCTCCACGAAAAGCTGGGCGCCTTTTCGCGGAACCGTCCGAACCTGACTGACGTCGTTGCTCGGACGAAGCCCCTGAAGACGGGGCTCGATCTGCTCCTGCCGGCTTCAAGCAACAGGGCCCAAAAATTATATTCTAGCCGCCCGGATACGAATAGGTCCGCCCAATCACAACGAGGCGTCAGATAGCGACGGTCCGGCGGTATTCAGTGGATCGGCGGGATCAATCGAGAGCTAAAGAGCCCAGAGGGTGACTTTGGCTTGGCTGTTTTTCCATTTGCGCGGGTCGGACCCCCATTGGCGAGCGTCGCAGGCAGCGATTTTCTCAAAGTCATACAATCCGGAAGAAATGACCGGACTCGCTCACCCTACCCTCGCAGCCTCTTGCTGTCCTTCCGCTCGCTTCGTGCCCTTCCCTACTCGCTATTCACTCCAGCATGGCCAACATCACGTACGTTCCGTGCTGCGCAAGCAGGCGCCCGTCCACCTCTGACCCTACAACTGACTCATCGCAACCCCTCCTTCTTACCGTTTGGTCGGGCCTTGCTCGCTTTCGCCGTACGCGCCCGGCCGGTTGTCGTCCTCGAACGATCGCCGTTCGCACCCGTGATACCACAGATATGGCGCGCTCATCAACGCAGCATCGCAGGTCGTGCCGGTCGGAGAAAGCTGTACGTCACGGTCTGACCCTGCGAATCGCTACAAATCGCTGCACGGGCTCGTCCGCGCCGCTCTTCACCTGCTGATCCGAGAGACTTCTATGCGCCTGATTGAATCGTTTGGGAACGGTCGTCTATCGCAGACGGCATCAACGCGGCGGGCACCGATCTGATTGTTACCAGTCCGGAGTATGGCGTGGCAGCCTACTCTTCCGGTACGTTTGCTGCACCACCTCTCTATTCGAGTCAGACTCATTGTTCCCAGTCCTCATGCTGATCATTTTCCTGCTTCATTTTCAACCTTCCACAGGAGATATGTACGTGCCGCGGACCAGAGCCGGGTTTCCGTTGCAGTCCCGAGTTAGGCCCTGACTGAATTATTGTCAAAACCTCGCCGGCGGCACGTCTGATTTTGATAGCGCATGGCTCCTCACGTGTACCGCTCTTGTGTGGTACGTATTTGTGGTGTTTGGTGTCCTTGGTGGTACCTGGTCTGACCTTGCGCGCTTTCTCACGCGGAGCAAATTACCCCAGGTTGATGATTCCCGGAGTTGGGTCAGTCGCCGTTTCCTCGATCGCGGACCGATGCAGTCTGCGGGGCTACTCGGCCCGCGGCAGCCTCTTCGGCGCGTGTACTGCACTGCTAGGTCCGAAGGAGTTGCTCTACACGGAGTCACTGACGCATTTTGCCCCACTCGTTCGCAACTACCGACCGACAGCTACCTGTACTCCGGGTACGTCGCTGGCGTGACCTCGCTCCAGCTATGCCCGGGCTAATCTCCGCTGCCCCGTAATCACCTCTACCGCGATTTGAACAGACTTTGCCGACGAAAAAATGCGTTGACAGTCCTGAGTTTGACCATGCTTTGTATGGGCATCGTGTCTTTCCAGGTCAGTGTTTTCCTCGTTCGATGCGAAAGACTAGAGCGCCCTGCTGACCCCAAGTGTTTGCACCTGCTTCTACTCCTGCTCCATATTTGCAGTGGTTCTTCTGGGGTAAGTTTGGCGCCTACACACCTCTTTCGAAATCCTTCTTGTGGCGGTAGCTGATTTTCACCGAATGGATATGCACCAACCAGGTTATTCGCTCGCTTTCTCACCGACGGGAGGTCCTTTCTTGGGTGATCTCCACTTCTTCGTCTTGCGCAACGTCGCCGAACAACCGGTGCCGCAAGCCAACAACAAAGTCCCGCAAATTGTCTACATGATTTACCAAAACATGTTTGCCGCCCTCGTGCCCGCCGTTTTCATTGGTGCCGCTGCCGAGCGAGGTCGTGTCTTACCCGCCTGCATCTTCTTCTTCTGCTGGTCCACGGTCGTCTACTGCCCCGTCGCGCACTGGATCTGGGCCCCCGAGGGGTGGGCGTTCAAGCTCGGTGTTCTCGATTACGCCGGTGGAGGTCCCATCGAGATCTGCTCGGGTGTTACGGGTCTCGTCTACAGCATCTTCCTCGGTAAGCGACGCGGTTTCGGCACCCCTCTTTTGGCTTTCAAGCCCCACAACGTCTCGTACGTCATCCAGGGCACCATTTTCCTCTGGGTGGGCTGGCTTGGTTTCAACGGAGGGTCCACGTTCGCCGCCAACTTCAAGGCCGCATTCGCGATCGTCAACACCAACTTGGCCGCCAGCTTTGGCGGTCTAGCCTGGATGCTGAGTAAGTTGTCCGTGTTGCACCCCTTTCATCCTCGGAGTTCCACTGCGGCTGAAAACTGAACGTCGCCGCGCACTTTCCTTCCGAATTTCTCAGTCGATTATCGTCTGGAACGAAAGTGGTCTGTCGTTGGATTCTGCACGGGTGCGATTTGCGGTCTCGTTGCAATCACGCCGGCTGCCGGCTACGTTGGTCCTGCGGCCTCGATCTTCATCGGAGTCATCGCCGCCTCCATTTCCAACTTGTTGACCACCCTCAAAGGTATCTTCAACTTTGACGACGCGATGGATATCTACGCTTGCCACGGAGTCGCAGGTATTGTCGGCCTGGTCTTCACCGGTGTTTTCGCGGAACCTTCGTACACGGGCAACGACGGCTACTCGACAGCTTCGGGATGGATCAAGCACAACTACATTCAAGTCGGATACCAGCTCGGCTACATCTGCGCGGTCTGGGGCTACACCTTTGTGGTGTGCTTCGCGCTCATGTTCCTCATCAACCTCATCCCTGGCTGCAAATTCCGCGTGGACGAGAACCAAGAGATCGTTGGAACTGACGACGCCGAGCTTGGAGAATGGGCCTATGATTACGTACGCTATCTCGAGCCTTGGTCAATTTTCTGGGTGCTCCTTTCGTTCGGTATGCTGACCTCCCCTCTGCTGCACCCCACCCACAGGTCGTCAAGAGGCGTGACATTGAGGCTCCCGACGAACTGCGCGACTACTACAGCCAGTCCATGGTCCAACGCCCGCTCGCCGAGATCGCTCGAGTGAGTGGCAACTCGTCGAGCCTCGACACGGCGATCCCGCCTGCGTCCGAGACGACGACGTCGAACGCTCTTGAAAAGTCGGCCCCTGCCGGCAAAACCGAGGAAGTGAGGGACTGAAGCCGCTAGCGTCTAACATTTTGTTCGAGTAGTGTTGGTTTGTGATGTTGTGTAGATGGGGATGGGGATGGACGGGTACGCGGCGAACGTGCTCTCCCGAATCTCGGCAGGACGAGGCACGATCCTCTTTTGCAGCGTTGTTCTAGTGCAGTGGTCATCGGTCGTCGTCGGCGCTGATGCTTGTTTAATTATGAAGTGTGATACCCCTGACCCACCTCGTCGATACGAGTCCCTTTCATTCTGAGAGCCATTTGAACAGCATACGCACCACTGTGATTCAGAATTTCACGGCTAAAGCGAGACACTTTGGCGCTCTTTGGCGCCGCGAGGACTTGGGAAGCCCCTGAAGTCGTAGCGCGCGTGCTTCTTGGCCTTTGACCCCCACTCGCAGTTCCTGACCAGACCTCCGCGCTTGGCAGCTTCATAGCACCTGAACCGATTTGGATCAACTGGCCAAAATCATGGCGCAGGATCCACCCACCGCCTCGACGTCATCTGCTGCAGCCAAAGCTCCGCAACCGTGCGAGGCGCTCGAGAACGGCCGCCGGAAATGGCGTGTGACGGTGCTCATCTCTGGATCTGGTCAGTGATACAATAGTAGAATTATTAAGGACTTGACGTCTGACATTCGCTTTCAAACTCTACATGTCGACTTGCGCTGGCTCGGAACGTTCGCACTTCGCACCTCAACCCCACCGTATCTTACCTTGACGATCTGTATCAACGGAGCGGCGTATAGGCTCAAACTTGGCAGCCCTGATCGCCGCATTACCGACAACACTCTCGCAATGTTGCATCACCTCGGTCTTGAGCAACGCCAAGGATGCCTACGGTCTTCAGCGCGCCGCTTCCCATTCGCCGCCGATTCCGGCCTCGTCCTTTTCCCCCTACAACCACCAGAAAGCCCACCCTGAGTTGTACGCGTCCATCGAAGCTCAACTCAAGTCGCTGCAGCAGCAATCGCTGGCCGCAGAAGAAGGATCGAGCGAACGCGCCAAGCTTGATCGCGAATGGAAGGAGCTCAAAAAGACCCTCGCCTCGATGATCAAACCACGTTACCAAATCGAGTTGGCCGAAAGGGTACGAGCGACTCGGCCGGATTTGATCGTACTAGCTGGGTTTATGTTGATTCTGCTACCCGAGACGCTCGAGACGTTGAAGCGCGATTGGGACGAGGACGACGTCGAGTGGGACGGAGCAGGTTCGACCGTGACCTTGGGCACATCGGCTTATCCTGATCTGACTGGTTTGAGAGGACGTCCTATTCCCATCATCAACCTACACCCTGCCCTACCGGGAAGCTTCATCGGACCCCACGTGATCGAGGATGCGTGGGAAGCTTTCAACCAGCGCCGATTGCCCGCCAAGGAAGGGGACACGCCTGGACCCGTATGGGATCAAGAGAAGGAGAACAAGCCCTCCCCCTTTGGTGAAAAGATCACCAAGACGGGTATCATGATCCATCGGGTGATCCCCGAGTTGGATCGGGGCGAACCGGTGCTGTGGAAGGAGGTCGAGATGAAGGTCGGGGAGGCGTTGGATGAGCTCAAGGAACGGATACACAAGGTTGAGCATGGCGCGATCGTCGAGGCGGTCAAGCAGGTTACGGAGCAACTTGGGGGTGGGACATGGTGGGAGCGTGAGGGTCATCGAGATCAGGGAACCGAGGTGGCAGCAGACTCGACGAAATCTGCTGCAAAGCCTGACTCTGAAAAGCTGACAGCAACAGATGCTGCTTCTGCGGGGACATAGACTGGGGCAACAGGTGTAATCTAATCACTCGTGCTTTGTCGTCTTATTGGGAAGCTGTGTCTGCTGCCTGTGCACCGATCTGCGCAGCTCGAGTGATGCCGATCTGCATGGTCCGTGCGAGTGATACTTCCCCGCTTGACGTCTTCCTCGGCCTCAGAATGCCTCAGCTGCGCTCTCATGAGCTCTCCCAGGCTCTCCCTGCTGTGCGCCGCCCCAGCTGGCAGTGCTCCCCAGTGCGCCGCTCGGCCCCTCCTCGACTCCCCACGCGCTCGCCTCCCCCAGCTGCTGGCCGCCGTCGCCGCCGGTCTAGCAACCTCGACAGCACCGCATCAGCACCAGCCCCAGCCCCAGCCATGTCGGCCGAAGCATTGCCACCTACCCGTAGGTCCCCCTCCCACGCCCGAGGTGTTCTCCCTGCGGAGTCAGGCTGCCGTCGTCTGCCATCGTCCGCGTGGTGGTGGGGCCGCCGCTGCTGCCGGCTGCTGGTGTGATCGACGCCGGATGACTAGGACTGACCGGACTGACCGGACTGACCGACCACTGACACCGCTGAAGACGGACGCTCACCGGTCTCACTGCTCGCACAGTCGCCGGGTACAGGCCAGCCCCTAATGAGAAGGAGGCGATGTTGCATCTCTTCAACAAAGGCACGTCTCTTGCACCGTCCGCGCTTGTACTTGTAATGTGGCTGCCGGTGACTGATCCAGCCTCGCCTCGTGTGGTGCGACCAACCCGACACAGCCGACACCGATCAGCTCGGCGTGCTCAGTCAGTCAGCTCCGCTTCCTCGGCGCCGAGTGCTTCCCCCCCAGCCTACTGATCTTGAACCCGTTTCCCACCTCACAGCCGGAGACAAGGCGGTCCCCTTCTTCCAGCACTCGTCGTTGCCGCCGACCTTGCTCGGCGAGATCTGGCAACTCGCCGACCCCGAGAACAGCGGATTCCTGTCCCCGGACCGGTTCGCCATCGCCTGTCGCTTGATCGGCCACGCCCAGGCCATCGGAGCCGATGCTCAGATCGATGATAGCTGGGTGGCCACCCGTGCGTTTGCTTCTCTGCCTTGCCCCGTTGAACTTGGAATGACTAACGCCTCGTTCTCACCGGCCGTCCCATTCCCACCCTGCCTCTCACGGCCCCTCCCCATCAGCCGGACCGTTCCCCAAGTTCAACGGTTTCCCCATCCCTCCCAACCTCAGTAAGCCAGCGGCACCTGCAACATCTGCGCCCCCGACACCCTCGCGCCCCTCCACTTCGGCCCTCTCCCCACTCCAGGCTCCCAATAAGGCAGGCGGCCCCGGAACGTCCGTGACGAATGACGAAAAGCTCCGCTACGCCACGCTGTTCAGCAACTCGGGACCTGTCGCTGGATTACTTGATGGTACGTTCGCGCGCGATGAATGGTGTAGGCCGTGTTGGTTTCACTGACTTGCTCTCCACGGCGCACGTTCAAACAGGCGAGAAAGCTCGCGACATTTTCATCAAGTCCAAGTTGCCCTTCGAGACGCTCGGTCAAATCTGGCATGTCGGAAACTCGAGCATTGGGTCCGACTGGCACACGCTGATTCAGATCCGATCCCCACAGGAACCTCGCCGATACCCACTCGCGAGGCGCTTTGGACGTGGCCGATTTCACGGTCGGCATGCATCTGATCCAGCACACGATGAATGGGTCTCTGCCGTCACTTCCTGCCGTCCTCAACCCGGCCCTGTACGCTTCGGCTATCTCGTTGCCTGTGCCCAACGCGTCGATGCCCGGATCACCCGCCCTCGGCTCTCGGCTTCCGCAAAGCCCGCTGCGCAAAAGCAGCGTACCTCCTCGCACCGTCTCCCACTTTGCTCCGACTTCTCCTATCACCCCCGCTCATCCGGCCCAGATCCCCTGGGAAATCACTGCGCAGGAAAAGTTGGAGAGCGACGGATACTTTGACGGCATAGACTCGACTCGACGAGGTGCGATCGAAGGGGAGGCGGCGGTCAACTTCTTCATGCAGAGTGGTCTGCCGATGGACATCCTGGCCCGGGTATGGGACCTCGCGGATATTCGACAGACGGGTGCTCTCAACAAGGACGAGTTCGCCGTAGCGCTCAAGCTCATTCGCGATCGCGTCGGCGGCAAGGAGATCCCTGCGGTCCTCCCCGTCGGCTTGACGCCCCCCAGCCTCCGTGCACCCACTGGCTTCGCCGCTTCCCAAGCTCAACCTCAGCGGGACTTGCTCGATCTGTTGGACGATGACGCGAGCCCCTCAATGCCGACAGGTCCGCCGCTTCGTTCCACCTCCGCTATCGTCCCGCAAGGCACGGGTAGCTCATTCCATCAGCAACAGCAAGCCGGTCAACGTAGTCTCTCACCCCAGCTCACTGGACAACAACAGGCCCGTGCCATGTCGCCGCAACTGACTGGACAGGCTACGCCGACTTACGGCTTGCAAGGCACGATCTTCCCGCAGGCGACTGGTATGGCGTTGAGCCCTCAGGCGACCGGCTTTGCCAACAATTTCGGGTCGGGTCAGCAACCGTTACGACAGTCGTCGCTCGCTGGCTCCTCCGGCCCTGTTGTTGCTGCTCCCACGGCCACAGCTACCAACTTTTTCGACGACAACGACGATGCCGACACGCAAGCGCACCTCTCGGCGAACCAGACGCAGCTCAAGTCGCTCGAGGCAGAACACAAGTCTGCTGCCGAGTCCGCGACTAACCTTGCGCAATCCCGTTCCGAACTCGAGGCCTCCCTTTCGGCGACGACGACGCAGATCAACGAGCTGCAAGTCAAGTTGTCGCAAGCTCGCGCTGCGCACGAAACGGAACGCCAGATGGTCGACGATCTGGTCAAGCGCAATGAAGAACAGAAGGCCGTTCTCGCTAGGGCCCGACACGAACTGATCGCGGCCGAATCCGACCTCTCGGCATTGCGCATGGAGCGTTCCGAGATCGAGGGTCAGCTTTTGCGCGACAAGGAGGACGTTAGGGCGATGAAGAAGAAGATGGCCAATGTCGGTCACGAGACGGCGACTTTCAAAGAGACGCTCGAGAAACTCAAAAAGGAAGCGCGTCAGCAAAAGGGACTCGTCGCCATCTCGCGAAAGCAGTTGAGTACGGCCGAAGGCGAGAAGGAGAAGGCCGAAACCGAGCTCAAGGCCGCCGAGCGCAGCGTCGCCAATGGCGAAAGCCTTGCTGGGGTCGAAGCCGTGGAGGAGGACTCTCCTTTCGATCACTCCCACTCTATCGTAGCACCCAACGTCGATCACGCCGCTGCAGTCGCTTTGCCTGCCTCACCGCCTGCTGTCGTTTCCCCCGTCGGCTCGGTCAGGTCCAACAACCCCTTCGATCGCTTGGGTGGTATTTCTCAAACCGTCACGCCTGAAGCCACCGGAGATGTCACGGCTCCGGCCCCTCACATTAGAGAGCAACAACCGGCAGCGTCGTCGTCATCGCCTGGCTTGCCTACCGCAGTGGCTGGAGCAGTGGGTGCTGGGGCCATCGCCGCCGCTGGGGCCGTCGCCGCTGGAGCTGCAGGTCTCTTTGGTTTTGGAAAGAGCGACGAAAGCGAGGCTGAGGACAAGTCATCCGCGCACGCCGACACGTCGGCCGCCGCTCCTATCGAGCCCTCCGAAACGGACCCGTTCGGAGTTCCGATCGAGCGTGACGCAACCGCAGCGGACCCGCCGACGTCCAAATCGGCTTTCGACGCCGCTTTCGACGATGGATTCGGCGACGATTTCAGCGCTTCCTCAGCCCCTGTCGTTGCCTCAACCGCTTCGGCGCCTGCGTTCGACGACGTATTCAACTCTTCTTTCCCGACCGAGATTCCGGCTACAACTCCTCCCGCAGCGGAAGCAACAGTCACAGCAGAAGCAGGTCCAGACGCTATCGCACCTGTGGCTGCCTTGGACCGGGCAGAATCCCCCAGTGTCCCCGCGGAGCCTGTCTCGGCGCACGAAGAGACACCCGTGGTTCCTTCCGCGGCTGAAGAGCTCGCCGACGATGACAACAGCGACAGCAGCGAGGACGAGCCCGAGATTGAAGACGCGGTGGGAACACATCATCACTCGGCCCTCGCGGAGGACGAAGCGGTCGTCACTCCGACTTCGGGGAGCGCGCAAACGAACTCGGTCTCGGACAGTGGAGAATCCTTTGTCCATGTGCCAGCCGCTGTACCAGAGACGGAGCCAATCCAATCCGTTGCTGCCCCCGCCCAGGTTGATGAGCCCCATGTCCCCAAGACGGAGCCTGCACCTGTGGCCACAGCCGTAGATGCCGAACCCCTCACCTCGACAACGCACAACGAATCGATCTCGAGCGATGACGATACCTTCGAGGAGGCTTCGCATGGGGATGCCGGACAGACTGAAGCAGCGGCTGCCTCTGAACTGCCCAGAGGAAACCCGGCCTCATTAGCAGGACCCGAAACTCGGTCAGAGCCAGCTACCCCTGTTCTCGTATCTACACCGACGAGCGCAACTCCGCAACGAAGAGCCGCTCCTCCTCCCCCTTCGCGATCAACTGCAAGCTTTTCATCGACTGCACCTTCGTTCGGCGCAACCACGGCGGATGCGGGTCCTTCGACCTTCTCAAATGCCGACTTTGACGATGCGTTCGGTGATTCTTTCACCGCTGCGCCTACGACGACGACGACGACGACGACAAGCGGGACCGACGATTTCGACGAAGCCTTCAGTGATCTCGGACCCGCTGTCCCCGTCGAGACGACATCGGCTCCATCAGTCCCATCAGTTGCCGCGCCCGCGCATGGCGAGTTCGATTTCGATGACGAGGCGTTCGACTTCAAACCCGATTCCCCCGAGACCTCGCCGTCCAAGTCCGTGGCAGGCACGGATCCCGCGTTTGAAGACTCGTTTGCGAGCTTTGATTCTGCATTCGACGATGCGCCCAAGGCGGAAACGACGACTGGGAAAGCCTTGAGTGACAGTCCCGCGACTGGGTTTGATTTCGATGATACCTTCTCAAGAGGAGCCGCGCCCGCACCGACTGCTGCGACGCTCGATGCGGCGAAACCCGACGACGCGGAGGATGTCAAGCAGATCGTTGGAATGGGGTTCTCGAGGAAGCAGGCTTTGGATGCGCTGGAAAAATTTGACGTGAGTTTCGACTAATCTGTTTCCTTGCCTTGGCCTAATTTGATGCTGACGGTCACTCCTTCCTTTGCCCGGGCTCTCAGCATGATGTCAATCGGGCGACCAACTCTCTGCTCGGCATGTAAAGAACACGGAGGAAACAAGGTTCTAGTCTCACTCTCCCTTTTCCGCTCTTGGTATACATGTGTGGTCGTAACTATTAGAAGAGAAAGAAAGTCTAGGAGCATCTCCCCGACGCTATCCTTGCATCCCTCTCTCGTTCGTCAAAACCTATCCCATAATGCTAGAGCCCCAATTTGGACTTTTGTATCCTCAGAACGATACAAAGTCCTGCGACGCTGAGCTCGGAGCCGATGAGGACGCGTTGAAAGGTGGAACTATTCGATTGGACCCAGGTGGATTGGAGCGCGAGGAGAGGGGTCACGATCAAGAGAGTCATCGTCGCGTATCCGCTCATTCTTGTGGATCGCATATGTGTCGGAACGGATCAGTTGGATAGGTCCATCGGGAAGAAGAAGGAGTAGGGCTTTCTGCTTACCTGTGATACTTCCACAAACGCTTGGCCTTGCCTTCCCCACCGAGCAGCATTTTCGCCAAAGGCGAATAAACGACCACCGCTCCGAACAGGATTTGCAACAAGATCAAACCGAGGGTCAGGAAGCCGAAGCGGGCATGCCAGGTCGTCGCATGTTCGGCGTTGTGGATCGCCTTGTTGTAGATGATCACGCTGGCACCGGCGAGGACTGGGAATCGGGTTGGAGAAGGTGGTGTTTGGGTTAAGATCCTTCCATGTTTGATGACGCGCGCGGTGGGATGGATTGGTACTAACTGAGGACCAAGCCGGAGTATTGGAATAGTTGATGGAGTTGGAGACCTTTACGTTTGAACGAGTTGTTGGAAGGCTGCGGCTGCAACAAGAGGACGCCTGTGGAATGGCAAGGGGTCCCGGTCGAGCAGTTGATTTCGACGAGAAAGTAGGTCAGAGGTCGTGAACAGGTCAGCTCGTCGGACCATTACAGTGACCAAATTCGCCAAGTGTTTTGTGCGACCCACCTTCGGCAAAGAACAAGATGGCCAACGATTGTAACGCCGGGTGATAGCTGAACAGGCCTGAGTGTTTGCGCGCCAGGCGGGTCGCCCAAGAAGGTGTCAGCAAGGCAGAGAGCAAGTGCAGAGACGTAAGGTAGGACCTCTCACCGGCTGGATGCTCGTACAATAGCAACCATGTCGCGATCGTCGAGCCCAGCAGTCCAATCTGCGACTCGATTCAAGCGGGAGGTAATTGGTCAGCCGTCCGCTAGGAGTGTTGGTCGGCCCCCGCATGGAGGGAGTTTCGTCATGCCGTCCTCGGGGTCAGCGCCGCGCGGGTGCGAGGTCGTCACGTCTATTCTCGCGTTATGCACGTCATGACCAACGTCCCGGCAACCCGCGCCCGAGTTGGTGAGTGCTTACCTGAGCTAAAGGTGCCGCCCATCCCTTCAGCAAACTTTGCTGGAGGTACGGTCCAGCCGAAGGTGTAGGCGAGGTGTGGGACGACATCCTTTCGGCATCGACGTCGACGTCGCCAGTGGCAGCAGGAGACGAGGAAGCTGCGTTCGGACCGCGCGGTAACAACGGGTCCACTTCGGCACCGGTCAGAACAGGGCGTTGCGCGGTCGTCATTCCTTTCTTGCTACTGAAGTCCTCAAGGGTATTCAGGTGCTGTAGGAAGAGAGTCTCAAGGGAGATAAAGTGCACCCAAGAACTGCTCCCGAGAGAGGGGAAGGAGCGCTTACCAGAAAGTTTGACCAGGTTCAACTCAGAGGCGGCCGGTCAGATAATCACCGATCGGGGACGACGACGACCAACCTTCGAGATCGAGGCGCCGCTTGCCTTCGCGCGCTCAGGCCGGTCTGTGCTTGGGCATGTGAGAGGAGACACCGATTGCGGGGATGCTGCATGGTATTACACGATCATTAAACGAGCGGGATGAAGATGCAAGAAATCTGACCGCTAGGATCAGAACCAAAAAGAAGTGCTACATGGGGCTAGAAATGGAATGCGAGGAAAGAAAGTTCCCAGGTCCCCTCCGAAATCAAGACGGACCTCACAGCAGGACAGACCACCCGGCAACCGTAGAAATGAGAACCAAACACGGTGCGAGCCACATCTCCTTGCGTAGCCTTACTGTTTTCATTGATAGCGCAGCAGATGTCCCTCCCCGACTGCTGGTCTGTCCCGCTTGAATGGCGGTGGTGATGACCTGTTCGGCGGGTGGAGCGGTCGGCGACGAACTAGACGACATCGACGTGCCGCCGACGGGTCCGTAAATTCCAGCCGGGATCTGGGTCAGGTTGCCGTCACTACGCGTGGAGTTCGAGCTCGAGTTGGAGGACGAAGTAGGTGGCGAGCCATTCGACAGCAGCGCAAAGCCGACCGAGGGTGGGCTCGCCCGGTAGACGGAGAAGACGTTCTTGAGGAAAGCGGCCCCGATCTGTTTCAGCGTTCACAGAAATCGCAGATCAGTCAATAAGTTTCGCTATGAGACACTGGCCCACCACGGCTGACTTACGACCCAGCTGATTTTGCTCGTCGAAGTCAGACTCAGGTCAAAGAATGCGCCCAAGCATGTCGAAACGTTGTTGGTCGTGCCGAAAGGCCCGAGGTTGAAGTCGTCCGAGGCGATGGGCCATGAGTTGTTCCCAAAGGTCAGGCTGACATTAATCTTGCTCGCACAAGGGTACGAATAGTAACCTGCGTTCATCGAGATGGTAATGTGAGTGTTACATCATTCTGGGGCTCAAGATCCCTATGCGCGGGGGGCTCACCTGCGTATTGCCCCGTCGCGGCCTGCGCCCCTGGGATACCGGCGTAGACCTGACTGACGACGCTTTGAGGTCCACCGATCAAGGTCGTTCCCGTATCGATCGCGACCAGCGGCTGGGCATCCGTCGACAAGGTGACGTTCACCCCGCTGATAGAGACCGCTGCCATCGGGATGACCCAGTAGCTCTGCATACCCGAGGGGATGCTCGTATAATGGATGTCGCCGCGGTACAGCGATGTGTTGAGGTATCCAAACGTCAAGAGTCCCCCCGGTTCCACAGTCTTTGCTGAAGAGACGTTGACGAAACGGGTGAGCTGTACGGCAAAGCCAGGGAAGGGCAGTACGCCGGCATTGTTGAGATTCTCCCAGAAAGGTGTGGCGCCCGATGCCGCCAGTGGCTGCCAGCCGAGACCTGTGAGACGTAGGCGCGTGACGAAGACTGATCAGCAACACTGCCGAGATTAATTCAGTACTTCCCTGGCTCACCCAGCAGGCCCAACATGTTGCCGCTCAAGAGGTCGTTTGTGATTGTGTGGACGACGGCGAACGTCTGATTGCTGACATTGTATCCCGCGAACCCGACGTTGTCTCTGTAGAGATCGCCCGCTGCAGACCCAGATCCGTACTTGACGGTAAAAGACGTGGACATGTCGATCGAGCTAGCTGACGCCGTCTCGTTCAGCAGAGGGTTCGAAACGCATCCGGTGGTGTTGGTGCAGCCGTTGCCAGTGATCCACAAGTCGGCAGATCTGACGAGAGCGATAAGCGACGGAAGTCAGCCCCACCCGGAGCGACGTGCCACTACGTCCGCACTTACCCTGTGTCAAGGAGAACGTTCATGAATTGCGCAGGCGACCCAATGCCGACTGATGCAAAGTATGCCCTGCGAATAAGTCCGAGGACGGCCGGATCAGAAACCTCGAGACGGGCGACGAGTTCTGGGGCCAAGCACGCGAAGACCTACAGATCGGCATCGTAATTCCATATCCGGACCTGCCCAACAGGTGCTGTCGGTAACGCAAGGCCCGTTGTAGCCGTAGTGCTCGTAGAGGCCCTTCTAGTCACAGTGCCACTGGTCGCGGTCGGTGTTGAACTCGTGCTCGTGGTTGATCCGGCCGTTCCATAACCAGCGACACTGATCGGCGAATCGAGCCTCGCATGAAGACCGCGGCCGTACTCGTCCTGCCTCTTCACGCGTTTCGCATTGCGGACAGGGCGGTCACCGTAGCGATTCCGTACGCGTGCTGCCTCGGCTAGTGCCCATGTCCTGGTCGAGTCGGCCGTGGACAGTTTCCGAAGGCCGGAGCTGCGGCGATGCAGAGGGAGGGCCGGAGGAAGGTCCGGCTGCGCTATCGCATCAACGGACGGCGACGGTGGAGATGGAGCCGCTTGGGACGGAGGACAACAGAGTACAGCTAGCAATAGAAGCAGCGGCACAGGTACAAACGTCCGGGACAGCATCGCGTTGGGTCGTTTCCGCGGCGCGAACGGTGTGGTGTGCCGACCCCGCGAGGAGCGATGAAACACCAGGTCGAGCAGCGATGATCTCCTTCGAGTCTGTGGATAAGCTCGAATACGTCAGCTGTCGCGGATCAGGCTGCTGTGTGCTCGGAATGGCGGCGTGCGCTGTCCACTCTTCGGTCTCGTCTCGGACCTAGTCGACGGTTCTAGACGGTTCTGGCTTTTGTGCTTGACGCCGCGGATCGACCCCAAGTGCGATGCACTCTTGGCGAGCGTGTCGATGGCCACTCTGGTATTCCGGGGTCGATCGTCGCTGTTCAAACTCCTCGGGGCGCCTGCGTCGTCCGACACGGGTGACTCTGAACCGGACCCGAGGAGTCGCCTGACCGTCGCACGTGAAGCGTGAAGCGCGTGAAGCAGCCGCCGCCAGAGTCTACGCTGGACCTACGCCGTGTCCTCTTCCCGCCAAGCCAAGGCCGGTCTCTGCTCCTTAGAGCTAAATGAGCGGCCTTTCAAGAGCTGCGGAACGATCGTGCTTCTGTTTTGAGTCGAGCGACGGCGGGGTCGTGCTCGGTGCTCGTGTACTCGTGCTTGCTGCTTGCTGCGAGTCGGGTCCCGTGTCGCGGGGAGACCAGCGCGGTGGGCGAGGTACGGCGAGGTATGCCCGAGCCAAGCAGTGCAGTGGCGTCAACGCTCAAGCGCTCAAGCTCACAGCGCAGTGGCGATATCGCGTCCTGGGTCGGTAGGATCGAGCTCCGAGGTCCAAAGTAGGCGTGTAGGAGAAGCGGAGTGGACAACTATGGAGGGGAGGAGTGGTAAGGGAATGGTCTGCAGCCCTTAGTACGAATAGCCTCTGACTAGCTACGACTTGGTTTTAGTCTAGCAGTCAAAGAACGACAGATTGTAGGCGCGCGCGCGAGCCTGAGATGCTTATTTTATGGAGGTGTTTTGTGGTGCAATCTTCCAAGTGGATGTATATATATCAGAGACGCATACTTTACAGAAGTGATCGTCGGAGAGCAAGCGTCCGAAGCTGCGAGCTGCTGGCAGTCCAAGGCCAAGCAGCCTGAGTTCACCTTCCACTACCGCTCCAGTGCCTGGGGGCCTTGCGCTGGGCACCGTCTCCCAGCCGGTGCTGCGCGACTGCTCCAACGGTCTTGGCTCGTCGGCCGCACTGCTGGCTCTATATCAAGGGTTAGATCGCTGCGAAAGTCAGTAGAGGTACTGTAATGAACACATTGAAGGAAGCTGTCTACAGGAACAGAGAGAGCTCGAAAGAATTTAGTACTGGCACTGGTGGCAAAGCTGCTCAAATTACGAGAGGCGACATCGATGTCTCACTTGTGGTTTACTACTACGAGGCCGGCTGGGCATCACCCTTGCGGGCTCGGGAGTAACACGAATTCGGTCGGATTGGTTCACACGTACCAATGGGTTAGCATACGATAGAATGCACTACTCACCTGAACACCGCTCCAGTGGTGCGTTGCCTACACGACGACCTCGCCTTCTCCGAGTAGTAATCATGGTCCGTACTGCTCTCACTCATCCCCAACCAAATGCGACCAATTCCCCAAGAGTAGATATAAACCCGCTCTCAAATTTGGCAAAGCAAAACAACACCTAGACCTACGGAAATGGCCGTTCAGAAAACTGAATCCTACAACCTCAATCCTTCCGTAGGCTGTCCAGGTCGACCTCCACGGATCATCGCCCCCCTCCCACGACTAGGTCTCGTCCCCGCCGCATTGCTCGTAGCACTCAAAGGCTTACTAGGATCGAACAACTCCGTCGACCGAGGGGGTGGTCGTCGCATTTCGTTGTTCGGGAGGAGGGATGAGCTCGGGGCAGCGATGGGAAAGGAAGACCCTCCGATGCCGGGTAAGATGCCTCCTCGATGCTCAGGGTAGAAGGGGTAACCTGGACCGCCTGTGTAGGGTGGTGTGGATCCGTGGGGGTATGTAGAGTACCACTCGGGGGGTTGATACCCGTTCGATGCCGCTGCGTAGGCCTGAGGAGGCTCCACGTTCGGTGGGGGAGGACGGAACGAGGCTGGATGGACATGCGGTGGCGCGGTCGTGTAGGCTGTGTTGGGACCGGCTCGCATTGTCGCAGGTGGCTGAGCCGAAGGAGCCAAGTCGGTCGAACTAGATTGCGAAGGCGCATCGGGCAAAGCGCGATGCCCGCCGTTCGAATTCGATGGCCATTCAGGCTTGACGGGCAAGCTTGGGTGCAAACTCTTCAAGTTCGATGCCGACAAAGCGTCCGAAGGCGTGTCGACCACTTCACCCGCTTGTTCCTTGCCTTTACCCTTAACCGTTCCTTCTCGAAGAAGCGTCTTTGTAGCCTTCCCGTTGCCGCTGCTACAGCTCTCGACCGATGCCGCAGAACTGTGAGGCCTTGCATTGAGCGACTGCACGCTCGCCGAACTAGCCATCCGTTCGCCGTTTCGGGAAGCAACGTTCGATCTTGTCGTTTCGGAAGGTCGAGCCGCCGCTGAGCCTTGGCCAGTCGAGTTCAGAGACGCTTGGGAACTGTTGGTACTCCCACTCTTGAGCGAGGACCCCTGGTAGGGTACGATCCCTCCTTCGGGGAACCGCATCAGATAACCGCCGTCGTGACCCGGTCGCTGGTTTGAGCCTCCGGGAGCCAATTTGTTGTTCAAACCCATCGACTGGTATGAGCTGCCCGAGCTGGTGGACAGCGAAGGTGAAGGTAGAGCATGCGGCGGTCGGGGTGTCGCCCAAGCTGATGCTGCCGAACCACTACTATAGGCTTCAGGTGGTGGAACTGTTGCGAAGGTGGGATGAGGGTACGGCGCATGGTTCGGATGAGGGAGTGGTGGAGGAGGAGGTGAGTGGACGTAGGGATTCATCAAGGGACTGGACGTGTGGCTAGGAGGTTGATTGTGGACTTGATTTGGCGGCGCCAGACCAGCCGACGCGCCGGGACCACCACCGTAGTAGTATGGCTGCTGGTATGGGTCATGTTCGTATCCCTGTGAATTCCATCCAAGGCTGGGGTCGAAACTCGGGGCCGACGGTCTCAGCGAAGGGGCCCAACTTGAGCGAGACAGCAGAGATGAGGATGACGACGACGACGACGGGATCGGGTAGAATATCGACGCAGAGGAGGCAGGGCCCGGATGGTATCCAGAGTGGTAGCTCGACGTCGTCGACTCGGCCCGGCTGCCCGAGATCGATGCAGCAGCACTGCCTCGAGAGTACGTCGATCCAGCCGAGCTCGGCCGCGCCAGACCCGGCGGCGCGTCTACGACGATCGAGGCGGGTTGTGTCGATGTCGAAGCTGCAGGTTTGGTTTCGGCTTGTTGGGCAAAGATGCGCTCACGAGCTTCACGGTACGCAGCCTCCCGTTCCTCCAGTGTGAGTTCCCTACGAGCTTTCCCGCGGCCAGTTGAGTCGTCGTCTGCCGCGGCCGGTGACGAGGCCGTCGATCCAGCTTTGTGCGCCGACCGAGGCAAGATCTTGAACACCTGAGGCTGAGCAGGCGGCGGTGCAACATTCGAACATGATGACGAAGGAGAGCCTCCTCGAGCGGGGGACTCGGAATCACTGGAATGACAAGCGGTCGATGTCGAGCTCTCGTTCGATAATACGATTGCTTGGACCAAAGCAGGGGCTATAGAACTGGTCGCTGTCGTCGAAGGCGGGGCTACGATAGACGCCAGTTTGCAGGTGGGCCTTTTAGGAATGGTGCTCGTTAGATCATTATGTCTTCATATTCGATCTGCAGCGCTATGAGCTTGACGGGGCTTACAGTTTGGTCGCAGGGCCTTTAACAAGCACGACGATTCCTGGTACTGGGGCCCCAGGAGGACCCCAGTTCTGCTGCGGGACGGCTTCGACTTCACGGGTAATGCCGAATATGTCCGCGAGGCGGTGAATGAGCAATCGCTGATACGAATTGAGGTTGGGTTGAAAGTGAGGAGGCGAGAGCGGGAGTCGACTTGCGCTGTGATGAAAGTCGTTTGAAAAAAAAGCGTTAGCTCCATCCTTGATTCGCACCAAGATGCAACAGAGCACTGGCATTCTCGGAAAGAACACTCACGAAGGATGCGAGACGAATCGCTCCATTTCGACCTCTGCTCGCAGTAAGAGGATACGGTCCCGCGGGTGCTGCAACGCCGAGAGCAGGACGTGGTCCAGGACGGGAGCTCCTTCGTCAGACGTCGAATCTGCACCTTCGGCGGTGATAGTGGGCTCGCGTGTTCTCGAATCGAGTGGTGGGGCTGAAGATGTCGCAGGATCTGAGGGGTCGAGCTCAGAGGTGGACGAGGTCGCTGACGGAGTCCTCGGTCGTTCGGGCCCGCCGTCGCTCGAGCCGTCTGCGTCTAGATACCCGTCCTCCGAAGCGGGTCTGGAGTTGATCTTGCTATTCGTAGACCGTGGCTGCGCCTCCATCTGAGACGACCTCCTCTGCGACGGTGTTGTTAGCCGGTTCGAAGCTGACTGACCTTCGCCGAGGGCTTGAGCCTGGGCAACATCCGCGGTCGACCTCGAAGTGGAGGATGAAGGACTCGAGACGCCTGTCCGTGTCATCCCTGACGGCCCATTCAAAGTAGTTGAACGTTGCTCGGTTTGTTCTGCCTTGGTCGGTCGCTGTAGAAGTGTGATCTTGCCAGGAGCAGGCTGCGAAGGGGCGACGTCGACGGTGGAGGCTGCGGAGTGACCCGCTGTACCCTCGTGTACAGCTCGAGCACTGGCGTGACGAGCAGCACTTGTGCTTGACTGTATTTCAGTCGGCGTTTCGTTGCGTGCCGACGAGGAAGAGGGTCGCGGTGCAGCAGACGAGGACGGGAATGCCGGGGTCGTGCTCGTGCTCGTGCTCGCGTCGGCCAAACGGGGCGGGGGCGGGGCGTTGACCGCTTCCATCTTGGAGACCTCCGACCTTCAGATCCGTAGCTATGGTCTTGTGGCGGGCTGGTGGCGGGCTGTACCTTGAGAGACCTCGGGTTGTGCCTTGTCAAATCGGCCCAGGTAGAGGAACGGGCAGTTGAGGCTGCGCGAGAGAGGAGGAGCGGACGCGACCGTGGGGACTGCACACTGCAGTTGCAGAGACGTGGTCTCACGAAGTTTTGGGGTTGTCGGCTGTAGGGGCGCGAGTTCCGATCAGGCGAACAGAACAAACCGGGCCCTGTCTTTGAGCTGTGCTCGACAGAAGCTACCTAGCGATGAGGCGGTTCCCGTCGATGGGTGAGCGAGTAGTGGCCGTGCGAAAGAAAGGGCGCGTCACTCGAGAAAGGGAACGCCATCAGCCGGGTACAGAGTGCCTGATCAGCTCTGATCAGCCTGCGGTGAGCGCGGCGGGGATATCGCGGCACGTTCAATTCCTTATCAAGAGTGCAGCACCTTCGCAATTGCCCGTGTCCCAAGGACCTCGCATAAGAAAAATCCCACAAAGGCTACGAAATGATCATCGCCGATCGCGACCGTGCACAATATTCGTGAAAGCGTGCCAGACCCGGATCATGAAGCATCGGACCGGGATCCGCGGGCATGCGTGCAGATTCCTCGGGTAGACGGGCAGAAAGGATGACCGCATGCGATTCGTAATCAACCATGCGGACCTAGTAGCCATGGTCTGATAAAGATGATGGTCATCAGCGCTCCGGTTTGACCTCTCGGTCCGGCCCGAGGCAGCGTCCCCGGACCGTCGGAATTCGAGCAGTCAGACGTCAGATACTGCCCGCCTGCTCACGCTCACAGGGGCGTCACGCTGCAAGCTTGGGGCACTAATACAAAATTGATACGGCGAAGCTACAAGGAAATTTCAGGCCACAGTCCCTTTAACACCAAGAAGAAATCTTAATCCAGACACATAAACACAGGTGATTCCCAACTGGTAGCACACACAAATCCAATGGGCTCCTTTCACTCATCGATCGCTCCGCCTCCCGTACGAGTGATGACCTGCCCTTGCCCCGATCCACGTAGCTTGACGCTACCTGCCTTCTCCAAGTCCTTGATCACCTCGGTCAGCTCGCCATCATTGATCGCCATCGACGACTGGTCGTTCAACGTCTTCTTCAAATCCGTCCTCCTGACTCCCGAAGGCTTGGCATTGATCAAAGCGATCACCTCTCGTCGGAGCGCGCCTTGCAAAGAGCGTTGCCTTGAGGATTGTCCAGCGAGCAAGTCCAAGTCAATCAAACCCGTGACGGGGTCGGTCGCCGAGTCCTTCAGAGCCTCGCGGATTAATCGGTTCGCTTCGTTGACGTCCTCGAGCTCGACGTGCAACGAGTAGCGCATCCTCGCGTGCGCCTCGGAGAGACGGATCATCGACTCGAGTTGACGCGTCGTAGCGGTGATGCGACGTTCGTTCGATCGACCATCGCCACCGACGTTGCGCATCGCTACATACGCGTTGACGAGCGCCGTCGACGCATCTTCTGTCAGCACGGGATGGACGTGGTTGCGTGCCCAAGAGATGTAGGCCGACAAATCCTCCACTTTCATTATGTCGTTGCCGCCCGTCGCGGGTCGATCCTCGAGGTAGAGGGAAACGAGATGGCTCGCAAGACGTCGATCGTTGGCCTCGTCGACGCGATCGAGCACAAGGTATAGCAAGTCGAAACGCGAGATCAAAGTCGGGGGAAGATCGATGTTGCGCGTGATGGGCCACGCGAGGTTGTACTTTGATCCGACGGGGTTGGCCGCGGCGAGAATCGAAGTACGGGCGTTCAGGGTGGTGATGATACCGGCTTTAGCGATGGAGACCGTCTGCTGTTCCATCACTTCGTGCAACACGCTGCGGGTCGCATCAGACATCTTGTCAAACTCGTCGATGCAGCACACACCACCGTCAGAGAGCACGAGGGCACCACTGTGGCGTTCAAGGGCCAGGGTTGGGTCAGTCAAAGGCTCCGAAAGGAGACTGTGCAGAAAAATATACCTTTCGAGAACGAGCTGCTTCGAATCGGGGTCGCGAGTCACGTAGGCCGTCAGACCGACGGCGGACGAGCCTTTGCCCGAGGTGTACACGCCTCGAGGAGCAATCTTGTGGACGTATTGCAAGATCTGCGACTTGGAGGTACCGGGATCACCGACGAGTAGCACGTTGATGTCACCCCTGTAGCGCGGTCCTCCACCTCCGCCGCCCTTGGCAATGCTCTTGTTGGTACCACCGAACAGCTGCAAGAGGATGCCCTTCTTGACGTCGTCCATCTCCCAAATCGAAGGTGCGAGACTGCGCGAGAGGTATTCGTAAATGTCGGGGCGACGCGAAATCTCGACCATGCGTTCCTTGAGTTTGGCTTGGGCGCTCGCCTCGCGATCCTCGAGCAGACCGCCGTCGACATCCATCTCAGCTTCGTCCTCCTCGTTCTGCCCATCCTCGTCTTCACCTCCCACACCAATGACTCCACGGCGATCGTCGGCGGAGCGCGTCGAGCCATCAACGCCCATGCGCTTCTTGTCCGTCTTCTTGACGTGCACGACATCGAGATACGTCTTGAACAAGGACTTGATGATGCGTTGGCGAGGGTTGATGCGCACCGGAACCGAACGGAAGATACCTGTCAGGGAAATGCGATCACCGGGCTTGACGATATCGACCAACTCGTCGTAGAGGCACAACGAGACGGTGTGGGGCGTCTGACCGTCGGGGACCGCGTCGGGCGTCTCTTGCAAGCGCACGATCTGACGATCGGCGAACTCGCAGCGATTGTGAATCAAGCTCATCGACCCTTGGAGAGCGCACACTTCGCGAGGGCACTTGTCGGGTTCGGCGATCTGACCCCTATCGAGTTCGACCGAGACCGTGTGGGAGCAAGCATCGCAACGGAAGAAGGCTGCGTGGTTCAGAATGGGGAATAGGGGTTAGAACAGGCCAGTATCACCCGCCGGAAGGCGAAAGAACTCACCGAGCTTCATGTCGGGAATGACGGGTGTCGCACGGATCACGAGACCCTTGACACAAACGATCTTGTCGATGTCTTGAGGGTTCAATTCGCGCATGTTAACCTTGCGCGTCCCACCAAAGGGTCGAACCTTGAACACCGCAGCTTCCATCGCCTCGGCTCGGAGCGTGTTCTCGGCTCGCTGCGATGCGCCGCCCAGGTGTTCCCAGGCCCAATCGAGCGCACAGTCCTTGAGGACCTGATCGAGGATGGGGATGATCTCTTGTGGGTAGTCTTGCAAGTTGCGGTACAACTCGGCAAAGTCGCGATCGCGGCGCGGCAAGCGTGCTCGCTCCCTGCCTTCTCGCTCGGCGTGACGGAATGCAAGCAGGTCGAGCACGTCGAGGTTAAGGTTCGTCTGGCCCGTCTCGCGCATGCGCTCCAAGTAGTACTGGTACATCCTCTTCTCGGGTTGCTCTTTGGTGTAAGCAAACTCGATCGATCCTCGATCGCTCTCATCGGCTTCCTCGAAGCGTTTCTGATCGTACTCTTGACGGTCGCCGGCGGTGAAGGACTCGAGGAACCACTTGAACGAGGCCATCGACGACACAATCGTGACACGGGTACCCCAGACGACGGTGACGGCTTCGTCCGCATCGTCTTGCTCGTCGCCATCCTCACCCATGCCATTAGCGGTTGACGAGGGGTCTTCCTCATCGTCGTCCCCACCCCCGACTCCGAAACGAGAGCGCTGCGAAGCAGCCGAAGAAGTGGGGATGTCTAGGCCACTACCGGGCTGGGAAGTACCTGCGCCACGTCGGTTCGACGGGGTCGGAGGCAAACCCGAGTGGATGTCACCTCGTCTGTTGCGCCGAGGCGTGGGAGAGCCAACGTCAGACCTGTGCCGAGACGATCAAGAGGAGACAACAAATGCGGAGAGAGTAAGCAGGTATGATTTCCCGGGTGTTTCGACGACCATGAGCCTGAGAACTCACCCAGGGAAGAAGAGGGGGCTTCCGTCGCGACCATTGCCGCCGACGCGTCCGGGATCCGACGAGAGGCCGCTCGACGCGAAGGCACCTCGGGCAGCACCTCGACCGCCCGGAGCTTGGGATGCGCTCGAGGTGGGGAACTGCATGGGACTCGAGGATCTTGCGGCTGGATCCGGGGCAAGAGCGGCGTGGATGGGGGTCGGATGGTCATCGCGGTGGGCGACCCGATTTCGGTAGACGCGCCGGATAGAGGGGACGGGGGCAAGACGCGTCGTGAGGCACAAATGAAGGTCGCGTCAGTCGGCGTCACGGCGCGCAGAGGAGGAGCCAGAGCACGACACTCACCCATTTGTCGGCCACCATGCTGCAATGCGCCTACTCGAGCGGGCATGGGATCGTGGGATGAGCTGGGATGGCCTGCAGAGGAGCTGGCCGGAAAGTGCAGAGGACTCGAGACCGCGCCGACGCCACTGGAAGCGTCGACGTCCATCTCGTCGTGTTGACTCGACATGGCGCGTATGGATCAGATGAGGCTCTTCCGTAGCGTAGTGGTGGACGGTCAAGGACACGCGGGATCTCGAGGTGCAGTGTCGAAGATGCGGGCGATTATGACAGCACGGCAGGAGTCTGAATGCCGTCGAGCGCGTGTAGGACGCGCACCCCCCTCTCCCGCTGGACGCGTCCGCACTCGTCCGCGGGCTCGAGCGGCGGTTGGGCTTTGGGCCTTGGGCCTTGGGAGCGCACTGACACAGCTCGGCGCTTGAGGCGTATGTGGCGGCCCGAGCAGGCCCGAGCTGCGTGGAGGGAGCTGCCGATCGGTCATTGTCCTCTTGCACCGCTTGCTGCTGCTCGGCCTTCAGTCACACCGTTACACCGCTAGGCCTCAGGGGTATCACCAAGTCTCGATCCTCTAGCACCAATTATCACCGAGTCCTCCCAATCAGTCACATACCGCCCAGCCAGCCCCTTCGGGATCGTCCCACTGGGCTGCACTGGAGCTGCCCATTCCAGGTCGTGGCACCTCGTGCCCGCGGTTGCGAGCACGATCGTTGCCGACTCGCGAAGGAGTGGCAGCCCCTAGAACAGACCTGTGAGTCAATGGGCCGCCGCCAATCCAGAGCATACATACAGGTCCCGGTGGCTGCAAGCTCCTTGTGGCCCTCCCCGCAATCATCTGCACTATCACGTGATGACGAGCCGAGGCTTAGAGCTGGGAGCAGGGAGCTGGTGCTGGCGGAAAGTTCGAGTCGCACGTGAAACTGACTTCAGCTCATGGCATCGTGCTCAATGATTCGACCAGAAGAGCTCGCGTCTGATAAGTACGTCCAGTTTCAAGACCTCGATACACTCATTGGGTCCGCGGCGATAGACGTCGAGCCGTCGTCACCGGAGTCGGCAATCACGCACGATCCGAGTCGGCCTCAGTTGCAGGCCCAGGCCCAAGCCCCATCTCGCTCGCCGTTCCCATCATTGGGACCGTTCGGCACCTTGCAGCCCACGCCTCTGTATTCTTCGCATGGTGACGCAATGGTCCAAGCCGAACCTGTCAGGATTCATGCTCAAAGACCTTCTGGCTCGGCCGAGATGATTACCTCCTCCTCCCCGGGATGCAAATCCGGCTCACCTTCGAGCTATTCCCCTCCGAGCTCACCGTCGGACCGTCGTTCTGGCTCCGCGCTGCGCCACGCGGTCGAGTCGAGAGCGTTTAATGATCTCTTGGGTACATCCTCCATCGGTCAAACGATCAACTCGCCTTTGGTCGGCGTCCTCCCACATACGCCGCTCACACGCATCGAGACTGCGCAGTCGTACGAGGGAGGGGCCACGCTGTCGAGACCAGCCACGGCGCCAGCTGGCGGTCAAGACGACACAACTCATGGCGTCAGTGCCTTTGCTTCTTCCTCGTGCTCCGAGGTTCCCCCACAACAAGCCGCAGGGGGATCGTCCCCCAGATATCTGCACGACTTCCCCTTACCCGGCGGTAATTCGCTCAAGAGCCGCAAGTATCGCAACCCAGCCACGCCGAGCGGTTCATCATCCCCTTCAGGATCCCGAGAATCGAGAGGTCGGTCGCATTCCTCGGAGCAGGCGTCTGCAAGATATGTGCCTCTTCTGAGACCGCCGCCTTTGCGACCACATGCCTCGGCGTCACCCACGCCCTCGATGCAGTCGTTGCAGAACCATATGTACACGTATGGCCTGCTCAATGGCACGCTTTCGGATCTCCATTTGGTCGCGTTTGGTCACCACTATCGCTTGCACCGCATCGTTCTTGCTGGCCAATCTGGCTTCTTCACGTCCTTGCTCTCGGGTGGGTTTTCCGAGGAACGCCAAGGCGTCAATCGAGGCTCGGACAGCGAGGTCATCGCCGTCGAGATGGATCGACCGCTTAGTCGTGTCGCGTTCGAGTTCGTCCTCGCTCGTCTGTACGGTGGGGGTCCAGAGCTGGTGCCGCCACCTTGGGCAAAGACTTCAGCCAAGAAGCCTCTGAGTGAGACATGGGAACGCTTGGTCCTCACCGCGACGGGTAGGATGGTCATCGACCCCCAAACTAGCCTTGATCGTGACTATCTCCTAGACCTCTCGGGTGGTGCAGCCGAAACTGATTCAGAGTGGTCGACCATCATGGCCCCGACGTGCCAGCCAGCGACACCGACCTTTCTCCTCAGCCTGTTGGCCACTGCGACTTATCTCGAGATACCCGCGATCCAGTCACTTGCGTTGCATTGGATCCAGAAGACGATCACGCCGTGGACTGTGGCTCAGTACCTTGGCTTCGCATTGGGACGAGGACTAGGCAGCGGTTCACTTTCGCCCGAGCTCGACGCTCCTTGTCGTGGCCTCGAATCAGTCGGAGCACCCTACAAACTCGATGATCCATCGCTATCTCCCATGACCGAAACCGAGTATTCCTCCACGAGGTCTTCACGTGCGTCTTCGATCTCGAGCGACGACCTTCAGGATGAAGAGACCGCGTGTTCCGGTGACGCCGTTTCGATGTTTGTTGGCCCCGAGGGCGAACGTATCGGCGAAGCGTGTGCATGCTGGCTTGCGAAATGGGGAGCCGAGACCCTTACGACGGAGGAATGGCTCGCTGCACGGGTCGTCGAAATGGACTCGAAAGCTGGCGCAATCATGGATTGGGAGGATGTCTTGTCGCTACGGTGCAAGATTATCGAGCCGTTCTTCTACGACGAGAAACGACCTGCTTGCTTCGAAACCTACCCCGATCTCGCACCGCCAAGTTTGGCCATCTGGTCGTCGATCGGTGGCATTGATGCGAGATGGGTGCGAGGCGTCATTTCGAGCGACGCATTCTTCATTGCAAACACCATCAGCAGCGCAACGACCAAGCTCACAGGCGACTTCGCTCCGGAGGGGCTCGAGTCGGATGGCGAGTTTCAACGTTATCTCTTTGCGAAACGTGTGATTGAGATGCGCAGGGGCGAAAAACTCGACGCGTTGAATCGTTCGAATCGATCGCGTCTCGGCGCCTCGGGCCACGGACGGAACTCGAAGAGAAATGGGTTGGCTGATGGGATTTCGGAGAGACTCGGTTTGCTCGATCTGCAGCAGTCCGTCGTCGATCACTCATCTCTCAATGAGGATCAGACCTACGCGATGGCGACCACTGGCGACGGCCCGACCACTGACGCCAAGTGTCCCGGCGAAGGGCCGAGCACCGGTGTCTCCTCTCCATCGCAAGCCGTTGCTTCATCGGCGCGCATAGATCTGAGCTCTGTCGATGAGCTGGAGTACGCTCTACTCTTCCAAGACGGCATTCATTACTATCACATGGTAAGTGCATGGTCGGAGCTCTAGATTGACCCCCCGAAGCATAGCTAATGACTTGTTCCCTCGGCTATTTCGCACAGACCTACCGACAGCTCAACCTGATCTCCGACGACTATTCGATGACGTCACATGTGTTGTTCGCCCCTATCGAGGTCGTTCAGCGCGCGCATTGGCAAATTGAGCAGTTCAAGAGTCGTCTGCCACTCGTGCATACGCCGCGCTCGGGGCAAGCGCTTGAGATGGCCAGCCCGCTGTCGTCGTCCCGAGTGGGAGGAGGTGTTCCCGTCGGGAGGATGCCCTTGCCCGGCGAGTTGGTCACTTTGGATGGACTGGTCGACATCGGATTTGCTACGCCGGTCAATCCCCATCTCGACGTCAACATGCCTGCTCTGGGCTTGCAACCTTTCTACCGCATCCCGATCGATGACACGAGCAGGATCAACGATCGTGCTCCTCATCCCGATTCGACGCCATCGGCGCTCGGCTTAGGCGCACCACCACCCATCCCGCCTCGCAAACCGAGCTCTCCTCTTTCTTACGGCCCAGACGGATTTTTCGGACTTGCGAGAGAACAGTGCCTTGGTACCCGTGGTGGACCCCATCGCGGCGTTCTTCCAGGCTCGTCGCTGGATCTTTCCTCCGAGTGGGTCGAATACGCCCCTCTCCGACTGAGTGCAGAATTTTGGGGGGTCACGGCGTTACGCGACAATGCCCGACTGTACTCCAACACATTCTTCTACGCGGGATCATTCTACAATCTCTATCTGCAACGGCTTCAAAGGAAGGGCGGTAACCAACTGGGCATCTACCTCCACCGACAGAACTCGATCGAGCATTTCCCCACTCCTTCGACGCCTCCGACGCGCCTCGCCGACGGACCGCCCTACAGCGAGGCGAGTGCGAGTAGGTCTGCGAGCTATTCGACGGCAATCCTTGCCCCCTACACGGACCAAAGAAAACAAGTGCGCGCATTTTTCAGCATTTGGGTGCCCACGCAGTTGGGCTCATCAATGACCAAGTTCAGTTCCGGTCCGGATTCCTTCGCGCTTTCGCAATCCTGGGGTGTAAGTGACGCACTTTGGTCCTCGGCTTCAAACTCTTTTTAGAGACTCTCAGCACATCCCACTGACGTTGTGGCTTTTTGTGCGAATAACGATTGACGCGCTGTTAGTGGAAATCGACGTCGCTCTCCTCGGAATACCTCGGCGCGACCCCTATCGAAGCGTCACAGACCGAAGTCGCGAGGGCGGGGCCGTATTCGAGCCTGCGGGTTACGATCATCATGGGATTGGTGTGATCAGTTCATTCAAATTTCTGAGGCCCTTTTTTTTCTCTTCTTTTCGTGCGTCCCTCTTCTATCTCACCGCGTCTAGACTCCGCTATGATATTACCGCTTTCCTTGTTCCCGCTGTTGCTCCTCGTAGTGTTGTTATCCCATGTCTGTTCATGCAGTCTCCTCTCGGACCATGTTATTGTAGTCTAGATCGCTTTCTCGCATCGCATGACCTCGAACACCGGCAGCGTGTCGACGTGGTTCGACATATCGACGAAGCTCCTTGGCCTTTTTCAGGAGTCACGCTGGACATCTGCCTGAGTGCCCGCGCTCAGCCCTTTGACTGTCCGGCGCTCCTATCCAGCTCGGCCGGGCACTCCTCTAAATACAGACAAGCTCCCCCCAAAATAGTGGGACATCATTCTCTCCGCGAAGTACGCTAAACTAGAGCGAGTCTGGCGTTTTTGAGCCCTGTTCGGACTTTTTTGACTGTCCATCTCTTCCCGCCTTCGTCGCGTTGGCGGCACCGTTCTTATCATCAGCCGTCCTTCTTCTATCACACCCATCAAGGAAAATGTTGATCGAACCTTCTTCCGTGCATCAGCATGTTGCGATAGCGTGCTACCCCACCAACTCGTTCGTTTCTCCCGCTTTCAAGCCGCTTCCGCTGCCCCCATCCAGCTCGACCTTCCATGCGCCGGCTGCTCAGCCCTCTTACGGCACGTGCATTCAACAACAAGCTCAGAAACCACAGGCCTCGCGAGTGTCGACAACCAGAGATGCGCCTCAACGCCCGGCACGTGTCGAACGATTCCTGCACAAGATGATGAGGTCAGTGCGCAATACTATCACGCAGCTGTACTCGCGGCGGCTAAGGCCGTGAGAACGCTCAAACTCCGCCCACGAGTCCCAAGTCGTTTCCAGCCAGCGAAGCTTCGCAAGGGGTCCGAGCTCAGTTCTTTTCTGTCTGACTCTGACTTTGGAATTTCGGCTTGGTCCAGGTTGCTTCGACAGCCCGACGACGATGGGTTCGATATTCGCCCATACATCCATTGGGACTCAACAGGAAGGTAATTTTCGTTGAAATTCTTATGGCTCTCGTAAGAGATACCTTGGCTCCGCTCCTCGTGTCCGCTGAACCGCCCAGGGAAGCGCCATTTCCCGAGGGATCTCTTGAGGACCTCCTTTCCCTCGGCGCCGCGGAGTGATCAGCGCTTTTCCCTCCGCGCAGCGTGACGCGTCGGGGTAGGGCACGCGGCTGGCACCGGTCGTCGGCTGACCGAGGCGTTCTCGATGGTTCATAGTGTCTTGGTGGTCCCCGACGAGCAAGCCCTTGCAAGCAATGTCTGTCGTCAACTTTTTTCTCAAAGCAACGTCTCGTCCTTTGTACGTCATCCCCTAGACCCCTATGATTATCCTCCTGAACGGACCGAGTACGAGACCTGAGCCGATACTCGGCACATCGTTTAGTCGTGCCTATGGGGCGGGCTTGCTGATTTATAAGTTTGTGGCCATAGGACAAACAACTCAATAACTGGGGTTTCCTCCGGTACAAGCCGTCCCCTTTCGATCCGCGTGACACGTCAGAATTCGAAAGGCTCGGTCCACGGTCTCGACTCTGGCAACACCAGTCTTTGACTCGAGACTCCACGGTCGAAGAGGTTTTTGCCGTCAAGCGTAAAGAGGATGGGATGTACAAGCGCCGATTGATGGGTTCGCGCTCGTGGTCGACCGGTAGCGACATCGCCGCCGGCCGAAATAACGTTGCACCGGTCGCCACTGCGGGAACGTACCCTCGCCGCTCGACTCGAACTCGCAATCGCCCTTTGAACATGCGATTGCTCTGCACTAGTGACGAAGATTCTAGCTCGGCCGAGGACGCGGGTCGGAACAAGCTCAAAGCTCTCCCGGCTCCGAAGCTAGGTCGAGTTTACTCGGCTCCACCCTGTACCAACAACCACCACGGACGAGGCACACCTTCGACGCTCAGGCGCAGTTCTTTGGACTCGGCCGTTCATCGCACTTTTCGCAAGGTCTCCTCGTTTGATTCATTCGAATGCCTTTCGTCTCGGTCCCCTACAAGAAGCTCACCCCCTGAACCACAGCTCGGCCGCGTTGCAAGCTCGGCCCCTCCTTCCCACTACACCTCCACGTCGTTCGGCCCGAGCTCATTCGAGTCGTCTGAAAGGTCACGTTATCGATGTAGCCATAGTATCACCTACGATGGCCCACATCCTATGCTACCCTTGACCCGTCCCGACGAGCTCCCCCACCTCTCGCCCTGGCGGCGCTCCGGATCGTCGGCACTGTCTCACTTTTACGACCTGACCGCGAATGCCACGATCTTGGCGCCGCAACAGATCCGAAGATGCGTGACCCCGACTCGAAGTACCTGGAGCGCCGATGATACTCCTGATCATCCTGCGGTCCCTTCTACTTTGGAGGAACGTGCGTCACAGGAAATGGATGGCTATTCAGCGGCGGCATGCTTGGCGAAGCTGCACCTCGGAGCCCAGCATCACGCAGTAGAACACCTTCACTGTGGCCTGAAGCCGAGTGTCGCGGCAAGGTAGTTTCTCAACAAAAACTGTGCAGGGGAGCTTGGCGTGTCTCGTTCTATCCTCATCCGTCAGAGGCGCGCCAGGAGCGCACTCCTATATCTAGTCACCCCTCGGCTAATCGTCCAACAGGGCAAGCACAGCACAGACACTCCAATGAAGGTACAAATTATTATACCTAGATTGACACTTTGTTACTAAAGTTCAGCTACTTTATAGAAGTGCAATGTAGACCTGTAAGGAAGCCGGCTACGAAGATTTTATGGCCGATACCAGTGAGGACAGCAGCGAGCGATCGTCAATGAGGACTTCATTGTGAAGTCCCGAGTGACGAACACTGGCAGGTCGCCGACAAGCCCCTGGGCGAGTGGGTTCAAGTTGCCGAGTTCGGATGACTGTTAGAGTACATGCGATGTCTACAGGCCGGTAAGCGGTAGGCGGACAGGTAGGTCGCTGTGGAGCCGGTGGTCGGCGAGATCACTTGTGGCCCAGAGGGTCTGGGCCCTCGGGCATCTGCAACAGCTTTTCATTACCATCCCACAGGTGGTCGTTCGATGAGATCCGTTTGACTTTGAATGCCCGCGGCTGATCATCAAACGGCGCAGACTAAGACATCATTCAATTACGACCTAGATCGTAAGTCTTTGGCAACCACAATACCGGTCCACAGCGGATCGCGTTCATTCTCAGTCTCACTGGCAGCTCGATTGGCGCGCACGCATCATGTGGGGCACGTGTTTGATATTCGATAGTGACATTCAGTTGAATAAAGTCCGAATCGTGATGTGCTCCAGATGTCATCAACGCTATGGTGCCAATCTGAGCGACGCGAGGCTGGTGTCGCGAGTGGCGATTCACAGGAGCAGCCAATCTCGCATCCGCGCAACGAGCTCTGTCGGTTTGCATAGTCGCACCCTGGCATTTGATATTAGAACTCATGTCTGTTTCGGCGCGAGGTACTCGAATCCAAAATACTCGACAGAGGCGACGTGAACAGCGACGCGACTGCCGCCGAAAAGTGAACACCCTTTCATCCGAGCAGACCGCCGTACTGGGCGACTTGCTGCCAGCGTGTGCGGCCCCTAATGCTAGCTACGGCTGGGATTTGTAAACAGGGTTAGGCCAACGCGCGATCTGCGCCATGGGAACTGGGTGTAACGCCCGAAGATTGTCGTTGGCCACGTGACGTTCAATTATCTTCACTGCACAAGCTGCAAATTCAGTATGGAGGCTCGTAAGTCGCGACCAGGTAAGTACCTAGAAGATCGGCGGAGCTGACTGGAGTCACTGGGCGTTGGAGTCAAAGTCCGACTTCTGGGGTAAGTACCTCGGTAGCTACGCAGGTAAAGAAAGGCAGGTGGAGTCCTGTCCATCGTGACTTGGCCCGCCATCCGACCTGGTCGTTAGCACGCCGGGTCGCGCCCCCCTGGGCCTGGGCCTCGCCGGCCCATCATCAAGGACGGCGGGCTTACCAACTTGAAGCTGGAAGTCGATCAGTCCGGGTCCCTAGGCACGCACAGGGGGCCACCTTAAATATTCGTGGTGATGGAGTGGGCCAATTACGAGCGCATAACCTTGACACGGTCACTCGACTGTCCCGGTCCTTGTTTCAGGTCTCCCTCGAAAATTCGTTTTAATCAGCAGTTCGGCTTGGAAGTTGGCAAGCTTCGAGAACCACCTCGGCCTCCGGGCTCAAGATGGCCGAACTCGGCAGGCTGCGCGTGCCGAACGCAAGCCGCCTCCAAACGCCAAACGCTCTTTTGCACGTGAATGGGGGGTCGGTGGTCAACTAATGAAGCTTCTCGCGTGCTGCGACGAGGAGTCGTACTCGTAGGCCTACTCGGCGGACAAACGAATGCTCTCTGTTCAGCAGTGTCGACGGCAAATGAAATGAAGGACCTGGCCGCTTTTCACTCCGCGATTTTGCCCCGCAGATCGAAACAGTAGTGTGATTTTCTCTTCCTCTTTTCCTCCGAGATCAGGTCCCACTTACCTCCGGCCCCGGCCCTGAATCCTTCGTCGTGACCTCCATTAGCTTTGTCCCTGCCCCCTCTTGGTCTAGCTCTTTCACCTACCATCCTGTCCTCGTGAACAGCTGCCCGTCCCTTTCTCGACGACACCCACAAAGACCTCACATCGCCAGCCGTGACGATCGCTTCAGGGAATCAGGATTTAGAGCTTGTTCGGATTTCGGCCTTTGACAGGTGAGCTTGCGTCATAGTAAGAGAGGCTGATCTACGCGCGCGCCGAGGGTGCCTGATGCAGCTCGCCGGGGCCCCGGCGCCACGCCTCGTCCCCCGCCGCTCCGCGACGGTCGGTGCTCACTTTTGCAATTAGCAAAAGCACGACCGCGGACAGTCAGAAGACACAAATCAGGGATCTGTGCTGACAATCCGCATCTGTGTCTTTACCCGACCGTGTCGTCATTTAGCAGACCTCATCCGCGCCCCCGCACTTCCTTCCCTCCTCTCGACCGCTTCGCGCTTCAGCTCAGGATCCTCTCTCTCCCCCTACTTCTATCTCGTGCCCCAATATCGACGAAACAAGCACCTCCTTTAACTGCCATGGTTTTCTCGACATCTCTCTCGAAATCTCAGCACTTTGACCACGATGCGTCGTGGGCATCTTTCCTCGAGCCGTCCGCGTTTGCCGAAGAGTTTGACACGGACCCCTTCGCGAGCGCATCCTCACCCGGCGCCTCGAGTTCGTCCTCGCTGGCGTCGGCCTACGATTACTCTCCCATGCTCCCAAGCCTTCTGTTATCATCGGCGTCCTCGATCGATTCACCCGCTTCTTCCGATGCGTCCGAGCCCACCACACCTCCTGCGTTGGCGAGCAATCTCGCACTCGAGGTCTGTCTTGTGACCTACGATCCCTCGAGCTTCGGCGGTCGTTCGGCAACTTGGTCATCTTCACCGGCCCAAGCTCTCGCTCTCGAAGCAGCCGAAATGCTCGATGCAACTTTAACCAAGAACCAAAAGCCGCGAATGGTCACCCCCGTAGTGGTTCCGTCGCCACTCACGTCCCGTCGCGTCGAGTCGGGACCGCTTTTCAGCTACAGCTCTCTCGAACACGAAGCGCGCCAACTCGCAAGTCGCCTCTTCACTTCATCGACCTATTCAGGTGGCAAGGTCCCCGTCGCCTCTTCGTCACGATTACACCTCTCTCGTGCGCACTACCTCGAGAAGAAGCGCAAATGTGTCAGCTTTTCGCCTTGCTCCGGAACGGCCGTCGCCGCCGAGATCGCTGCGGCGCCGATGCCCCGTCTAAAGTCGAGGAAAGGTGGCCGACCGAGTTCAGAGATGTCGCAATGGTTACAAGCTCTACATGACGCCGAGGTGCGAGCAAGTTCAGCCATCAGCAAGCGCAAATCACCGACACCGACTTCGTTGAAGCTGCCGTCATTCTGAGCGGTAGTCCATGCGCCTCAAGTTTGCTCGGCGATTAGCCGATCGGCCAGAGCGACCGACCTTTCGAGTCGGACAGCGCGGAGCTGCCGATACCCTATAAGTACCTAGTTCCCACCCCCGCATTCGCAGTACCGCGTCATTAATTTGTTAGCTTGTTGTAAGAGAACCTACTCATCCTATACCTAAAAGTAGTACCTGCCTCCGATCTTCGGCCTGCGGTCTTCCTCTCTCCACAAGCCGAGCCTTCTCGCTCTGAAGGGCAACTCTGAGACCTTTTTTCGCCTGTGTGTTTTTCGGCTGCGATTCAATTGAGCCAGCAGCTGCCCCAGTGCCCGAAGCGTTAGTCCCTCGCGCGTGACGCGCGAGGATATCCTTGCCAGTCGGTCGCGGAGGGCGAGGCCCACCCTGTTTGGCGCAACTTTTTCTTGACCTTGCCAATAGATCAACATTCTTTACAGCACGAACCTTTTATTAAAGGCTAAGGAAAGGCTGTCTAGGACACAGCCATGAAGGGGCGCTAACTCAATTGAGGACCGGAACGGACCGCGCGCTCCCACGTCAAGCCGAGGCCACCTCTTTTTTGTGGTCATGATAAGCCTCCTCCGCCCCCGGTGGCGTTCCGCCTATTTTCGTTTTGGCTTCGGGTGGGGACCCGTCGTGGTGGTGGTGGTGGTGGTTGTCGCTGATGAGCTTGGGCCTGCGCCCTAGTAGCGGTGCTGAGCGTTGTAGCACCGGTTTGGGAGGCAGAATGACGTAGGAGGGACCATTCCTGTAGGAGTTTCGTTCAACAATAAGACAAAGGGGAGAAGGCTCTCGGGTTAGCAAGAGAAGCAGTCGAGATTCGAGGTAATGCTTCTTCGCCATTGATGTGCAATCCGAGACCAAACGTCACGCACGCGACATGGTTCAGGGGATTTATAATAGATAATAGATAGATAGACGCCACGCGACCTAATTCCAATGCGACACCCAACCCCACAATTTATTCCCGAATGGGGTCGACGGACGTCCCTGCAAGTGCTGACATCACAGCGAAATGATTCGGCGGCGCGCGCGCGCGCTTGCAAGATCTTCGGTCCTTGCCGAATTGTGAGACACGGCACCTTCCTTTGCCTTCTGATGGCGATCGAGCGTGTATCGAGCGCCGATTCCCTTACTTGACTTGTGCCACCGTCGCGTTGAATCCACGGGGAATATAGGCGCTCCGAATCCGGTGACTCCGGGACAGAAGAAAGATAAAAGAAAGAATGAGCTCACCCTTTGTATGGCGTCGACCCAACGTTGGCGTTCATCCAAGCGTCGCCGGATCTGCTCGGTCGGTCGCTCGAAAAGATCTTCGACGTCTTCGGGCTCGAGATCTTGAGACTCAGCTTCATGAAGTACAGGCTCGAACAAAGTTGAGAGCCATTTCGAAGTCGCTGCCAGGGCTGGCTCGAAGAAGAAGGCTGTGACCGCGACGTCGGGTCAGCATGCGCTTGGGCTGTAGATAGGGGGTGACTTGGTGCTAGCGACTTACTGCGAATCGTCTTCCATTTTTTGCCCGCGCCTGCCAAAAAGTTGGAATGCTGAGCTTTAGAGTGTAGAAGGCAGCAGTCAGGGTTGGATGCACTCACGACTGCGAGGTGTGTAGCGCTTCGTGCCCATAAAATATTGTGCAAACGCGGGATCCGGCTCGTCGGGGCCTTCCAGAACCAGCCTGTCCGGGAATGATCTCGTCGTCAGGGTGATACAGAGTCAAAGGCGGTCTCCAGAAGGGAAAAATTATCTTACTTTGATCGGAAGCAAGAAGAGCACAGTCGGGCCCGTAAGAACCAGTCGACTTTGCGGGCGTTTCCCTTTCCACACCCCTGCATACCGCCGGCTCACGAAGCGCTGTAATGAGGGTTGGTTCGGTATCTTCTACAACGCCTCGATCACAACGTACCCTACAAGTCCTGCCAAACGCCAGGTTCGCCAATTGCACTTGTCCGATCGGTGTAGTGAGGTCCCAGCAATCGAGCTGTGGCAATTGCTCGACCTGGCGCGCTCGAGTCCACAGCGACGACGATCCGCCGGAACTGAGCATCCATTGACGCGTCGATTTGGATACGCGGGTCAGCGATAGCAACGCCGAAGAGGGTAGATGGGTTGCAATCTAGATGTTTGCGGTGTGAATCTGATGAGTGTGCACACTTCTGATGGGGAGCAATGAGTGGCGGGGGTCACTAGGCTCTAGCTCGGGTGGACTCGCCAGTTGAAGCAGTTCGAGTGGTAGCGACTCGAAGCGAGATATCGCGGCTAGCTCGAGAGATCTGTTTCGTTGCTTCCGAGGTTGTTGCGGTGTAGCTGTGCTTCGTGGTCATCATGTCAGCCCAGCTTGAACGAGCGGAGGCCGGGCTCGAGGGAGTGAAAACGTCACACGAGCACGTGACGTGGACTCCTGGTTTGACTCGGAGGAGGATGGGATCGCAAAAAGGTCGACGTACTCTCGCTGCGGGCCTCTGTCGTCTTGGGCATGTTGAGTTCGTGACCGTGCAAAGGAGAAACGTAATGCAAGGTTGTCGCTCTGAGGGAGCGCCGGGGGTTACGCTGCAGTGGGCTTGACCGCTTGACCGCCGGCGCGAGCGCGTACATAAATAATACCTTCCGTTAAAGCTGAGTGTATGCGCCCGAGGAGCGTAGCCCAAGGCGCGTCAGGGCGCGTCCGTCGAGCAAGTCGACCCAGTCGAGCCAAGTTCTGCCAAGTTGGCTCAGCTTTCGCATCGAGTGACACGATCGATGCGCGAGTAGCTGCTCAGACTGCGGAATCACACGTCACATAAGCACTGCACATCGCTCCCAACGAGCCCGACATGGCCACGGCGGCGGGACAAACGATCGCGAGCATGCTGGAACCGAGGGATGCTGGCGCCGCGACTCGACAAAGCGCAACGGCGGGGGCTGGTGCGGGCCCCAGTACAAGCACCAACGCCAACGCCGGTGCGAGTACGACCGACTTGACCAACTCGGAGTTTGTCGAGACGCGTTCGGTCAGTCCCGCACGACGGGGTAGTCGTCTCGTTGGCGGCTGAACGTATCGGAGCTGACCTGCCATCTCCCCGACCCCACCCACACATACTCCCTCACGCGGCAACGACTGCGAGACTGCGCTGCGCACTCCGTAGGTCACCCTCGATTGGAAAGTCACCAATCTCAAGGTCTTGTTCGAGTCGAGCAAAGGCGACACCAAGAGCAAGTGTGTCAAGGTCAGTCGGGGCCAGCCGTGCGCGTTGCGCAACCCCGTCAGTGCCGTCACCCAAGTCGGGCCGTCCGAGTCGCTCACGTCGTTCGCCGCGCTCCCGCCCAGTCGGCTCTGTTCGACAACCACCGATGGCAAGTCTTTCTGTACCCCAACTCGGGAGTAGAGCAATACGTATCACTCTGTCAGTCCATTGCTCCGGAGCGCATCCTTGTCGCCCGCTCCAACTCGGGACTGACCCTGACCCCCCACATGACCCGTCCCATCCTCAGATCTGTCGTGCGAACCGACCGCCGCAGAAAAGGAACGCGGAGCCGCCGAGAGGGCCGGTTGGTCCTCTTCCAACACGACCACGAGTCCTCCTTCCGGATCTGCTGTTGGAGGTGCCGCAGCAGGGCGTCAATCGGGCGGTTCCGGCGCGCTGTCCAAGGACGTCAAGGGTCCGTGGCGCCGCGAGGGCAGCTTCAAGTTCACCTTTGAGGCGAGTCACCAGGGCCGAAGCTGCTCATATCCACTGCCAAAACATCCAATCTTGCGCTCAAGCTGACTTGGGCTCATCACACGCTCTCTTCCAGGCCCGCACCGTCGATCGGCGCATGACGTTCAAGCAAATGGAAGCCAACGACCACTCCTTTTCCGACTCGGCTCGCAACTGGGGCTACGCCAATTTTTGGAAGCGTTCGGATGCGTACTACAACAACCCTCAAGTGCGCCTTGCCGATGCCTTCCTCATCTCGTGCACGATCGTCTATTCGCCGACGCCGCCGACGCCTCCTCCTTTGCCGAGATTGTTGATCCCCAAGGACCTCGTCGCGGCGTATGCGGCCATGTTCGACGACCCCGACTATTCCGATGTCGTTTTTCGGATACGTCCCTCCAACCGCCCGAATGTACGAGAGAAGAGGCTCTACGCCGCCAAGAAGATTTTGGCCGGACGATGCGAATACTTTGACACGAGTAAGTGCTGTCGATCTCTCCCAGTACATGCGCATCCTGTTGTTGTGCCGAGCAAACTACTCAAACCTTTTTTCATCGACTTTAGTGTTCAACTCGGGCTTTCACGAGTCGTCGTTGGCTCATGTGTCTCCGATCACGGGCGGGCTGAAGGCGAACAGCTCGCCCAGCCAGTTCGCCGAACTCGACGACGAAGACGAACTCGACTTTTCCGAGTCCGACAATGAGGAAGACGACGACTGGGATGAGGATGACGACTCGGATGTCGATGACAGCCAGGCCGACGACGCGTCGGATGAAGATGCTCAATCGGATGGTGCGGCCCCGGAGGTAACGCAGACCGACCTGTCGGCTTCGCTTCCTCGTCGCGATGGTGGATCGATCGGCCAGCTTCTTCCTGCCCAGACTGTTGGCATGGATCGAGGTAATTCGTCATCGTCTTCAGTGGGCGGACAGCAATCAGGACCCTCGATGGCGATCGCTAATCAACCGAGATCGGACCATGGCTCGCGACCGTCCTCGGCAGCGGTCTCGGATGATGAAGGGGAACGACTGCGTTGTAATGACGATACGCACCGAGCTCTTTCAGACTCAGACGAGGGCGCTGAGGATGGTGGAAACCGTACCCTCGAACGAGCGGCGAGGGCTTCGAGGGACGGAGGAGCGCTGACTTTTGTCGACGCACCCGTGGCCCCTGAGTCGCCCGTCAAACCTGCGCCGACGAAGAAGGCTCGCCCCGACCGTAGGGATGAATTTGGATCGAAAGCGAGGTCGAGGGCTGTTGACTCGAGACCTAGGTTCGAGGTGGTGGTCACTGATGCCGCGTGAGTGTTGGAACCTCATGACCAGGGGCTATGTTTGACCGCGCGCAAGAGTGCTCACACTGGTGTTATGGCCCTTCTTCCGCCCTCAGCTACCACTCGTACCGCGCCCTTCTTCACTACCTCTACACCGACTCGATAACCTTCGCACCTTTGGCCTCGACGTACCACGTCGCCAGGGATGCGGCTCTCGCCTTCGACACCCCCTTCCCGTTCTCGAGTCGACGCGCCTACTTGCTCGCGAACACGCCTTGGCCGCAGTCGAAAGGAGGAGCAGGGCCCTGTAGCGCCAAAGCGATGTATCGTTTGGCGGATAAGCTCGGTTTACCCGAACTGAAGGAGAGGGCTTATGAACGTGAGTTCGGTCACGTTCCCGCGTCGACGAGGGCAGTGGTCCTAAGCAAACCGTTCCGTTCCTGACGCAATACAGATATCGTCAAATCACTCACCGCCCAAAACGTAAGTCGAGAATGCGTAGTTCGAAGATTGCTCTACTCACATACGGACCTGCCGATTTTGCATCTCACTCAGATCCCCTACGAAGTGTTCGGCTCTTTCGCGGCTCGGTTCGACGAGATCAAGCGCGTCGAAATCGCCTTCTTGCTCGAACGCTGGAACGATATCAAGGCGTCGCATGGGCTGCGCAAGGTGTTTGCCTTCATTCGTGGGAACCGATTCCCAGGTCAGTATCATTCGGGTCGCTGCCGGACGCCTACGGCCGCGTAGGGAAAACCCTGGGCCTTTATTCGGCTCTAAGCTGACTGATGTCTGTTTTGTGCTCCAAACTTAGGTTTCGAGGAGGTGTGGTTGCGCATCATCGACCACTTGGAAGTCAAGATGACCCCTGGGATCGAAGGGGACGACATGAGGATCTGAATAAGGGGCATGGCTGTGTCGGGGGGGCGGAAGGGGGAGCTTTATATGATCCTGGGTTCGGACCGATCCACGCTTCGTTGTAGCTGATTCTTCTGTGTAGTGTATGGTGCTCTTTTATGTAGTTCCTTCGTCTGCGTGTATATGATGTTAATTTGTTGACGTGTCTCACCCCTCTTGCGACCTCTCGACCCTGAACGCGGTGCTTTCATCGGTGAGACTTAACCACGGCGACGTTTGCTGCTCTCCTTCAACGAGTGGCTCTGCCATCCCACCGGTACTCCGCTCCAGTCTTTCAAGTAAAGCATACAAGGCATTCTTGCCCCTCGAATTCCATGCAAAATCCGAGCATCATCGACGACGCCCAATCTCTTCTGCGCCTCCTCGAAAACGAGGTCGCAGGACGACCTTCTCAAAAGGGACCTCCTCGATCCACAACCCAACGCTAGAGGGATTGTTGAGTTTAAAAGGGCTTGTCCGAGTCCGGGGTCGTGTCCTTGAAGTAGGCCGAGATCTGCAAGAGGAAGGAGAAACGATGCGGTGAGCATTAAATCGAGGTCGGGGCACTCTTTTGGGGGTTCCGCGGTGAATATTCGACCGCGGGGGAGATGTTGGATAATAACGCACGACAGGGATCTTGTCAAGAACTGTTGAGAGCGATGGTGGAGGGTAGGTATCCGACGAGGACAGAAGCACGTCGCGATGGCAGGTGGCCAGGAGAAGAGCGAGAGCGCACGAGTCAGCTCCAGCAAGCGGGCTGTCACGAAGTCTCATGGCCAGACCACTTGTCGAGAGCTTGAATGGACACTGACCATCGTGTTGGAAGAGCGGGATGGGCGAAAGGAACAGAGCGCCAGCGCCGGCGAGGCCGACGCCCCAAAGAGCCAACGGCACAGCCCATCGCGCGGCACCTGAATAGAGGAAAGTACAAACGACATGATCAGTCAGGAGCACATGGGGGTACGGGACGAGCTCGGAAGCTCAGTCACGATGCCAACGCACGAGCGGGGGTGAAGCCGAGCAGGTTCGGTTGAGGCTTGACGGGAGCGGCGGAGAAGCGGTGGCTGTCGGGGCGAGCGTGGTAAGGGTGTGAGCACGTGCGTCGATCGATGCTACGAGTGCGAGTGCGAGTGCGAGTGCGTGTGAGGTGGGGGACTTACGCGGCCATGGCTGAGGATGTGTACTGCAAATAGGAGGGCTGTGAACGCCGACGGTTTGGTTTGGGTTCGGTTGGTCGCAGAGTGTTGGCTAGTGTTGGCTCAGGCGAGCTTAGGCGCGAGTTGCGGCACCTCGGGCAGACAAAAGAAGGGACGATCTTAATCGCGCCGCGCAGCGGCGAAAAAAGCCGATCGGATCGGCATCCTGGGCCGGGAGCAAGTTCGACTCCTCCATAGTGCGCGCTGTTTGTGGCGTTTGTTTTAGGATGGAAGAGTCGAGTTGCAGTGATAAGAGAAAAACCCGCACTCCGTAACAAACGGAGGGTTTTCTAAACAGGAGTTATGAACAAGTAGGGTGGGAGGGAGGAGCTCAAAAAAATGGTCGATCGGCTTTGCTCAAAGAGCGCAGGTCCGATTAGTAACTAAAACACTGCAACTGACTTGGGGGATAGGGCATACCTTTGCTCGAAAAGCGCAGGGCGATGGCAGGGGAGGAAGGTGACGCGGTAGGTAGACGCGGCCAAACGAGGTCTGTATACAAGGTAGCCCCATGAGTCAACTTGCCCAACAAGGACAAGGAATTTGGCAACATGCCCAACAAGGACAGTCGTGATCCGGAATGCGAACCTTAGCTAGAAACAGCGAGCCGCGATAGTGCGAGTCTCGAAAAGTTCGCCCTTGCTCTAAGCAGTGGGTGCGATACGACCTTGCAAAGCAGCGGGTACGGCGGCTGCTTACAACTTAGTGGCAGGCTAGCTCATCAGTCCAACTGTCCAACAAGGGCAGAGGGCTTACGAGGGATGTTACCCACTTTGAGTGAGTAGAGACTGGCAGGGGGGGTGCCGGAACCACAACACGAAACGCTAAGGCGTGCGGGACGACGAGGGAGAGGGAGAGGAAGGGCCCGCGCGCGCCAGCGGGTGAGCAAGGCGGGAGGCCCAAGGGGGCCGAGAAGAGTGCGTGCTGGCACAGGGTCCAAAGAATGCGTGTTCGAAGAGTGGAGCGCGAGCGGGCCCCGTTAGGCCGAGACCAGCGCGCTTGAGCTGTCCGCGTCAAAATCTTGCAGCAAAGGCCGAAAAGACTATTGGCCCACTCCATGGACTCAAGTCTCTCCAAGTCCGTCAGATCAACTACACTGACCCGAGTGTGGTAGTGACATCAGCTTCGGCAGTCTGGATGACACTGTCAATTCTCCAATTTACGACACTAAGCAAGGAAAATGTTCATGTTCTTTCATTGGCTAGCCTACGGCACAAGCTTGGCACACTGACGCGCTGATCATGAGCCTGTGAATCCGAAGCACGTGACTTGCGATGGACACACGCGACCCCGAAGACCGCCAGCTCTGCACGTCTGCCCGGTGCCTATACTGCGTCGTGATACAACTTGCCAAAGCCTGTCCACCCATCGTGCATCTCAACTTGTCCTCGCTCGTCTCCGCTTGTCCTGAGTTGCGCCACAGCTCACAGCCTCACACTTGCAGTCGCCTCGTTACCCGAAGGACTGGTCACTGGGGTCGTCTGTAGACTCGGCCCTGCTCAACTCCACCTTGCCCGAATCGCGCCGAGAGACTCACCTCGCCTACGATGATGTGAATTTGAAGCATATGTGCAATTCGGTGGTGAATGTACAAATCTCGGCCCAAGAGAAGGAGAGCGATTCGATCTAAACGGGGCGAGCTCACTGTCACTCGCGACACACCCAACTTCGCGGCAACGACTCAAGCATGCTTGGTCCTTGGCGCATCGACTTTAAACAGAACCGACGTTCTCAACCTCCGAAATATTTTGGAGAAGAATAGAAACATCATGTGGATGCTATGATCCTCGCGTGCAGGAAGGAAGGGACTCCAAGTCGATCCGGTGAAGCTCGCCCTCCTCGCGCCGCAGCCTTCGCCGCAACCGTGACGGTCACAGCACCCACTGACCGAGTGAGGCTCGAGCTGCAGGGTGAGGAGTGATGTGATCACTCGTTTTGATACGATCATAGACCGTACATACTGCCTCGATTTGATTACTCGCCAAGTATGGGACATTTCGCTGCCGTGCGGCCAGGGCCAGCCGGCCCCACATCTCAATCAGGCCACTGGCCAGCCCGATCGTGCTCGGGGTCTCTTGGGCTATGCCCTGGCGGTAATTGAAAGACAGGGGATGTGCTTTGCTCCTTGCGGCCGCAGTTGTAACAGTCAAATTCGAGTCATCACGTGCCTGCATCGAGTTCCCTTGACATGCTCTGCCAAGTGCGCGATGAATAAAGCCCAGCCTGCCTCCGACAACAAACAGCCCAATGATGACATGCTGACATCAGCGGATATATAATTTCTCCATTTGACGGAACTCGGTCTAAGCTGCAAGTATAGTGATGCTGTCTTGAAAGTGTTGAGATAGGCGCCGAACAGATCTTTGTAGTGACAGACTAATCCTGAGCCCCGACAATTGAACCTCGATCGCCGCGCATGAGTATAGCCCCTGTGATTAGGAGCACATAATGCCGCCGCGCGTCATTTCAATACCGGCAGAGCTTTTGAAAACGTAAAAAGCAACCCGTAGAATCCGAGAGTCTCGTTGACTGCGTTTCTCCACTTTCGAGGCGCATTCTTCTCGTTTTGGCCGGCTTCTTCTCGTCTTGGCTGTTGACTCGACTCCTCGTCTACCGCTCATACAACATGATGTCGACTCTCGTGAGAGTTCGCAAAATGCAAAAGGGTAGTTTGCGTATGCTCTGAGTCCCATTGCCGCCGCCTGACAAGCCTTTCATGAAGGTTTTCGAATTGTCCCCCTCACAAGTAGCCACCTTCCTCACTGAAGCCGAGCACCTACTCCACCAAATCGCCACCAAAAGTCAGAACATTTGCAACTTCACCATCTTTGAAACTGATGAAGATAGCCGTCAACTATCGAATGTACTTCTCCGGCCGTTAGGCCGGTCCATCCTCAAATGTCAGAGATACATGCCAGATACTTAAGAAGAAAGGTCGGTCGAGGCCTCTCCCTACTGGCGCCGAGTGACCTTTGGACTCAAAGGCCTTAATCCTGCCCTTGTACATCAAACGGAACCCTGGTCAAAACTCGTGAGTGGACTAGTTCAACATTTAGCTTTCATCTCTTGCCATCGGATAGGGTCCAATTGCAAAGTTCGGATGCATGATTGAGCGCCTTGCCCAAATCAGAAAGCTCGGCGGTTCCCCTGGCTGGCGCCGAGTGGCTTTTGCATTCAAAGCGCACGTAACTGCTCGAATGTCCGATACAGAAATCTCGTCAAAATCGGTGAGTGAATTCGGTTAACATAATCAATACATCTCTTGCCATCGGACAGGGTCGAACCGCAAACTTCGGATGTATGTGCAAGCGCCTTTTCCGACCAACACGGCTTGGAGGTTCCCTTTTTCAGGAACTGAGGCCGAGGCACGAAGTGCGTAAGTACGAGAGCCGATGAAGATAGTAAAGATAGTTGGAGAAAGAAGATAAGCGCTAAGGGAGCGCGCGCGAGGCAGGCTCGAGACGCGCGGGGCGACTAATATCAACAACTAGTAACTAATCATAATCGGGAATACCAGTGGGATGAAACAGCAATATATTGACACCCCCCCGTGCTGTCATACCACTGCACCTCGCAAACCCAAATTCTCCCGATGGAAGATGAACGGCTTGGGACCCAAGGCTTTGGTGAAAATATCGGCAATCATGTCGCCGGTGGCGATGCAGCGGACCTCGATCTCCTTCTCAGCTACCCTCTCGCGGACGTAATGTTCCGAGATGCGAACATGACGAGACCCCTGATGGTTGGTCGGGTGCTGCGCAAGAGCCAGCGAACCTTGGTTGTCCCCGTAGAGTACGACTGGACCGGAGACCGGAGCGCCAAGTTCAGCCAGGAGTTCGCTCAGGTGGATGGCATCACCGCTTGTGTACGAAAGAGAGAGGTACTCTGCGTCGGTAGTGGACTTGGCCACCCTGTGCTCGCGTTTGGAGCACCAAGCAATAGCGGCTCCGGACAAGATGAACGCATAGCCCATGGTCGATCGTGAGGTCGTTAGACAGGCTCCCCAGTTCGCATCCGAGTAGCCACGGAGTGGTTGGCTGGTCTTGCGATAGGTGAGGCCCAAGTCCAGCGTGCCTTTGATGTAACGGAGGACCTGCTTGATGGCTGTCCAATGCTCCGGGCCAGGCTGCTGGGAGAAGCGAGCGAGGTAGCTGACCACGAAGGCGAGGTCCGGACGAGTTCCAACTGCGGCGTACATCAACGAACCGATGGCCTGCAAGTAGCGCGTACGATCCTGAGGAGTGGCCGCCAAGTCCTCGAAGTCAAGGACGACACCTGGCTGCATTGGAATACTTGCCGGCTTGGCATCGGTGAATTGGAACCTGGCAAGGATGTCCCGAAGGTAGCGCTCTTGTGAGAGCGTGATAGAGCCGTCTTGTCCACGTTTGACTTGGATGCCTAGAATATATTCGGCAGGTCCGAGACGTTTGATGCCGTATGCGAGTTCCAGCGCGTCCAGCACCCGCTCGATTTCGGCGGTAGAGGGACCAACCAAAAGCAAGTCGTCGACGTACAAGGCAATATAGTGTGAGTGCCCGTCGTGTTCGCGGCGGTAGATACAGATGTCAGACCTGGTGGGGACGTATCCGAGGGACCGCAGAGTCGAGTCGATCTCAGCGTTCCAGATGGTGCCGGCCTGGCGAAGGCCGTAGATGGATTTGGACAGCTTGAGGATCTTGCCTGGCAGGTTTATGCCCTGAGGGACGCGCATGTAGAGAGGCTTGTCAAGTTTGCCGTGTAAATACGCCTTGTTGACGTCGGCCTGATGGACGTGATAGCCGTTGGCCGCGGCGAGTGCGATGAGGGCTCGAATGGACGTGAATTTGACGACAGGGGCGTAGGTCTTCTTGAAGTCAAGGCCAGGGCGTTGGGCACATCCGTGAGCAACAAGTCGGGCCTTGTGATCGGTGATGTCGCCATGCTGGTTGCGTTTAGTCCGGAACACCCAGCCCGACCGCAGGAGGATCTCACCCGCTGGGAGCTCACAGGATTCGACGATTTGAAAGACCTCGTAATCGTTCAGAAGCGAATCGAATTCATCCTGTGCCGGAGCGCCCCAAACGTCCTCTTGTCCCGATCGGATGACGTCGCCCCAATTTGCCGGATCGCGAACAACCGACAAGTCATGATCTGCGAAGCCGGCCTTGGTGGATGCGAAGGCAAGGAGCAGGCTCTTGAAAGAGGCGGTGGGTCCGTCGGTGCCGTCGACTGGCTGTTCCCGCGTGATCATGGTGGGAACGGGTTGGCGGCGAGTCCGGGGGCCATCAATGATGTTTCGAGCGTCGACTTCACCGTACTTCCCTGGATCGGGACCAACCTTGGCGACGTCGCCGTACTCCCAACTCGGCTTGACTTTGGCGAGTGGAGCTGGATCCGGAGGTGGTTGCGGCAGGTTCACGGCTGACTCCGTCGTTGCGCTCGTGGTCGATGAGGCGTCGTCGTTGTCGGCCGAGCTGGTCGATGCGGGCGACGCGGGTGCCTCGACAGGCGTTGGGGCCGGTGGCCGTGGGGGAGGCTCGACGGGTGTTGGAGCTTCGACGGGTGGGGGCTGGGGGGCGTAACCCGGGATGGACGGCTGCGTCACTCGGGTGGGCGCGATAGCGAAGGGGAACTCGGTTTCTACGAACGTCACATTGCGGCCCAGACTCACACGCATGGAGGAAGGATCGAGAAGACGGTAGGCTTTCGCGTGTCGATCGTACCCGACGAAGACCAGAGGAATCCCTTTTGGGTCGAGCTTGTCCCGTCGGTGAGCCGGCACGGTGGTCCAAGCGCGACAACCGAATGCCCGAAGACCCCCTACGCTTGGTGTGTGGCCCGACCAACGACTGTTTGGGATGGCTCCACCAAGGGCCGCGTGAGGCGAGAGGTTCTTGGCGTGAATGTAACACATGGCAGCCTCGTCCCAGCACGATCGTGGGAGTCCCGAGTGAGACAGTAGAGCCAGGGTGCCCTCGACGATCGACCGGTTGGCTCGCTCAGCCCGACCGTTTTGCTCGGGTGTGTACGGTATGGTCAATTCGCGATGAATTCCGCGGGCCACGCAATAGCCGTTGAAAGCGGTAGAGACATACTCGCCCCCGTTGTCCGAGCGAAGTGTTTTGACCCTGCGACCCGTGGCGTTTTCGATCTCCAGAAGCCAATCCTTGAATGTCTGAAGGACCTCGCTCTTGTGCCCGATAGGGTAAGCCCAAGTCTTCCTCGAGAAGTCGTCGATGAACGTGACGAGGTATCGCTTATGGCCTAAGGATTCCTCGGGGAAAGATAAGACGTCCGAGTGCACCAATGCGAGTGGTTCCGCGGCATGCGACGACGAAGAGGGGAAAGGCAAACGATGCGCTTTGGAGGCAAGGCACGCGTTGCAGGTGAAGCCATCACACTCGAAGTCACTATAGGGCCAATCTAAACCCTCCACCTGGCCAGAGGCCGCCAGTTTTTTAAGTGTCTGGACAGAGGCGTGGCCGTAGCGCCGGTGAAGGGTAAGTAAAGGTAGCCTATTGGACTTGGTGGCAACGAGGGTGTGTCGCGCATCTTTGCTGGCAGCTTGGACCGAAGCGTTGAGTTTGTAAACGCAGGACGCGATGGCTGATGCTGTGGCGATGCACCCTTGCGGCGTGCGGAGCTCGACTTGTCCGTGTTCGAAGGTGATGCGAACGCCTTTGCGGTCGAAGGCCCGGACTGAGATGAGGTTGGCAGGGCTCTCGGGGGCGTAGATCACGTCGTTGAGGGTGAACCTGGTACCATTATCGGAGACGAGCTTGACCGAGCCGATTCCCGAGGCCTTCACCGTTCCCCCTAGACCTTGCAGGACTTGCGGGGTAGGTGAAAGGGGGCCGTCAAAGAAGGACGCATCGTTGACGACGTGGCACGCCGACGCCGAGTCTAGCAGAAGGATTTACGCCGGTGGCCCGATGTTGACAAACGTAGCAGAAGAAACGACGGACAGGTGTTGATCCTTGGATGCTGCCTCGGTGGCCACGAACGTGGACGCAGGCGATGATGAGCCTTGGAGTTCCTTCATGGCGTTCTTGAGCTCGAGGTACTTGGCTCGCTTGCGCGATTCCGGACACTTGTCGAGCCAGTGTTTGCCTTGACCACAAGTTGGGCAGTTGCTCGGGGCAGGACCAGAACGATCCCATTTTCCCTTCTTGCCTGGTGCAGAGCGTTTGGTCGGTACGACCGCCTTCGCAACGGGGACCGTCGCTCGATTCGTCCGAGCGTTGAATCCAGCCCAAGAGGGCGGGCATGGCGGCATCGCATCGTGGGGACCCAGTCAACGTAATTGTCCTCCGTAAGTTTCGAGTCGTCGGGGAAGACCGGAGGGTTGGCTGGGGGTAGGCGCTGACGCATGGATAATGCGTCGTCGTCCCGTGCGGGGCGCTGGTTCCTGATCAGCTCGTCGAATTGCTCTTTAGTGAGCGTGACGGAGGTAGTGGAGGCGACGTCGTTGGTATGGTACGACGTTGATGACGGTGGTGGAGGCGTTGATGCCATGTCACCGTGGACGTCGAGGTCGCCCGCCGCTGATAGGCTAGGTGGGCTCATAACCTTTCAGGAACTGAGGCCGAGGCACGAAGTGCGTAAGTACGAGAGCCGATGAAGATAGTAAAGATAGTTGGAGAAAGAAGATAAGCGCTAAGGGGGAGCGCGCGCGAGGCAGGCTCGAGACGCGCGGGGCGACTAATATCAACAACTAGTAACTAATCATAATCGGGAATACCAGTGGGATGAAACAGCAACAATATATTGACACCCTTACTGGTGCCGAGTGACTTTTCATCCAAAGCGCAGGCACCTGCTCAAGTATCAGAAGCTTGCACCTCGTCAAAATCGGTGAGTAGGTCTGGTCGATAGGAACAATACATTCCATGTCGTGAGCCAAGGTTGATTCGCGACTCCAGTTGCATGTGCGAGGGCCACCCTGGAAGACTATGTCCCACTCGGGGCCTCAGCTTGCAGACGCCGAGCGTCGAGTGACTTTTGCACCCCAAACCGCTGTTCCTGTCCGTGTCAGATTACCTTCCTCTCCTCAATGTCACCCATTCCACGATTATCCACCCTACATCGATGTCTGTTCGATCGGCAAGTTTGACGTGTACATCCGAGGTGCCGAGCGATGCATTCGGAAAGCGATCATGCACGTTGGCTGTTCTCCGACTGAGACTTTTCCTGCTCAAAACTTCCCCCATGCTACGAAGCCCGCGCTATGTTCAAAATTTGCCATTCGCTTATTGAAAAGTATTTCAGGTATCTCCTACCCTCAGTCCAAAAACGGACCTTTCAGATGCAAGTCAAAGCATTGAATGCCGGACCGATTCGGCGGCGCGCATTACTGGTCAGCACTAGTACTTGTTGGTCAAGTCTTTCATGTAGAATCATTTCGCATCTCGCACGAACGGGCCGATGTGCAGTCATGGGGAGCGAGTAACGGAACTGTCTTATTAGTAGTTCCACAAGCTCCGAGGATGAAGCACCTCTGCTTGTGTGCTCACATCGGCAGACGCCGACGGCAATCTCGCCTGGGTCACGTGAGGACGATTTACTCCTGTTCGCCAAATTTGGCTGCACTAGTGACTGTACTATTACAGACTACTGCTTACGCCATCACCATATCACTTATTGGGGGAACCACAGGTGGTCGGTAGATCTAAGGAAGCAAACAATGCACTACGTAAGTCAAGAAGGCCGAGTCGATGGGAGTAGTCTCAGCACTAGCTTGTCGGATATCGGACCTTGCCGCCGAGCTCGATTTCGCAGTTGGTAAAGAATGTTCCGCAAGTTTTGGTTGGAGAAGCGAGGTCGAAGTGAGATAAAAAGACGTAACCCATGATAACTTTTCATACAGGCATGCTCAGTGTTCACAGTGGTACCCCAATCAGATGAGACCTGAGCTAAGGACCGTGAGGACTGTTGGAGATTATGAATGCCTGATCTCGAAGTCTGGGACGATTGTACGACGACGAATGGGGAAGACTGACGTCACGTCATCACTACACCTACACAACATTGATGTCAGACCTCTTCAAGTCCGCTCCATCTACGCCGTTGAATTGTAGGGCATCGCAGTGCCTCCCGTTCAACAGGCTAATAAGGGAAAGCCCAGAGTACGTCAGCGAGTGACAGCTGGCGTCGCGATGGGCATCGCTAGAGAGCATATCTGCTGAAGAACAAGACGTGACACGACGGAGTTGAGGGGCTGTAACTCCAATCCCAGTCTGTGACCTGGCGGACGACGTGACTGACTTCATGCCCGCGTTGATGAGCCTGATGCAGGCTTGAGACGCGTCGGAGTTCGTCCGGCGGCACGAACTTATGGAGCCGAGTGGCCAACGTTCTGTTTCAGAGCCTTCGAGTAGACGCGAGGTAGTCCATTTCAAGAAGGCTGGACCTTTTCGTAGAGAGTGTGCCGCGCAGAACGAGTTGTCGAGGTCGATGCGTGCGTGCGATGTGAGCAGCAGCAGCAGAGGAGCGAAGAGCTGCAGAGGCGACGACAGCGACGCGCTATCAGCGACGGATCACGTGCTCGACCGACCTCCAGCTTGAGCAGGCTTGAGCTTGAGCGAGCCTGCTCGTAGTACGTACAGCGACTCGTCGTCCAAAAATGGTCAACATTGAAAGTAGATCTTTCGTTTCTGTTGATATTACAATGTCAAGATGTAATCTTATTCTCCCGTCAGAAATTGCATACAGCCTTCTACAGCAGGCGGGTCAACTGTTGTAGTCGAAGCGGACTTGAACAGGACGTGTCGGCTTCTGCCGCGCCGAACTTGCTCCCGGCCCAGGATGCCGATCCGATCGGCTTTTTTCGCCGCTGCGCGGCGCGATTAAGATCGTCCCTTCTTTTGTCTGCCCGAGGTGAGTTGCGGACTGTTGCGGAGCTCACCAGAGCTCACCAGAGCTCACCCGGCGCTACCCGGCGGGCGTCTGCGGGCGTCAGTCGGGCGTCAGCGCGCGTGGGCTGGCTCAGGCGTGGGCTATTAATTAATAGGCGCGGTCGTCGGGGCCAATAGCACTGCAGAGTAATACGTACGTCAGCGAGAACTCAGCTTTTAGCGCTTGCATCCGTTCCTGCAACGTAGCACGCACTCTTTTCCCTTCCGTTATAAGGCGATCGACATCCTAGGCACGCCGCAACCACTTGAGAGCCTCCCGGCCCCTCATCGAGCCACTGCAAGTCGTCTAGTAGCTTGAAGCCCCCCCTGTTCTCTTCAAGTTGGCCAGCTGCAGAGCAGAGATCGGATCGCGACAGCCTTCTCGAAACTTGGGACGGCTCAGAGCAGTTCCGATCTTTACTGCCGACGACACTCGTCATTCCTCCGATATGCCACCCAAAACATCCACACATCTTGGCAATGGCGATCCTCCGAGTCCTCGACCTCGCAAACGCGCCCGCACGACGATCGACCCTTCCGAATCGGAGCAGGTCACTCGTCTCGATCCCATCTACCGACTTCCCTTCTTCCAGGCTCACGTGTACTATGTCCCCTAGTTCGTCGAGCCTGATCTAGCTACAAAGTGGTACGACGAACTGCTAGTGATCCCGGGATGTAAGTGGCCGTCCCGCACGGTCTTTGCTTACTGAAGCCGAGGAGTGAAAAATTGATCTCCGAGCTCTCCTTGAACGCCTTCCACAGGGTATCAACCGACGCTCAAAATGTACGGAAAGTTGATTACGCAGTCTAGAAAGATCTGTGGTCAGTTTGTTCCCGCGCTTGAAGTCACCCGTCATGGACACTAAAGGGAGAAAACCCTTATTTCTAGCGTATGCGACCGACCCTGCTCTCACCGTCAAGTACAGCGGCACGACGGTCGATATACGATACGACTACCCACCGGTCCTGTCCGAAATCCAAAAGATGGTCGAAGAAGTGCTAGGTGTCTCGTTCAATCATTGCATGTTGAACCTATACGAGGATGGTACGTCCCCGACTGGCCCCTCACTGAAAAGGTGCCGAAGGTGGCGGGCACCATCGCGACGGCACTGACAAAGTTTTGCATGATCGGTAGGCAAAGTCTACATCGAGAATCACCGCGATAACAAGGAAAACAGAGTCATCGCCTCCGTCTCATTGGGAGCAGAACGAACTTTCATCATGACCCATGCTCCTCCCGCACGTTATTCTCGACGGGACAAGGGCGAATCAAAGTCTGCAACGATACCGCACAACCCGGACCAAGAAGGAGAAGAAGACGGGTCTGTGCTGCTAAGGCCCCACAAATGGAAGCTTCACCATGGATCCTTGGTCGTGATGCAAGGGGAGACTCAAACGTATTGGAAACACGAAATCCCGAAAGAGCCAAAGGTCAAGGGAGGGAGGATTAGTCTCACGTTTCGGCAGTTGGTGTTTTGACGATCATTACACGCCCAATATTCAGTGTCTGGCAAGGTTTGTAGATTGCAGGCTGCATGCAGAAAACACCGTTTGAGGTATGGCACAGCGCCAGCTGCGGATCGGGACATCACCAAGCGGCGGGCTTCCACGGCTTCTCAGATATGAGGCGAACCCGCGCCGTTGAATCATCGTCTCGGAGGCGGAACACGCAAGCAGTTCGTCTGCGCTAATTCTACATGTTGGTGCGATGTTTCGAGATGTTGTGCTCCCATTTAGCGTTAGACGTATCGGTGAAAGCGCGGGGGTTCGGAATGATTGGACATGTCCGAACAGGACCGAAAGCCATCGAGTTGGGCGAAGGACTCGACCATGAGCCGGGACTGCCAGAAGCGACGGGAGAAGGTCCCAGTTCGGAGCCTCGACGAGGGTCCGAGACCACCTCTCAGTTCACCGTAGCAAGTTCATGCGGTGATGGGTTGTCTCGTCACCGTCGGCTCGTTCTGCGTAGTCGATCTCCACGTTCGACGGCATCGCGGAAGAACCTGAAGGTCAAGGTTAAGAGAGCGAAGTTCGGGCTTCTGCAGTCGCGTCAGAGCCGAGGCGCGGCTTGTGCATGATTCGAGTGGTCAGCACGGACTTGAAGCTTCACACGAACGAAGCCAGTCTAGGAATCCATTAGTAAAAGGGGTAGTTGGGTGGTTTAAGCTACTTCTTTGGGACTGTACAAGAGTAAACTGAGTTGGTTCGCAATCAGCCGCAATCGGGGCGGAAACATGAGATTGGTGCTGCAGCCGATCGCCGCGGCGGCCGTTCCAGCGAGGCAGGGGTTAGTCCCAGTCGGTGTTTTGCAGCAAACGTTACACACGATCGCAATGGCTACACCAGCTCAGTGGGCAGTGCTTGCATACAGGATGTGCAAGGTAACTGTGACACACGACACTGCAGTATAAATGCAAGGGGGCAGCGGTGCTTCGACACAAGTTGAGATTTGGATTGACATAGGGAACGAACGAGACAAGAGCAGATGAAAGAGGGAGAAAGTCAGGGCACCAGAGAGAATATGGGCTCAACGTTGAATTATGTAGGTAGGGTGGGGTGAGCGAAAGAATGGGTGCTAAGACAAGCTTAGAGCCCTTCTCGCAGAAAAAAAAGGGGGAGGATGGAGGACGACGAATAAACGGAGGACGAAGAGCGATCAAACACGTCCACCATCACAAGCAGAATGACGATCTATATTAAACAGAAAGGGAAGAGGGCTATGTCGAAACAAGGATGCGATGCACGGTCCAAAAAGCAACCGGATGCGTGGCGAGTGGCGACTCGCTTATGCGGGGCGCGAGCCAGCACGGGAGAGCTGGGCACCGGCCGAGGCGGCTTGGCGCGACGAGAACCTCGACAACTCGTTTTGCGAGATCGAGACCTTCTTGCCACCCAGACCGACCGAAGCCTGAGCACGGCGCAAGAAAGAGGTTCGGTTCGAGTAGAGCGAAGCGGTGCGCGATTGGGTGCGCGTCATGGGTACACCTGTGTCCTGGACGGCGGTGCGGGCCTTGCGCGACGCCTGGTATTGGCGAATGATGGCGCGCATGCCGAACTTGACAAGATCTGTGGATGAGCGCAGGCTAGACGTTAGCGAGAGCAAATAGATTACAGCGTGAGCAGCCGAAAGACGTACCCAAGGGGAAGAACTGCGCGAGAGGAGGGAGGGGCAGAGGAGGGAACGAGCATGAGGGCGAATCAGCGATCGAGCGTCGAGAGGAGCGAGCGAGAGGGGCCATAGGACGCGAAAGACTCACCCAGACGATGTTCCAGATCCAAACGAAGCCAATGTAGCCACCAGAGATGCCTGTGGGTGTGCGGACAAAATAAACGGACGCAGATCAGCGTCAGGAGCCTCCCAGTCGACTGTTCATCAGATTTTGCGCACTTGAAACATTTGAGAATCCCCAATCGCCGTAGGCAGCTATGATTGACGAAACGAGTTGTGCCAAACAGAAGGCACCAAACAGTGCAAGGGAAGGACGTTCGAGGAAGAACCATCCGTGAGATCGGGTGATGAAAATCAGGGCCTGCGAGATCTGGGCGACCTGGAGGTAGATGATCATGTGGATCTTGGGGTCGTTGGGGTCCGAAAGTTGTTCAAGACCGAGCTTGTCGGCGCAGAACGAAGTATCCATGATGACCAAGTAGCAGGCGATGGTGCCGACGGCGAGGTACAGACCGTAGGCGATGGCGTAAGCAAAGATCTCGGCCAAGTCCCACGAGTCGGGCGTGCTCGAGGGCAACACGCGATCGACGGAGAGGGTCATGATGGTACCATCGTTGAGCAAGGCAATGATAAGGACCATGAAGGGAGGGAAGTCGAAGCGGAAGGCAAAGGCCATGATCGCGAAGCCGACGACGATACGGATCGTGACGGCGCAGGCGTAGATCGAGTAGTTGCGCATACGTTGGAAGATGACACGCGATTGACGGATGGCGTGAACGATGGTTGACAATCCGGGTTCGGTCAAGACGATATCGGCAGCACCGCGAGCGGCATCGGTGGCGCCTTCGACGGCGATACCGACGTTGGCACGGGACAAGGCGGGGGCATCGTTGGCACCGTCACCGGTCATGGCGCATAAGTGACCGAGGGCCTGGAGGCGCTTGACGATCTCGTACTTGTGTTCGGGGAAGACACCGGCGAATCCATCGGCATCCAGGATCATCTCGTCGAGCGAAGCGTGCTTGCCACCTTCGGGGAAGCCACCGGTTTGCAGGACCTTGGCGGGGTACATGTGGTCACCGAGGCCGAGACGGCGACCTGTCTCCTTGGCGATGGCGAGCTGATCACCGGTAACCATCTTGACGCGGACACCGAGGGCTTGGGCATCGTCAATCGTTTGCTTGGTGTCTTCACGAGGGGGGTCAAAGATGGCGAGGAGACCGATGAGTTCAAAGCCGTCACCCTTGTCCTCGTGGTTACCGGAGGGAACGTTCTCGAATGCGACGGCGAGGGCACGGAGACCACGTGCCGCGAATTCCTCGACATCCTTCTCGAGCTGGTCCTCGACCTCAGGGCTCTTGTTGCGCGAGCACAATTCGATGATGATACCGGTCATACCCTTGGTGACACGCTTCATCTTGCCGGTAGACTCTTCGATGTAGGTGATTTCGGTACGCTTGTCAGTGGGGTTGAAGGCTTTGAAGTCGACCAACTTGATACCCTTGCGCGCGAGCGAGATGTCGCCACCAATGGCACCAGTAACGCAGGTGTCGATGGCGTCCATGTTTTCCGTTCGCGAGGCGTACGCAGCGTGGAGGATGACAGTCTGGGCATCCATCTCGGAGTAGGTCTTGAGGGTCGTCAAATCGATCGTGAGCTTGTTGGTCGTGAGCGTACCGGTCTTGTCGGAGCACAAGATCGTGACACCGGCGAGTTCTTCGATGGCGGTGATACGGGTGACGATAGCTTTGTACTTAGCAAGCTGCTGAGCACCGACGGCGAGCGTGACGGACAAGACGGTGGGCATGGCGATGGGGATACCACCGATCAAGAGGACGAGGATGCAGTCGAGGCCACGGCGGTACGAGTAGTGGAACGCGGGGTACAGTATGACGATTTCGAGGACGATGAAGAGACCGATCGAGCACAAACAGAAGAGACCGATCTGGGCGAGAATCTTCTGCAAGTGACCAGTCGAGTCGTCATCGGCACCGACGAGCGAGGCAGCGCGACCGAAGAAGGTATTGGCACCGGTAGCAATAACGACACCCTCGGCTTCACCTTGCTTGCAGATGGACGACGAGAAGCACTGGTCCCCGACCTTCTTGCCCTGGGGCAACGATTCGCCGGTGAGACCGGCTTGATCGATCGAGACGGTGATGGCATCGTAGAGACGGCAATCGGCGGGGACAATGTCACCGATCTTGAACGCGATCACATCACCAGGGACGAGGTCGGCCGAGTCGATTTCGTTCCAGACGCCGCTGCGGCGGCACTTGGCCTTGGGGGCAAGCGATTCCATGAGGGCCTTGACAGCATTACCAGCAGATCGTTCTTCGTAGTAACCAATACCAGAGTTGATGAAGAGCAGAAGGATGATACCGACGAAATCTTGCCAATCTGGCGCCTTGCCTCCTCCGTTGGAGAGGGCGATGGCAACCAAGGCCGCGCCTTCCATGACCCACGAGAGGGGATTCCACATGAAGCTGCGAGAGATGCAGAAGGGGCAAGGGTCAGCGTCTGACTGGGCTCGGCGCGGCGACGACAAAGGGCGGAGAGGAGCGCGGGAGGATGCGTGCGCTGATTTTCGACGCTACGTGGGCCAATTCCCGGAGCGGAGTGTCCGACCCGGCTAACGCACGAGAGAATAGTGCTGACTTACGAGAGGAACTGCAGGAAAGCAGAAGTTTCCTTATGCTCAAGCTTGTTGGGCCCGAAAATTTCGCGGCGGCGAGTAGCCTCCTCCTCGGTAAGACCCTCTTCCTTGCATCTACGAGGGCGGTTGTTCGGGAACGACCGGCGGGCGAGGAGGCACGTCGGGTGGCGATCGAGGCGTTGAAGTGATGATGAGAATGATAGACAGTTCCGGAAGGAAAAAGAGAAGAGGTAACGATAATGAAGTGAACAAGCTGGTCAGCACAAGGGTTGAAGGGCCGGCATGGTACTGTAGCTGTGCTCGTAAATGGGGAAAACGAGTGACGTTGATTGATTTGCGCCCGGCTGGCGCGTGCCACACGCGCTACTTCGCCCAGGGCGGACCCAAAGGGTCGCGGCCAAGGTCGCACAAAGTGCATGTTCGGAAGCTAGAGGGTCGAATGACATAAGAGGACGGCAGAGCACTCGGTGCGCATAAGATGGTACCAGCCGCTAGTGCGCGATGGAGCGAGTGGATGACAGTCTCGAGACGCCCAGATCCGCCCAAACAGTGACCTTTTGTCGGGTTGGCTCAGTCCGCCGCCGTTGCCTCCGCCTCCTCAGAGACCGCCGCAGAGATGCAGTCTCCAAGGAGAGACGAGACAGACACGGGGGAAACACACGAGCCAACTCTGACAAATAACATTGCTGGCATGCCATCGCAGCATCCTGAGCAGTGACCCACTCGTCCTCCATTGGGCGACCCAGCCTCCAAACTGGCCTAGGCCACGCCAGGCGAAGCCCAGCGGGGTTTGTGCCGTTGTGCCAAAGCGAGGCGCGGGGGACCCTAGAAAAAACATAGGCCGCCCGCGACGACCGAGAAACGCCCGCGCGCTAGGCAGCGCTGTGCGCCAGCCAACGTCGACGCCCGCGAGACTAGGCCGCCGGTAGACCTCGAGATCGATCCCCGCCCGCCGCCCGGCGAAACCCCCGTAACGGACGTTAGCGAGAGCACACCATCATGCCTCATGAGGTCGATCACGAGCCCCAGGACAGCATGCAATAACAGCTCCAAGAGGAATCGCTCCGGGAAGCATGGCCGAAGAGAACTATGCGTCGCAGACAGAACGAGCACGCAACCCGAAGCGGAACACGAAACCGAGACGGGAATGGGAACTGACTGCAAGAGGGTCCAGACGTCTTCGAGCTCGACTTGCTCGAGGTCGACCTTGTCCTTGTCGTACAAGTCCTCGGCCTTGAGCTCGATGGTGGACATGTCAACGTTGGCATGCTTGACCTGACGCTCCTCTTCGAAAGTCTTGTCGAAGCGGCCCTCCTTCTTAGCCTCGGTCGGCGTAGCCTCCGCCCCACTGCTCGTGGCAGCGGCGGGGGCGACGGCGGCGGGTGCAGGCGATGTAGTGTCGGTCGTCTTCTTCTCGGCCGAGATGTCGGACGCTTGCTCGTTGTGGTCGGCCATGTTGCGCGAACACGGAACGGGGCGAACGGGTGAGGGGGGAGAAGCGGAAAGGGAAGACGGGCGTGCGAGGGAGGCGAGCGGAGGATAAGGAGGGGGCGATTGCACGGGATCGCATCAGTGCTGCCAGCGGCGCGAAATTGGTCTACTGCGAATTGCGCACGGGGGGGGGGGCATCAAGTTGAAGGAACGCCTGTGCCAGCGCCAGGGCCGGACGCAGAGCCTTCGCGCCAAAATGGGCCGAAAGTCGGACAATAAACAGCTTCCCGGCCGCTGGTTCTTGCTCGTTCGGGCGCGTCGCCCTAAACAGGCCAAAGTCCCAAAAGGCAGCTCCCCCAGCCTTTTCGCACTTCACGGGCTTGGAATGGGAATTTGTAGAGACCCCACCGACCAATAGGATGAACGAACATGGGACCGCTTTATCCCGACCGCGACCCCCGACTGGCAGGTGCAGGCCATCCTCTCGTCGAAGAGGTTAGATCAGGGATCCCCGTTCATTGTAGTGAATTTTTCATGTCGGTACCTTGGTGTCTACAGTCACCACATCCCCAAAGTCGTAAGTGGGATTTAGCCAATTAATGCCGCGTCGGACGGGTCTGTCATAACCGAGCCATCGTAATCGGAGTTCGGCCACGCGCGCCGGTTTGTCCGCAGCGCTGAGGTAAAAATGCTGACCATGACGAGTATCTGGACGATACGCACGGTCGGTACTCACGGCGGTTCGATTCGGCTTTCGCCTACTTATGTTTTATGTGTACGTCACAAGGCATCTACCAGATCGCTATGGAATTCATAATTACGGAGCAGCGTCTCAATTCGGAGTTAGCTTGCTCTGCACGCAATCCCTTGCACCTCTGATCAAGACCGAGCAGAATTAGGAGTTGCCCGAGACGACGACGATTCGCGCGGTCGCGCAAACTAAGGTCATAAAGAGCAATCAAGCTCTCGCCTCTTTCTTTTGGATGCAAGTCCAAACGAACCTATATGTAGCTTGACATGTATCGGGCCCGACCGAGTACAATTGTCTGCATGCAAGTTGCGCGGAAAGGTCAAAGAGCTCAGGAGTCAGACTTTTGCAACTCGAGCAGGAATCTACCATAGCGATCGACCTAAGGCTACGCCACCTCAGTCTATTTTCCCATGTAGATTATTTCTATCCATACTTGATTTTCCAAGCCCCTTGCGATCACCTGGCATTTTCTTACTTCGGTGTGTATATGCCGCGTCGTCCCGTCCGCCAGCGACCGGATTGGTGCAAATCTTGCAGCACTTTTGCATGCGAAGCAGCTGGTCGGCGAATCAAAGATATGTGCTCGATATTGGTAAGACAAGCACCTCAAGACTTTCTTTGGAAAAAACAATCATCGCGACGGAGCTTCTACAGTAGTTTTCTTCCGATGAAGTTTTTTTCAAACCATCGTCGACGTCGATCAGCGTAGGCCCAGTGGCACCTCCGCAATATGTTTCACTGCAAGTTGCCTACTGGACCTGGACGAAATATCGGTGTCAGTGATGAAAAGAATATGCCTCAAATCTGCTTTAGCAAGAAGAGATGATCCGAGAGCAACATCCTGTACCGCTGTAGCTAGGCGATCCCCGAGGGGCCGCGGGAAAAGAATGACCACGGAGGCGGTATCTGCCGAGCAGCAGCCTCGCCGACCGTCCAGGGCAGTGTCTTTTACCACCTTCTCCTGGTATTTCACTTGAGTGTTTCCTGTAGCTTCCGCGTCTTTTCCTGCCTACTCACCTAATCCAGCTTGGGAAAGAAAAAAGCTCCAGATTCTATAATTACCGGTGAGGGTACGCGAGCCGAGGAAAGAATGACGATGATGAATGGACAGACTCCAAACTCGCCCAACGCCCGCACCGCACCCGCGGAGTTTGCGGAAGCGAACCGCGCGCCGAAGTTCTCGGCAGCGCCAATTCGGTCCTGCCGCAGCCTTATCAATCTATTTCCGACCTCTGCGAAGCTCCAACGCCGAAGCACCAAACCCCTCGAATGAGCTCATGATGGTTTTCTTTTCTGTGTTCAAAGTTCAACGCCCGCCGACGGGGCCGGCACTTGCTGACTGATGAACCCCCAGTCCCCCAGGCCCCCCACCGCGTCCTAACCCCCTCGGCGCCTCGGGGCGTCAGCAAGGTGTACAGGCCAATCGGAACCCGAGAGTTTGTCCACCCGCCTTATCGTCCGGCATCACGATCAGGCTTCATAAATGATCTGTCCAGTCCCAAGCCACTCGAGTGTCTAGAAAGGCCGCTAGCGTAGCGAACTGGTACCGAGGTATATGAGTATCGGTGTAGTTGATCGTCTCCGTTGATTTGTGCTGCTTTTACAATGACCATCTACATCGACACTTTAATCGATTCGGGGCGACGAGTCGCCGATCACTCTGATTGCGAAGCTACGGAGGCTGAGATGTCGACTCTCAAGTTCTGGACAGTGGGCACACCAATTATCCTGGCCTATAAAGGCGGAGAGAGTCGGGTAAAGCTACACAAGCTACGATGTTTGATCCTATAACATGTCCTATGCGCCTACCCGGCCGCATCGATGGTGGTAGTTGGTACTCATGCTCGGCGCGTTCGACCGGCCGCTGCAGCGCGGAAAAATGGGGGTTATAAAGAGTCTCATCTTCAAGACCTTGCATGAAGCTATCAAGACGAGGAAACTCCCGGACAGCACTTCATAACATTGTGTCCGAGAACCCGAGTTCAAGACAGGAGCGGTAAAGATCAAACTCTCGAGCGGGAATCCAGATTCCAAGTTGTCCACCTTAGCGGTCCGCACCGGCCTGCCTGCGATGAAGAATGCTGTATTTTTCAAGTGTGGTATGCATAAAATCATAGCCTATGGAAGAGGTGGCCGGGACGACAGAGAGTGCTGAAACAACGAGGATACGTATGCAGATGAGTAAGCGAGATGTCCAAGCGAGCCAACTTGACATGCCGCGACGAATGGAGAACCGGGATCCCTCCGCGCCGCCTCAGCACCAAAGTGCAAGCCAACCTAACCGACAAACTGTCTCAACTGGCTATGAGCAAGCCTCTCCACCGCTCGGATCTCGTCCAGCCCCCGTCGGTCGTGTGATGCGGCTATGGTATCGGCTCTCGCATGCAGGCAGACAATGACGGTCTCGATAACTTTGGGGACAAACTCGCGCACCTCCTCGGCCTGGCAGAAAGATCATTGCAGGAGCTCCGGTCAGCTTCGCGCTCCAACACCTCTCGAGACACCAGGAACATGCGACGCACCTTCCTGTCCATCGCGGAAAGGCACTTCTGCACCCAGAGCAGATACTGTCGAGCCTCGGCGTTGAAAGGCCCGGGTTGACCGGACAGGCGCCCTGCGAGCTGATATGCGAGCGATAGAATCACAGGAGGCGAGATCCGGGGCGGCAACGACGTGGGAGGGAAGACGCGGTCGGCTGTGGCGGGAGATGAAGATCCGATGATACTCAATAGTTCAGCAAATTCGGGGGCGTGCTGCGGTTGCAATGCGTCGGTGAACTATGGGGAGGTGGAGCGAAACGGTGTGAGCCCAGGGCAGTTCAGGGGCAAGTAGCCCGTCATAACTGACCATTTCTTCATAGTCTTCATCGGCATAGTCCCCGTCAGACGATTGTGGGTGAGTGAATGTCGAAAGCGCACTGGACGAAGAAGGCTGCCGCTGGGTCGGTGCATGCACCACCTGCTGAGTCGGCGGGTGGGGCTGGGCTTGGGAGACCGAGGCTTGTCGTCGCGATGTCGATGCGCCTGGCTGACGATTCGGTGCTGCAGCGACCGATGATGCGGATGATCTGTTGCAAAGAGAGAGCACGAGCTGCTCCATCCGCACCAACGAGGTCTTGAGCTCCGAGATTTCCCCCTTGAGGTCGCCGACCAAGGTTTCCAGCTCGACGATCGCACCAGCCTGCTCCTGCACGATCTCTTTGCGCACGTCGGTCATCTCGGCGAGGACGGTGTCGCGAACCGACTGCATCACACCCTCGACCGCCGAAGCGAGCGATGAATTGAAGCCAGGGATGACACCGGTGGCGACGACCGACAGCAGTTGGCGTTCGACCGCTTCAGAGATGGAAGGAACAATCGCAGCCGATACACTCTGTGCGATGTGGTTGCTCATCTCGGGACGAGACAAAAGCTTGCGCAGCTCTCTTGGTAGCGTCTGGCCACCGGAAACAGACTAGCGTTAGCGATTAAATCGGACGATTATCAGAGACTCGGCAACACTACTGACCTCGCTCATAGCCTCCTCGATCCCTCGAGCGACCTGTTCGTTGATCGAAGCGGTGACCAACTTGCTCATCGACGGGATGACCTGCGCTCGCATCTGCTCCCTCACCGTCGTATCCAACTTCTTCGACAACGCGCTCGACACCAGTTTCAACAAAGTCTCTTGTCTTGCTACATCCGCGGTTCGGTCATTAGCCCGTTCCTCGGCGGCGTGGTGGGCTTGCACCTGCATCTCCTTCTGAATCGCCTTGGTGATGCGGTCCTCGACTCTGCGCAGCTCACGCGAAACGTCGGGTGTGACTGACGCCTGTTTCGCTCCTTTCTGACCACGCGCAGGTGTGCTGGGATGGCTGACCGGATCCTCGACTTGGTTGTGAGTCGCCTTCCATGCGGGGATATCGCCCTCGGGACTATTGGGACCATCGCGAGAGCTCGCTTGAGGTACCTCTGCCGCGGCGCTGCCGGGTTCTTCCTGAATCGGTTCCTCGAGTTTCAACTTGACCGCCAGGCGAGAATGAGGAGAGGATGTCGAGACTTCATCGACATCAACCACAACCTCGACCTCCGACTCGACGCGAATCGATCCCTCCAGGCTCATACGTCGACCGGGTCCGCCGTACGGCTCGTCATCGTCGTCGCTGTCGTGCCCTCTCCCCTTTCCCACCGCGAGGCCGGGGAAGTCGAATGTGACGGCATGCAAGCCACCGGGATGAGCGATGAGCGTCGACAACGATGGTGTGTCGCTGGAACGTGCGCCCGAAAAGTCCTCGTCAACGGAAATTTCGACGAGAGGTTCGGCAGTGGCGATCTCGGCGACATGCTCCACTCGCGGCTCCATGAGCTCGCTTCGATGGGCAAACAGATCGCAGTCGGGAGCTGAACGTGAACTCTCGGACTCGTCGACACCGATTCGGAAAGCGAAAAGCGATCCTCTGGCGGAAGAGGATACGAAAAGCGTGGTGCTGGGCTGGTGGTAGAAGAGATGGGCAAAATTGGTACAGGACTGGGCTTCCGCCATTTTCGCAGAGAGGGTGAACTCGATCGAATTCGTGTCAGGGGGCGCGTGACCGCCTCGAGAGAGTGACAGCAGCTGGAGACGACTACCCTCACGAGCCGCTAGGACGAGCCCAGCCGGTCGTCCGTTCGAGGTGGTGAGGAACGCGATCTCGGTTGCTTCCGCGCCATCGGCTGGGGTCAACGTCGGAAATCGAGACCACAGAATCTTCTCCGGGGCGCTGGTCTTGCGAATCGTCACCCCAGATCCGACGGTGAGAGCAGCGAATGCGGTGCCATCGGGAGAGAAGCATACACTGGCCAGCCCTTCCCCACAGTTCGCAGTTCGCACCGCAGACTCGATCGACACATCGGGCATTCGAGCCCGCTCTAAGTGCATGATAACGACGCTCGACGAGCCAAGTACGAGGGCGAGTCGTGGCACGGTGGGGAATTGAGGGTGGAATCGGGCCGAGCGGAACTTGGCCCCCTCTACGAGAGCGGAGCCCTCCAGCTCGAGGACCTTGTGCGTCGGTGCGTTATCTTGTGAGAATGAATCGGGCACGCTGTACACGATCAGACGGCCATCGACGCCGATGCTGGTGATCATCCGCGAAGCATCGGCCTCGGGTGCAGGCGCGATCGACAAGTCCGCGATCGCAGATTTGTGGCCCTTGAGCAAGATCTTGGCGCCCGAACGACGATCGACAACACGAATGCGGCCTTTGCTCGTACTCCATACAAAAACGTGGGAGGTGATGGCAGAGCGACGCCCCGGCGACCATTCGTACGGGACCTCGAAAAGCACGACCGGGGTCGTTTCTACTAGCGCTGCGGAGTCGAGCGAATCCAAGTTGGGTGCCGAGATATCGATAGTGAGATGCTGAGCCATGGGCGGTGCAATCGAGCCTCGTCTCGGAGGCAGTTGAAGCCCGCGTGGGGCCCACTTTGGTGCATGGCTCGGCGAGTCGGAAAGGTACTTCTTAACGAGCAGATCAAGAGGAGCAGCTTTTGTCGCAGTCAAGGCTTGACCCTCGGAAGCATCTTTCCCCGCCTTATCCGAGACATTTATGTGTTCTTGGCTGGCCGGATGGGTCGAACTTGACGGTACCGACGGCGGAGCCGCAGAGGCCGGGCGGGGCGTGGGCAGGTCCTCCACTTCCGACGTTTCAATGTTGACCTCCGTCTTGGGATTGACGGCCTCATTCTTCCCGTGCTGTAGTTCAGAGGCATGTGCTTGAGTGAGTATGTCGAAAGGCGAAACGAAAGCTCCGAATTTCGGTACGGAACCAGGGGTTGCTGTGAGTTCGAGCGCCGGGTTTCCGATCAGCTGATGAGTCGCCGTGCATCGCGCCGCGTCAGAGAGCCATCGGTCCCACTGACCTGCCCTTTCTTGCCTCTTCTCTTCCTTCACAATGTTCTGACTCGATGGTTTGCGCGTTTGAGGAGTGCCTCCGTTGCCGATGATCTGTTCCGATCCCTTTGTTTGCAGTGCGGCTCGCTCCACTTCCTCCAATGTGAGCGCTGCAGTTGGTCTCGAGGTCGAGATGGGGTCCTTCTCCTCTGGCGTGACATCTAACGACGATGGTTTGTTGTTTCCCCACACCTTGGCAAAGATCGAATTTGGATCTATGATTGCGGACTGGAGCGCCGCTGTCGTCGTCGTTGCCGCCAGGGAGGTCATCGTTTTCGGCGAAGGCGGAGGCGAGGGGAACGAAGTGGGCTGTGCAGTCATAGCTTCGGGGCGTTGGGTAGGCAAGACAGGAACGGCCGAAGAAGAAGGAGATGGAATCGCAGGTTTTGTTGTTGAGGACGGCGAGCTCATGCGCTGCAACAAAGAGAGGAGCGAAACGGATCCGTTGTTCGCCCGATGCGGCGGGGATGACGGCGCTGCTGCTGTAGAGCTCGCCGTCGTGCCCGACAAAGGGACGCTCGGCGACGAGGACGGCGATGCTGCTACTGCTACGTCCGTGCCGGTGTGGCCTTGAAAGGACGTGCTACCCAGGATCCTATCTTCACTCGCTGACCTCCTAATCCCATCGTCCTGGCGCGTAGACTGGACCTGGGAGTGGGGCTGGGGCACGGTGACCCCAGTGGCAGCCGCGGGCGAGGTTGCGTGTGAGACCTGTGAGGCACCATGTGAGGGGTGGGGCGAGCCGAATGCGCTGCGAAAGAGCCGCTCAAGCTCAGCCGCCGGGTTGGCCGCAGGGGTACTCGTACTACCTTCTGGTTGAGCGGTCGTGTTTGTTGTTGCAGACGGTAGCCTCGAAGTCGACGGGGCGGGCTGCGACGTCGACGGTGATCCTCCAGCGCGGAGCAGCAAGAGCAACTGCGACGCATCGGCCCTGCGCGATGTCGATCAAGGTGGGGTCACTGGGTCAGTCCTCGTACGGGTGGGGCGGCGATCGAGACGTCGTCCACACCCCGAAAGTCCCATCTACGATGACTTACATGTTGAAGAGCTCGGACACGCAGGCGGAAGAGTAGTCCGTCCGCGCTGTGGTTGGTCAGTTAGGGAGAACGGGTCAGAGGTGCGACTCGCGAGCCCGGCACGGCGTGGCGGCGGCTCAGAGCTCAGAAGCGCTAGGAGGAGTGCTCCGCGTCGGCGGGGGACCTGCGTGAGACTGATGACGGGCAGTTTGTATGTCTCAGGTGACCAGAAACAGCCTTACACTTCCTTCGCAGCTCTCCTAGCCCGCTCTCGCACGTCTACTATGACTTTAGGGTCACTACTTCCTACGCGCTCGAAAATGTGCTAGTAGGTGCTCGAAAATAGTCGTGTAAAATAGTCGTGTAGTGCGTGCAAATGCAGATGCGTAGAAATCACAAAACACAAGGAAAGGGAACGAGCGTACAACTATCCGTACAAACATCGTGACGCTTGACTCTAATAGCGATAGTCTTCTTCGCCATCACGACTCGATCACAGTGGCACTCGATGCTTCCTTGTCATCGGTGACGAAATCCACCAAAGCCGCCGGCCAGCCTGATTTCTCCTGAGCCAAGACCGAGTGCGACGCGGCGACCACCGTCTTGTACAAGACCCCAGCAATGATGACAAGGTTTGCTATAGTCAAGGCAAGACTCGAATTGGTCGTCGACGGAAAGGTCTCCCAGCCCACTTCGATGGCGAGCCACAGGCCGACTCTGGGGCGCGGGAAGAAAGCAGGCCCTTCGTGAGCTGATGAGCAAAGGCTACTGAGAGGACCCTATGGGGGCATGTGAGGGACGCACCTTTGTACCAAGTTGAACTCAGTCTGCCATAGTAGAAAGACGATTTGATGCGCATACCAAGCGTAGAATTGGTAGTGCAACGAGCGCGCAAACACAATCCCGACGAGATTCGAGAGGAAGAGGATCTTGCAAACGCCTGAGAATCAAGGAGCACGGAGCTAGTTTGTCAGTGCCACTCCTCGAGGATGTCATAAAAGTGCTCCTCTAGCGGAGGAGGTTGTGGTCAGGTACTCACGTTCGGGCGTCGGCGCGAACGAGAGAGGCGCTTCGTTCGGTCGTTTGAGCCCTTGCCTCAGCAGCCTTACTGGTCCGCTTTCCTTCCAGCTCCAAGTCAGACCGCACACGATCAGAATAGCAGCATGCGATACCAGTAAGAGTTCGCTGAAGCCACGGCCTTCGAAGAGAGGCTGCCCAACCCAGCGCCAGTTGACGGTCCACTCCCACAGGAAATCGCGACCAAAGTTGAACGAGGTCGCGAAGTAATCGATTGCCTTTGCTCGCGTGCCCAGGAACGGTACCGCAAGCAACATCTGGGTCGATCCGATGGCGAGGAGCTGCAGAAGCATCTTATAAACACCGAGGGACGTGTAGAATAGATACAAGAGACCCGGAAGGTACAGCAGGAAGTTCATCTTGATTGAGAGCGCGAGGCTGACAGCACCCAGAGGAAAGCACACATCAGCCGCAGATTGACTGAGGACATCGGATGCGAGGTGGGGATGCCAACTGACGAGAAAAGCAAAGTACCCGTGGTCCAAATCTTGGGGCCACCATTCGGCCTCGTCCACGCCAGGACGGCTGCGTAGAACAGTAGCATCGCCGGCGCCTCATTGAAGAGCCGGAGGGCGTAGATCGAGTGCAGTCGCTTTGAAAGACACAGCAGCACCAAAGCGTACGGGGGGACCTGTGTATATGAGATGAAACATAAGAAAACTCCAGTGAGTAGGGTGTGTCCATGTGGGTCAGTGTGCCTCTTCATGACCAGGTAGACGTACGCTGCCGCATCGTCGGAGAATCTCAAATACGAAACCGAGCGTGACGAGGTACAGCTGCGCAAACAGGCTCTGGGCGGTTCTGATGTCGAGTCCCCCCCGTGTAATGTAATGGATCCCCGAATAGATATACAGAAAGCCCGCGGGGTATCTGAGACGAGCAGCGTGCAAGTACCGGTCAGTCCCACTGCGAACTCTGATGCAACCCGATCAAATGAGCCGCGCGGGGGACTGACACCAGTGGGCCGGTATCCCCTTTGATGAGGGAGTACTGTCGCTCGCCGCTGATGAACAAGCTCGACTGTTGCATGTAGGTTGAGAAGTCGATCTCGGTATCTGTGTGTAAACACGGAGCGAGTGGAACATCACAGGCGATGATCGGTGAGCGATGGCTTATGCCCAACGTGGAACTGAACCATTCAGGGGCAGGGGTACTTTGCCCGCCGCCAAAAACGGACGTGCGCAGTGGACACGTGGATACCGAACGACGCCCAACTTGAAACCTCGGCAGCAACCTGCCCATCCCCGTCGCGCACAGCTGAGCACATCGCACGTACATGGAATGAATCGAATGATGAGGGCCAACAACGCGACTTCGAACACGAACAGCAGGCCGGCGACAAAACCAAAGTACCGCTGAGTGGTCAACACCTGCTGCAGTCTCCGCAGCACCGACCAGTGCGCGATGACGGCCGCGCCGTCAGGCAGCTTGTCGGCCGAAGCTTGAGCGCCGCTGACGAACATCGGGGTCGAGCTCCGAGCTGGCCACAGTCCGCGACCTTGGGTGCCACGGGTGGTTAATATCGCTGCGGCCACTGCTTCCCATATCCGATTGGAGACGTCGAAATGAAGGAACATCTGTCAGAGGGTGTGACGTGGGCTCGAACAGCGCGTTGGGTCGAAGAGGAGTAGCGCGTAACGGGCTCGAACTACCTCAGGAGCAAACGCGCAGTCAAGTTCGCAAGTTTGGACGGGGGCTATTTTCGGCTGCGCTGCGAATAGCCCGATTGGCTTTATATGAACCGCGCGCGCGCTGAGCGCTACAGCGCTCCAAGATAAGCGCGACGCGTCGATCCTTAAAACTATCCTACTATACTCTAATCCTACTATACGTGTCGTATTATTTAGGTTGCTACCAAAGATAGTACCGCGTATAGCGACGTCCGCATTAGGCACTAGGATCCGCGAAAATCCCTGTTTGGTGATTGGAGAGAGGGATGCTTAACCCCAGTCAGTGGTCAACCAATGCCCGGCTTCCTCCGAAGGCTTTTTCAGTACGAGATTGCCATGGCACATGGCTCTACGCATGCGAGCGGAATTTGCCGGTCCCGGACTGTCCGTGTAAGGTATGCGCCTCGGATGTGCATAACCTACAATCTGTCGCCTTGACCGCTAGGCTAAAAGCAAGTCGTAACTAGAACTCGACAGTTCTAGCTACTCAGAGGCTACTTATGGGGCTGTTCTGTAAGGCATCCCCTTACAGTCCGGACGGCCGAAGGGAGCTCATCGCTCACGAACGTCAACACGTTGTAGGACGTATTTCTAGCCTTCCCTCCCTCTACAAGATCTGGTTTGGTGAATCACCAGAACCTTGACCATTGACTTTCGAAAGGACGACTACATCAGCAAAATGGGCACTCGGCGCGCACCGCTTAGAGGCGCTTAAGCCCCGCTTAAGGACGCTTAACCCGTTGTGGACGCTTAATATAATTTAAGCGTCCACAACGGCTTTACATAAAGTCCAAACCCCCTTTCCAAGAAACATGTTTTTGATCGGACGTGTGACATGTTATCGGGCTCGATACAAAAAGGAAGGAAACTCCCCAGTCTGCTGGCTCTTTGACAGAGTCGACTTACGAGTGCTTCGCTCAACCTTCGCGCATCGACTCGGTTTTACCTAACCGAACGATCATCTCATCACTCGTGCGAGCCATCATCGACCAGGGTGCTGGCATTCTCCATCATAGTCCACCAAATTCCACCCCTGAGACCCCGCACGTCGACGCGTCTCCGAGGCATTCTCGAACCTTTGCTCCCTGCCCCTGCTCAGTCGTATCGGCTCTTCACAAGGCCACCCGATTGTCAGGACATATCGAGCATCTACGACTCCTCTTTGACCGGACATAGGACATCGGTAGTACCACAGCCGAGTACACTTGCGCTTTGTCGCGTCGCAGCGCGTGGCCGTCCCCGGACCCATTTGCGACCCCGCCTCGCTACACTTTGGAGACGCATCCAGCCTTCACGATGTGTGCGTAGACTCCTTTTATAATAATGTACTATGAAAAGGGGCTTATGTGTTGCGGTGTGAACTCTCCAGGCAAGCACATCCTCAATGTCCAAGCCGCGATTCGAGCCCCGTGTTGTCGCCAATGGTTCGATGTCAGTCGAGACACGACTCGAACGCTCTTGTGTGCTGTATAGTGATATGTTGTACTGATTGAGTCCATGTCGTAACCTGTCCTACCGCTGCAGTGCGCCGAATGCCATGCCGAAAAAGAGGACCATGACTTGACCAAGACGACCGAGATGGCTTTCCTGTGCAAGAAGTGCAAGAAAGCGTTCAGAAAGGACATGACCAAATTTGAAGAATCGGATGAATACTGCCCGCATTGCGACAACCATTTCGTGGGTTCCTCCGTCTAGCCGTGATACCGATGACCGGTGGCGCGGATATCACCTGAGCCTCACAATTTTATTCGAATCGGGTCTCTTTCTCAGGTCATCGACGCCAAGACACCGCAGCGTATTATCGAGTTCGAAACAGAGGATCTGCGAGTCGATGCGAGGTCAGTCTCGAGGACTTCGCCAATCTTAATATATTGGTTGGACAGCGGCTGACCATACCTCATACCTGCGCCGATCTCACAGAGGACTTCGAGATGAACGACAGCGTAACTTGCATACAAGCGACATTGATGCATTCGTTGATCAGCTCGGGTGAATAAACTCATCAAGGGCGGACCCTGCATGTAGAGTGTTCAACAACAACTTGTGACGTTGGACTTGCCCGCTTCCCTTCGCGAATAAAAGGTCGAGTTCATTCTTTCACAGCCGTCTTGCAAATAGCACTGCATGAATGCCCTCCAGCGAAGCTTGAATTTTGGAATCACTTTCCTACACAGCTGGTCTGTAGACAGGAAGACATGACTGACGACCCGAAGTCCGAATCTCGCTGAACGCTCGCTCCCGGCGCGCGCGAATGGCTTTTCGGGTGATAATCGTCAACATCCAGGGAGATTCGTCGATTTTCGACCTCATATACTGCTCGGACTCTGCGCATATACCCGGGGGCCGGGTACGAACGAGAGCGTTGCCGCGTTCGGATCGCGACGCCGCGCCAATGCTGGGAAACGCCCGGTACGTGCGCGCCATCAGTTTCGTCGTGCCGCGTGGGATGCGGCGCGACATCCCCCGCCCTGTGACAGGGGCGGGTCTGACTGGCGTTCTGGGTACGCGACTTGTGCCCTTGAGCTGCGAGAAACTATCAAGTCGAGAATTTGATCTTGCTCACAGTGGAACCTTCTATTCCAGCCAAACGGGTGAGACCTAGTAATAGCCGATGTCAATGGGTGCGGACGAATGGGGATTGTTATTGTAAATGTACGTCCTGGATGTCTTACTCGCTATGTCTCAGATCGCCAGTTTGAGACGGCGTCCTCGACACCGGCCCAGAGTGCAGACGCTCCAGAATGCAGCGAGTCAGCGACGTCGAGCCGGCGTACGCGTCCCTCCCTCGGTGACGGTCCCATTGGTTAGGTCTTTATCCGGGGCGAGGCGGCCGTTTCTTTGGTCTTATTACCAGTAGAGCTACAGGTACCTTTGCAGCGTCTTTCACCGATGTTCGTTTGTCGTCAGTTGCCACTTGGCCTCGGTTGGACCGGCCGCGGCGCGTCGAGCTCGAAAATTACCCGATGGCGGACGCTGCTGAAATTTGAGCCAGGCTGACTGCTATAAGCAATCGAAGTACTACCGTTGCCTCGCTCGCCCGAGGCAGGATCCACTTGGGCTTCTCACTTTGCTTTCCCGTCTCTAGCATCCCTGCGTTCCCTCAAACATCCGTCCCGAAGCACAGACAACGTGACCGATCGATCCCCCGAGGCCCATAGCGCGATCGGACACTCCGCTCGTTCATAAAGCCCAGTCAGGGCGGGTCCAAGCGAGATCGCCCCTTTCGCCCACTGGCGCTGGTCTTGTCCGTCGTGACTGAGTCCGCGTGTGGGACAAGGTGGTAGTGCGCCATCGCAACGCACGCACCTCTTACAGATCGATTGCGCATGGAATCGACACCGACCCATGCCATTCTTGCGCCGACCGAGTCGTCGAGTCACCTCACAATGATGCAGACCACGACGACTCGGCCTCACGCGACCAGCGGCAAGCGGGTCCGAGGCGAGTCGATCGAGCTCGCGGCGCGCAAGTCCAAGTCTCCGACCCGGTCCTCTGTGCCGCCGCTGCCGCCGCCGTCTCGTGGTGCAGAGCTCGTGCCAGTGGCCGCCGCGTCGTCGTCGGCTTCGTCATCGTGTAACTCGTCCACCAGTAACAGCACGATTGACTCGGCCCTGGCGGCAGTGTCATCGCTGTCATCGGCCTCGTTCATACTGCAGGACCCGCATAGCGGCAACATCGACGTCGAGCTCAATAGCACCACGTTCAGCCCGTATCATCATGCGAATCCGAAGGCGGCTCCTCCGCATCAGGTCGCTTTGGGCATCAGCGCGCCACTTAGCAGCACGCTCGAGCTCGGCCCCGGCCCCGCTGCGGATCTGTCCACGGCGACAGCTACGACGGGACTCGGCTTTTCGCCCACCAATTCGACCAATCATCTCTACTTTCCACTCCAGCCTCAGAATCTACCTCAGCACCAGCATCATATGTCACCCCGACTAACGGGCCTCCAGATCGGTTCACCGCCATTAATTCCGAGCCCGACGCTCGTCGGTCAAGCCTTGCCGTCAGTCGCGGCTTCGGCGTTCCATCACCTGTCCCAGCAGAAGCAGGGCTCGCAACAGGTAAGTTGTCTACAGGCCTCAACCTATATAGGAAAAAGTGTCATGAGTATCCCAACCTGCCGCGCGCCAAGCCTTTGAGAAGTTTTGGCCTCGCCAACTAACGATTCTGCGTCACGGGCACTCAATACCTTGTGCATTGACAGCATGTATTATCGCCGCCATCGCAGCATATCTCCACGATTCCTTCACCGTCCGCCATGTCGATGACGTCGTCGTTGAACTACACACCTGCCCTGTCCGCCGGAACCATGTCGGCTTCGTCTTCCCAAGACGGCTTCCGGGTCGCCAGCCATTCACCGATCATGGCCTACCCAACAACGCCACAAATGATGGCCGGACTCGGCATGCCTGGAGCGTTCTTCCATAATCTACCTGGAGGGGCCACAACAATGCACAAGCAGACTTCCTCGGGAAGCCATCGCATCTACATGAATCCCTCGTCTGCGGGCAGAGCCGCCTCGACTTTGTCGGCGCAAAACAGCCCGCGTCCTCCCTCAACGAACAGTCAATCACCCGCGTCGCTCTGGGGGCCCATGCCCGGCGCGATGCCTGTCGAGTCGAGTTTATTGACATCGGGCAAGAACCGCACAGTCATGTTGCCCACGCCGGTGCCGACGGTCGAGGCTACGCCGTCGAGGAAAGGGGAAGAGATCGGACTGGATTTGGGGGACTTTGACATGCTGGACACCCTAGGTGAGAAACGAGACGTGTGTGACCATTTTCCCTATTTGGGGTCCTGCTTTACTCATCTCCAAAGCATCATCGTCCCTGTCAGGAACCGGAACTTTTGGCCGTGTCATCCTCGCTCAATTGAGGCCGGCGCCGTGTCGACCGGCGCAGACCCAGCCGCATTACTTCGCGATGAAGGTGCTTGAGAAAGTCACGGTTGTTCGATTACGTCAAATCGAGCACCTCAATTCCGAACGTGCGACGTTGGCCCAGGTCTCGCACCCGTTCATCGTCAACTTGTGAGTTCGGATACGAAAAGGAAGCAATCATTCATTTCCTTGCGCCGACGGCGACTTTCGCTGACGAGCAAGAGCCTTCTATCACCTCCTATAGGTTCTGCACCTTTCAGGACGAACAGAACCTGTACCTTCTCCTTGAATACGTGCAAGGTGGTGAGCTGTTCTCGCATCTGCGGCGCGCGGGACGTTTTTCGGCCGACGTTGCACGATTCTACGCCGCCAATCTCATCCTGGCACTCGAGTACCTACACAAGAAGGACATCATCTACCGGGATCTCAAACCTGAGAATCTTCTGATTGATTCCACGGTAAGTGGACGTGTTCAGCCTCCTTTGATCTCACCGAAGCGATGCCCACGCGCCGTCTGGCCTTCTTCGTTAACAGGGCTATCTGAAGATTACCGATTTTGGGTTCGCAAAGCATGTTCGAGACCGCACATACACGCTCTGCGGTACACCCGAGTATCTGGCTCCAGAGATTGTGAGTCCCTCGACACCATAGTTGGATCCAGGCGGCGAAGCGCCAGGAAATTGACCATCGGGTCTCCGTCTGCAGATCATGGCGACCGGCCACGGCCCAGCTGCGGACTGGTGGGCGCTAGGCGTTTTGATCTTTGAGCTACTCGCGGGCTACCCCCCCTTCTTCGCCGACAACCCACTCGATACCTACGAGCGCATCCTGCAGAACAAGTTCTCGTTCCCGGCCCACATCGATCGCAACGCGCGAGACCTCATCAAGCATCTTTTGACGCCGGATTTGTCGAAGCGGTTGGGCAACTTGGTCGATGGGGCGAGCGACGTCAAGAGGCATCCTTGGTTCGAGGGCGTCGAATGGGACGCGGTTGAGACAAAGCAGATTCGGGCTCCCATTATCCCGCACGCCAGTGGGCCAAGCGATACGTCCAACTTTGAACGCTACCCTCCGAGCTCGATCGACACGCTGCCGGCAGTGAAACGCGCGGCGCAAGCTCGCAGGTTCAACACGATCCCCGAACTACTACCGCATGGTGACGATCCCTGTGAGTGCTCTTGGTACGAGGCTGTAAATAAGATGCTAAGGTTTAGCGGCTGAACTCGACGCTTCCTTCGCCAATCGCAGATGGTTACCTCTTCCCGGCGTTCTAGGCTCGTCGTCCCTTCTCTGCATTGGATCGACTTTAGGAGTGGGCAAACCACGATGAGGTAACTTGGTCGTCCTTTTCGTTTCTTCTCCATCATCTGTCGCATGTTTTTTTATCTTTATCGCCTACGCATCTCATTTCAGCATTGCATTCATTTCTGCCGCTCTGCTTGTCTTTCTTTGGGGTGCCTCCCCTCTCTGCTTGTACTGTTCTACTCTCGCAACTAGCATAAGCCATCGTCTTCGCGAACGTTAGTACGTCCGCTAATATTTTCAACTCCAAAGGGGATGCAGGGACCGATCTGATCACGTATCCCTGACGCTCTCTAGAGCTGAAGGTTTGTTCAAGGAAAATTGGGGGCCGCGAGCTGGGGAAATTGACGAGATTCTCAACATTACTAATTCTCGTTTGCGGGGCGCGGCTCCGCTAGGCCAGCAGCCGGCAGCCAGCCGGCACAAGCCGGTACAGACCTGCAGAGACCGGCGCGGAACGGCGGCGAACGGCACGTAGTGCACAGTCTTGTAGGCGTGCGCTTCGGCCCCTCGTCTGTTAGCTGTGTGCGAACATCAACATCTCATTAGCTCATGGTACAGCCCTTCTCGGAGCACCGTGGAGTAGTTCATCAGTCACGAACGGTGCTCAGTCGGTCCGACACACCAGTCAGTATAATCAAGTGGCATTTGTGTCGATGTCGATCTCTCCCAGTTCACGTGTTTTAGTCGTGCCTCCCGACGCCGAGTCATTGGACAGCATCTCGAGAGCTGGGCTTGAAAAAAAGGCAGTCGCTCGTGCCAACATGGCGAACGAGTACAGTGCGCTTATTATGGACCGAACAGATTTGGTGCCTCACATTCGCTTGACGACGATCTAGTGATCAGGTGCTCATTGCGATAGCTCGTTTTGACCAACGTCAAACTTCGTTTGGAGCAACTGCAGATTCTCTGTCAGACTCACAACTTGCAAGGCTACTCTCGTCGGCGATCAAGGGCTAGAGAACTGTTTTTGCGTATTCGATTATCTTTATGCACTGAGAGTTGCCCAGCATGTGAGAGTGGCTACATCTTCAACCGAAGCACAGCCAATGACATTCTGGTCCCCAGAGGCATTGCGTACCCCGCCACACGGTCTACCGGCACAAAACAATGGAGTCGTGTCAAGCAGAACTGAGCAAGGAGATTTGTGAACGAGAGGAAAGGTCATTGACAGAGAATGCGACTCAGAACAGACGACGAGCGGCGACCAACAATGACAGCCGCCCTGACGACGACACAAGGCTTCGCCGAACCACGACCGCTTCGCAGGCTGAGCGGTCCTCGCCCTATACTCCTGCGTCCGCCCGGTTAATGGAATCAGTACTTCACAGATGCCGAGAAGTCAGGACCACTGTTCGAGAATCAGTCCGCGAGCGGCAGAAAGGCCGACAACGAACAAGATCGTCGTGATCGACGAGACAGGAGCAAACGTCTTGTGGTAGTCGATCCCCAGTCGTGGAGCAAAGCTTTGGACGACTAGACGAGCCTTGTAGCTGATGATGTTGCCTTCGGCGTCTTCCTACCAAGTAAACACCCAACGATAGCCCAGTGCACGAGCCCCAGTGGGTAGCCTCGAAAGCTTGAAAACCTTGTGCAAGCCCATGGAGTTGACTTCCTTGACGGACGCAGCGTCCCACGACTCGGCCTCGGGCGAAGCCATCGCATCCTTGAAGGTCTTGGGAAGCGGTGGGTGACGAGTGGAAAACGACGCGATGAGCTCTGGTTCGCGACGAACGATCTTGCACGTGCAAACAATACTGATGGCGGCGACGCGACGCTGAGCACGCGTGCGAACCGGTAGAATGTTGCCCTCGTCAATGTTCTCGAGCAGACCGGGATTGCGACCGACACGATAATGCCGGTACTCGTGACCATCGTCAGGAGGTAGAGGTGGAGCACGCTCCACAGGGTCGTCATCTTCGTAACTGTCGATAGCCTCAATAGCCACTTCGCGTCGATGATCGATGGGCTGCTCTTCGTCTTTAACCCTTCGGCCAACGGGCCGACAGCTGGTAAAGGAACAGGAGCAACCTCGCCATCGTCCGCACGTTGAAGACGAGGAAGTGGAGGCAGCGCTGGCGCTACAGCCACACCAGGCTCGGGAATGAGAGCAGGCCGTCATGCCCGACCCGCCTCAGGGATGGGAGCAGGCCATAAAGCTGGATTCTGCTCCCAGCCAGGAACACGCAGTTGAGATACTAGCTCGTACTCCTGTAGAGGTTCGACTTCGTACATGCGGGGCTCGTCAGCCGAAGAAGTCCGCCTCACGCGCAGGCGACGGCATCAATGACTTCGGAGCAGACGCCGCAGGAGGCCGCCGACAAGGATCATCGTGAATCTTCGGGACGCGCGGCTGGCTCTTGAATGAAACGTGGATTTGCCGTTAGAGTTTCGAGCGAGTCGTCTTGCGGTGGTTATTCGCTTGCGGCTAAGTAGGAGCTACTGCCTATCCTCGGGCCATGGTTGTGTGAGTGTGACGTTATAGAGGGCACTGGAGGTTCAGGGACTGGTCGCCGCCCCGCGGTGCGTTAATTATGAATGTCCGCTGAGAAATATGGCGCATGCGTGTAAGGCTTGCCTCGGTGCTGCCTCGGCTGTCTTCGGCTACTCCTCGGCTCGCCGGGCGGGTTCCCCGTGTTTTGTTCGCTCCGAGCTTGAGGTCTTTGGTCTCTGTTGTCTACCCATTATCCGACCGGTCGCCTTCACTGAATCCGCTCTTGAACTATGTGAGCCTTCTCTTCCGAAGCTCAAGCTTGCCTCAAATCAGGATATCGGCTTCCCAATGTTAGAAGACCTGAATCCGGCATTCTCAATCATTCCGGTGAACCGCCGGGCCCTCCTGACCCGACGGAGACTGACGGCGCTCGGCGAATTGCGAGGGAATGGCCCGACGTGCCTGGGTCTGTCGCGTCGCTGCTACGTCTTCACGCCTGCACAGTGAGACATTACACCGACACGAAGGCCTGGTCGACCAAGCTGAGCCTCTCCCTTGCGCTCTGCTGCCGCTGACGGGCTGTGCATCGGCATTGGGTTTCGTCTTCGCTTCCCAGCCCCACGTCTCGAACCAACTTGCAAGCTCTCGTTCGTACACTATCGTTAGCAGCGACTGTCTTCAGCAACCTGGCATCTCAATCAAGACCTCCCGTAGATTACACCCTGGACATCCTACCTCGACCAGCCAACACCGTTGACGCGGTACACCCCCACTTGGAACAAGCTCCCGCTCTTAGTACGTCATGTTGGCCACAAGAAGGTTGTTCCAATTGAATCGATCCAACACGATCGGATTTATTGGTCTTGGTGCCATGGTCAGTCGCGCGACCATCAACGGGGCCTGGGAATCGACTTGGCTTGGCATCGCTGACCTCCTTTGCTCTGCCCGTCCACCAACCGCCCCCACCCCACCCCACCTTCATTCGATCTCGGTCATCAAATCACCCACCTCGCCGACTTCCGAGGCTAGGGCCGTGGTATGGCCGCAAACTTGCTCAACAAGACCTTTGCCAACCAAGAAGGTGTCTACGCCCCCGAAAAGCAGAAACCCGCTTTCGTCGTCTACGACGCCCACACCCCGGCCGTCGACGCCTTCCTGAACCAACACGTCCGAGCCTACGCCGGTCGCGATATCATCCCCGCTTCGTCCCCCGCTGGAGTCGCCAAGTTGGCTTCCACGATCGTCACCATGTTGCCTTCGTCGCCTCAGGTCCAAGAGGTCTATCTCGGCGAGAACGGGTTGTACGACGGGGTTGAGGGTCTTGAGGGCAGCGAGCGGAAAGCCGAGACCTTGTTCGTCGATTGCACGACGCTCGAGCAAGGCGTTGCCAAGGAGGTGGCTGAGAAGATGGGCACGCTCGGTTCAGCCATGATCGATGCACCCGTTTCGGGAGGTAAGGGGGAACAGAGGGACTTCTGGGCGAGCCCACGAGCCGAATCTGCGCCGGCACTGACGATGCCTCGTCCCGATCCTCGGTGGCCTGCTTCTCTTTGTTCCAGGTGTCGTCGGAGCTCAAGCCGGGACGTTGTCGTTCATGGTTGGAGGTCCGAAGGAGGCTTATGAACGAGCTCAACGATTCTTGACGTTGATGGGCGCAAGGTCGATCTACTGCGGAGGCAGTGGTAACGGGTTGGCCGCCAAGATCTGCAACAACTTGCTGTTGGGTGACTAGGAGCAGCAAATATCGATGCGACCGTTCGACTTGGATCGTACTCACTTTTCTTTGAATATGTGCACACCAGGTATCTCGATGGCGGGCACGGCCGAAGCGATGTTGCTTGGCCAATCGCTCGGCCTCGCCCCGGATTTGCTCGCGTCTATCCTCAATACCTCTGTAAGTTCTTCCCAAGGACAATCATCGAATGGTTATGACCTTCTGACTTTATATGCGGTACGCAGACTGGGAAATGCTGGGCGTCCGAAATCAACAACCCCGCACCCGGCGCATTGCCCAAATTGAAGCCGCCAGCCGATAGGGGATACCAAGGAGGGTCAGTTTCTTCAAAATTGTGGGCCGCGTAGTCACCTCCAGAGCTTGAGAATTCATATAACAGCGTTTCCGCTTCAGATTTCTGTCCAAATTGATGGCGAAAGGTTCGCACCTATCGTGCTGCGCGGGTGTCAGGCAAGTGCTTCAACTGACCGGCGCCCCTCGACTAGATTTGAACCTCGCCATTGCGGCATCGAAAACGACGGGGACACCTTTGCCCGTGGGTGGTCTCACAACAACCCTTGTACGTCAATTGCCTCTCACCTGCTTCATATGGGATATGGACTCAGACTGACACTCCCTCTTTGTCCGCGTATTTCCTAGTACAACACCCTGTCCAAACACGATGATTTCGCTAATATGGACTTCTCGAGTGTGTACGAGTACCTGCGAATCGCACAAGAAGGGGCCAAGCAGACCGAAGGCGGCGATCCATTTACCGGGGGCCGTAAGCAGTAATTGAGAAACACTTGAAAATGACAGAACACAGAAGACCGTGCACGATGAAACGAGGTGTAGTACAATCTAGGTTTTGTGCACGCATTCTAAGGCTAGTGGCTGAAGGTAGAGGTACCGCTGGGTCTTGTCGCTATGTCATGACGAGGATGAACACGGCTGTTGCCCACGAAATGAATAGCACACCCATCGGTGCTTTAATTAGATTGAACGGGGGCGTATACGACGCTGATGATGTTTTCCCCGCTGGCTGGCCGGCGATGACCCCTGTGGATCCCGCGACGACGGCCGTGGTGAAAGCGACCGTCGGATTCGCGACCGATCTCGAAGAGGTGACGGTCGGAACGGCGATCGGGATATAGGTTGGCTCCATCGATACGATCGAGCCATTCATCAGTACCGTCTCCCCCGAATCGATAGCTCCTCCTGATTGCGCGGTCTGTAGAGCGTTGAGGATGACTTGGGCCAATAGACGATGAACGGGCCATGTTGGGTGGTAGGAAGAGGCCCAGACCATCTCAGTGAATGGCCAAGGGCAAAGAGGCGAGTCGACGAAAGGGTCCCCCGAGACGTATTCGTAAGCCGGGCAGACATTGGTCGCGTCGACGAATCCATACCGAGAGGGGTCGTCGAGGAGAGAGTTGAAGAAAGGTTGGGTGTCAAAGAGCATCGCTTTCGTACCGGGGTAATTGAGCGGGATCCATGGGATGAAGGATGTGAGCATTGCATTGTACTTGTCGACGTTTGCGCCAAAGAGGGTGATGTTGGTCGCATTGTAGGATTGAACCAGAGGCGTTCTTTGGGTTGGGGGCAATGCCGCCAGCAAAAACGTTGGTCCAGATCTTGGAGCAAGTGAACGCACAATTAGCGACGACGGTCAAACTTCTCTTCCGCGCGGAGGGGTCCGAGCTCACCATCTGGTCGAGCACGGGGGACTCGGGCCCGAACGCGGAAGCTCAAGCTCAAGCTTAGACCGAACCTAACGCCAGCCTGCTCCTCCCAGTCGCCTCTCTCCCTCCCACCACCTCGTCGTTCGCACACCACCTCACCGTTCTGCCAGCCCAACTACACTCGGGTGAGTACCCTCATGTTTATCTCTGGGTCCCTGTTGCCGTCGTTCATGGCAGTACCCCTTGCTCTCGAGCCCCGATCATACGTGGCGGCCAACCTGCTTGTTCGACGGCACTCCTAAGGCAGGATTTCTGGCCGAGTCACAGCCAGGCTGGCGCCCACAGTGATGTCCCGACTCGGAGCACAGCGCTGAGGAACCACCATCCTTGATCTTCCTCTTCTGCTCCTCCAAGTAGCCCACACGTAGCCAATATGGGGGTTCACTACGGTCCCCAGTACATCAGGACTTCCATTAAGCAGAATCCAACAGCCCTCCTGGCCACAGCCGATACCGTCGAGGATCTTCTCAAGAGCGTGCCGTCTGAGCAGCGCAAAGGTGCGCTCCAACATCTGACCTTTCTGGTGGCACATTCTCGCTCGTGCGACAATCGCTGACGATCTACGATCCGTTGCTCAACGTGCAGCACTCCTCGTTGACGTGTCGACGACTGAGCGCGGTATCTGGGCCACCACTCGGGGCAACAAAGGAAGCGTCGAGCACGGACGCGCTTTCGTCAAGAGGGTCGCCGCGAAGTACCATCGACAAGCTCAAGCGCACGGCGGCAACACCCATGTGTTTGCCATTGTCGACAACGAGCTTTGGCGACCAGAGCTCAAGCGGCAAACGGTCAACAGGCGCAAGGAGAAGGCGGTGGATAGTGGCATGAACGTCCGCGTTCGCCTGGATTCCTTCACCACCGAGCCGAAGTTCATCTCGACGGCGTCGCTCAAGATCCAGTGTGACACCTTCCCTGATCCTACCTCGTCAACCGTGGATCTAAAGAAAGCCGATGGCATTATTTTCTGGTCGTTGACGCCTCGGGTAACGTTTGTCATGGCAAAGTCCGAGGCGGACACCCTGGCGTTTCTCGTCTGTCGTCAAGGGTTCCTGTTACACGTCCCCCTCGATCCTTCGTCGACTCTTCTCTACTCGAAGGATTCTGACTGGATTTTGAACCTTCCGCCCGAGTTCTGCCATCGTCGCATCTTCGTCGACATGTCGATTCCTGACTCGACCCAAGACCCGGCCAACAAGCTCAACATAGCTCCTCGACGGGGCTCGGCGCGGCCACAATGCTCGTCGCTCTGTCTCATTGATACCATGGTGCTCGGATGGGACGGCGAAAAACTCATCATCGCCGGGATCCTTGCGGGTGGCGATTACTTCCCCGGCGGTCTGCCGTCCGTCGCGTTCAAGAAAGCGTTCAATACGTACAAGGAATGCCTCTCACGTAAATTTTGGGAGGGACAAGAACTTGGCGTCGTCCTCGGGCGCTTCCGAGCCATCAAAAAAGTCGAAAAGTTGAGCGATACGTTCGTCAAAGCGATCGAAGAACTTCGAAACAACATGCCGGCGATCTTTGCGCTACTGGAGAAGGACGAAGGCGAACGGTTCAACAAGTTCGACTGCGCTGGCGACCAAGCATCTCCCTCGGACCATTCCGTCCCAATCAAGTTCCCCCCCAAATCACGTCGCTTTACGAGAGGAAAATCGCCCGGGGAGCAAATATTCCCCAAGGGCACCCAGGTCGCTCCAGCTCCTCGATCCCAACCCCTGTTCGAGGTGCCACCAGATGCTTGGGCGCCGCCGAGCGAGTGGTTCTTTGGCAACTCGGTCTATCAACCTGCTCGAGCTCAGAACGCCAAGACTCCGGCCCGACAGTTCCTTTGTCAACCGAGGGAGAGCATCGCGTCGCTCAAGTCGACCAAGGATGCCATGGTGGGCCCAGGGAAGCGCCCATACGAAAAGCGCTTCAATCGACTTGTCAAGCTTCGACGCAAGGAGAGTCGCCGAGTCGCCCGAGCCCCTGCGAGTGTTCAAAGCGCCGTTCTGGGCTTCCCCTTGTGGGAGTCGTTCGACTGGAACAAGCCTCCAGAAAGGGGTCATCCCCTGCAGAAGAAGCCTGGACCCGAGCCGACCCGAGCCGCCGCGCCCCCGGTCGAGCCGACTCACACCGCCACGAGCACGCAAGCCAAGCCTGCTCAAGCCAAGAAGTCGTCGACGTCAAAGAGTACACTAGCGGGTAAGGAGTACTCCGGGCGGACGCGTCGTTGCGAGTTTACCAAGAGTTTGCGCGAGCAGCTCCCTCCCTCGCCCGATGGCAAGAGGAAGCACAGGTCCGCCGAATTCTTCTCCGACCTGATGCGCGTCCAAGTCGTCATCGGGTCCATCGAGGCGAAGGTGTATCAGCCTTGCGTCCGAAATTATGTCACCCTCTTCACCGACAATGATTGGAAGATCATGGCCGCCTCCAAGTTCGGGAATGAATTGAGGAAGAGGGTCACGGGCGTCTTTTCGGGGTTGCACCTCGATCCGGATTACAGCACCAAGGCCAAGCGTAAAGACCAAGGCTCGTTCACGACAAACACACCCATCGACCCCGTGAACATCTCGCCCGACACCCATCGAGCTTATGCTGCGGGGTACGCGAAGGCCGCCAACCCTCAAGGCGGCCCTCGTTTCGCTGGGGTGAGTCTTGGGCACTGTTACCGTGCCGCCTTGAATGCGGCTTTGACATGATCCGAGGCCAGAGGGTTTGACGAAGCCAATCTCCACCGTTTGATCTGCGTTTCATTCCAGGCCACGGGGGCGTTGATGACCGCAGTGGACAAGACTCGAGCGGCGGGCCTGACTCTTGGTGCGCACCCTCAATTCGGGGTGCACTACGAGGGCGTGGTCAGCTCGATCGTTCGCGCTATCCTCGGCTGGAAGGACAAACTCCCCTACGTCCTCGCCGAATACGGCAAACACCTGCTCAAACCCCTCTTGAAGGAGCAAGGACTCCTTTCGGGATTTCATTCGGACGACGTGCTCTTGACGGAGAAAGGGCAGCAGGTCCTCCTCGATATCGTGGTCTCGGCACTTCGCGACACGCCTCATCCCGTCGCCGAGCACCAAGCAGAATTCCAGAAGACCCTCGAGCGGGTCGACGCGCTCATCGGCGAAAACCCTGACGGCCCCCACGCAGCCTTTCGAACGGTCTTTGTCAAGCAGGTCTATACAGGCTGCGGGGTCCGAGACATCTATATCCCATGGGCGCTGCCCACGGGGCAACAGGGGACGTTGCGGGACCTCGTAGGAGTCAAGTTGACGGACTTTTCTGCCAAGCACAAGACTCGCGGCGGCGGCGGGAGCGGCGAAGATGACGATGACGACGATGAGGACAACGACGACGACGAGGACGAAGAAGAAGAAGAGGGCAAGTCAGAGGAAGGAGGAGGGTCCAGGGTCCAGTTCCCAGCGGCTGCCCTGCTTCCCCTCATGCACCATCTGCTTATCAGGAGCGGCCATACGAACGGCATCGTCCCCGTGAGTTCTGCTAGCCCCTATTCGCGCTCAAGGCCGTGCATCTTGCTTACCCTGTTCGTTCGCCACGCAACATTCATACTCGCTCAGACAATCGATTCCAACTTTATCCAGTGCACCCCCGGCTACCTCGCCACGATCCTCTCCAACCCAGTTCGCGTTGTGAGAGACCAAGCGAAATGGCTGTACAGCATCGTGCCGGCTCTCGTCACTGACCATGGCGCACCCGAAGACCGATCCGCTCGCTACGTCAAGATCGTACGACTTCTCCTCGGCGCTACGGGGGACAAGATCTTCGACTTTGACCAAGCCGATCCTAGGGTGAAGCAAGAATGGAGCGACGATGCCTTGGAGAGTGTCCGTGCGATTCGAGAGAATTGCTTCGGGTCCCACGTCGCCAAGTTGGAGCATGGCCCGGATGCGACCTTCTTCAGGGCAGATGACTTCAGGGCTTTCGGGTTTCGTCTGGCTGATGTCTTATTTAAAGTCGAGAGCATCCTCTCCTTCCACGAGATCCCGGCGGGCTCGTGGCAGACGGATGGCGTGCACGTGCATCTACGCGTCATGGATATCAGGAGAGCGTCAGAGGACAGTCGAGCGGCGGGACCTCCCAATAGCGGCGCGTCGAACTCGATCCGGGATAGCCTCATTCGAGCCATGAGGAAGGCCAAGCGGTGGCATCGATTAGGGAAGCCTCCGGCCAAGCGGGGTGTACTTTATCGATCCGCACAAACGCCGTGCCAGCACTACGTCGACGGTGTCAAGGAGACGTTTTTGCTTTCCTGTGTCGAGGGTTTGAGCAAGCCGCGTGTAGAGGGGAAACCCCGCGACCGCATGGACGCTCTCGAGGACAGGCTCAGGGAGGAGGCAACCCAAGCCGGAAGAAATGCCGATGACGCAGTTCATGTGAAATTCGTCCCTTGGAGGGAGCTGCAAGACGTTCGGATCGTCGATGGGGAAATCTACGTACCCAGTCTCCGCAACGACGGCGCGTTCTGCGAACTGCTCGAGACGCTGCAAGGCTTCAGCAACAAGAAGTTTCACACCAACGTGAGTGATATAATATGCCTCGCCTCGGGCTTCAGACGATTCCAAGTCCGAGACGTCTTGGCGGTCGTTACTCGTTTACTCGGCCTACTTGAAGTCATCGATCGAGAGTTGGTACTGATCGCGGTGCCCCACTACCTGGGCTACACAGCACAGCTTCAAGAGGGATGATCTCATCACCGAGTTCAACAAGCGCGAGAGCTTTTGGCGCGACATGAATCACGCTCTGAGCCAGTGTATCCTCGTAGCCAGCGACCTCGGACACGAACGCCCCAACACCATTGTCGCCCGCGTGTTTGACCGCAACGACGTGCCAGTGCTACAGACGGTTATTCTGTGCAAACAAGCGCCGAACAGCATTCTGCGACGGGGCGCCCAACTGTCGGCGGAGCTGCGGGAAGCACGGGCAAATCACGTCAAGACGACCCTCGACAAGAACAAGTTCGAGTGGTCACCCCTTGCACTGGCTCGCGGGTTCCCTGAGGGGCGCACTACCGCTTCTATGAAACTGCGCTCAACGACTCGCGAGGCCAGAATGACGGTTTTCGAACAACACGCAGAACATGTGCTGCACGTCACAGGTATCGAGAATATGCGTGAGTCCTCGTCAATCGGGGGAGACTCTATCGATCGCCGCTTGGTGCAGGTCAGTTGTAATTGTAGCCAGTATGTGCTGACTTCGTTCTGCGCTTTTCGACATGCAGGTGCCCATGCACGTCCGCATGCCCAGGAAAAACAGGTGACGATCGAGCTGGCAGCGCTCCCAGAGCTCGCCAAGCCATGCCATCTGTTTTCGAGCGAGCTGCGACCAATCATCTACGTCGCCGGCGACAGTTCGAGCTCGGGTCCGAACCCGCGAGGCGTCTACTTTGGTCCGGCCGCCTACAATTCGATGCACCGAGCCTTCAAGGGACTGAAGAAGTCCGGACTCGAGGTTCATCTCTTTACCGTGGACGAGTTTCGCACATCCAGTCACTGCTGGCATCTTGACTGCCGTGACGACCAGGAAAGGCGTAATTGGTACGTCCGTGCAAACCGAGGCAGACATTCGCTTGGCTCGATAATGACACGAACCCACGTGCTGTACTTGTTGCAGGGTCAAAACCGGTACGAGCGCGGAGGGATGGGCCATCCATCGGGTCCTACTCGGACAGGGCACCTGCACCCATATGCCTTCAGATCGGGACATTCTCGGCGCTCGCAACTGCGCGCACGTCTTTGAGCATTTCTTCGCTCACGGTCTACATCCGTTCCGTCCAGAAAAGGGGGAGGGGTACCGCGGCGCTGGGACCCGAAGGCGCGGAGGGGGAGGGAGTGGAGGAAGTGGGGGAGGTGAAGGAGGCGGAGACGATGAGGAACATTGGGATCATGAGGGCAAAGGAAGAGAAAGTGGAGGAAGCGGAGAATGTGAGGAGCATTGGGATCGTAAGGGCAAAGGGAGAGAGATCGCTCCCGACGTGCAAGATGAAGTGGAGGACACTGGAGATGAGCAGGAGGAACAGCAAGCCGAGTATCACACTTTTGAGGATGAAGAGGAGCTTGAGTATCTCGACTATGAATGACGCGTTGAGAAGGGCAGGGATGAAGGGAAGGGCCCACTCCGAGGCGGGGGACTTGAGCAACTAGTATCGCGGTTTAAGGGTTTGATTAGTAGCTGTACAGAGGTGGTGCCATACAAAACATCCAGGTTTCCGATGTGATTCTTCATACTATCAATGGCCTTACAACTTGTAACTAGCTTGTTATTGTGCTCAACTGCATTCCCTCTGTCTTTTCCGAGGATTTTTAGGCATTAATATAGATATGCTGTTAATCCTTAAGACTATATAATAAAAAACGTCGTCGAGACAAACCACGCGAGACAAACCACGTGGCGTGACATCACCCTAGCTAGCGCTCTGTTCTTTCGTTTCGGGCGTGACGTCACCCTAGCTAGCTCTCTTTCGTTTCGCCGACGTTCGCCGACGTTCCATGACGTTCCATGATCAGCCAAGTCACGTCACAGCCACTGTTTCTCAGCTCGCATTAAATCGGAGACTGTCAAAATTGGACAAGTCAGAAATTGCTGTGAACAGTTTGGTCAACGTTATCAAATGCATCCACCGCCTGTGAGCACGACGTCTCGGAGGTCTGAAGGCCAGCAACGACGCAAAGAACGTCATAGAACAAAGATGTGGCGTGACGTGATAAATTTGTGCGCGACGCCGAGCTGGGTCCGTGCACTTTGAGTAGAAATTTGAGCTCCCTCCACTGCAGGACGCTCGTGTCCCTATTTTATTTTATTTTTGCGGCACTGCCAACCCTCCTTCCTGTCGCATAGTGTTGGACAAGTCGCAAAGCTGAAAGAATGGACAATAGAGATTACAAAGCGAACCTGAAAACAAAGATGGAGACGGTGGCCAATTAAGTTAGGGATCGCGAGCACCGCAAGCAAGCACGGGCCGGGGTTGGTGCAGTGGGACGCAAGGAGTCGACATTTTGCCAGACAGAGCAAATGGGAGCTCCTCCTAAGGTATCGACGACCGCGACGGATCGTATGCTGGAAGAAAGTAGGTGAATGACTCCTCGAGCTCGAGCGTGCGCCTCGTCACCACAGACGAGGTCCGTGCCCGACGAGGTCGAGTGTGTGCCGCCGGTGCCATATCTGCCTATGCGGTGCACACTGATCAACCAGTCTCAGACACGAATACAAAGTCGAATATGTCGGCGCCCATACTGCTCCGGTAAAAGGTGCCAGAGTCTGCAAGTGTGGTCTCAGTCGACATCCTCGGCACCGTGCTTCCCGGCCGCCGGTGCGCCGCCGCGGGCAGCGACGAGTGACGACGAGTCCATGTGGGAGCTGTGTATGGATGTGCACTCGGTTGTAAAGGCAAGCATAAATGAGAGGACAACCCCCATTTTCCTAATCCATGTCATACCGGTACGTGCACCCCCTGTGCACCGCTTTGTACGAGCCCCTTAGAGACGTCGCTACCGCCCGATGCGCCGTCGGGCACGAACTCCGGCCACGGCACCGTCATGATGGGCGGCAGGAGGGATCCCCAGCTCGTTTACTGGGCTCCTTGGTTCCCGTCGAGCTGCCGATAAAGAGTGGCTGACGTGCTGCATCGCGGTGTCGGAACATCACATGAAGTCTTTGGGTCAAGAGATGGAGTTGCTCCGCGGGGCCGAGTTCCGGCTAGCCCGAGAATTGATGTTGAGGAACCGGGGGGAGCCATTACGCATTCGTCGATCGAATCTCGCCGCGCCCAAGCGGTAACCTTTTCGGGAAAGTCAAGGTCGGTCGGGTGTGGGTCCGTGCGCGCGGGCGTGCTCGCTCATGCGCCCACGCGCGTTCCGTGAGGCCTACGTTTAGAAGAGTTCCGCAACCAGACAAATCCTACCTTCCCACCGTCTGTGAATTTGTGACAGCTTCCATCGCGAGGGGTCGTGGCGTCTCTCGTCTTGTGTCCGGCCGCTTACCACTGGCGAGGGACGCAAGTGGGGGTTCAACGGGTATCGCAGCAGGCGGAGACGCAGCATGTTGTTCCGAGGCAACAAGTCCAAGTGCGTCTGATGCTGGTCCCACGTGGTCCTAATATACTGCTTGCTAACCGAGAGCTTTATGGCTGCAGCGACAGGCATGTGCGATCGCCTGTGAGCCCCTGTCTCCAGAACGTGTCGCGACGCGTCGCACCGCCTTCGTGCGACCTCGGACTGGTGTGACAGATACTGAATCGGCATCGCCTTTCCTTCACAGTCTTTTGCGATGGCGTTTCCCGAGTCGACTTTGAAGAGGAAGAGGCCGTTAGGCATACCACGGATCACGTTCGTCCGCATCGAACTCGACCGGCGGCGAGCGCTCGTGCTTCCCGTTTTGCGACTATTTCTGCCCGGTGCAGGCCCCGCTTTGCCCCAGTCACGACTACTCAGCTCCCACATGAATACAGAATACACGCGTAGAGACAGTATACCCGACGACATCATTGAGATGCGCTTCACCCGCACTCTGCTCGTCGTTGTCGCTTCGTGGATCGTCTTTGTCGGGCCTCTCATTCTTCTCGTTTTGACCGTGCGACTCGCCTTTCGGTCCAAAAAGGTCTTCAAGACCATCTTCACACCTGAGGAAATAGAGCGGATTTGGAGATGGGAGATTGCGAGTGGTCATTATCCCTCGGCACATCCAATCGACATCACGTTCGGCACTCACTCGCATCAACGCGGGATCGTCACCCAAATACCGAACCCGGCACGACCATTCATCGGTTCCGATAACCTTCTGGCAGAAGAAAACACTGGCCTGACGGTCAAGATTGTCCCCACGGGTCCCTCGCGCTTCTACCTTGTCCCGGAACCACTGGTGCAAATAGACGGTAAAGCCTACCTCTCGCGACCGGCGAGCAATGCAGCGCTCGACATGGATCAGGTCATGGAGCACTGCGAGTTCCCAAAGGGCTATGTGCGAGATTGCTTGACGTTCTTGCGCGGCGAATCCGTCGATATCAAAGCTCGGCGCAGGTATTTCACTACCGAGGAGGCCAACTCAATGCTCAGCGAGCAAGTCCTGTCCGAAGTGGAGGTGCAGAGGGCATCGATGGGCAAGGTGATCAGTGTCGACAGCAACGTCCAGTTCGAAAGAAAGCTCCAAACCCGGGAGCAGTTGTCCCTCGCATCCCTGCCCATGATCTCATCTCCTCTCCGACAACCTCACGCGACCTTTCCCAACGCCGACATCGCCTGCGATCCCGAACACCCGCGGCTTCTGCACATGTACTGGACTGGCCCCTTCACCGACAAGCCCTACATGGCGGTCATCTCATTCCTATACACGCAAAATCTCGGGCTGAACATCCCCTTGGGTGAACACCCGTCCAAGACTCACTGCCGACCACAACTCTGGATTTGGATCAACCCCGTCTCGGCGGCTACACTCCTGCCGCCGGAAGATGCGGCCGAACAAATTCAACGCGATCTAGAAGCCAACAAATGGAGCAGCGCATTACTTCACCCGCGTTGGCGTGATGTGGTGCATTTCAAGCTCTGGAATACCTCACAGCAACTCGACAATGCCGAGGAACTCAACGGTTGGCGGGAGATGAACTTGTTCAATTCGCACGGTTACAAGTATAAGGTGAATGAGAAGCGATGTCCCCTACTCTCGTGAGTCTGAGCTGATTCAATCCTTGCAATGGAGCAGGACACGGTCAAGAAACCGAACGAGGAATTCCGGCGGGTTGGGACGACCGACAGCTCGCATTACGACCGCCTTTCGGTCGTCATGTCCGACATGGCCCGCTTCCTGCTCCTACACCAGTACGGCGGAATGTACGTCGACGCCGACACCATCTTCTTGCGGGATTGGGAACCACTCTTCTCGTGGCGAGGCGCTTTCGCGTACCGGTGGTCGAGGCTCAATCTGTACAACACCGCCGTGCTCAAGATGGATCGCAAGACCGCGCTGAGCCATTTCATCGTTCGAACGAGCGTCGAGAATGGCTTCGACTTCCATCCCATGAGCGTTGCGCACTACACTCAAAACGCCAAGACCCGGAACCTGCTCAAGATGCTGCCAGACGCTCTTTTTGATCCGGCTTGGCTCAACACGTGAATGCTTCCTCGAGACGCTGCTTTCAACCAGAAACTGACCATCTTGCCCATTCTCCAGCGAGAATTTCCAGCGGGATCGCCCAGCTCAACCCTACTTCAAAAAGTGAGGCTGGCGTGCAGCGATGATCAACCGTTCCGATCGCAGGGCTGACGCACGATCTTGATGCGTCTTCAGATTCGAGGACTTTTTCCAGCCACCGAAAAAAGGTCGGGGAGGGCCGGCGACTTTCGATTCTTTCTTCAAAGGCGCGTTCTCTTACCACTACCATAACTTTTGGTGGCAACCTTTCGACCCGGTGCGGAACTATCCCGACCTTGATCCAAAGGTCGAGAGGGCGTCGCTTTCAGGGCAAGAGCAGGGCGAGATGTCGTGGTCGACGATGCTGAAGCGGCATTTTGAGGCCTTCATCCGAGCCGAGGAAAGGAACATGTACGGAGAGATGATCGATTTACGTCCTGAAGAGACTGACGACGATGACGATGACATTGATGAAGATGACGACACATAACCACTTGCTTCTAGATAGATATTGGTAATGTTGAATGCTGGTGTGAAGTGCAATTGCAATGCAGATTGATTTACAGATTAACAATTATACGCACCGTGCGGATGCGTGTGGAAAAGCACATGAACAACAGAAAAGAGAAGCAGGGTATGCAGAGACGTCATTTTCTCAATGAGAAGATTGCTTGTACTTGTCGCTCGCCTCGATCTGGGCCGAATCGGGATCGAACGTGTTCCGAAGGCCCAGTAACGCTTTCGACACCGCTTCCGAGGCCCCAATCATCGGCTTGAGCACGGCGACGGGAACAGCGCGGACAACGGCTCGAACGGGACCGTCGTCACCGGTTTGCTCATACACCTCCATAGGCAGGGCTAGGATCGTCTGCGCGGCCGAACGCAGTTGTCCACCCATGCTGCGGTAGGCCGACTCGATCCCTTCTCGCACGTCGCTGGGCTGCGCAGCATACCGACTGATGAGTTCTTGGCGCTCTTCGTCGGTGAGCATGTGGATCGGATCGTTGTCCTCCGCGGAGGCGAAATCCTTGTCGGATATTCCCGCAACCGAAGGAGTGTTGCGGTCGAGACCGTCATAGCCTGCACGCGTCGGCACAGAGGGTCGGTTCGAGCTTCGACCGCCGCCGCCGCCGATGAACGTTTCGGCCTGCTCCAGGATGACTTGAGTACCAGTCGCAAGTCTAGCCCCAACACTGAGCGCCTCCATCGTGGTCTGAAGGGCGAATGCAGTGGCGCCCTTTTGTAGTCCACGAACGACGCGACCGTCTTTGCGGAATTGCTCAATGGGGAGGAGGACGAGATTTGCTACCCCGGAACCAACGTTGACGACAGAACGAACAGGACCAATGCCGGAGATCACATCAGCGAGCTGGTTGGCCTTGACGTCCTGGGTCCAAATGTCTTGGACGAGGTCCGATAGACGTGTCGAACCGGCAATCCCCGTCACGACCAGACGCCGCAAGGTGATCTCGGAAGCATCAAAGTTGAAAAAGTTCATCAACTCGGCCGTCTTGCCACGACGAAGCGCGTGGTAGTCGACGCGCTTGGCTTTGTAATCAAGTTTGATCTTGACTGGAAGAACCTCGACTCGCTGGAAGAAGGGCTCCGCTGAGGTGGCATTCAGCGCCCTTTCGGCAGTACCAGCTTTCGAGGCCTTGTTGGGCGCTTGGAAAGCGCCGAAAGCCTTGAGAAAGTCGAGAGCATCTTGATCGACGTAGAGTCGAAGAGGAGAGATCTTGATCTGCGCGTGAGAGACGGTTTAATCTTTCGAGAGCGTAAAAGGTAAAGGAGGAAGCAGTGACATACCTTCAGGGCAAGTTCTTCACTAGCTCCAACTGAACGACCGACGGGGCGCATCTTGTCGAGCTCGACTCGAGCCATCGACGTCCCCGATGTCCGAGGCACTCCTCCATCAACAGGTCTTAATTCGGTAAGGAACTTGCGCCAAGTCGAAGTTTTGACGTTGTCGAGGATGTCAAACGCGTCGACGTCGATACGGATTCGAGAGGCCCACTTTTCCATCGCACCAAAAGCATCGAACTGAGCCGACAACGCTGTCAGATTGATCTCGATCGCATGCGACGTCGATCGGGTCAGGCGATTGCGAGACTTTCCCACGGCCGTCCTTGCGACTCGAGAAGTGCGGGCGACGTTTGGCGTAGCTGCGCCACTGGGCATCGTTTGCCAACTGCTGACTGAAGCCGCGCTTGCTTCTTCACCCACGTCCGATGAGGTGTCGTTGAGCTCTTCGTTGATCGCAGCGAGCAATTCTTTGGGAGGTAGCTCGAATGCGCCAGGCAAAAGGCCGAGTTGAACGGATCCGAATACGAGAACCGAGGCTTGCTGTTCTGCGCTTGCATCGGCAGTTTGACCGCTCGCGAGTAGCTGCCGGATCCGTTCAAGGCGGCGACGGATGGCCTTGCGTTCATCCTGAATGGCTTTGCGGGTCGAATGCCAGTCGTATCCTTCGTGAAGCATTATAGAGATATCGCAATTCGAGACGCGACATCGTGTGATGCTTGGTGGACTGATACGATATGCGGGGAATGAAAATTGAGCAATCAGCTCGATAAAAGGGGTCCGGATTCAGGCATGTGACGACTTACCATCCGATGCGAGCAACTTCCTCTTCTCGAGGCACAGCCAAGTACTCATCCAGGATACGAAGGCCTTTCGGATCAAGCATGCGGATCGTCTCGCCGTCGATATCCGAAATGACTTCCCCAGGACGATCAGTGGAGGCCTTATGTCCAGGGCCAGGTGGTGGCGGCGTTTGTCGCCCACGCGAGCTGGGAGTTTGTTGGAGCGCATCGGCGAGGTAAGCCAGGTTAGTCGGCACATCATCAGCGAGGATTTCGGGGTAGTCGACCAACGGTTTGGCGTGCTCGAATGCGCTGGGGTCGAGGCTCGCGAGCACGTCTACAGACGACTGGCTCAGGTTCACGCGCTGAGTTGACATTCTGGGTGCCGGGACGGGTGACTCAGTCGCTGAGGGTCGGAAGAAGGCGCTTTGGAGGACGTCGTCGACGATGGCACTAACACACGACATCGAGTCTGCGCAGATCGAAAGTTTCACCATCGAGTCGGCGACCTCGAGCTCAAAGTCGGGCAAGACGAGGCCATTGCCCTGTCGGATTTGGATCGACGAGCGCTCGAGATGCGCCAACTCGGCAAAACCCCGCGTCTTCCAGAATTTATAGCCAAGTTCGCGTGAGGCGTCCTCAGCTGGCAAAAGATCTCCTGGGCCTTCGACGACAAGAAGTCGCACCTCCTTCGGTTCGACGATGATCACCGTCCTAGGCATGTCGGGCATAAGGTTCGTCGCCACTCTTGCCTGGCCGATCGAAACGACGAGCTGCGACCCGTCGAGCGTCGATGACGTAACGTGGATCGAGCCATTATTGACATTCAGTCTGATCCGGGTCAACTCATTCGGCACGACCGTCTCGAATGCACCAGCCGGCGCCTTCGCGAAAGTCGACAGCTCGCGCGTCCAGTCGAGCTCAGCGGTGAAGAAGTAGGTGAAGTTGCTCAACGTGAGCTGCACCTTGGACTCTTTGAGGCTCGTCAATTTTTCGACTGAGCTGGTAAAGTCAATCCGGAGCACGGGATCCGAGGCCGCAGCCGTGGGTCGAGGAGCCATAGTACGCGCGAAAATGTGTGGGTTCGTCGAGGAATTTGATGGTTCTTCGAACGTCACGTTTCCGAACGTGGCGATCGCGCGCAAGTCGTTTTGGCTGTTGCGCAGCACGTGAAGGTCGATGTCGACGTCGGCAGCGAGAGCTCGAAGGTGCCTGTGGGCCTGCTTCCCCTCGTGGCTCGGACCTGGCGGTTGGACCTGTTTATCCAGCCAGAGGTCCAGAACGAGGTCCGTAACCTCGACTTTGACGGTCATCGCGCTCACCCCAAGATCACCACTACTGTCCTCGCTCTCGCTGTCGGCTCGCGCACGACCCCTCGAGAAGCTCTTCGCGCCAAAGTATCGACTGCTGATCATCTTGGGATTGCGTTCCGAGCGTATTGAAAAATCTGTCGAGCTGTCGTCGATCCGTGCATCGGCGAGGCGGAAGCTCCATTGGGCCAGGTCATCCGCGAACAGCTGAAGACCGTCCAGGGTCATCTTGCCCACCGAGGCACGGAGTAGAGGAAGCGAGCATTCAACTACGGTCGTTGTGCTCGTATCCGCGGAAGTCGGGGACTGGGGCGACGAGTCGCCTAGACCTGCAAGTTCAACAGATTGCTGTCGAATCTTGATCAAAGGCACCCGTGGTCGTTCCTCCACAGGGTGGTGGGCGAGATGGGTAAGTGACAGCAAGGCCCGAGCCGTGCACCACGCATCATCATTGCTGGGCGGAGGCGCAAAGAAGGCCAAGGCACGCGTCACGGAAATCGTTGTCGTACCAATGGGATCATCAGGCGAGCGCGGGAGAAGCGATACGGCGAGGTCGTGCAAATCGAGCACGACGATGCCGGACCTCACGGAATCGTCCCAAGCCCGAGCCCAACCGAAGCTACCCTTGGGCGGTGGGCAACGGATGGAAATTCTTAGCACAGAAAGATTGACGTCTAGGCCCGATGTAGCTCTCTCAGGCGGGTTCGCATCAGTGAACGGAGCCGACCTGTCGTGCGGGCGATTGAGACCGACGGGCGTCGAGGGCCGAGGAGTTCGAGTGCCAAACTGCCCACTGCTGTCGGCCGTTCCGATGACCGAGACGAAGGTTTGCAACCGCTCGACGAAGCTCAGATCGAGGAACAAGTGGATCGGCTGTAATCGTATGGATTCTGGCGGAGAAAGGGTAGGACCTCAGCAGATGTCACGGTCATAACACTCTCGCGGGACTCACTGGAGCCGCTTTGCACTGTCACTATCGCAGCGGGCGCTGGCTCCTCCGGCTTCATCGCTTTGATACCCAGTCTCGGCTTGAGACGAGTTCTCCACCCTTTCCCTTCCGCAAGCTTGTTCCTCTTCCAATCGATCAAGTCGAAGGTAGGGAACGCGTCCTCGACATTATATTGCCTCTGTAAGTCTGGATCCGAGACGAGGATCGGCAAAGTGGTGTTCTTGACCTGCCCTTCGCTTGTCGTAGTACAGAGTGACTCGACGAGCGAAAACGAGCGCAGTGGAAAGATGGTATGCGGTGGATCTGTAGAGTGCCGTTCGACAAAGGCTCCCATCCCTTCAAGACGTAATCGCAGGTGATCGCAGGGAAGGTTGGATGTGGTTGGATGAGCCCAAATGGTATCGAGTTGGGTTGCTGAGGGCGTCCTTGACGAGGGAGAGTGGGCGACAATGAGCTGGAAGAGCTTGACGCCGATCGCGATCGTCAGGTTCAAAGAGGCCGAGCGAGCTTGCTCCTGTGTAGCTCGCGATACCGTTTGAGTAGACGGCGGAAGATGTGACGTCACGAGCTCGGCGAGTTGGAGGAAACATCGAATCTGATCTGGAAGGACGAACATAGTGATTGGTCCAGAAATGGTCGAACGAATCTCCAGCTTGGGCGGAGCTGCTCTGTTAGATCGCGGGGATAGGTCCTCGGGCTCTGCCGGCGTTGGTGACTTGGGAGTAGCGGTGGACGTCAACGAAACCGCGATGGGCTCAGATCCGAATGATAATATAATGTCGGTTTCGATGGGCTCTGCCTCACCCTCAAGAAACGGGTTGCTGTCGCTGTCGTTGTCACTCGACTGATGGCCTCCTATGCTGGACTGGTTGGACGAGCTTCTCTCGAAGATGGATCCCCTCGCACTGGCATAGACGGATTCGCCCATAGCAGCACAACTCTGCGCGGACATGAATGATGTCCGTAAATCCGCGATCGATTGAGACATCATCATATCGTGTTCTGGCGTCAGATCTTGGTCTTCTGATTCTTCCGATTCTTCCGATTCGGTTGACGATGCGTCATCGTCGCCAGCTGGCTGAGTCGGTCGGGGTGTTCCAGGTCTTCCCGGGTTCACGCCTGTCTTGAGCCTAATTCCGGGCTTAATTATCGACAGCTGGTGTTGGCTCAAGACGTCTTCGATCAAGCCGTCGTTGTCAGGCACTTGATCGCGCTCAGTTTCCTCGTAAACGATCTCGTCGCTGCTAAAGACGAGTTGGTGCTCTTCCTCGTCGTCTTCCCATAGCAGCGTGACTTTGAGGTTTCTGACCCTCACCTGCAATCTTGCCAGAATACGATCGATCAAACCGGCCAGCATCGTGACCTCTTGAGTTTGTTCCTCGTCCATGGAGGTTCGACCGGCGGTGGTCGAGCCTCGACGCGTACTCCCAAAGGCGCCGGGGAGTTCGAGATCTGGCTCTGAATGGAACGAGAGGTGCAGTGACTGTCGCAGTGCCGCATCATCCTTCTCGTCGAGTTGATGCTTGACAAACTCGGACGCGACAGCGACGGACAAGATGCTCTCTGCCAAAGCTGCCTCGTCTCGCTCATCTTCTTGGTCCTCGTCTTCACGGTGATCGGGTGGCGATGTGGGGCGGCGATGACTCTGGGAGGCTCGGGCTCGAGTCGTACTGCTGCTACCAGCATCGAGAGTTTCGTGCGACGCGGACAGCAAGTCATCTCGATCGACATCGGATCCGTTGTTTGAGCTCGATCGAAACGGTTGGACTTTGAGCGTAATGTACAAGTCGTCCACCTGCAACGACAGCGCTCGGCGTGACGAGAGGGATAACGGGAGCGAGACCTGCGCGATGGTTTGGCCGATGGTCCCACCGACGAAAGAGAAGGGCAGTCCGGACAGTAGGGGTTCTATGGCCTGTAGAATGATTGCATACGGTCGTCAGCGGTGTAAGAAGGTTGTAGTGGGTCGAGCTGACCGGCGACCGCAAACGCAGAGTCGGTGATCGTCGCGTGACTTGGGAGAGCCCCCACGGTCAGAGTCGGGAACACGCACCTCGGGGTTGAGTTCAAGCGCCTGCAACTTGACCAGACCATTCCCTAGGTCGGCCTCTATCGATTCGTCGTCGAATTGCCCCTTGACAAAGTTGCCTATCGAGCGCCTGAGCAGGAACGCGAGCAATCGGTGCTGCAGCTTGGCCGGCAACGACGGCAAGGGGAGCGACGACAACGAGATGGAGGGGAGGTACGAGGCGAGGTAGGACCATGGCGACATCGTTCAGAGGGTGAGGGGGTCAGGGATGATGTCGCCGTCAAAAGTGGCCGGGCAAGGTCGGCACGACGTGGATCCGGCTGTGCTTGGTACGACCGAGTCACCGAGGCCGGCCAGCGAATCCGAACGGCCACACGAGGGAGGTTGGGAGAACAAGCTCTCGGCGGGGACGATGGGAGAGCGATGGGAGAGGATAGTCGTCGACGAACGCACGCGTCTTCAGGTCGACGTGCAGGACGAGGCGATGCTCGTCATCGATGCGGGTGGTGAACGTCGTGGTGTGAGTCCAACCGTAAACCGAGGGCGCCACACGCCCTGCCAGCTGCCAGCGCGCGTGCTCAACCAGGCTCGACCTTGCTCGACTATGTATATAGCTCGACTTAGCTCGACTGTGCTCGACTGTGCTCGAGCGCCGCCGTCCGGCTCCGTCCGGTCCACTCGTGCCGCCGATCGAGTCGGGGATCCGGAGCTTCAAGTTCCGATCGGGCATGACTTTACGCACCATGCCTGATCTACCCGTTCGCCCCCAAAACATGATTGAAATTATAGACTGGACTCGTACATACTGCAGCCTGTAAGTCGATGATTCAAGTCGGGTTGCAGTGGTTTGATGCCGATTTCCCTCGAATGGTTTTACTACCCCACACGGCGAGGGGTCAGGTGCTCCCGAATATGCATGACCATGTTGGGCCAGCTTGAAGCTGTGTGCAGAAATAACGGGTGAACACATACGCTAGACTTTGGTTACAGGAGCTGAGAACGTTCTCGCCAACGTGGCCCGCACGGACCGTATCGACCTTTAGAACGGGACCGTGCGCCGTGCGACAGCGTGCGACAGCGTGCGACCGGACCGACCTCTGCTCAACCGTGCTGGCGAGCTCCAAGGCCGCTCTCTCGCTGTGTTCATTCAGCATTGCGGCCCCTAGCCGACCCACGGTCGCTCTTCTACCCTCTCGGCTCTTTCTGAGCCGTCTATCCTGCTCTCCCCTTCGTCGGCTGCTCCCACTGATGGTGCTTTAGCTGAACGCTCATCCCAGGGCGCCGAAGCCCAAGGCAAGGAAGGCATCCGAGCGTGATGGCGACCGTCGTCGAGCGGATGGACACCTCGTCCGACTCGGCCTCGGAACTCAGTTCTGGATCATCAGAATCCGGATCAGATCTCGAGATCATCGACTGTCGACCTGCAACCTCGGCGCTCGAGGTGCTCGCCATCACCGACGACGACCACACCACCACCACCACCACCACCACCAGCTCCAGCTCGGACCGGGGATCCGACGCCGGCAGCGATGACGACCTCACGATCGTAGCTCCTTGTCCGAAACATAGCCCCATGGCTTTAAAGACTCTTACCTTGGCCAAAAGATCCGGGCGGGCATCACCACCTCCTGCGTCGACCTCCAACACGGCTACCCCGACGAGTGCTCGCGACGCTTCACCCCATCCCACATCGACAGCCTCGACAGCCTCGACAGCCTCCACCCTCCAGAGAAAGTCACTGCAGAAGCAGGCCGAAGCAAGACCAGCCGGATATCTTGTCATTTCCTCCGACGAGGATGGCGGCGACGACGACGATGAGGACAGCAGCGACTCGAATGACAGTGAGCTCGAAATCACCGTCGTTTCGCGGTCGTCTCCCAAGCGTGCGCCGGCCGTGGTGGTTCCACCCGCACCGCGCCACGAATCAAGTGGCGACGATCTACCTGCACCTCAGGGAATTCAAAACTTGACCTCGTTCACCCCATCGGCGCCCCCGTCCTTGTCTACGTCGATTCCTCGCAAAGGGCTTGTCGAGGTCAGTACGCGACCTCCCGGGGTGCGAAAACCCTGTCTGAACCTACTTACGCCCGCCCGTCCGCTGATGAAATTGGCAGGACCAGCCCTCAAACCAAGGGAGCATCGTCGCAAGTACGTCCCAGGTCCAAATCGAGCAGCTGTTACCCCTCTCGGACGTACCACCGCCCGTGCCCCGGCTGCCTTCCGTGGGCCCCAGTCAACATGTGCTCCCTCACCCGCCCGTTTCCAAGTCCCGCCTGTTTATCCCCAAGTCGAAACCTTCGTCGTCGTCGTTGTCATGGAAAGCTCGACCGAATCCCACACGTCTGAACACTATTCGAGTCAACTTGTCGTCAAGCCTGTTGAAGAGTGGCGACGAAGGATGGGTAAAAGCCATACCTCGACGATTGAACGCTCCCGAAGATCGGCTCTCTCGCCTTCCACAATCTCCTCCAACACAGTCTGAAACCTTTCCGACCGGTCCAGTACGGCACCCAAGTCAATCACCTCCGAAACAAGACGCGACTCGACTGTCCCCGATGAGGTCACCCACTCGTGCAGCTTCAGCTCTGCCACAACAAGCCCAAACTCGTCGTTCGAACGATCTCGGGTTGAACTCTGACACGGATTCGAGCGAGGACGATCTTCCTGCACCTTTCGGATCACCGTCAAAAAAGCTCCCCGGGAAAGAAGACGTTGCTGCTGCGCTTCCCACACCGGCTGCGACGATCTCGCCATCTCTCGCCTCGGATTCGTCCTTGACCGTTGACAAGGGCAAAGCGCGAGCGTCGGAATGGACCGATCCAGACTCTGATCGGGAGATGGAGGCCGACGATGAGGGAGAATCTCCTGTGTTTTCGATGCATCGAATAACGCCCGATCACTGCCCTGCCTTTCCCCAGCGAAGCCCCGGTCGTCCGAGCCACCCCAACCTCACCGGGGAACCCTCGACGAGCGCAGCTCAGACGGCCAAGACAGCGCATTCCTCAACTCGAGCTGCGGATCTGTTCGCTCCCACACCGAAACAAGGCAAGATCAACCGAACCAAAAAGTCGCCCAACCTTTTTGAGTCATCTTCGTCCCCACCGATGAGCACTTTGGTCGACCAGAATCCGACTCCTGACTCGACTCCTGAAAGCAAAGCCGAAGCCGAAGCCCCTCGACCCCCTTCGGAGCCGTCTGCTCCGCCTGGGTGTCCTGACAGCATCCAGGCGATAGATCAAAAGTGGGATGAGATGGAGCAAGAGGAACCTGCTGTCGCTACCCAAGTCGATTCGACGGTCCCTGCTGGCTCCCAAGTTGCTGCTCATCTTCACCCCGATCCCACGTCAGCGCAGCCGGAACTAACCAGAAGGGCCGAAGCGCAACGATTACGACGAGAGCGAGAGCGGGCACAACATGCCATCGAGGCAAGAATGACTCGAACCGACAAGATTTCCGATGCTGAGGTTCCGCTGGATCCCGCCTCGATCGAGGGCCGCTCGGCTCTAAATTTGACGATCGTCAAGAAGCGTCGATTGGTCGGCAAAAAGGACGAACTCAAATTGGGGACCCGGGAGCGGCGCAAGTCCAAGAGAGTCATCAAAGCCCCTTTGCAGACGCTACCGAATGGTCTGATGGAGGTCGATATGAAGGTGGATCACGAAGTATTGGCGCAAGTAGAAGATGTGAATCAATTCGTGCGTGAGGTGAATAAGGAAGTGGCGCAAGTCAACGAGGAGATAGACTCTTTGCAGGAGCGGTTTGAGAAGGTCAGTCCAGATGTGTGGGGTAGTGTAGGCCTGTATGGTAGGTCGCCTTTGACTGAACACGTTCTGGTAACCTCCTGCAGTTCGTGTTGCTCGAATCCGCGCGACCGCCGAAAGAGCGACAAATTCTCGGTCCCGAGCTCGAAGACGAGAAAAAGTCGGACGTAAGGGCGACCTTGATCCAGCTTATACTCAACGCCCGAGCTTTCGAGATGCAAACCGGCGAAAAGGCGGACAAGAACCCTCGGTACGACACCAGTAGCCACACGCTCTTGTTCGAATCCTTGATCGCGGACGTCAACAGCAGCGAACTGAGCGCGCCGTGTCGCATTCGAGTGATCCCTCCCGTTGATGGTGGCAAGCCCCATTCGCCGCCGTTCGAGTTCGTCTATACGAACCGTGTCATCCTTCCTCAAGGCTCGGCCCCGGAAGCACCTTCTTCGTGCGACTGTGAAGGCAACTGCGGCGACCCGGCCAATCTCAAACGATGCGCCTGTCGGCAGCGTCAACGGGAAGCGAGTCGAACAATCGGCACGGAGAACGAGCGCTCGGGTCACGACTCGTTTGCTTGGGAGCCGGATGGGACGTTGAACCATGAAGTTTTTGGTTGCAGTGATCCGATTTGGGAGTGCAACGCCGGCTGCGGTTGCGATGATACGTGCGTGAATCACGTCGTTGGTAAGAAACGATCGGTCGACGTCGACATCTTTTGGACCGGTCCTATGAAAGGATGGGGGGTGCGTAACCCACCCTCGCATGACCTCGATCCCCAATCGTCGATGCCATTTATGCCCGATGGGGGGTCCGTCTATCGCGGTCGCGTCATCCGTCGCGGAGAATCTCTAGCGATCTACGCGGGCGAACAGATCCCGACTTCGAACACTCCCGAACGCGTCGAGGTCTACGACAAGCTTTGCCGGAACTACATCTACGACTTGGACCACTTCCATATCCCCGAAGAAGCTGGCAAGGACCACTTGTACCGCACCCAGGGGCGAAAGCCCTTGTCGGGGAATGCAACGAAGAAGGCCCAAAAATACGGGCGGGACCTCGCTGCCTTCGCCGTGCAATACAGGGAACGAGTCTGGAACAAGGAACTCGGATATTGCGTCGATGCGTTCTTGCGTGGGAACTGGACCCGGTTCTGTAACCACTCGTGCTCGGAGTTCAATGCCATCTCGAGGCCGGTCTACGTCGATGAGGGTCGCGTCGAACGGCCCTTGCTCGTTCTCTTCGCCAGTCGGGACATCCAACCGGGGGAAGAGATCAGGATCTCGTAAGTCGCAAAGTTGTTGCTCGGTCAACGCTGCACGTTCTGACGAATTGTACTTTCCGTTTACAGCTACCACTCGGAATCGTCCCCCGAATTCAAACAAGCACCTAACCAAACCCGAGCCCAATACAAGACGTTGCTGAGACAATATCGCGCAAAGGCGAATGCAAGGCGAATGCGAGCTAGACCAGAGTTTCGATGCTATTGTAAGCTGAGCAGATTGTGGAGGTCCGTGTACGAGGATGTGCCGATGCTGACGCGATAACTGCTGCTTCCTTACCGCACTTCCCCACAGGCGGCGAATTCTGGTGTCGGGGAGTTGTAAGTTGCGCCGTGGTGATCGTATTGGGCATATCGGGTCAAGGCAGCTGACTGGTCTCTTTTGTTTTTTTTTAACCCGCAGATGTTTAATGGTGGTGACGATGATTCAGACTCAAGCGAGCTAGATGAGACTGAGCAGGAGGAGGCTCCGAATTAGAGGCCTCAGATCCGGCAGAGGAGTGCTAGAGTCCACGACACCCCGTACACGTTACGATTAGTGGAGATGATTAGGAACTACAGACCACTTGTTCACCTACGAGAACTTGGACTCGCAGTCCTTTCGCCGTAAATTCGACGGGTCGCAGAGAGTGGGCGTGCGCGAGAAGCTAGGCGCAGGGCAGTGACCGCACCATAAACCGACCCAGAGCCCCTATCGATGTTGATTGATGACCGCCGGACGTCTCTGGATGGGCCAACACGGGGCCATGAACCGGACGAGGGGCCGATGAGCGTCCGTGCACTCGATGCGGGAAGTGTCTCAGTGCATGCTCGCGACCTTCCTTTTCCGGCCCGCGGCGCCACCTCCAGCCTCCTCGAGCGAACGGTCTCGCCGGCGCTCTGACGATGGAAGCCCAAGGCCGTGCACCGACTTTTAATCATGGCCGAACAGACTTCGCACATGGCGATCAGAAGAACCTAGAATGACCTCTCGCCCGCGACGTCGCACCCCGCTAGACAAATTGGTTCGGCGCGAGAAGTCGGTGCAGTGAGGCCCCCTCTGGGCCTTTTTTAAGAGCTGAGCGCTGCGCCTTCGGCGAACTTCCCTCACTCCAGCGAGCGGCCTCCGAGTCGCTCGGTGCCTAGTAGTGCCATTCTCATTTCACTTCGCCTCTTTCCCTTTGACCGTCGTTTCCTGTATCTCGTCTAAGCCTTCTCTCGGCCTCTCCTTGGAGAACGTTCACACACTCGTTTGAACCTGCTTGAACTTTAAAGTTCGATCCGTCGGACTTGCTCGAGCCCGCCAGCCAACTCGTGCCCCGCCCTTCGCGCGCCTTCTCCGGGCCCCTCAAGCCACCCCCACTCCCGAGCCGTCGCAAGCTCGAAGCCAGGACATATCCGATCGGTCCAGGAACCGTACTACTATGACTTCTGTCATCAGCGCTCAGGCTACAGCTCCATCGGCATTCGTGACTATCAGTGAGTTTAATGCAGTCGGCACACTTGAAAAGCCGGCAGAGTACTGATGCAGCAGGCTTGAACTTCTTCCAGTTTCGAAGGTCGTCTCGAACGCCAAGTCCCTGGCCTCGGAAGCCACCGCGACCGCAGCTGCGGTTGGCTCGAGCGTTACAAGCTACTCGACGACGCATTTTAGCCCTGTGAACAAATGTATGGCACTTCCAGAGACGACGGTATGCTCTACTTCTCTATGGTGTTGTCCCAGGGTGCTACGCAGAAGCTAAAATTTCCGTATTCGACCCGTCTTCGCCGACTTTTGCCCATCTCCGTGCTGCGCTTCTCGACCCATACAGAAAATCATCATTTACGTCTGCGTCGGTCTCTTCATCCTCGTTCTCATGGGCCTTATGGTCCTTTGGGTCATGGGTCGATCGGAGGAGAAGGCCGATCGGAGGCGAGAATTGGAACTGCCGATGCGGTCACCGGTCGTCACCTTTGACGAGGGGGCGAGCTGGACGAACTCGAGTAGCAGGACAATAGGCGGACCTTGGGAGCGGAAGAAGAGTTGGGTCTATAGGGGTGATGATTAGGCTCAGGATTCACGTAGATTCGTTACGGCGACGGATGTTGCACTGTGCAGATTCGGGTGTTTTAACGACGGTATCAGCGTGGTGCTCGAACGGGGATAGACGCGGCGATTTCAACTGTTTGCACGACTTAAAAATACATTTCAAACCCCATTTCCCGAAATGAGGAGCGCATCGTCGCGCGCATCCGGTTTCGACGGTGGGTTACTTTGCTCAGGACTCGAGGGGGCCGGCTGGTCGTGGGGCCGGTGTTTTATTTCGCTGTCAGTTACATATCACACGCAGGCCTTATCTTCTTTTTCCTCTTTTTCAGGTTTTTTCCATCTGTTTCTGCGAACTGCAACAGTCTTGTAATTGGGTGTTTGTTGACCATTGCGAATTATGCCATGATCGCCCTCGACACGCGTACTGGGCGTGGGTAGTAGGCGCCGTGCGCCGTCTGGCGCCGTGGTTTTTTATTTATTTTTTATTTTACTGGGGTTCATAAATTGCAATCCTTCGGGTTGCGGGTTGGCTGGGACCGCTACAAAAAGAGCTAAAAGAGGTTATAAAGCAACAGGGATGCCTTTCAGAACAGCCCCATAAGTAGGCTCTGAGTAGCTAGAACTGTCGAGTTCTAGTTGCGACTTGCTTTTTAGCCTAGCGGTCAAGAACGACAGATTGTATTTTATGCACATCAGAGGCGCATACCTTACAGTAGTGGTGGCCTCAACTGGCCTCAGCGGGAGAACAATGGCCGATCGGTCTCAGCTAGTTCTCAGCTGCAGGTCTGGTCAAAGTCGCGCACAAAGAGAGCCAACGGTTGTCAACCACTCGGCCAACGCTACAAGAGCGCCGGAGAAAGAAGCGAGTCTTCCATATCTACCCCCAGCAGCGAGTTACCAGGTAAGTGTGCTCATAGCACCTCTTGCCGTGTCGAACGCAGGAGTCGTCGGTGGCCGACCCGCGCGAGGTGGCGCCTCACGTGGCCCTCGGGCATGGTGGACCGACCCAGCCGGAGCGCTTGCGATGCTTGGCGCGGTGTGTAGAGACCCAGCGTGTACTGACAATAGTTCGTGTCCTCCTCCCACAGTTCCGGGCGGCCTCTGCCCACTCGTCATCATTGACTGTCCCAACCAGAGCTGAACGACCGACGCCGGGCTGGACATTCGGTGCGATTGAGGGCCGAGTGAGAGTGAGCAGCACCCATGACGAGCTCGCGACCGACACGTCGATCAACCGCAGCGTCGGCCGCAGTCGCAACTACATCAGCCAGCGGTCAAGGGGCAGCTGATGACTCAAGGAAGGTAGCAAGACGATCAAGCTCCCATCGTAGCGCTACCGCAGCATCAAGCTCGAATGCGAACGCCTCCACGTCTGTCGCCGCTTCGGCCCACGCTTTGGTCCCGAGCTCGGCTCGTCGACTTCGGTTAGGAGACCATCCGGACGTGGGTGGATCATCTTCCGACGGTGCGGAACCGGTACTAGCAGCTCGCACCGAAGGTTTGGTCGCACGTAGACTCACGCGCAAGGCCCCCATCTCGCCCAAATCTTCTCGATCGACCTCACCGCAACTGTCCGAGCTCTACGATGGCTCGTACAGCCCCGACGTGGACGCCCCACCTTACTCGCCTCCTGACCGATTGACGCACCTCTCTTCCGAACTGCTGGCGCTCATCTTGGCACACCTCTCGCCCAAGACGGAGCCAGACCTGTCGTCGCTGTACCGCTGTGCGCTCGTATGCAAGGGCCTGCTGCCCCACGTGCGCCTGCATATGTACCGAGATCTCCGGATCGATACTCGAGTGCATGCGCATGCGATGCATCGTACCCTCCATGGAAATGATGTCAACAGGGCCGTGAAGACGATTGTAGCAGATGTGGGAATGATGGCCAAGACAAGTTCCCAATGGGTTGGTGAGTACCCGACGCCCGAGATCAAAACCTTCGTCTCGCGCGGCTCACTGATTCTGGCTCTCGCGTCAACAGGATGGTTCCTGTTTCATTCGATGCACTCTTTATGTGGCATTATTGGTTCGTGTCGCACCTTGTTGTCATTGACGATCTGCCTTCCCGCCGAGGCAACCGCGTGGACCCAGTCGCTCTGTTCGGCGCTCGTCGATCTTAAAATGCTCCACACGCTCGTCAAGGACCTTGACCCAAGTCGAGAAGGGGCACCCGGGGTCGGTCGAGCCGAAGGGATGGATGTCGGATGGCGACCGCGCAAGTCGACGAGTATGTGGAGCGTCAGCCAGTTGCTCAAACCGCTGGCCTCGTTGCGCTCCCTGACCACATTGAGACTGTGCGGCATCTCGTCCGATTCATCGACGAACCCTCCCACGGCGCCTCACCAACTGCGACTGACCGAAGTCGTCCTGATCGAAGTCAACATCACCAACACGGACTTGTTGCACCTCCTCGGGAATGTCACGACGCTCAGGAAGCTTACGCTGTGGTGCTCGTCGTTGTTATCGAAGCGAGGTTTGACGCATGTGCTAAAACGGTGTCCGAATCTGGTCGAGCTCAGAGTCGGAGGAAGTTGGTTCGGAGCCAAGGACGAAGGTACGCCCGCAAAATTTGACGTATATTGTTCTGTGTCGCTGACCTATTTTGATAGATGATACCAACTTCCCACTCGATGCTTCCCTTGCGAGCCTGCCTCGGCTCCGAGTCATTCACGTCTCGGGCTCGCTCATCTCCCCGGCGATCCTTCTGCTGCCCTCGACCAACCTCGAGCATCTGCTCGTCCACGGTGCACCGGCGTTCACACCTCTGGCGATCCATTCCGCTTTGGCAAGGATGCGTTCGGACCCCTCACCCATCGCGAGGCTGACATTACCCGAGATGGTTTTACAAGGTGAGGGGGCTCACACGAGTAGCGGTGGTCGGCAAAAGCTTGGCAGTACTTGTGCCGATGTGGGATGGACCGAGCATTGGTTGTTCACCGTCAAGGCGACCGCGCAGGCCAAAGGGGTGATTTTGGAGAATGGGAGGGAGGGTATGGAGGGGAGGGAAGACGACTTGGGGGACGATAGTGGGAGTGATCGAGGTTGAGAATCGGCAATTTGACTTTACCCCTCGATGCAAAGGATGATGTCGGCACTTTGTCTCGAAAGCTGTCTTTCGACCTTCGTTGGCGATCAGTTCGCATACCGGTCCGCCGAGCGCGTTGGCAAGAAGTGGAAGGGAGGCACCAGCGCCAGTGAGGTGCGATAGCGAGGCAATGCATCGAGCCTCGCCCAACTTGTTTCTCTCTCTTATCGTGGACTTGGTCTAATGAAGGTCTTCTATTGAGTGGCAGAATCACGAGATTCTCCAAAAACTTGAGTCTCCGGAGGCCAAGACTGGCGCGGCTCTCTCTCTTACTCTTTCACAGAACATTGCAAGCTAATTACTGCTATCATATACTCCCCATTGAAGACTTTTACTGCTGGTCCTGCGATGCTTGCACAGCGGCGGGAGCCGACCGGAAGAACGGGTGCCGGCCCCATAGGATCTCATGCTCGAACGCATTCAGGCAGTTCCCCGATCCCATGATGTCCCGGTCGGCAGGCATGTGGACGCAGGTTCCACCGCCTAGGGCAACGCGGAAACAGGTGGAGCCGTTTGGTCGCAGGGCAAGTCCGACCCTGCGGAGGCAGATCACGATACGGCGCGAGCGTCAGTGCCAGCTGAGTGTGCAGTGGTGCTTCGAGCTCGGCAAAAACGACACTGATCGAGGGCCCGATCATGGCAAACTTACCAACTCCTCGTGCCGTCCGTGTTCCTACAGTCCAGATGCCAGCACAGTTTCGACGTCAAGTATTCGCTCCCGGTGTAGAAGCCGATGTACTCGAGCCCGAGCGCCTGGAGATAGCGGTACAGCATCTTGACTCAGCTATGGGCGTACGATACGCCCGACGGGTTGGGTCCAGGGCTGGTGAAGCCGTTGCCGAGGACGAGGAAGACGGGTCGCGACTCCTTTGAGAGTAGGTCGCCGTAGGTTGCGGTCTCGGGATGGGTGGGTGGAGATGAAGTTGACTGATTGGGTCGACGGGCTGCGGCTGCCAGGTGTCGGATCGCGTGGGCACGAGTTCGTAAACGGTGTCAGCGTAGTCCACCCAATTGACCACTTGAAGGCTGCGAGCAGATCCCCTTGGACTACACTGGGAATCGTTGCCAGCGCGAACTCACCCATACTCTCAAGACCAAACACCTTTGCAAATTGTTGGGTCTGTTTGTACAAGATCGACAGTGTCTTCTTTCTGGGTGCTCGAGACCGAGATCGCGTCGTAAGTGTGGCGAAGGGGTAGGCCGAGCTTCGTGGCAAGTGGGCACCACGCGAGCTTGTTCTTTTGCAAGGCTTCGTTGATGCGACGCGTTTTGTTGGCGCGTTGACGAGCACCCTTCCGATTCGCTTGGGCTGTGATACCCTCAGGCCCTTCTTTCCCGAATCGGAACGTCTCCAAGGCCGCAGTCCCGTCGTGCGTAAAGACCCGAGCGACGGCGGTGACCGGGCGAGCATGGCCGAGATCGACAGAGATCATGACAGAGTCTTGCAGAGCTTAATAGAGGTCTTTGTAGAATTGTCCTCGCAGCTCGAAATGAGGTCCTTGGGTGCGACGTTGTGCTGCGCAACAAAAAGCATTACGATCATCGGCGAGCGAAGGGGGGTCCGTCAGCCAAAGTGCTACTTTGTCGATCTCCGTCCGACGCACGTGATGCAGGATTGAACTCGACTCACCTGGGTCTTAAACTTTTTGCGCGAATGCTCTTGCAGCTAAACTTTTTGCGCAAATGCTCTTGCAGCCTTGCCAGTACTCTTGACGTGCAGTCGGGCTGTGGATCGAGGGTAGCCAGATGCGACTGTCGATGATGGGGACGTCTCGGAATCGCTTCCAGGACGTCCTGGCGCTCGATGAGAGCTTGGCGTTCGGAAGGGATAGGGGCAGGAGCTGCCGCAATGGCACGTTCACGGAGTTGGCGCTCCAAATCGTCGACTCGGCTGGGCTTCTCGGAGGATCCCGGTCGACCATACGATAAACGGAACGGCTTCTTGATCCCATCAACGTAGTGTTCGTAGTCGTTTTTGACAATTCGCGAGTCCTTTTTGCCTTTTTGTTGGAAGCGGAGCGACAGCCGGGCGGTCGAGCGCGGAGCCGATCGAGACGTCGGGATTGTTGTACCAGGACTAGTTCGCGACCAACGCAGCGACGCGCTCGACCGCCCGGCTGTGGCTCCGCTTCCAACAAAAAGGCAAAAAGGACTCGCGAATTGTCAAAAACGACTACGAACACTACGTTGATGGGATCAAGAAGCCGTTCCGTTTATCGTATGGTCGAAGTGGATTGCGGGTCGAGACGCACGTCGATGATGTGGCCACGTCGTGCCGATGCGCACATGTAGGTGTCCGCTTCAGTGCGAGCCATGACGAAAGTCATGCCCGAGCCGACTCGCCATACATGGATCTGATCCGAGTTGACGTTGGGCGCCGAAGGTTGGGGTAGACGTTCTTGGAGTACCTGTACCTCTTCCGAGGACAAGCAGATCGGCTTTGTGCGAAAGTCGCCGAAGCGGACGTCGACACTGTCCGGCACGCTCGTCGACCGTTCGGCACGCACGTTAACCGTCGCCTCCTTGAGCTTGGGTCGCCATTTCGCGTTGTCGAGGATGACGACGACTTGTAGAGATGATTGATCTTTTTTTAGAACCTTGAGTCTTGCGATCACGATGTCGATGAACGAACGGCCACGTGCTTCCTGCCGGCAGTCGAGATCCAGATGTCGCGAAACGCGGTGGACGCACCGATAAGGAGAACTAAGAGCCGTGGTGAAAGCAACCGAGAGGCGCAAAGTAGGTAAGTTTTTTGATTTGTTCGAGTGAAACCACGCGGTGCAGAAAGTCCACAAGCTACCTTTGAGTTTATCACCATCGATGGGCAGGAGTCGAGCGGGGTCGGTGGCCGTGCCCACGAGGCTGCGAGGCTCCTCGGCGATTGATTGGTGCAGGAACGGCGCTCCATTATCGATGCCCATGACGAGACTCGACTGGGTGGGATGATGATAGATGAGTGTTGGGAAAGGGTGATGGGAAAAAATGGAAGAAACGACGAGGGACATACATCAGCGCACTGCATCAGTTCAAACAGCCCCCCCCCCCACTCGTCAACAGCGCCGGTGGCGGCACCAGGCTGGTGCGACGTCGTGACTCGGAGACCACACTGCACATGAAACGAGATGCAACATACCCGGCAAAACTGGGCTTGTATGATCCGGGGATGCGTGATTAAGGAGATGGTGGAGCCGCTGGCAGATGGTCGAAAGCTGAAACAAGGTGGGGGTCCGGCGTTGGGGGCCCTCCGTCGGGCCGCGCTCCTCAACTTCGAATGCGGTGGCCGGGCTTGTTGGTCCAGTGTAACACACTCGGACTTTGGGTTCTGTCGGACCTCGGCCGCATTAGCCCAGGCAGTACTTTCAGCATCCTGGCCACTTTCTTGTTTGAGCGTTCCTTGCCCACGAGCTGTACCATGGCCAAATGCTTGACACTCCACGTTTCGGTGTGAGACAAAAGTCAGATCAGTCGGAAGGCTGTGGTGGCGGGCAAGATGAAAACCCATACAAAAGGCGAGCATCACGAAAAAAGATTACGTACCAAAATAACCGCGTGCAAGCTCGCCTTCGAGCGACAGGCTAGTTGGGAGCTGCGAGGCAATGCGAGCAAAGCTCATCCTCCCCTTTGCCTCTTGGTCGGCGGTGGCGCAGCCTTCGCTTTTCCTTTGCCCTTGGGTTTGCCGTTCCCCTTGCCACCCATCGCATCGTCATCGGAAGCGAGCTCGATTGCGTCAGAGTCGTTGTCGATCGGACGTCAAACTCGGTGATCATCCGCTGCCGACGAGCGAGATGGGGTAGGCTGAGCATGCTGTCGAAGAGGTTGCGAGGGACCTGGGTCGATGGAAGTGGATGAATGCGAGGGAGCAAGGAAGGGAAGAGCACGAGGGTCGAGGGTGTGCGAGGGGCCCGGGATGGAGGTATGGGCCACTGCAGGTTTAACCGAGTGGAACTTCGTTAGTCTCCGGACCAAGAACAGAGTGCAGTGTAAGAAGCCCGAGAGAGCTTCAACTCACTTTCTACACCCACGTTATGCGCGCTGTTGCCACTGCGCAGCGATCGCCTCGCCCCAGCGGCTCCCCACCCCTTCCCCCTTCCCTCTTCCTGGGCCTTGTCGAGAGCGGCGACGGCTTGCTCCAGCGGCGCCCCAGTTTGCAGGTCGCCAAGCTGCAGCCACCTGGGGTGCTCCTCGGCACCTCCGATCACAAATTGCGTCTGAGCCTGTAAGATATCGGGAAGAAAGACACAAGTCTTCTTCCCGATCTTGTAATGGACTGCGACTGGGTCCAACGTCTTGCGATACACAAGCGTCGTCATGGCGTGGACCGAGCCCTCGTCTGGCTGGACGAGTCTCGTGTTCAGAGCAGGAGTGCGAGGTGCGAGGGAAGACGCACTTGGGATACCCATGGCGGAAATGGGAGGGGTGCCGTCGTTGGTATGACGGCGTAGACGAGCCGGGTCGAGAGCGGCACCGGTCTCGTCCACGAAGGGGATGCGGGTCTCGAGCGTGGGTGCCGTGACCCGCTGCCAGTCTGGGTACCCCTTTGGGACCAGCGTGAGCTTGTACTCGACGTCCGATAGGAGCAGTCGCATATCGGACTGTGCGAACTCGGCGCCATCAAAGTCGGGTGCACCAGACGACATGGTGCTGACTGCCGGGGGTGAGGGATGGAAGAGGTCAGAGCAGGGATCGCAAGGGTTTAGTGTCCAAGCTCCAAGGACGCCCTCAGGGGACATGAGGATGCCGCGAGGGCATGCGCGCAGTCAGTGCCCCTGAAACTCGCCCGTGCTCTTACCCCGCGGCTCGACCCGCGCACCTCCGAGGAGGAGGCGGCACCGTCAGCTGCCTGTGCACGGCGGTGCATCGATGTACGACGATACCATTTCAACGGCTCAATTATTGAATTCTACCAGAGGAGACATTGCGCGGTTTGACAAGGCCCTGGGAACAATTTTTTCCTTCTCGGTTCCGAGTCCGAGCGCGCCGGCCCAAATGGGAGAGGAGGTCTTTCTTTGTTCGGGCTTCGCTTGATCACGCCGAGGCCGGTGGGTCACTCGGACGGACGGATCGGGAAGCCGTGAGATTTGCTTGATAAGCTCGATGAACATCATTTTCAACAGGCCGAACTGTCCCGACAGCTTGTGTGGACATCTCATCATAGCCAGAAAGGGGTGCCAAATCCGCAGACCCCTCAGACCACCTTACCTTACCTTACCTCACCTCGACTCCTCCATAGTGCGCGCCGTTTGTGGCGTTTGTTTTAGGATGGAAGAGTCGAGTTGCAGTGATAAGAGAAAAACCCGCACTCCGTAACAAACGGAGGGTTTTCTAAACAGGAGTTATGAACAAGTAGGGTGGGAGGGAGGAGCTCAAAAAAATGGTCGATCGGCTTTGCTCAAAGAGCGCAGGTCCGATTAGTAACTAAAACACTGCAACTGACTTGGGGGATAGGGCATACCTTTGCTCGAAAAGCGCAGGGTGATGGCAGGGGAGGAAGGCGACGCGGTAGGTAGACGCGGCCAAACGAGGTCTGTATACAAGGTAGCCCCATGAGTCAACTTGCCCAACAAGGACAAGGAATTTGGCAACATGCCCAACAAGGACAGTCGTGATCCGGAATGCGAACCTTAGCTAGAAACAGCGAGCCGCGATAGTGCGAGTCTCGAAAAGTTCGCCCTTGCTCTAAGCAGTGGGTGCGATACGACCTTGCAAAGCAGCGGGTACGGCGGCTGCTTACAACGTAGTGGCAGGCTAGCTCATCAGTCCAACTGTCCAACAAGGGCAGAGGGCTTACGAGGGATGTTACCCACTTTGAGTGAGTAGAGACTGGCAGGGGGTGTGCCGGAACCACAACACGAAACGCTAAGGCGTGCGGGACGACGAGGGAGAGGGAGAGGAAGGGCCCGCGCGCGCCAGCGGGTGAGCAAGGCGGGAGGCCCAAGGGGGCCGAGAAGAGTGCGTGCTGGCACAGGGTCCAAAGAATGCGTGTTCGAAGAGTGAAGCGCGAGCGGGCCCCGTTAGGCCGAGACCAGCGCGCTTGAGCTGTCCGCGTCAAAATCTTGCAGCAAAGGCCGAAAAGACTATCACCGGTACCGTACCGTGTACCGTACCTACTCGAGTATCGCCAACAACCCTACAACCGTTCGGAATGCACATCACGCGCCACGTGACACGTGTTCTCGCAGCCTGTGCGACCGCGTCGAAACCACCCCAGCCTCCGACCCCCCTTCGGCCAGCTGACAGCTCAGGAATCCATACTCAACAGCAGCATTCGATCGTTCCTACAGTAATCGAATGGTCGTTCTCTCACCCATGGTGCCTTCCTACCCCCATTGCCCATCTAGGCAACGCGACGAGGGAGGCCCCCATCCGGATGGTGCAGACAGAACCTCCTCTAGAAACGACGAGTGCTATCTCTCTCCACCTTATCACCTAGAGCTAACTCTCCCTCTCTTAAAGCACATGTACCTCGTTTTACATCCCTACCTGCATTGCACACCCATGCTAGCCTCCAAGTCGCTCCTCCTAACCCGACGAGCGTCGCACGGACGCCTTGCCTCCCACCACATCTTCCTACCTTACTACTCTGAAACCCCCCCCCCCCCCCATACATCACCTCCTGTTTTGTAAAACCACGCTAGCCTCCAAGCCGCTCCTCCTAATCCGACGAGCCTCGCACGGACGCAATGCTTCCCACCAACTACCGAACTGCCCAACCAACCCACTAACTCACCTCTATGACCTCAGCAATCCTCGTTTCTCTTACACTTGGACTCCGATCGAATTCCTCACAGTGATACGAATTCCTTACACGTCACTTCCCTTCGTAATGACCCTGAGAAGGAGCCAATACCGGATACTGTCCTTTGCGCCCGTAAAAGGACAGAATAGGAGACCCCCCTATCACTCGCCTGTTTTAAATGTGAACACCCTTATCGATCTGCGACATAGCAGAATGAATGTTTTAATGTTTTAATCCATATATTCCAGCTAGTCTTGTTTAAAGACAGAATCTAACAAATTGCTAGATCCGCTGGACCACCATATTCATGTCACGTAGGCCGTCACCTTGCTGTCACCAGGACCGATGCCCCCCATTCCAGGGCTTACATCAGTCTTTCCCTCGTCCAGCTCAGCGCCCGCCCTCAAAGGCAGGTGGGGAATGCCGCCACCACCGCCTCTGTCACTAATGCGAATTCCTTTGCTCCGTGTTCCTTTGCAGTGCCCACCACTTCCTCATTCTCGCCGCCCATAACCGTCCGGCTCCCTTTATAAGCTCGTGATGCCATGTCCGATCCAGCCGCATCCGAGATCGCTCATCGAGGGCCCAGTAGATGTCAGGTTTTGGGATCATCGGCATCGCATACCACCATAGATGTCCCATTACTAGCCCTGCAGCGAAATTGGAAAGCTCGTATACTTGTGCTCCCGTCCATTCGTGGTGTCTCATCTCCAGTTCCCTACGCGTTATCTGAAACAAGTCCTGTCCAATTCTTTCCCGCAGTTCACGACCTGCCTCGCACTCCCTGAAAACATGTTTCTCTGTCTCCTCTGCCAATCCACAAATAGTACACAAAGACGACGTACCGAATCGTTCTGAGCATCGCGAGGCGGTGGGAAGGATGTGTGCCCGCAGCTGGAGTTGTGTTTGCGCTGCTTACGTCGAAATTGCGCGAAGGTAAGGATACCGTCCTGCGGAATGAGCGACTTGGAGTAGCAATTGAACGTCGTTACCGATCTTCTGGGGCAGCGATTTGATTTGCCATGCTTCTTGTAGGTCGTAGATTTTCTTGATCACATCACCCTCTATCCAAGCAGTTTGCTCGCCAAGGGATGCCTGGATTGTCCATTGTGGGAGTGCAAAGTCCGGGAAAAGCACGAAGAAGTCAGGTTGAGTGTGTGCCGATTTCGCCGCCTCATCTGCTCGAGTGTTTGCACGCGATGCTTCGTCTCCGCCACCCGTATGGGCTTTAACGTGCCGTATTTGTATCGAATCACTCGTTCTCAGCAGGTGTTCGAGCCAAGTGTAGTGTGCAAATGCGGCCCTCGGTTTCTTTGGTGCAACTTGATCTTTCTTCAGATTCTCAGCGAATTTGACGGAGGTAAGGTGATCTGCGACAACCTGAATTGCTGACCCAAAATGTGAGGTCTCTAAGTGTGAGGTCAGTGCCGCTATGATCAGGGCTGTCACCTCTGCCTGCATGATAGTCGCGCCCGCCGGTAGTGCCGCACGAGCCGCCGAGTATGGCCCTACAACCGCTGCCGCCGCAGATGTGAGTCCTGTGGGTAACACGATGAGTGAGCCATCCGTAGCCCAAATATTCTGGTCTTGTTGGCCTCGAAAATTTATCAGGGAAAGGAGTGTGATTTTGATCTGCTGCTCGGCGTCGTTTTGTCGCTGTGCTCGCGTCTTCAACAACCTAACCGGCCCGTCCGCCAGTAAAGTTTCATCAAAGCGATTAGACCATTGTCGCACCAATCTCGTGTTCGGGTGCAGCCATCCAGCAAAGAGGTCGGGTCTATCGCGCTGTGGGCCTCTCCGTAGCACTTGGAGGTCCGTCAGGCCTGCTGGAAGCGCCGCCATGGCTTTTTGTAGTTGCGGTTCGTTTCGTTTGGCCCCTCCGCTTTGGAGGTATGCATGTTCCGCACTAATACCTGAGTCGGTGCGATTCGACTGGTCGGTTTCGAGTACTCGGAGGTTCCCGCAGTGTTGTAGCGCACCTAGTGCCGTATTCCAGATCTGAGGAACCATCTGCTGCGAGTGCTTGAAAGACAGGGGCTTAGGGTTCAGGAGCGGCGATATACAGCCATGGTGTTGGCATTGTAGGTCGGCCAGCGTTATTCTTGCCATCTGTGCGAAAGCTGGAATATGATGGTTCAGGTCTCGTAGTAGTCCATCGACTGCCATAGCCCCGTTCAGTCGCCACAGACTAGTAAGCTCGAATCCAAATTTAGCGACGGGGAGGGTGACCAACTTAGCGCTCGGTGTGAAAACCCATCCATAGTACTCTTTGATCCGCATTGCTATAAGCTGGTCTAGCTTAAGGGCATCGTCCGGTCGGATAGGACATAAAGCCAGTCGTGGCCTCAGCCTGCTAATTAGTTGTTGTTCGATGAATCATCGTAATGCCGAGAGCGGGAGTCGCCTCGTTGGCGTGCTCGGGAACCCGATCGATCGCACAATACTTTCCAGCTGAGTGTATTGTCGGTCCGGCGCAGCGAACGGTGTTTTGAGAAAAATGTGTGCTGGGTCGACAGTGACCTGTCGTCTCCCATGAGGAGTGGCAACTTGGACTGTCCCTGGTGTATCAGACTGGTTGCCGAGGCCCATTATGATGGCTCGAGTCTTTGTACCCCAGTCGGTTTGGGCTCCGTAGGCTTCCTGGAAATGCTCCATGTAGAGAGTCATCGCTGCCAGCGTCCTTTCACTCTTGGCCAGTAGTATGGTGTCGTCCATCGCAGATACCTGAGTAATCTTGAGGGTCAGTTCATCCGCTTGTGTATGGTTGTTTGAGCGTGCCCTGTTCTGTGTTGTGATGAGTAGTGGGTCCTCGAACGCTTGTTCGTCCAGCCAGTAAGAGCCCATAGCCATGGCCAAGGAGAAACGAAGAGGATTCGGGGGATCCCCTTGTTTCATCTGCCCGTCCACTTCGAAAGGTTCCGCGAGGCCGTACGGTGTCTTGACGATAAAAGCGCCGTGTGCCAATCGGGCTCGGTCAAAAGCTTCTGCGTTTGGGCCAAAGCCGAAAAAATGGTAGGCGTCATACCCAGCTTCTGGTCTGAGCAGGTCGAAGCCCTTCTTTTGGTCTCGTACTAGCCCGTAGATCGGAGTTTTGGCCCGGAACGCCCAGGCTTCTAGGTTCGCTAGGAAACTTGTGAGGTCGCGCTGTTGTACACCGCTCTGGACGGCCACCTGTGTTTCTGGAATCATGTGGTGTTTCATTGCGTAAGCTTGCGCCTGACGTGTAAACCATCCAGCCGCTGTGACCGCCAAGAAATTGCCAAAACAGACCGCTCGGTAATTACTCAGTTGGGAAGACAGTCCGCGATTTTTGAACATCGGAAGCAGATAGTGGTCGCGCAGCTTGTCGAAGTAGTTGTGCACCAGTACATAGTTCAGGAGTGCCAGAACAACAGACATCGCTTGGTCTCCAAGTATCGTTACTGTCCATTTCTCCCATCGGTTCGGACCGGGGGATGGTTCCCTATTGCCTTTGCCGAGGAGCGCCCGGAGGTCGCTGAGCATCAGGGGCCTAGGCCAGACAAATGGGTCGCGTTGCGTAGCCTCCCGAAACTTCCGGGAACTTTCCGTATTCATCCAAGGTTTGTCTGTCAGAGCATTGTCATCCTCTTTTTGGAATAAAGCGCTAACATACTGCTTACACGTGTTCCGTACCTCTGTGGGGTCAGCGGTAAGATTTCCATCCACAGTTTCTACCGCACGTGGTTGTATCAGTGACGTACGTGGTATCAGGATTTTCTTCACTGAACCTCCGTTGATGACATTCTGTATCCGAAAATTATCAGACCTCTGTGCCAGTTCTTTACGCTCCCGCTTCTCTTGTGCGTGTATTCTTTTGCAGAGTTGGCGGCGCCAGACAGTCGCGGTTTCTAATACTTCATCCTCGGGGGGTACCACACTGCTCTGCCTGTTTCTTGTTGGAGACGTTGCAATGTCGCCGTTTCTAGGTCGGTATGGAGCTTCTCGAACCATCTTCTTGTGTCCGGTTTGTTTCTCAATATATGAATGGAGTTAGTCTTGAGTGCGTATATATAGCGATTCATATGGTGACGGTCCTGACTCAATTGTCGTAACTCTGGCGATCCGACAAACTCGCGTTTCCCGACCGCTGGCGATCTTCGTTCGCCAAATATTTGGAGGGAAGTGTTTACTATTAGATTGGAAAATTCATCGTAAGTCGCATTCCAAGCCTCTTGTGAGGCTACTGTTCCATCCTTGGCAACTCGATTCAAAGACTGCGAATTAGCAACGCCCTCTTCCATCTCTTGCCGAAATTTTGGCCGAGTGTCGCTATTCCGCGGCGGAACTTTAACCCTCCGAGGTCCGTCGTCGCTCGCCTCCTCAATTGTCGCACAGAGACCCGGGAACCATAGTCTGCAATGAATTGGTCTGTGATCAGTGGCCATAACCTGACGCAACGTATGGATATCCGCATTCCCCGCCGGCGCTGACGTTGCGAGACGGTCTATGATGCTGATGGTTTGCGCTTCCCCGTATGCCTTATGTGTCCAATTTTCCGCGAGTGAAACCGACTCCATTTCATTCCACACATCGTGGCCGTTGGTCTGGCGTAAGAAGCGGCAACTATTGCAACGAATCGTTGCAATCCGCCCCTATCCTCCGCACGCTTCCAATGAACATTTACCTTCCCACTGACCAAGTTCGCTGGCCCAATGCTCTGCCTGATACTACCATGCAACCCCCTTACTCAACATCTACAATACTTCCATTTTCATCTATTGAGGAATGCCAACTTCCCCATCCAACGCCTGTCATTCACTCCTCTGTCTCTCCTAACCCCATACTCTGTGCTGAGCCCGGTGTTTATTTCCCGGCGGGTTCTAAAGCCGACTTGCCTGGAAAAACTTACTCCTGTCCGATCCCGAACCCGAGCATGCCATACCTACAATCGATCACGTCATCTGGCGGAAGTGACTTGGTTCCAACATTCACGCACTTTTCCGGAATAAGGCCGCAGACGTTACACCTCTCCCGAACCTCGCTCTTCCACAATACGACTCCTCGCGCTCTGTAATGGTCCCAAAGCCGTTCATCGAGGATGACCGTACACCGATCCGCAACACGCAACCACTCCCGCACCGGCTTATTGTTTCCAACCTTCCCGCTATTTCCGGTGACATAGCGAGGCAAAGGGCTGAGACCACCCTGGAACACCTCTTCGCGGCCGGGATTGGCCCCAACGACCAACCAGCCTTCTTCGAGTCACACAAGATCGGCTACCCTACGGGCTTATCGGATCCTCCACAATCAAGGTACAAAGCTTTAAACACAGACTACTTCGAGATCGTCGGGCCCGAAAACGACATCCGGTATACCACGAAAATACACGCGTTCCTCAACGCCAACCCATACCGTGAGTGGAGCAAAGTACCACCACAATTCAACCCACAAGTTCATCTCTTAACGGCTCATTTTTTGAACCAAGCAGACCCGTCAACGTTCGCGTCCCCACTGCTTGACGAAGATGGCAATGTGTGGCCTCGTTTGTTCGCTCACTTTACGGACACAAAAGAAAACGACGTCGTGAGATATGTTCGCTTAGCTTTCGATGCCCAACGACACTCGGGCAAAGATGGTTTCGAGGCCATCGAACGAGTTCCTGAGGATCTGCTTCGCAAGGCGGTTAAAGCACACATCGACAAGCACTTCGAGGATATGCTCGACGTCCCGGCAAAATCCTGCATCTCCATCACAACAGAATCAAGCAATCGACAGGATCAGTGCAAGGTCCTGGTCGCAGTTCGATTGGCAAGCTCTACGATGGTGGATAAGATTACAGCGTCAAAAGACCGGTCCACTTTTAGTGCGAAGCTCAACATACCAATTCGATCCATGCCGCGTCTAGCCCCACAGGCGAACAACAGGATGGAACCGCTTTTGGTCGAGCATACTATCACCGGTGTCTTTAAACGACTTGTCAAAACTCGAGGGATGCAAGAGCCGTACGCAATCGTGGTCTTATGGGCAAAATCCAACAGCGATCCTCAGAGTGTCGCTACCTACACGATGAAATGCCTTGCAGAAGCAGAGAAGCGACACGACCAAGATTACCCCCACGAACCTATTACCCCACCGGAGGGCGCCATTGTTACTACCGATTACGAGCCCGCGACAGGAACGGGCCAACATCAAAAAGCGGTTTTTCGATTCTCGATCTCTACGTCCGCATTCGCGTCATACTTGGTCCAAATGGTTCCCACACTGCCCGCTTTTGATCGTCTCGCGACTTGCTGGCACGATGGAGACGAACGCGTGGCGATCAGGGTCTGCCTCGACAGCGAACGCGCAGATGCCATCTCAGCCCGCTTCAATAGAGCAACATCCGACTCGCAAGGATTGGCCGCCGAAAGTTCACGACAGATTGAGAATCGCATCGACCTCATCCAAGACTCCATACACACCATAGCAACAATCTATTCCGAAGACAGACGCAGGGCCGAACAACGCCACCAGGAAAGTCAGGAAGCGCTGCACATGCTCCAGATGAACAATCAATCACTTTACGCGGGAATGGCAGGCGTGCAAATGACGTCACAAGCACAATTCGGTGTCTTTTCGACCAACCAGGCGCTCAGTGACCTCAGGATGCAACTCTTTTCCTACCCCAAGGACAGTCAGGAGTACAACGACATTAAAGAGGAGATCGACGCGGCGAAACAGACAGTCAAGGAGGCGCAGCTCATATATCAGCAAACTCTACAGCAATCCAACCTAGCCATTCAGAACGCCAACCCCATTTTACATCAACAACGACTGGTCAACAATGCCCCGACAACACCCGAAGCCAACATCACGAACAACTCGCCGACGAGAGAACGCGATGAATCTGGAGGCTCGCCCAGTAAGCGCGGACGTCTCACTCACCACGGACGTGTCGCCGAAGAGGAAGGGAGTCTTGTTTCAAGCGTCATGAGGACAGAACGTCGTATCGAGGAAGGAATGTCTATTGTCAGTACTCAACCACAATCCCCATTCTCTTCTCGGACCTTGTCTGACGAGGTGCTGCTTATGGCCGCAGGACCCATAAACGAAGACATCGAACCCCGAAAACAAAATCACCTTCAAATTATCCATACACTCAGCACATATTTTCTTCTTGCAATAACAATCAATCTTCACAGCATATCAGCCCCGACAAGAGGTATCATCCTTCTTCTCATCCTTGTGTTGGATAAAAATCGGGTTGACGCAGCAACTCCGATCTCTATCGCAAGCCTCAACGTGAACGGACTTGCAGACCCCGTGAAGCTCCAACAAGTGCAACAAACCTTAATCAACGCAGATCACCATGTCGTCAGCCTAAATGAGCTCAAGTTCCGAACGGACACACGACTACCGGTCGACTTCGCTGATTTCCAGCCGATCCTCACACCTTCCGTCCGGGCTGGCTCGGGGATGAAATGGGGAACCCTCCTTCTTGTCCGCAATAACCTGCCGATACTAAAGTCTTTTACATTTACCGAAGGACCACTGGTAGGACGAGTCGCCGCCGCCGACATACTCGTACGAGCAAGGGAAGGCACAGATATGGTCCCAATTCGTATCGTGTCCGCCTACTGCCCACACGGAGGTTATGCGCGCAACACCAAAAACGATGACAACGCAATCACGGGTTTCTGGACCGCCATGCAAGACCTCGTACGAACCGGCCCACCGAACTGGGCGGTAATAGGCGATTTCAACGCAGTACTTGACGCTCGGGAAACAGCCGCAACAAATTTTCCGCGACTTCGACCGACCGCACTCGAATACTGCCGCTTCCTACGTCAAACTAATGGTCACGATGTGTGGAACGAGTTGGAATCACTGGTGCTCGCCGAAAGTTGGACACACAAGCTCTACGGGAACGCGCAAACCACGAGCATCATAGATCGGCTTGCGACTTCCGTACCGACGGGGAATGCGGACATCGAGGCATTACGCCCGATTGTGGCCACCGACCACAGGCCAATCAGATGCAGGTTATGGTTTCCAGGGCTCTGCGTCGTAAGTGACGAAGTAGGAGACGATGGACCGAGAAGAATTAAAGTTCCGCCGAGGGGTAGCGATACTCGGCCAAGATTCACGAAAGAAATGGAAGACGGCGTTGCAAATGTACAATGTTTAAGGGAAATATCGGAAGACGTAATCGTAACTTCACAGGAGGTCTGGGACACTGCCTATAAAGAGTTCTCTCTGCTACTGGTTGATACTTCTCTGAAGGTGTTCGGCGAGAGGCGGGGCACAACAACGAACAAACGCCAGTTCGTCGGATCCCCCGAACTGAGACAAATGATTCAGGACCGTTATCATATGAACCGGTACATATATGCCCTCAATACTAATTCTATCCACATACTCAAACAAAAGCAGGACGTACAAAGATGGTTCAACGAAATGCATGAGGCTCTAGAAAATGCAACACGACAACGTCTACAACAAGATAGAGGACACACTGATTGGTATCTGCCCGAAGGCGCAGTCTTGGAGACAGCGATGGTCTGGCGTCGACAACTCTGCAAAAGGATACATGCTCAGGAGAAGCGGGAACGCAAAGAGATGACACAACGGACTAACAATCTCCGGATCCAGAGTGTCATTAATGGGGGATCCGTAAAGAGGATTCTCATGCCGCGGACGACACTGGTTCAGCCACGAGCAGTTGAACGAATGCAATACGCGCGCTACAAAATTTCCTTAGGGGCGCCGTAAGGCAAAGGCGAATATACAATTACGATAAGTACCAGGCGCCGATGTGTAGCTTTTGTCTGCGTGTGGCCAGTGCTTCAAGTTGCGGGTGCGCGTGATGACGTCGTCAGTCGTCAGGGTGGGCGTCGCGGTTCGTGCGAGTTTCGTGCGAGTTCGTGCGGGTGGCCGGCGTGCCTTGGTGCGGATCCTGTTTTCGGGCTGCGTTGTGTCCTCACCCGCACCTGCATGGCATTACGCCTGTCATCGTCCGGCACTCTTGATCGTATTGAGCCACCCCAACCTTTCGTAGCGCTCCCACCTCGAGACCCAACCGCCTCTTCCGACCCCTCGCTCTCGGACCCGATCTCGGCTTCGGTATCCCTCCCCGCCGCCTCCACCAACACGATCACCATCGCCGCCGCCCCAGCCACGGACGCCAAGATGCCTTCCTCCACCGCGGCCCCTGTGCCCCTGTCACCCGACGAAGCCGCATTGGCGACTCAGCAACGTCAATTCGCACGATCGCAAATCGCGCTGCCCATCTCGCTGCTCGTGTTCATCATCACGTCGCTGCTGAGCTCGCTCGTGGCCAAGCCGACCATGGCGGAGGTCTCCGAGCTCTACTTGACCGTTATGACCCCGGCAACGAAGCTCATTGGCTTGTACTGGCTCGTCATTGCCTCTCTTCTCGTTGGTCAGGTCAGCCACAATGAGAGCGCTCAACTTGAGCAGCTCTAAGAGCTCTTCATTTCAGGCGGACTGACGTTAATCTGGCTCCGGAACTAAATCGCAGGCGATCCTCTTGGGCGTCGGTCCCGCAGGCTCGCAACCGATCCTCGTCGAAGGAGTTGGACTGCGTCTCGCTTTCGTCAACCTTTTGGTCAGTTCCCATTACAGCATGGCGCATCTTTGAGCTCCCCCTTTGAAAGATCATCTCTCGCTGAAACGCTACCCCGATGACGAAAATCCCGGATCTGGGAATCATGCAGATGAGCGCGTGGATCGGCTGCTTCGTCTTGCGTTTCTTCCTCGTAGCGCAGATCATTCTTCTGGTCGTGCTCATCATGGTATTCTCGATGTGGGCGACGCTGTTGAGGTTCCCGCCTGTCGCGTCCCGACCATTCGATTTTACCTTCATTCACATGCCGATTCGGTCAGTACCCCAGCAGTCTCGAACGTGGCTCGCCAAAGGAACACATTTCAGGGCTCAATCTGTGTTTGCGCCGTCTTCGCAGCATGTTCCTTGCAATCCTGTTGCAAGTTGACGTCTGGCAAGGAGGTCTGTTGGCCCTTCGGTAAGTTTTGGCGCGTGGCCTCGCGACCAGAGTCACGATCAGCTGAAGGTCGCTCACCATGTTGGATCCTCGCTCTCCGACAGCTACTACCGCCACCCTGCCAAGAGCGGCCACCACCCATCGTGGGAAGCCGCGCACTCGACGCACGGCTGGATCATGTTTGCCATCATTATCGTCGTTGCGTTGATCAACGCTGCCGAGGTGTTCTACCTACGAGACTTTGTCTTTGCGGCTTCGTGCATCTACCTCGTCGTGGCCGAGACAATTCAGAGCGAGGGCAAGTCGGCGCAGATTTGGATCGCGTTGGTCTTGGCCGCGGTCATGGTTGGAGTCTCGCTCCTTTCCTCGGTCGGATGGTCGATGCTCAAGCACGATCGCGAAGGAGCTATTCGGTTGGCCGACGAGGAAGAGGTCGCCCGCGCCTAGTACGGAGGAGACGAAGTGAACGTCGTGGACAAATTCTGTAAATAATTTATAACCTTTATTCTCTTCTCGTCCTGTTGGAGTCATAATCGTTTGAACCAGACTCGTTATTATGGTCTACTCTGGTGCTTGTGGTGGGTGAAGATTCTGCAAGTCACTTGAAAAGTGTCTCACAGATCGTGAAAGCGCGTGTGACGGATTGAGTGGGCGGCGCGGCGCGTCTCTATCTGGCTACCTACTTCAGACCGTTGACACAGCCCTTCTTGGTATTTATCGTCCGGCTGTGACGGCTATCTCACCTGTCCTGCTTTGGACCGGCAAAGGCTTCGCTGCGCTGCTCGGGTCGCCCAGCAGTGGAAGCCGTCACCGGTGCGAGGCGCGGCGTTCGTCGACCTCGCAGAGAGGGCTACGAGGGCCGCATCGCTGAGCATTCACTCCTTGTGGTATTCTGGCTAGTGCTTTTGGTGGTGAGTCGAAAGAGGGTTTAACCTGTCAGTGATTCTGCTCGCTTTCGGACGGATGCTCATACTCAAGCTCACATCGCCGATAGAGGCGGACTCAGACACGGGATAGGGGTGCACGTTATTCAACGCAGCAGCAGAACCCTTCCGCCAAGTTCAACCCGGAGTGTGACTTCATCATAATCCAGCTCGAGGCTATCATCTTCATCGTCGTTCATTCATACCTACCGGTGGCCCGCACGATGTCGTCACGAGCAATCTCCCCCACCTTCGATCCTCCGCGGGCACCATCAACTTCGCGCCTCATGGACACGCCCGCACTGGATTTCGGACCAGAGTCAAACTCGAGTCCAAAGCGCAACAAAGCGTCATCAGCGTCATGGACGTCATGGCTGGAACCACATGAAGCCTCGATTCTAGCACCGTCGAATTCAGACTCGCAAGAATCTTGTGAATCAGTAGAACGGTCACGTGATTCGAGCGGTCCCGATCAATGCAAAGGCGAGCCCTCGGCTAGGACGATACGAAGACGTAACTTGGCTTCCCTTTCAACCATGACTGATCGAGCCTTTGGACGGTCGAGTGGTGATTCGCACGCCACTAAAAACAGACCCTCGAGAGCCGCAGTCGAACAAGCGCCGAGACTGGGCAAGCTGGGCTCCTCCTCCCCAATGCACAAGACCAGATCTACCGGCGTCAGCTCGAGCACGCAGTGGACATCACCAGTTCTTTCGATTCTCCAGGTGAAAGGGCCATCAAAGAAGCGAATGATCTTGAACGGAGCTTCAAGCAGGCCTTCAGCCTCGACGTCTTTGTCCCTACTCCCTAGGAACGGAGCCGACCCCATAACGAGAGGCACCCCCTCGTCCGCCTCGACCTGCATACCCAATTCGTCAACTACACCCATGACCACAACTCTGCGTAGAAGGTCTCGGACACCCTCTCCTACAGAGGATGCGAGAGCTTCTTGGCCGAAACGAGAGCCTTCACCTCAAATCGTGCCCAAGTCGCTCAAGCCAACCTCGTCGATACTCCGAGCTCGTTATCCGACCCCGCCCGTCTCCATTGCGTCCGCTCGAGGATCTTCAGTCGATCTAAGGACCTTTCATGAACCATACGGGGGAAAGGGTCCGGCTGCGGCGGCTGACATCGATGTCATCATCATTGACGACACCGATGAGGAGCTTGATGACGAGCGAGACGGTCGACCCGCGTCTCCGAAGCGAGCGAGATATTCCCATAACTTATTTGACGAAGAGGAGACGGATTCGACTAGACGATCGTCTGCGAGTCACCTCGGTGGTTCATCGAGGTGGAATACTAGCAAAACGACCGATCCGCGTTCGCCGATCCGATCATCGACCATCCCCACACCCGAGCAGTTTGTCGTTGACCCCGAGCTGTTCATCGCTTCGGCCAACTGGTCACGCCGCATCATCATCGACGTGCTTTCTCTCAATATCGACTGCCTCGCCTTGAATCGAGAAGTTCCGGAAGGTCAAGCCATCGACCTTGAGCTCGAACTCGCGCTTGTCGCGGATGTGGATGGAGGTCGAACCGAGCTCGACCTCGTCGGCGAGTGCGTGCGTCTCGAACGCTGCGCATCGAATGCGACCGGGCTCATTTTTGCGGGATCCAAACCACACACATTCGAGCTGGATTTTGATCCCACGGCTCTTCGAACGGCTACGGATATCCACGTCGAGATCACTCTGCGTAGCCTGGACGGCGAGGAATGGGACACAAAAGCTTGCCTGCCCATCTCTGACTGCGACGTTCGAGGCGTGGAGCACATCATCCCTTACGGTTCTGAACAAACCCTTCGCTTCTCCAAGACAACGACGGCTCGAATGGCTTATCGATCAGCGGCGATGCTTGACAGCCGAATGTCCGAACTGGACTTCTCGGCTCGAGAGCTCGATCGACGCCTTGATCGGGTCAGACTCGAGAATGTCCCGGTTTGGTTACCCGATGCTTTGGACGTTGCATCGATGCGGTACCAGGAAATTCAAGAGACGATACCGGGTCGGAATGAGCTCCTTCAGCCGGTTGACCATGGTCCAACACGGTATACCTACGACTTCGTGGTGTGGCTTTCACTTTGCATTTCAGTGGAATTGGAACCCCTTACTGCAGCAGACTGACGCTGTCCCGTTTGGGTACTTGATCCTACCAGACAAAACGACCGGTGGATCTGGGCCAGCGTATCATGGAGCCAAGCACCACTGAGACACCTTTGAGTACGATCCAGGTTCGGCAGCAACTTAACGCGGTCAGTCTGTCGAGCTGCTTCAGTGCCAGAGTGCCCGAGAGTCCTTCAGCTGATCCTCAATACTTCAAGTCCCGTATGCAGTTACTTTTACGCACGTCCTACACCGCAAAAGAACGTCTCGTCCGCCGGCTGCACCTCTCGTGGACGATATTGAACCCCTTCCCACCTTCGATCGTCGCGCGCGAACTCGCGTGTTGGAACCACTTTGCGCCCGTCATCGAGCACTTCATGGCCGGCCAGCAACTCGAATGGTTCCTATGGACGAGTCTAGTCATGAAGGGTGAGAATGGTCAGTATCGAGGTTTGTTGTCCGTCCCAGAATGGGAGCAGGTGAGGAAGATGTATCGCAAGCAGGTTAGAAAGATTGAGAAAGGCAGGCGGCAATCGTATGAAGTCTGGCGAGGGCGTGCGGAGGAATCGGTAGGGTAGCAGGTGTTGCAACTCATAAGTCGATAAAACCCTCCGAGAGGATGTATGAATGGGGGAGACTAGGTCATGTGCATTGCCGAGTGCGTTTGACCATGCTTCCCCGGTTGAGACATGGCGGTGAACAACTCTGTTCGAGTCCAAACAGGCTTGGTCGGCCTCCTCCCATAGCGGGCTCGCTAGGACCTTCCGGCGCTTTTCTGGGCCTTCTGGTAGTCTCCCGCTTCCGCGTGAACAGTACAGGTGAAGTCTACTACACCGGGACCGCACACGGAGCATAACGATGCGCTCGCCCGCAGTCTCCGCTCGAGACTCTGAAGCGAATCCTGCCCTCACCAAACATTTTCATCCCCCATCAAACGTCGAAAAACACACTAAGCATCGCTGCAAGAGCAATACATACCTGACTAGAAAGAAAGACCGGACAAGGGCGAGGAGCCAGATCCGATTCGAAAACCGGAAATGCCTTGCGAGAACGTGGTACGACCAAGGGTGCAAGGGCGAGTGCAGATTTGTTGGTTCGGGGTCAACATGCGCATGATTGCGCCACAACACCGCATTATTCGACATCATTTTTACCCGGTTTCGAGCAAGCGATGCACCGACCGCATCGCCTGTCGAACTAGGAGCTCGTTAGTGCGCATAGTAGCTGTGCTAGCCCCTGCCCACAGGTTTTAGGTTGCTAGATGTGCCCAAACTGGCACTGGCCAGCCCATGCCCGCTAATACCTGAGTCCACGCCTCAAGTTCTCTTTCTTGGCGAGCGCGGTTAGTTAGATTAAATTCAGTATCTATTCCATAGACTCTGAAGCGCAGGCACGCAGGGAAACGCACTGCACAGCTTTCTCGCACCGCGGGTATTCGCGCGATGGCCCCTCTCTTCGACTAGCCCATGCTGTGCTCTCTCTTTCTCGGCCCCCTTTTCTGCGCTAGTGCAATGCCATCGAGGTCTTGTTGAGCTCTAGCTTCTCGGCTTGCAGAAGGATCGGCCTACTGAAGAACAAAAGGACTGTCCGACCACCAAGTCAAGCTAAAGCTCGTGGAGGGTTCACGCTTGGGACAGCGCTGCGCCACCCATCTCGTTCGTCCGGCAATACAACTCTCTCTCGAGAAAGGGCTTGGCAGATGGGCCAGAATGCAGTATAGTGGAGAGGTGACGTTCCTTCGTGCAAATGATGTGAAGAAAAGGCAGACGATAGTACAGGAAAGAAGGAAGAACGACTGGTGGTTGAGACTAGGGCTCATTCACTCTCTTCGTCGGATTCGGCTTCAGCTAGCCATTCCACGAACGGGCCAGCGGCCTTCCGGACCTTTTTCGAGATTTTTTTGTCGACGTACTGGCGGCGAGAATTGCGAGGATAAGTCGAAGAACAACAAAAATGTATGGTATCAGCCCGCCGCCACTCACCTTGCCAGAAGCGTGAGTTCCCCAGTGCGTGACGACCTCTTCCTCGAGCACGTCGGCCTGGTAGAACTTCATCAAGATCTTGGGTACGTCCGGGATGTGGTCGGGATACGTCTCGCCGACGAGGCGTTCGACACCGCCAAGCAAAGACTTTTGGTGCTTCTCCGACGTCGTCATCTGGTGTTGCAAAATCCCCAACTCAGCATTGTCTTCGCGCGTGTAGGTCAAGCACAAACCCACAACTTACCTTGAAGAAGAGGGGCAAATGCGCGTCAATCTCTTCAACAATCTTATCGGTGAAGAGTGCTTGAATGAGCACAATCAACGTCTTGTGCTTCTTAGCGATGCTCATCTCCTCGGCCTTTTTGTACACCTCGGCGTCTGATACGCTCCCTCGATTCTCGCGCACCCAATCGCCGAACGTATCGTATGGTCCACCGGCCTCATCATCGTCGTCATCGATGACCAACGAGTTCTGCAGCTTCGAGTCGAGCTGGTTGACGCGCGCCGCGACGGCCTCCTTGGACGTGTCGATCGACCAGTCGTCCTCCTTCTCGCGCTGGGCGATCAACGCCTTAGCCTGCTCGTCACTGAGCATCTCGGCGGCGCCGGCTTCGATCTTTTTTGTCAGTTCGTCGTCGGATTCGCCGTCCCCGACATCGTCCCCGGGTTGACCCGCGATCGAGTCAGCACCGGCGACGGCCTTCTTGTTGGATCGACCACCGGCTTTCTTGGATTTTGGGGGGTTCTTAAGGATGAAGGTCGTGAGTTTGTGGCGCATGTCGACGTTGCCGCGCTTGCCGCATGCCTTGCAGTCACGGAGGATGAATTCGTCTTTGGTGATGATGAGGTCCGTTTCGGGGTTCTTGCACGACGCGCATAGCACGAACTTGTCGATGAAGACGTCGAGCAAGTCACGCAGACGATTCGTCTCGTGCGCGCCGTTGACGATGTAGCGTTCGGTCTCATCGTTGAAGGTCGCCTGGGCGCCGAGTTCGCACCCAAAGAACTTGGTCGGGTACGACGACGGGCGATTCAAGGCTCGCGCGACATCAGCCATGTTGGGAAACACAGTCTTGATGCCGTTGCCGCGGCCCTCGATCTTGGTCAAGAGCGAGGGCATCTTGTAGCGGTAGAACTTGTCGTCGACGTCGCGACGGATGTTGACGATCGCAGCCATGATGGTTGACGTTCAAGCTGAAGATTTGGGGAGTGAATGCCCTCTGTGGGGCGTGGATGTTCATTAGCGCACAAGGTCCTTCGTGATGTCTGCTGTGTAGAGGTATGCGCGGATGACTCGTGCGCACACCGCAGCCGAGCTAGCTAGCACATGCTACAGGCCGAAACCGAGTCATAAGCTCGATCGCCAGCCACACCCCAATCAGCAGCAGAGGTTGTGGAAGGAAGGTAATGCTTTCTCAAAAGGGCAGAGTTCGGGTACGCACATTTGAGAGCAGTTTTAAAGGCTCGATGACGAGATTCGTAAAGTCGACGACGCTTGCAACAGTGGACGAGCAAGGACATAAGCTGTACTCGAGCTGAAGACTGTGATGTAGTTGCGTAATCAAGTCATCAGCTTGATCGGGCTACGGTGCGTGCTGATGGGGGGGGGGGGGGGGGCACGGGATGGAGGGAGCTGCTGTTGCGACCGACCTGTTCGTGTGAGCAACGTGCGACGCGGCCAGGGGCAGCGAAAACTGGAGCGTTGCAAGTGGCGATGGCGAAGACGCGCAGCAAGATATGAGGGTGGAAGCGCGGGTCGGATCCAACAGACTCCGGAAGGTGAAGTAATGTGCGAGGAGCAAAGGATGCTGCGGGTAGTGCAGGTGGGATGGTGCGGAGCGAGTCAAAAGAGCCGCGAGCTGCCGCGAGCCGCGTACGTCAGCACTTTTTGGACCGCGCCAGACCGCGCCCGCGCACGGACCCGGCCTGGCTAACCGTTGGGCACGGTCGCATCCCACCACGCAGCCAAGCTAGACGTCGTCGAGTGCCTCAAGTCTGAGATTTAACAATGCTTCCGACTGCTCAACCCAACATGGCGTGCTATCCGCTCAGAACAAGTTTCCCGCAATCCCGAAGGTCGATCGAGAAAATGTTTTCTGGCCGTGTCCGGGACTGACGAGACCGGAGAGAGAGAGCCAGATCTACTGTATCTCACCCTCATCTATGAGTAGGTCGACCAGTCGCCATCCGGGCGGGAGGAGAGTCTGCACGGAGCATCATCACCTCGAAGGATTCAACTGGCACTTTGCTTTTGTAATTTCACCATTCGGCGCGCCTTCACAACTGACTCGCAGCTACCTAGTCAACTGGATTGTTGTGTCTTGTAATGTAGACTTGGTTTCGGCGGTCGCTGTGCCCTCTTTAGGCTTCCTCAAGAGGAGGCGGCCCGTCGTCGTCGCTGCTGTCTTCTCCGGGAGCGTCGAGCGCGGCGGCATCGTCACCACCTTCTTCACCACCGAGACCGCCCATCCCTTGCGCCTTCATTTGAGCCTGTGATGAAATGACATTCGATTTAGACCCGAAAGCCCGAAAGCCCGTAAGCATCAGAGGCACAAACCAGCAACTCACGAGCATCTTTTCGAAATCCTGCGCAAGCCGCCAAATAGTAAGACGTCAGTAGCCGAAGAGGACACACGGAAATCTCTATCGTTCTACATCTGATCAGCTTACCATCTCCCCTCCGGCGCCTCCCATACCGCCCATACCTCCCATCATGCCGGCAAAGTCAGGGGCCCCACCGGCTCCACCCATGCCACCACCCATGCCACCCATGCCTCCCATTCCAGCCATCTGAAAAAGTATGAGAAGCAGGGTCAGAACACAAAAATCTTCGTTTGGCTCGACGAGTGGGCATGACTCGAAAGCTTACCGGGTCAGCGGCCTCGACCTCCTCGGCGGGGTCTTGCTCGTCCTCGTCAACCCATTTGCTGAAGTCGGTCTGTCGATGGTGGGAACATGCGCTCAGAGTCAGGCTCAGAGTCAGTCACATGTTCTCGTCCACGCTCTTCGGAGTGAAAGAGGTCATGCTCCGTGTCGCTCGTAAGGGGATAACGCGCACGCGGCGGTGTGAGCTAACGCACCTTGAGGTAGTTGAGCTTTTGCTTCTCCTTGGTCAACCGGGGCCAGAACTCCTCCTGGGCGACCTTCTTGCGCAACACAAGGCTCAAGTTTTTGCCGTTCAAAGTACGCTTGAGTTCCTCGACCTCGGCAAAGAGCTCGAGCTCGAACGCGAACGTCTTGGCCGCAACGGCCGAAGCCGTATTGGTGCCTTTTGGTGGGGTCGAGCGGCCGGAGAACTTGATATGTTGGCCCTCGATCGAAAGCTCGTACGAAGGATCAAGTTCGGGCACGGCGATGGTGAGGTAGACGATATTCTTCTCGGATTCGTGCTCGCTGTCGGCGCAGGACGAGTGTACGTGGGTGGGAGCGTTATGATCAAAGCATGCGACGAGCAGAGAGACCGGTGGTCAGTAAGGTGGACGATAACCCATTCCAGGTGGCACAGGAACGTAGGTACGGCGCTGAATGCACTCGGGAGGGATTCCTTCGCCGAAGTTCGATCAAGCTCCGTGGTGGGGCCACGCCGGCAGAAAAGACACTCGAGGTGTCTGGGGTAGGTATGGTGACTCACTTTGAGCGCTGGGCCCACAGGACCTCGGGGTAAGATGTTGACGACATGGTGTTGTGCTGGTGATACGTGCTGATCTATCGGATCAAATAGATTCGAGTGGGAGGAAGGCGAGAGCGAGTTGGCGCAACGCGCGCTTCTCTCAGATCGGCAGGTCAGTTAACCCAGCCAAATGAGCTCCCCCGCGCGGGCGAGTTAAGGCAGCTTTTCTGTTTTTTGGCCCGGTTGGAGGTTGGTACAGGTTGGGTGCACCAATGCCCTCCCCACCCCGTCCCACCCCGGCTCAGTGCACCCCAAATGGTCATAAGTAATAAAGGGCTACTAGTTCGTGTAAGACTCACCATCATCACGAATAACACTTTCCGAAGACTTGTAAGTTCGAATTATGTCATAAATGTCATACAGCTTGTCGTACTCAGTCCATTCAATTCGTGTAGTTCCATATACCATCAACTGATATGTGTACGACAGATTCTGTGTAGACCTTTTCGTCCTGTTTTCTTGTATTTGTTAGTTTGGATACGACCGAGGGAGTACACACCGTGTCTATGATTGGGCCCGAGGGAGGGATCGGTCCTGGTCCCTGGAATCCTGGATCGGTCCTCGAGCAGACAAACGCTTATTCTGAACGGTGTGCACTGTGTATATAAAATGGATATCTAGTGAAGCCCCTTCGGACGGACGACTTGGATCCAGCGGCAATCAGTCCTGCATCAATTCCCAGAGAGTAATTGAACGGGCAAAATTGAGGCGGGGCTGTGCCTGGCTGTGCGGCCGCACGCGGAGCTCAGATTGGCGAGCGCTCTGCGTCTCTCTGCGTTAACACGTTGACCTCTGCACACTCACGTCAACGCGACAACGCGCACCCTTGACCCACGCCACGCCCCGCATCTCAATACGTTGAAACCTCCCTGCGCCTGTTGAACGAACATCGATGCTATGGCCGAATGGAGGTATGTGGACGCGTTTCCCCGCCTCACATCCCCCTTCATGGGCCTAATTGTGTTGCTCCACCATGACGCGACCGTCAGACATACGCGTGGGATCTAGGCAAGGTTCTCCAGCAGAGTCCATTTCCTTTGGCGCTCATCCGAGTGAGTGCTCTTGTCTGGTGTGCCAACTAAGATCCCTTGTAGCAGGGCTGAGAGCAGAGTGCCGGTCATCGACCTCATCCTTCTATCTACTCAATCCTGCCGGACAGCTGAAGAATTCTCTGTTCTCTCACACCTCTTGCAGGTCGGAGGGACGATCAAAGCGGTCGAGCATCCTCACAAGCCAGCACAACTCTGGATGAACCGTCTCCACGCCCGACTCGGAAGAGAAAGCGGCGCATGCCCGTGCCCCAAACCCCTTCGTCCGACTCCGACTCTGACGAGCCCAATTGGGGCGATTCCAGTCACTCCTCGGCTGACGACAGCGACAGTTACAGTGAGAGTGAGAGCGAGTTTGAAGATGTCGCGATCGACCATCGAAGAGCTATCAGGCTCTGGACGGCCATACATGGCTCGCATCGGAACGCGACCGGTCGTATGAGTCAAAGAAAGTGGACCTCGCTGAAGCACTGGGCCGCTCGAAGATATTACTCGGAGCTCAAGATGGCCGCGAAACTCGGCATATCCCATGCAAGGCTCGTTCAGGCCGTCAAAAAGTTCAACAGCCTCGCTTCGAAGGGCAATGCGTGGTCTAGATTTCTCTCGGACCCTGTAGTCAAGGTTTTACACCAGCGAGCAAGCAAGGGTGAGTCGGTCCTCCGGGCGCTTCCGGTCATGCCCACTCCACTCTCCTACGCTCTCGCTTATGCTTACCGCTGCGTCCGCAATATCTGTTCTTACATACCCTGGGTGTGTCAAACGTGTTCAGAATCGGATCATTCGAAATCGCAATCCATCACCAAACTTGCCGCTCAACTCTGGAACTTCCTGAGAGACCAGGGGGACCTCGGATCTGCCCAACTTGGCGAGGACGATGAAGAGCTTGTTCGCGCGGCTTTTGCAGCGGCAGAGGCAGGAAATAATACGACTTTCACTTCGATAGTACCACCCACCATCATCACACGGTCGCCATCCGACATTCCTTCCCCAACTCGGATGGAGCAATGCAAAAAGTACATTGCAGAATTGCGAGACCTGGCGCAACGCATGTCCAAGCTGTACGGAGTGGAAACCCTGGCCTTCATTGTCCCTCGTTATCAAGACGACGTATCGCCAGCGACGAAGGCAACCGTGCATTCGATAGGTGGGCTCAGATTTGCAGCTCACTGCAACGACTTCAAGGATCCATCCGGCAATTCCTTGTTGTCTAATTTTGCTTCCAAGATGAGCTGGGATGAGACACTCAAGGCCAATGAAGCGACAGATCTGAAAGAGGGTGAGCTTTTCATCGCAGATTATGCGCGCATGAGACCACGTTACCGTTACCAATTATGTGACATATGTTTTCGTCTCATCTATCAGCAAACACTCGCTCGATAAACAGTGCTACTCGCGGCGTTCTTGGCAACTGGCACGGCATTCTGTTCCGCGCCCAACTCAGTAAGTAGTCTGCATCTGATCGGGCTCGACTCCGTGCTAATCATTTCCGCCTTTACAGACTCTGCTCTCGAGACTATACATCGCCGTTCCGACACGGGATCATCGACAGGCGATTTCACACCTCAGAAGAAGATGATATGGTCTACCCAGGGCTTGAAGGCACTGGGTGTCAAATTGCGGATCAAGCCCGGAACGAAGAGTAGATACGAAATGGCTCTGCATCATAGTGCAGAGACATCGCCCAAGCAAACCGTTGCTCAGCTCAAGGCTATCATTGACGACCTCCGTCACGGCCACCTCGCTATCGTACCCTCGGTGGACCCGAACGACAATACGGAGGCAGAGGCAAGCGACGATGACTCGAATGGCGGAGAAGGACCCCTGACCCAAGATTTGGTGGAGCCGGGGACGAAGGCGGAGAGGTACGCGGCGGAGAAAAAAGCGGAGAAGAAGATAGAGAAAGAAATACCGAGGGGGTGGCGGAGGAGACCGGAGGATGAATGAAGCAAAACATCGTCGATGGATTGAGACTGTTCTTATGTCTTTCTTTGGGCATATTATGCTCTGAGTCGGTCTGCAAGATGACCGATATTTGTTATGTCTCTGTGGTTTGTGGCGCGTCTTTCAGTGTAGATCCTTCAGTTTAGTTTCAGATGATTGTCATACACGCATACAGCGTCTCAGCTGCCATCTTGACTGCCATCTTGATTGTGGCAATTAATCTTAACAGGATTGTAAATTAACATGATCAAAATGCTCATTCTGTCAGGCTCTGCCAAGATCACTGGGCATACTCGACCCCCCCCCCCCCCCCCCCACGGCCCCCCGGGACTGTTTCTTACGTCACGGCCCGGGGGCCCCTGTGTGCTCCGGGCGCCGGAACCTGACCAAGTCAGCGGCCGGCATCCCGTTCATCTACGGCCCCCCTTCCAGAGATTAGGCTGGAGTCTTCCTTCGCAACCAATGGTCCCGCACCTTTGTCCTACAAGGACTCGGGGCGCACCGCATGGGCCGCAGCACAACGGTGTGGCGCTCGCATCCAGGTAAGGCGACATCTCTGCGCATCTATTTACCCTTGGGTCAACGAAATTAGAATGGCTCTCGGGCCGACGCATCTCCTCTTTCTTCTTCTTCTTCTTCTGAACTTGTGATATACAACCAAATGGCCATACACCTTTCCAACTTCGACCTCATCGCCGTTTCTTGCGCCTCCCGTTTCAAACACACTTGGGATCCAATCCCTCCTAATCATTCCTCATATCCATGCTTCATCCGAAGGCGCCGTACTATTGACCGTGTCTCGTTGCATAAGTCTGTTTGACCTTTTGGCCTACCATTGTCTTGTTCCCTTAGATACAATCTGACTTCACCTTCTGGTCGGACCGGTTGCCACTGCATAACTCTCAACTGCCTGCGCGCCGCAAAACCGGACGGTGGATAACTGTGAGCTCATTCATTGGGACTGCAATACAGGGGTCAGACGACAGCTCGACCTCTCCTTTCATGTCCCATCCTGAATTCACCCATCTTCGCAACTATAAAACCCAACTGAAGACCAAGAAGACGACCATCACAGTGATGACAAGACGGTATCTCCCGTCGAAAAGAACTTTGAAAACACCCTCCCGGTATGGGTACTTTCAGTCTGACTCCAACACGACGTGTTGTCCACCTTGAGTTTGAACCCTGATTGGTGTCACAAAAGACTATATGACCTGCCATCACCGAAAACCACGGCGGGGCAGTCGGTCGGTCGATATTAGAAGGAGGCCCAGGCCACAACAGCGTGCAGAACTCTCAAGCCGCCTAATGCGATGAGAAAACGTAGAGCAACGACAGAGCAAGGGGTGTATAAAGGTGAATCTGACTCACTCGTGGCTTCGTTCAGTCATATACAGCGCATTACTTTGGGCATGGGTGACTATAACTTGCTGCAGTTCGACTGTTGAAACGCAAGCGCCGTGACGACGTACTTCGCGTCGAGATTACAGTGAGCGTGTGAACTGCGCAGGAAGGAATTGCGACAAAGCAGTGCGCTGGCTCTTAGCAACTTAGCAAGGAGTTCATTAACGTGCCACCAATGTACAATTCATTATATCATACAGAAAAAGACTGTTAGGGGTGATCAACTTCTGTATCTTGCGTCTGAAAAGTCATCAACCAAGTTCCGAGGCAAATACTCAATGGACCTGGTCGAGTGTGAGGCTCGGAGTGGCCGTGACAACACTACAGAAGACCTTTGTACGACGTTGGAACTGTGAGCCGGATCCGGACTTCGTTCAAGTATACATCAAAATGTAGTCGGCAGTGTTGGAATATGATACGTACTTTTGCAATCCCTGCTGACTGTTCGGGAAGTGTCACCCAAGGCACGACACGGACTACGCATGTGACTGACTGGCAGGGAGAGCGGTAAGTTCTACCTGTAGGAGATCTCAGCCCAGTCAGCGCAGCAAAGATGCAATGGACGCTTGTGTTCACTCCCTCAGCGTAGCGCGCTCTTCCTCTAAACCTTACCGGTCGTGTTGGGCTTCCGGTTGCCAGCTTTACTCGAGCGACATTAAACTTTTCAAGCGAGCCACCGCAAGATCGAGCGATTTAGCGATGCCGGGTCTTGGATGTCTGATCGCTCTTGTTGTACTTCCTAGCAAAGCGTCGTATAACGTGTAGAACTACTAGCAAAATGAACGCATCATTGATCTCTTTACTATTGCAAGTAGCAACTGGGCAAAAGACTGCAACTATATATGATCAATATCAAATTCCCCAAAAACATCGCCATCGTCTTCATCAAAGTTCTCGTTGATCTCGTCACTGAAGGCACCGTAATCGGTAGTGTCGACGGAATGATGACTCAGATCATCGCTCGAATGATCACTGATGTCAAGAAGGGCATCATGATCCGTGGTGATGTCGTCCGACTCTCCGACCATCCCGTCAATGATGCAGTCTGGCCATGTGTGATCCGGCAAGCCACCCGCTGTGGTTCGTTGAAAAACCTCAACGTCGTCGGTGCACCACATTCGGAGCTCGACCCACTCCTCCGTTTGCGGTTCGCCGCTTTGCCGGGTGCATTCCCACAGGTGATCTAGGCCGCCTTTCGAGAACCATCGTCGCGCAATAGTTCTAAGACGCTCTTCTTCTCGCTCGAGCAGCATCATCGCAGAGTCATCCTGCTCATCTAGTTGTAGTAATTGCTGGCGAACTTGCTGAAACCTCTTGCGACGGCTTATCAGCCACCGTCCAATGCGACGTACTTCCCATCCAAGTCGCTTGATTTCTTGCTGGCATCTTGCGCGAGACAATACTGCTGGAATGCCGACACGAACATCATCATCGTAGGCCCACGGCTCAGTGGGATGACTATATAATCCGTTGTTCCAGAGCGGCGTCAAGATGTCGAGTTTGAGCAGTTCGTTGAGATCCTCTGGGGCTGATGGCGGTACCCTTCGGGTTCTCAAGATCGAATGGGAATTCTGAGAATTGGCGAGGATGGCAGCATACTTTTTTCACCTCGTCGTTATACATCGCCACTGCCTTCATGAGCCTTGGACGCAAAGAATTAAGATTCTTGACCAGGAGACCAGCCGCTTTCGTACCTATGAGCAGGCATTGCTACACATCAGCGTTCCTTCTGCCGGCGCAGAAGACTCGTACCATGAATTTCCTACCGAGGGCTTTACCGCCTAGGCGTGGGAGCCGCAGCCTCTCAGCTCCCTGTCGATATTGTACGACCAAGTCCCACAGTGAGCGAGATGCGACCATCAATGTGCAGGCAAATTCATAGTCTGTGCCAATCAAAGGTGTTGACATATTTAAGCGACGACAAAGGGGATCACACCGGAGGGTCAGAATGCAAGAAGGGAGTGACGTACCAGGGTCCAGGACACTGATGTTCATTTCCGATGTGCGTAAGGAGTTTAGTCGATCATCAAGAACCTGCCGTTGTTTGACCAGCTGTTGAAGTTTAGTCGACTGTTCTATAAGCTTGTTCGTATTTATGGTGTTCACGCAGGCTAGTTCTTCTCTGTAGCAATCGAAAAAGGAATACCGAAGTTAGGTCACCGGTTTGTGTCTCACTCCCAAACGACGACGATAGCTCAGACCCACCGGCATGCTGCGATATCTCTGTTAACCAGCTCAAGCTTGAACATGACGTTGCGCATCTCGGCTTTCAGAGGGATCTGCTTGGACGCTGCACGTTGCGCGTGCCATTGTTCAAGGAGGGTAGCGACCGTCCATTCGGAGCGATTAACGACCTCAGTAATGACTCTGTCGGCTTCGGCCTTGAGCTTGATTGCGTTTTTGAGTCGAGAATTAAGTTTGGTCACTGGGCATGATCGATACACCAAATATCAGCGACATGGTAAGGTAGTGCATGAAAGACTGGAAGCTTAGGCGAACCAAGATCGGCCAGATGCTGCTTGTTATAAGCAGACGCTCGACGATTGATGTTCTCCAGCCGATGGGAGGCACTCGATGATCGATTCATGGGTATCATGCCTCGAAGCTGCGACCACAAGCGCTCAGTTCCCTCGCCATCAGTCAAACCAAAATTGGGTAGAAAGCGCGGATCAAAGTCAACCTGGCAGGACCACTTGTGCGCATAGGCATGCATCGACGAGAGAGCAAATTCTAGACGCGGTAAGTGGTCTGCCAGAAGATTGCGCTGCGACACCGGGGAGAGATGAGCTGCTCAGCTACGGACTAAGCCAATGCTCAGGCTGAGTGTCACGAACAAACTCACTCGGCGTAAGTGCGACGATAAGTTGCAGGCGATATCATACGCGACTCCGACGCGACTTCGATCCTGACTCGAACTTTGGTGGGAGTCCGATCCCGAGCTGGATCCGACGTTTGTAGCATCACTGGTACGCGCAGGCCCCGTAGTACAATCCGTTTCTCCGACCTCAACTTCTTCGAGAATCCAATTCAACAGCGACACGGGATATACTAACCTGCGGTAGACCAAACTCGCTTATTAGTGTCCTTGCCTGGAGTCACAGATGGCCGGTCCACACATACTTTTCACCTGATTGATGAAGGTTGCAAAGTCGCAGGCAATGATCATGATGGCACACTGCAGCAACGAGGCCTGTGTCGGCCACTACATTTGACGAAGCGGAGGTCACACCACCATCTGCGGCCTTCCAGTTGGCTGTGCATTCGTCCTGTATAGGAGAATAGCCCGTTTAGCAATCACAGACAGTCGGGTCAACGCATTATTGGGTTCGGGTGGCCCGACACCAGCAGCACCAAGGTACCTTCTCGCCCGCTTCAGTCGATCCGTCGATCAAAGCTTGCTCATTTCGAATCTTGTCTGGTGGCAGGAATAACGCTGGACGTGACTTGAAAGGATCAGTATTTGCCCGCGCGAATCGTCGATGCTGAAAATTGCCGTCGACAGCAATGATGACATCGAGGTCATTCTCGCTCTTGCCGGCTTCATCGATCCGAGGCCCAAAACATGCCGGACAAACGTCGGCCAGACGCTCGCGCAGGGAGAGGCCGAGAATTTCGGCGGTCAAAGTTGCCTGCAGCTGTTGCATAAATCAATATTCATCCATTGCGGCTTGAAGATGCTGACGCACGGTTGGACCCTGGGAAGCTTCCAATATATTCTGTAAGAAACAATGAATGTTTCCGGCCTGTCCCTGTCCAGAGCCCACCTTGTTAAAAGGATCCTCCGAGGATAATTCAGAGGACCAAAAGAGAATGAGCGCTTCGGACATGCCATAGATACCAAAAGGATCTACCCCCCAGTAGGTGTCGAGATATTCGATCGTGCGAAAGGTGAATGCGGTGATGCCTTCTCTTTTTCGGTTTGAAGATGACGATGTCGGGAGAAAACCGTGAGCTGCCAGGGTTTGGATCTCGGAATAGCATGGGCAGTATCGTAGTTCTCGCATGCCTGCTCATGGTTGGGGGATATCAAATCAGTCCAAGACGATAGCGTAGGGGTGGTTGACAAAAGATGTGCAACAGAAGCACCTACCTGCAAAGAACAGGTCGACAACCCGGACCTTTCTGGTGACTCGGCGTTCATGACATGCGTCGCACCACTCCTCGTCGTCCGGGGAAGGGACAAACCCGCTCTGTCGAAGCACTTCTTTGGCCTTTTTCTTCATCAATAGGTACGCCTGGAAAAGTTCAGGTCGTTTTGACGCCCTAGTCTTAGCTTCGGCCCTCGCAGTCCGGCGACAATTGCGCTGCTTCTTGGCGTTCCTCTCGATCTGCGATCGCTTAAGTGAAGAGGGCGCTTGGTCTTGAGAAGCACCGTCTGGGTGGAATGGCGAATGCTCCGGTCCAGATGAGTATCCACCACCGAAATCGCGACCGAAGTTGTAGTCGGGCTCAAAGTCGGGCTCAAAGCCGGGCGCGCTGTTAGGCTCGAAGTCGTGCTCGAAACCGCCGGTCTCGGTGTCTAGAGGCCACGCCGTTGCGCCATCGGCAATGTCAGTCCAAGGCTCGGACGATGATTTGTGGAGGCCGGCAATGGATTTCTTCGAATGCTCCTTCTCCTTCCGACGACGCGTTGACCTCTGGACCGATGGTGATGGGGGAGGGCTCGGCTGCCGTTTCGGACACCTCTTCGTTGGAGAGCGGAAAATACCGAAATTGAAGCCAAACGTCTTGTCGAACAGCTCGCTATTGGGGGACAATGATGGCTCCCTTTTCCGTACTCGCTTGGTCCATAATCTCCTCCTCTTCTTCTTCTTCGTCTTCGCCTCCTCCTCCGTTCCCACCGACGTCGTGGCCCCATTCTCGATCGTGTCCTTGTTGCTGCAGGTCACCTTCTTCCTCCTCCTCCTCACGGTCGTGCTCTTCTTGCGCTTGGTCTTGTCAGTGCGTTTTGATGCTGAGCTAGGTTGTAGAGGTGGTGGTGTGTGTGGTAAGATGTCCATGCTTGAAGCGATGGGTGCAAGCTTGCAAGGCCTTGGGTGGAGGGAAGTGGGGGGAACTCGTGGTGCTGAGGCAGATGGACCATTAGCGGGGATAAGTGGCAAGTGCCCGAATTAGTGACCAGTTTTGCCTCCGGGGGCTGGGGGTTGGCAGGGGAATGGTGCACCTACCCTGTACCAACGTTTTTCCTGGGCCAAATCTCGAAAAAGCTCCCTAAACTCGCCGCGCGCGGGGTAGTATATTTGTTAGGCTTATTTTGACCCGCATAGGTGGCTTCTCTTGCATTGACTCGCGGAGATCAATCCGAATCTATCCGAATTCAATCGGACGCTCTCGTCGCGCATTGCTCCCGGTGCGTACTAGTACCTCCGCTCCATGTCATACCTCTGATCATCCCATCTGTCAACTACCCGGTCGAGCAATCGACTTTTGCTCCATCTCACCTTGGTCGCACCGTCGCACGCCGGCTTGTTGGCGGTCGCAGCTTTTCGGGACACTGGCGCCGGGTGACATCACCACGTCCGGCCAGATAGCTTGACCTCCTGAGTGTGCCCCAGGGCGATCTGTTGGGACCCGCGACTCTGGAGTGTTCCTCGCCATGAAAGACTTTCCCTTCCACTTGCCCTACAAGAGACTTAATCTTCGGGAAAGGCCCGACCTATACCGCATCGGGAAAGGCGAGCAAGGTGATAGGATCCGAGTCGTGCCCCGCGGATCACCGAGCCAGCCTCTGATCCCTCGTTGCACTGCGGTGGCAATCTTCAGGCGTTCTCTCTGTCGAACCTTACAAAACAGAACTCCTTCCACTATGTGCGCACACATGTAAGGGGTTCAATACGAAGGCCCGGCTCACACCTGGTTTCAACTTTGGTCATCGTAGGGAAGTTCAAAGACCCCCAAGTTGCCGAAAAGTTCTCGCTCGACTTGCTTAACAAGTTTGAAGCCTATCGGGATCAAAACGATTTTGTGGGATGTGACATGGCCCGCAAGTTCGTGAGTCGGCATGTAACACCTTGGAAATGAGTAGGGTGCTCGGGGTTTCCTCGAGAACTGATCTCGGTGACAAATGAACTCGTGCGTACCCGCCAGATTCAAATGGGCTACACTCGAGCGCGTTGATATGCGAATCACAAAGGTCTGTGGACAATATTCACAGTGCAACCGTGAAACACAAAGTCGACGCTAACCCCTCCGCCTCTATCACAGGCGGCAAGAAGTATGGAATGGTTGGTGGCAAAGAGCGCGAAATCCCTCGCCTCGCGATCGAAGACCAGGATTCACTTAAAGTTCGAGCAGCTGAGATATTTGCAGCCCAGTTAAAGCTCGTCAACGACGACAAGATTTACAAGCGGTTGCGACTCGTTCACGAACAAGAGCACGAGTCCAAGCCTTTGGATTTGGAGGGGATCGAGGTGATTAAAGGGATTCCTGAATCGAGGGGTGGCGAGGTGAAAGGAATTTTGGCATGCGGTTGAAAGGCCTCAAGAATGAGGCGAAATAGATAGAAAGGGAGCAGGATGGTGCTACTCAATTGGGATACCGTGTTTTTGTCGTCCGTACCTACGTGTCAACACCGAGAGAGAGACGGGCGCCGGGGGATAGTGACGAAGAGGTAGAAAAGTTTGTCTGCAATGCTCGCCTCAGCAGGCCTAGGCAGGCCTCAGCGCAAAGGGCCATCGCCTTCGCTTCCCCAATTCGGAAGCGCACTCCTTGGAGAGACTCGGCTTTGTACACAGCGGCGTGCTTTCCTTCCCCGAGCGGTCCATGACTGGCAAGCGTTCCTTGGTGACATTCCTTGACGACTACTCGCGCAAAGTGTGGGCCTACGCGATCGGACACGAAAACGAAGTCTTCGGCGTGTGAGCAGCCGTGAGCCAAGCTGTTCAGCCAAACAGGTGAAACACCGAGGCATTGGTGCGGGTGGCCCTACCAGGTGAAGTTCGGCGTTGCCGTGTCCAGAGCTGGATGTTGACACCGGTCCTTGCAGTAAACGAAGTAAGCTGCGGCCTCCTCCCAGAACGTCTTTGGTAGGTGGGCGTCCGCAAGGAGGGCAAGGGCGCCTTCAACAATGGAACGATTGACCCGCTCTGCACGACCGTTCTGTTGAGGTGTATGTGGAATGGAGTATTGTCAACGTGTACCCCATGCCTTGCAGAACTCCGTGAACGCTCTCGAAGGATGTTCGCCACCGTTGTCGGTCGGAGAACCTTCAGCGTCGGCGGCTGCGTCGCACCCGTCTCGAGTTCGACCTCGGCAAGCCAAGTCTTGAATGGTCGCAGTATGGTCGCGCCCGAACTTCGCTCCAAACTCGACCCAAAAGCGACCCGCGTTCTCTTCACCGGCTACAACCTGGCTTCGAAAGCCTTCCGTTTCTACGACACAACCACCAAGAAGAGCTTCCTGGGCAGAAATGCAACATTCCTCGACTCCGAGTTCCCCGGATTACATGGCGACTCCTCCACCGAGCAAGACATCGATCGGGGACCCACTAGTAAGGCCGGCACAGACGGAGGTCTCATCACTGTCAGATGATTTCGTCCTGAGCCGCGCTGACGCGTCACTCGGACTTGCGGAACTGTAAGGCGCCGCTCCGCTTACGCCTCACGACGACGTCGAGCCAACCTCTGCGGCCTCACGCTTGCCCTCGCGCGCGGCGCCGCCGCGTCTCTTGGCCTTAGTCCTTTTAGTAGTCTTTCTTCGCCTGCGAATTACACCGTTTGATCCTTTCTGTTTGGACTCGGAATCAGTGAGGCTCGAGAGCGATCTCGTGCCTTTCACTTTTTTTTTGAAACCGACAACTCGGATGTACGACTCCGTCCCAACCCGACGTTAAACCTCGACCTTCGCAGCCGCCCATGCGACGCCGCTCAACGGCTGCGAAGGAAAAAAAAATCGAACCCGAACCCGAACCAGACAAGACACCGAGACCGATACCGAGACCACACCGAGACCACACCGATACAGACACCGATACCGATACAGAACTCGAACTCGAATTCGCAGCCGCCCCGGCGACGCACGGTGCAGACCCACTCAGCCGCCGCGAAGGAGAAGATGAACCAGAACCCAGAACCCGAACCGAACGAGATCTCGAACAAGAATCAAGACAGGAATTATTTGTACTCGAACACGAACCAGAACCCCGCGACCCGGCCCCACAGCCGCTCCCGCCATCGCCCCTGCCCAGCCCAGCCCTGCGAAACGGCCTCAAACACCGTTCCCGCCACCCTGCGAGACGGCTTCAACACCACGCCCGCCCCAGATACCGATTGGAACAAGACAAGAATCGAACGAAATCAGACCCGAATCGATCCGAACCGAACAAGAACAGACTCCTGAGCCAAATTGAACAAGAACGTAGCCCGACATGGACCAGATCGAACAAGAAAAAGTCACAACAGTTATGAACGAACCCGGAGGACTCTCAAGCATTTCAGAGGCAGACAACAACGAACGATCCCTTGCATCAGAAGCTGGAGGAGGGAATTGATTCAAGGAGGGGTGAGTGTAAGGCGCCGCTCCACTTACGCCTCACGATGACCTTGAGCCAACCTCTGCGGCCTCACGCTTGCCCTCGCGCGCGGCGCCGCCGCGTCTCTTGGCCTTAGTCCTTTTAGTAGTCTTTCTTCGCCTGTGAATTACACCGTTTGATCCTTTCTGTTTGGACTCGGAATCAGTGAGGCTTGAGAGCAATCTCGTGCCTTTCAGGAACCTGACTGAAAGGCACGAGATTGCTCTCAAGCCTCACTGATTCCGAGTCCAAACAGAAAGGATCAAACGGTGTAATTCACAGGCGAGGAAAGACTACCAAAAGGACTAAGGTCAAGAGGTGCCTGTGGCCAACAGCAAAATGGCCACGCGCGCGAACCCGCTTAAGGATTCACCCGAGATTACGTGCGCTTAACGGTGCATAAGATGTGCATAAGGACGCATACGCGCGCGGCTGAATTGGGCGAACCTCATAATCCGCGCATAGCCAGCGCTGCGATGACTCGCCCTGCTTAAGCACCAAAAGGCGAGGCACCTCTTAGATGTTCCAGGGACTTCTCACAAGAGGCGAGGACGAGGGACAAGTGCAAGGATGTGACCTTTGACGAGATTCGAGTTGCAGAAGGGAAAGAGAGAAGTAAGCTACGGAACTGGGAAACGAGACCAGAGGAGTCGGGGACAAGGTGGCGAGCTTGAGGAGGCGAGGCACAAGGATCACGTAATAGAGCTTGGTTGATGTTCATGTAAGAGTCGGGGGCGAGAGGGTTGTGAGCGTATAGTGGGAGGAGAAGAAGGCAGTGCAGGTGCCGAAGCGGGGAGAGGAGGTCCGAGGTGCGGGAAGGCTGAAGTCACGCGGATGACGTGGATGCTGAGAGGCCGAACTTGGAGTGGCAAAATTCCCATTCGTGACAGTTGTTGCGCTCATTTCGTGAAGTTCACCCATGTTGCCCTGCCGAGTACGCCCCACCGGATAGGGCCTTTCTTCTACCATGTCATCGTACACTACCTTACAGGTGAGCGCTCAACTCTAGCACGCGACACGGAGATTGGCCCAAGCCAGATGTTGTTAGACGCGCTCGAGCTTCGCGTTTGGACCTCCTCTTCCAACGTTAGACTTCCCGAGGCCGCAATTAGCGCTGCTCACTTTCCTCCAATAAAGGCGAAATTGACGCTCTGCACGCCGAGTAGTACGAGCGGGGAGTGGGAAACGAAAATGCGAAAGGAGAAGATGTGCCGGAGGGATGTCGGAAAGGAACCCCTAAGCCAACGAGTCGCGGAAGGACGCGGCGACAGACGCTCCTGTTCGGGTTTATCGCGTGACGCGTCTTCGTCTACATGTCAGATCACTTGCACACGGACCGTCCGCCTCATTTTTGAAAGGCAGAAAAGGTTGCCGCACGTGAATTTGCAACGTCCGCAGAAACCCGACCATGACGAAAATCGCTTTCATTTATTTTCGAATTAGACTTTCTCAGAAATGGTTCGGCGCACTTTCTCTACGGGGTTTTTGAGTGGGACTACTTGCACACGAGCGGGCGGATTGCTTTCTTGACCCCAACAAGTTTCTGTGCTAAAATCCCATCAAAAGGTGCTACACTTGATTTTATTCAATGAGGCTAAGGAGCATATATTCAGGAAGTAGTTGGTTCATATAACACTGTAATTTCTACAAAAATAACTTTCCAGCAAAATCTATGAGTCCGCCACTCTGGACACCTCGGGCAGACATAAAAAGTACACCTCAACAGGCGCGCGCGCAGCGCCCTCCCACGCGCCTTCCAAGCCACAAGCCCGGCGGGTTGCAACCTTGCTACCCCAGGTAGCAGATTAGGCCCAGGTCAGGTATGCCCTCCTCGATGTCGAGTTGCCGAGACGTTCACTCCCACTACAACTCCATCGAAGACCTGGGAACAAAGGCGCAGTCAGTGAACAATAGTGTATTCGGATTTTTGGAGAGTTATTGTTGTCCTCTGCAAGCTGAACAGGCGCTCTACCTCGAACACGTGATTCGGCACGGGTCGCGCGGAACAATTGGGGCCGGGATGGCCGGGACGTCGACGCGTCACGACTCCGGAGACGTGTCGCGCTCGCGCATACCGCCCATTCTTCTGCTTTGCCCAATCGCCCCCTACTACGTATACGAAGTAACGAACTATACAATGAGCATCCGTCTTGCGACAGTCTGAAACGAACGCCCACTTCGAAACACCGGATTAGTCATACTTCTGCTGCTCCTATCATGACGAGTCAATCCAATCAACTTAACCACCTCCCAAATTGCAGGCGCTCCGGCGACGAACAGCAGTATGTTTGCCGCCGATCGACACGGGTGCTCTGACTGGACTACCGGCTCACGATCACATCTGACACATAGGTTCATATGCTGCCTCTGGGTACGAGTCATGCACCTCGCCTTGGACTCCCTACCAGTCCGCATATAATGACTATTCGGGTCCGTGGGTGGCCGTCGCGTCGATCACGTACAGTATCAGTCTGTTCTGACGTTACACCGTCGTGCACCCGATCCAGCGTCCACTTCCGCTGGCGTAACGGCCATCTCGAATCCTGCGTCGTACAACTATCAATCTTCTCCGGGATCTGCTTCGTCCAACCAACCAGTTTACCGTCCCACGTTCCCAACCTGGATGCATCAATGGCCCGTATCTAGCTCCGCCAGCAAGCAACAATCTCGCAAACATGGTCGAACAAGGAGGGAACAATCCTGACGGCACGGGTATTGTCTTTGACGCAGCAGGTTTGCCAAATACTGCACCTTCCGCTCGCGATCGCCAAAAGTCGCGGGCCGCACAAGTTTCCCAAGACGAGGAGGGAGGCCGCACATCAGGAGGGAGGGGTGTATCAGCGAATACCTGCGCACAGCTTGGAACGCACCCGTGGCTGACAAGAATGTTGAGACCAAATTCCAATGGTACAGCATCATCCTCAAAGAACTGTTCCATGAGTACAAGATGTGCAGCCTGCCTACTCTTCCATACACGGTGACTAATTTTGACCCGGCTCGCTGTCTTCAGAGTCCGTGCTGCGCCGACACTCCGTGCTGGACGGCGAGAAGATCCAATCACCCAAGTTCGTCTATGACGTAAAGGCCCTCAGGGACAACACCAGAATCATTGTTCAGCGCGGCGCGCTCCTTCGCAAAGCGGATTTCCGAAGCCCGAGTGGCAAGCTTAAATTGTTGGGACCAGACCTGGATCGGATCATCCCATTGCTGCGTGCAGGCGAGCTGAGCTTCAGGCTGGAGGAAGAGGTAATCGGGTCAAGTGCAGAACAGAAAATGGCCGACGGCGATGAAGTCGGCGACAGCGATGCTGACCGGCGGACTCGGAACACGAGCTCCGACGAGGACAGCGAGTGAGGTGACGATGGCCGAGCTCTCAGCGCCAGCCAGACTCGTCGACGCGCATGCGGTGCGGAGATCTTGGCTGTTGAAGGGCCAACATTTGTTGGACAACACAGGCCACCACAATATTTATTTCAAAGTTTTGCTTCATATGCATCCGGCTCTTGGTGACTAAAGGCGGAGAGGGTGATTGTTCGTTGCCCTTCGTGCCTAATCTTCCCCTGGGCCGCTCAAGATCGACCTCTCCTTGTTGACGTGGGATGTGCCAGTGACGTAATCCTGCTCACAAACATTATTACTCTTGTTCTGGGTTGTTTTCGAAGTATTATGTAGAGTTGAATTGCCTAGTGAGAATGGAGTGCTCCCTGACCCGTGGTCCAGACGGAGCGTCTGCTTTCCGGAAGTGACTCTTTGAGCAAAGAATGAATGAACAGAATTCGCAACGCGCTTCCACTAATTGCAGTGTATGTTAGCATCTTTTTATGGTCTATTAGCACTGAAGTGAATGGGCAAGGGTTGCATCTGGCTGGCTCGGTCTTCACCAAAGTGCCAATCAGAGTGTAAGGCAAGGCCTTACGACGGGCCACAGGCATTAGAAATAGAGCTTGCGCACGCCTAGCTTCTTCAGCTCTCTCTTCATCGAGCTGACACCAGAAGCTAGTTGTAATCCATATAACTTGCACCTGTCATCTTCGGTCACCAGTGAGACTCCGCTGTCCGAGACAGCGTGCCTTTCACTTTTTTTTTGACAACGTTGAGTTCATTGGTACCCCAACGATACGGCCTACGCTCATCAGGTCCGGCCGTACTCGAACCATCGAACCAATCGACTAGCCAGGATCGTTCAAATCAAGACGACCCTGCAGCACTAGCAGCCCAGCGTGACAAGCAACGTCGGAGGGGATGACGATGCCCACACGCGAGAGACAAGGGAGAGAGCGAGAGAGCGCGCGACAGCGCGAAGGAGCGAAAAGGGGTGTCGACCGAGAGGCAACCGCGGAGGATACGCGGCTGCAAGGCTCGCAGCAAGTCCAGTGTACCGAACTATGGTAGCCAACGAGGTCGGAAAGAAGAGGGAGGGCAAACAATCCAAGATATAGCTGACCAGGCCGGTGGGAAGGTCGAGTCGGCTGGGCGGCGGAAATCGACCGAGAGCGACCGAGGAGTGGATTCGGTCGGAAGGCTTCGCAGCAAATCAAGTGTAACGGACTTAATTGCCAGCGAAATGGGTAAAAAGAGGGAGGGTACGAGTCATGATAATGAGTGGACCAAGCTCTGGGGGAAGGGTGGCAAAAGCAAAGGGAGGGAAGTGCTCCGAGCGAAGGAAAGACTGAGTCAAATAACTACACCACAAGGTCGCTTCAGGGGTAAAAAGGATTGCCTGCAAGGCACCGGTAAAAACCCCGAAGCCGGGCCTCGGATAACAAAAAGGAAAAGAAACCAAAAGGCAGATCGCGCTCCGGGCGGATCGAACCCTCGACCACTGAGTGCGCGCCCGCGCGCCCTCAAGACTACGCCATCGCGCCCACGATGCTTGCAACGAACAAACCGGTAGCTGATTTCGACTCCGGCCGCAAACTTGGGAGACTTCCTTCGAGTATTGATGGCAGTACAGGCTGTGATCCTGACATGCTGTACCCGGAAACCGCATGGATCACTGGGTCCAGGCCATCTACTTCGCCAAACTCTACCCCGTCGCCACCGCCACATCGCTGAAATTTTCGGCCTTGAACGCGAACCGGTCCGTCGAGAACATCTTCGATTACACCCTTGAAGTGACTCTGTCTCACCAGAGCGCCTCGCGAGCGACGCAGGCCACGAGATCGATCTTGTCGGCATGAGTCACGAGGCTGCTATCGCCCATCTCTCCTATCTGCTTTGAGCCTGGAGTTCCTCTGCCGGACCATCTTGCGGCTTATCAACCACAGATCTTAGGCGTACAACATTCATCAATCCTGCGTAATGGGGCGGCTCACCATCGCGTTACGGTTGGGTTCGTCACCGGCGAGGCACGTGACGCGGCGCTCACGACGCCCCCCGCTCTCACTTGGCGATCGGCGAAGGCCCGCTTCGCGAAGTCTCACAGGTTCCACCATAACATGGTCGAGCTTCGAATCAACGTCGGTGTTCAAGGAGTGCCCTCCATGGATGCCATCATCAAATCGTTCCAATCACTTGTGCAAGACCTGTCAGCCAAGGGACATTCATGCCAACTTGTGCAGGTTCTGCACGTTATCAGCGTGGACAACACCTCGGCCTTCGCCCATGTTGCCGGAGACTACTCGGCTTTCCTACACTTCGATGACGACTCCCTATTCCAATGCCCCAACACGACCTTGAAGGAGATTCTACCTTCGAGGATCGACCTTCCCACTCGAGGCATCCCGGTTACCGCCCTTTGCCATGACTATGAGAAGGAGGCGGCTTGCGGTAGGTGCCACTTTGTGGGTCACGTGGGAACCTGCGGACTGGATCAGGAGAGGAAGCGGAAGGAGGCTCACAACGGCATCATCAACAGCAACAAAAACACCATCACCCACAACACCAACATCGCGGAGGCCGAGGCCCCCATTCCTGTGCTGGTTGTTAACAGGATCACATCACAGAATCACTTCGCCGGGCTTGAGGTCGAGGAGGGACAGGAGGAAGAGGTAACTGGCCAGGGCGAACAGGGACCGGAGGAATCGGGGGAGGAAGATGCTGGTGATAAGGTGGATGACGAGGACTCGGAGGACTCGGAGATGGAATCGGAGGCGGCCGCGAAAACGGAGGTCATCAAAATTGAAAGCGAGGACGAGTCGGTCTTGGAGGACTGCAGCGGATCCGATGGAGAGGTGATTGATGAGAATGAGGTGATGGCGGATGAAAGAGGTGAAACGGGAGGAGAGGTGGCTACGGAGATGGAGGAAGAGGAGGTGGCGACGGAGGTGGGCGATGTGGACGAAGCGAGGGGATCGACGAAAGCGGAGAATGCGGAAGCGACGGACTTAGGGGAAATGAACAGGCTGGACAATGACGACGACAGCGACGCCACAGCAACCGCCGCCACCGCTTCCCGCGAATCGACGCCGCACGAACCAACCCCACCTCTGTCACCCGAAACTCTCGCCAAGTCGCTACGCGAGGGGGAGGAGTGGGACAGGATTAGAGCTAACTGGGTTGAGCAGGCACGACTTGAGCGGGACCAAAGCATTGAGAGGAGGCTCAACGCTGAAACCCCTTTGGTGCGTCACAACTTTGCCACGTGGGACGAGGACGGTGAGATATGCTCCATCAACATCAGGGGGACCGCTGCGAAGTTCAAGAAGCAGGTGATGAAGAGGTCGCAGACTGCGGCGGACCTCAGTGACCCAAGTGACGAACTGACCGACGCCAAGCGAGTCATCATCAAAGGGAAGAGCCGCGTCGTGGTGAAGGATGGAATAGAGGGGTGGAGGGTGACGAGGTCGATGTCGGCGGCAGCGGCGATGCAGGTCGAGGTGACGAAGGTGGACAGAGGGAAAGGAAGAGGGGTAGCTGAGGAAAAACGATGGTCCGACCACGAGCCCGAGGACGATGTCCTGCCCGCCCTTCCCCTCTTTGAGGACGTCACCACCGCCAAGAGCACCTCGACCTCGACTACCCATTAATGATCAAGCACACCATCATCACCTGGAACGTAAGAAGGGGCATGGGGGTCCTGGAAAAACGATGTAATATCTACACCTACCTTTCCACATTCAAAGCTTCCGCGATTCTCTTACAAGAGCATTTCATCAGACCACAATTCTGGCAGCTCATCAAGGATGAGTACGAGGGCAAGCTCTTCATCAACCAGCACTGCCTGACCCTGATCCCGGCCGACTTGCCCCTGATCAACGCCGAGCTCTTGCGTGTAGAGTGTGGACCGAAGAGCTGTTCGGAATTGGGTGTAGCGACCACTAGGGCTACTGGTCAAGCGTCGTGTCAGGATGACAGCGTGTACTCGAAGGAAGCCTTTTTTTTTATTACTGGGGCTCATAAATTGCAATCCTTCGGGTTGGCTGGGACCGCTAGAAAAAGAGCTAAAAGAGGTTATAAAGCAACGACGGCAAGCAATTGGGTGAAAGTCAAACCCCTGCGCGCAAAGAGCGCTGCGCAGATCAAAACCCGCCGAGCACCTAACGCGGACTCCAACGGGCGGTGAGTACTGCTGCCGCTTCACGTCCCAAGAGCGGGAGCGAAGATACTCGAAAACCAGGCAAGAGCGCCTAGAGAAAGAAAAGGGGAGAATATACAAAAATTCACGACTGGAAACACGGAGAACCAGGAATACTAAGACAGAGAGGAGGGGAGGAGGAGGGGAACACACCCGAGGGGCCAAGGGAGGGGGTCGAAGCCAGAGCTAGAGGTCCCCAGGGACTGACAGGCCGCAGCCAAGCCCCAGCTACTCGTCACCCCGACAGCGCCTGATGTCCTCCCTTGGCTGAGTCTCGAGTGCTGGCTGTTGAGCCGTCGGAGCCGAGCGAAAACGATCCAATACAACGAAACGAGCCTCGCCTTGACGCGAGGATATTGACAAAAAAAACGAGCGACCTTTCTTCCCGATCCATGCCGTAGATCTTGACCAACGCGAACGAACGATCCATTCGACGGAATCCAACACACGACTTAGGAATAAAAGGAGAAGTGGCTGAAGCGTAGTCAACAACCGAGCAACAGGAACGAGAAGAGGAAGGGAAGGGAGAAAGGGGAAAGAGAGGGGAGAACTTCACAAAGCCTCCAACGCAACGACGATCGACCCGGCTTGCCGATCCATCCAAGAACGAAAACCGCTACTGCACAAAGTAGAGAGAGGGAGAGGTGCGCAGCCTTCCACTGCGCAACAAGTTTCAAGACAGTCAGCTTCTGACCGAAAAGGAAGGGAGGAAAGGAGGGGAGGAAAATGGGAAGGAAGGACTTAACTCGGTCATCACACCTCCCAATCTCGAACCCCAGGCACAAAACCCGCTCGAGAGAGAAAATCTCGCTCGAACGCTCTGAGCGTACTGGGAAGCGAGGGAGGGGCCACGACGTTGTCCAGCTCGAACCGCTGATGAACGCGCCAGCGGAGCAGGTGCAGCCGCTGGAAGCCGATCGCGCAGGCCAGCCGAACCCACATCCATTTCGAGGTCGTTCTCCCACGACCCCGCAAAAGGGGGAGCCCCATAGTCAGCTGCTCCGGAGTGAACGTCGACGGATCGACGTCGGTATCCTCGATGCCGAGCTTGTCAAGCAGAATGCGTAGCACCCCACCCCAGAAGCTGGTCGAGTACGCGCACTCGAAAAAGTAGTGGGACACCGTCTCGATGACCGCTGCATCGTTGCCGCAGAACAGACACGTCGGCGAAGAGGCATGACCCTGAGTATGCTGCCTCTTGCGCGTCGGCGTCACGTCGTACATGAGCCGCCAGTGGGTGTCCTGCTCGACAGCAGACGCGAACCGGTCATGAAGCCATCTCCAGAAGCGCTTCCTATCGCTCTGAGAAGTCCCATCAGGGAAACGCTTGACACGGTCCTCCCTCCCTGGGAACCGCACCTTGTTCACAAGCCGACGAAGCTTGCGAATCGTAAAAGGTCGGGAGAACCCAAAGAAGTTGAAGCACCGAGGACGGGGAGCCTCCTTGAGAGGTATCCGAGCAGGTCGCAACGCGGTCTTGGGCAGCAACGCTTTCGCCTTGAGCAACTGACCCACGCGCGACCACACGTGCTCGTGCTGTAGGGCGGGTTCCTTAGAGTGCTGCCAGAACCCGCGTCGATGACCAACCAGAGCCCATCCCTTCCCTTCGTCCCTCCAGTACAGGTCCGCGATCTGCGCAAACTTCGCCACCGCGTCCGCATCGTCATATGCGTGCTGGGCACCTTCAGCATAGAGTGAAGGGAGGCGAGGCGGAAGCGAGAGCAATTCGGGAAGCGTAAGGAGTTCGGACTTGATGGTTGGAACTGTGACCCTGGCCGCTGCAACGACTGCCCCCCAGCGCGTCGAGTCGCGATACAGCTTCTCGACCCGAGCCGTGCTGCTGAAGAACCCCCACGGACTGAAATCGCGGGTCGCAGCGACGAGGGACCTCCAGCTCTCGCGAGCTAGGGGCGCCCAGATCGCCTCGTCCGAGCCCGCCACAGCATCCCAAAATCGAAGCGCCACCGAATGAACGATGTCGCCAATCGAAATCAAACCCAAGCCACCGTCCTCCCGAGCCTGGAACACGAAATCGCGAGCGACGGTATTTCGCCCTGCTCCTCCCCAGACAAAGTCCGTAAGTGCCGTCTCCGCCGCCTTAATGAACCATTGAGGCGGTATGTCGAAGGACAGCACGTGGAGGACCGTCGAGATGATGTGAGCGTTGGCATAGAAAACCTTCCCACTCGGCGAAAGTGTCCGGTCTCGAGCGGCGCGGGTCTTGGCCTTGATCCTGTCAAGAACATGGGTCCAAAACAGTTTCGAGTCACCGTGGCGAAAGAAGGCATAACCGCACCACTTGAAGCTCTCCCCCTCCTGCACCGTTGGCAGCGCCTGCGCAGTCTCGTCCCGAAGCCAGTTCGGTCCGAGTGGTAGCACCAGCGTCTTGTCCGTGTTGGTCTTCCCGTTGGTAGCCTCGTACCACGTCTGCGACAGCGTTTGCAGCTTCGACAATGCCGCCGGTGACTCCACCACCACCACAGCATCGTCGGCAAACGCCAGATGCGTAAGCTGCGCACGCGGCCCCCCTGGCCACACCTTCTGCAGGTCGAGCGCGATCCCGCGCCGAACGAGGGCGTCGAGGAAGGGCTGGAACGTGATGTTCCAAACCGGGCACGAGAGGGGATCCCCTTGACCGAGACCACACAGCAACCGCACCAAGTCCGTGGGGAACCCATTGACAAGGTAGCGCACCCCCAGAGTCTCGGGATCGTAGAGAGCGCGCAGCAGCGAGATGAAACGCTCACCGAACCCAAAGGCCTCAAAGACCTCGAAGATCCAGGCGTGATCGACCCGATCGTACGCGCTCTGCTGATCCAAAGACAAGAGGGCGCCCTCGGGGAAAACATCAGTGCCTAGCGACTTGAGTTTTTCGAGAAGGAGAGTGAGATGACTTCCCGCGTCCGCTGAACGTCTTGATGGCATGAAACCGTGTTGCGCCGGCGGCAAAAGCTCGCCGAGCACCCCATTGAGTCGCGCCACCAAGACCTTGCTGAGGACCTTGTAGGTCGTCTCGCGCAATGTGATCGGTCGGTATGCCCCCAGTGATTTCAGATTGGCCCCCGGTTTATTCTTGGGCAAGAGCCGCACCAGCCCCTCTGCCAAGGACGCCGTCATTTTGCCGCCCTCCCAAATCGAGTTGAACAAGTCCAACAGCTTGGGAGCAAAGTAGGTTGGCAGCGCCTTGAAGAGCTCGTACGGAATGCCCGAGGGCCCCGGTGATCGCCCCGAATCCGTCTTCTTCAACGCCGCTTCAACCTCGAGGAGGGTGAAGGGCTCGTCAAGCGCCACTCTCGCTTGACGAGGCAGCCGACGACCGAACGTAGGGTCCGAGCGGTCGTCATCGTAGCATTTCGCTGCGCGAATAGGGTCGAGCAGGGACCGGCGTGCGTTCGTCGGGTCGCCACGAGCTGGGTCCGGCGTGAAGAGCGACTGCGCGTGCCGTGAAGCAATACCCAGCGCCTCCTGCATGTCAACGGTCTCGGTGCCATCCACATCCTCCAGCGAGACGATGCTCGTCTGGCGACTCCGGCGGTTGAGGCGCGTGCGAATGCTTGCCGATTGACCTTCCCTCGAGTCGACTGACGGCACATGCGCACGAATGCGCAGCCACTGAGCCTCCTTTACCGCCAACTGGTCCAACCGCGACTTGGCAAGAGCATACGCATCGCGCTCGGCCTCATTCATGTGCTCACCGCGTGCCTCCAAAGCCTCCATGACGGATTGGCTCTCGGCCCGCAGTCGGCGCATGTCGGCACGAGTCGAGCGGTATCGTGCATGGCCAGCGACTGCAACCGCCCGCAGAGCGGCGTCATAGACGTCGCCGAGCGGAGCGGTCCCCTCGAGCCTTTGATAGACCTCGTCGACGACCCCGGGAATCGATGCGACAAAGTCTTGATCGTCAAAGACCATTGGGTTGAGCCTCGAAATGAAATCGCTCGTGGAGGGAAGAGAAAGGGGGGGTTCGGCATCAGCGTTCGATGTAGGCAAAGCGAAAGTCGCAACTACAGGTCTGTGGTCCGAACAGGGCGCATCGAAGAGCGTAGAAGCGCTCAACAACCGGTTCGCCCAACTGCATTGGACAAGAATATAGTCGATCCGCGACCACGAGCAAATCTTTCGCTCTTCCCCTCTACCACGGTAGTGAGGACGAGTGAATGCAGGGGTGCAAGGATGGACATGTCGGACCGTGTCGAGTGCCTTGAACGCGATCTTTGACAGCAAGGTCTGCCAGTGCGATACAGGAGTCCAAGCGCGATCGGTGATGGACACTCGGTCGACCGATACATCCGGACAATCGTTGAGATCGCCGGCCAAGATCCGAAGAATCTTGGGTCTCGGGGCGTTGAAGTGCAGAAGCCCGAAAAAGTCGCGACGATCGTCCTCCTGCACCGGCGCGTACATGTTGATGATCTCGACATCGAGCTCCTCAAGACGAAACACCGAGCGCAGAATCCGACCGTCGAAACGAGGAGCTCCTGCAAAGACGACCGGGGTAGAGGAAAGGAGATGGCCCGCCAAAGGTGAGCCATCGGGTATGAGGGTAAGGACATGAGGAGTGAAACGAATACAAGCCCCCGGCCAAGCACTCTCGAAGCCTTCGCGTGACGCGTTGTAGCTGAGGTGGTGCTCTTGCAGGAGGATGGCCGCAGGGGCCGGCCGAAGGGTTTTGAGATAACGGATGATTTTGACTTGGTTGACTGCGTTCTTCATCGATCGGACGTTGAACGTCAACACGGTGAGTGACTCAATCATGATTAAATCAGTTCAGCGCCGCCCCCCTCGAATTCGGTCACCTCGGACCTGTGACCCCCTGAACTGTTGCCCCCTGAGCCATCACCCCCTGATGCACCGAGGATCATGGCGGATCCTGCCCGGGTGACACGTCGGTTGCCGGGTGCCGAGCTCGAACGAAGGCGTCGAGGACTCGTCGAGGCTATCGAGGTTGTCGAGGTTGCCGATGATCCCGACGTGCCACCGGACAAAGGCGAAGGAGAGGTCGGGGTCGAAACGGGCGCCGCCGTCGTCGTCTGCGTCTCCTTTGTTGAGCCCAGGGTCGCACGCGTCGACGTCTCTTCCCCAGTGTCACCGCCCTCCGGTTCGGTCGAAACGACCGACTCGTCGTCGCCGTCGTTCGCGTCGTCCTTGTTGGCGGTTACTGCACCTGCGGGGTTAGCACGAGGTCCCAGCTGGATCATGTTCGCGCCAGAGACACGAGAGTTCAATGCGGCAGGCCCACCGTGCTTCCCATTCTTTCCAGCAACTCGGAAGCCGGTGGTCGAAGTCGAAGTCGAGGTCGAGGCCCCCGGAACAGGGGCGGCGGTGGCCGGAGTCGAAACCGGCTTCCTGCAAGCGCCCCACTGGTGTCCGGCGCGATCGCACACCGCGCAGTAGTGCGTCTCGAATTCGTGTCGCAAGCCATACTTGGCGCCCAGGATCTCGATCTCTTGTGGCAAAGCGGCGTTGAGCGCAGCCTTCTGCGTCTCGATGGAGCCTTGGAAAAGATCAGCATGTAAGCGAAGGTACGCGCAGTGGAACCCGTCTTCGGTCATGGCCATCGGATCGCCATTCGGATCGACCGCGAGGCCCCGCTGTAATTGCATCAGGGTATAACCTTGCGTGCGACCTGCGCGGCCGAACGAAAGGGTGATAGCATCATCGAGAGATTTTCGGAGCACGGAAGCGGGGATCGCGCTGGAGGAGGAGGGCAAGGTGAATCGCACCTGCACGACGTGGTTAAGGGGAGAGGCGCTGGGGAGCTCGGTAACCATCTCCTTGCCGTGGTAGGGGAATGGGCCCGCTGAAGCGGCTTCAAGACAAGCTTGCTCGGATTCGAATACAAGCTCGTACATGTGACGAGCGATCGGGAACCTCTTCGTGGCTTTCGTCACAATCGGGTTCAGCTTCACGCATTTCGAGAAAAGCTTCTCGACCTCGGGGTCAAGCACGACGCCCTCGGGCCGCGCGAACATGAACGGCGTCTCGGCCAATCCAAAGTGCTTGCGCAGCGCGGTCTGTACAGGACCTCTGGGTGATCCAGGACCATCCATAATGACTCGAATCACATTGGAGGCCGGGGCTGCGTCGTTTCGCACCGCTCTTTGGGCGGCTCGTGCGAGCGCTGGCGCCTGCGAAGGCGGGGTCGAGGCGTCGTGCATCAGGACCATCAGTCGGCGGGTCGACTTGCTGGAGGGAACAATCCCGAGCACTTGGAAGGTCTTCTTCATCAGCTTCTCATGGTCCAACCGGACCTGAGTTGCCTCGGGCGACCAAGCTGGAGGATTCGCGGTTCCTCCAGTGACCGCTTCACGCGTTTGCGTGTTGAGTGATGAATCACTCGCGCCATTACCACCCAATAGGTCCTCGGGCGGGGGCGCATCGGCGCCGGGCGGATCCGGCATCGCGTGTTTGTGTTGACCTGTAAAGCTTAACGGGCTTGGAGGTCAACTACTCACTCTACACCACAGAAACTCACTTGTGTGTGTGTGTGTGTGTGTGTGTGTGTGTGTGTGTGTGTGTGTGTGTGTGTGTGTGTGGAAGCCCCCCAAGGCTATGTGCGGGTAGAGTTGACTTGACCAGAGGCTTGCCTCGTTTCACAGCATCGTCGGTGCGATGGCGTAGTCGTGAGGCACGCGGGCGCGCACTCGGTGGTCGCGGGTTCGAGGCGCCCAGACCGCAGTCTTCTTTCGGTTTGTTTTATCTTTTTGTTAACCGAGGCGCGGCTTCAGGGTTTTTACCGGTGCTCCCGCGAGCAATCCTTTTTACCCCTGAGGCGACCTCTTGGAGTGGTTGATTTGGCTAAGTCCCCTCTGGGCCTGGCACAGTCCCTTCCCTTTAGTTTTACCACCTTTCCCCGGGAGCTTGGTCCGCTCTTCTCTTTTGTTGCCCCTCCTCTTCTTGTCGATCGTTTGGGAATTAAGTCCGTTACACTTGATTTCCTGCGAGCCTTTCGACCGACTCCCCTCCTCGGTTGCTCCCTTGTCGACTGCCGCCGCAACAGCCGACACTTCCAGAAATCCCCCCCCCCCCCCCGTACCAACGCGTGTAGACGACGTCATCCCCTCCGACGTCGCTTGTCACTTTTTTCAAGTTCGGCATTACCGACAACGATCCGCACCTCTACAACCGCTTCGTCCACCGTCCTGGACGAGCATTCACCCCCACTCTCTGAGCCTGAGTCTTCAGCCTCCTCTCCGTTGCCAAATTCATCACCAACGAACGCGTCGCTGTCCTTCCCGACTTCCTCCACAGAGTCCGACAACGAACACGTTTATCCTTCCTACCCTTTCCGTCAACCGTCTCGTGCCCGCCTTCGTTCGCCCCGCAATCGCCGACGTTTGAGTCACGAGATTGCCATGGCCGACGAGCGCGACGTGTACCGCGCCGCCGCCGATGATCGAGACGCTCCTCTCCGCGACGAAGACCCCGGCCGCGCGAAACCGCCCAAGTCCCCGCCGCCCCAACCCTACCACACCGCCACCGCTCTATCGTCCCTCGAAAGCCGCCTCGAGGAATCCGAAGCCCGTCATATCGACTCCGAGGAACGTGTTCAGCAATTGGAGAAGTTGGTGGAGGGTTTATTGAAAAGCTCACCTGAACCAGCTGCGGCGCGGGCCGGAGTCTCTGAACCAGCTGTGGCGAGGGCTGGATTCTCTGAACCAGCCGCAGCGCGGGCTGGGGAGTTTACGTTTCCGCCGGTGAGATCGGTCCCCTTGGACGTTCCCCCACACACCATTCTGGAACATTCAGGCAATACCGCTGACCCCCTTGTTCGTTCCCCTGGGGGGGAATCTCACAGCGCACGAAGGGACGGCCCTTCTTCGGCAGTAATCAGCTCTCGTTGGAGAGGGACGTTACCTGACCGGGAAGGGCTATGGACAGGGGATAACCCGGATCGGTTGGTCACTTTCACTACATTTGGGAAGTCGTACTTGTCTCTACTTTGCGACATTTCCACCAGCGACCTTTTTACCACCGACCGCGTCATCCAGCTTGTGGCGACCTTGTTCGTTCGTTCCACTTCTCCCAAGCGCCGTCAGTCTCCGCACGACTGGGCCGTTGATACTATGACGGACGCGCTCCGGGACGAACGACCTCACTGCTGGACGACACTGATGACAGAAGTTGGACGTCGTTGGCCGGATCCTGGCTTTGCCGACCGAGTGTCCCACGATTTCTACGGGTGCCGACAGTCTTCGTCTCGAGCCTACGACCATGTGGGCGAATGGCGTGCCCGCTACCGAGCGTTTATGCACAACGACCCCAGCTTCAGCCTCTCGTCCCTTCAACTCGCCACAACCTTTTATCAATCGTTGAGTGATGTGGCTAAGCGGGAAGTGCGGGCTGGTATGCTGCGGGAATATCGGGATAACTCACTCGTGACTATAGGGAGGTTCGGACGAACTGTCCCGTCCCTCGAGGAGGTTACCGACTGGGCCGCCATCGCCGACGACACCGGCACGACATCAGTTTCGACCCCGCCGATTCGTACTGCGACTTATGGAGCAATTGCGAAAACGCCACGCACCGCCCCATCCACGCCAAACGACGACGCACGTACCCAGATCCGTCGAGCTCGATGGATGAACCGCGCCGGTAAATGGCAACAGGCCTGTGAGGAATCCACTCTCCGCTCGGCTCAGGACTTAGGCGCGCGGAGCGAACCGGGCGCGGACTTAGGCGCGCGGAGTGAGCCGGGCGCCCCGGCCCAGGACTTAGGCGCGCGAAGCGAGCCTGGGACTTAGGCGCGCGGAGCGAGCCTGGGCCATTGGCTCAGCCCCAGGCTCGCTGGCTGTGGACTTGGGGCGCGCGGGTCTCTTATTGTTAGCTTCCTATTCATCACTCTTGGCTATAACTACATCGCTGACGTAGTAGAGTTGATCGAATAGGTATGTTGAAATGCATTGATCACTCTTGGCTATAACTACATCGCTGACGTAGTAGAGTTGATCGAATAGGTTATAAGCCCACGAGCTACCAGCCCCGCCGCTTGAGGCTTTTTCGCTCGAGCCCAGCCACTCGAGCCGCACACGTCCATCGCACCATCACATCATGGACAGCTCTCCCGCCTCGCCTTTGGCCCCCAGGGATCCCAGCTCCCCTGAATCTTCGATCGGCGAACAAATCGCCACTCTACAGGCCCAGCTTGCCGCTCTGCAGGCCTCGCAACCCGCCGCCGCCGCAGCCGCCGCACCCCCGGCCGTCACCGTCGTGCCGGGGAACGCCGCCACCGCATCCAAGGTCGTGTTTCCCAAGCACGCTCGTCTGGACGGCCCCAAGTCGTTCACCAACTGGTTGCGTCAACTCCGTCTTGCACTCCCGAACCAGGTTCGTGGTTACGTTCTCGACGGTGTCGTTCCCCCGACCTGGACCGCCGACCAGCTTGCCGCACGTGACGACGCCGCCCGGGAAATCATCGTTGGCTCTATCGACTCCGCCGACGTATCGGCCACCCTCGACGCCATCCCCAGCGACGACCTGTCGGCACCGCGCATCTTTGCCGCTCTCAAGGCTCGTTTTGCACCGGACGACGCTACACGCACTCTCGAGTTGTTCGCTCGCCTTTGGGACTTCAGGAAGATGCCTGCCTCCGTCGAGGCCTACGACACTTGGCTACGCGAGTACATGTCGATTGCTCAGGAAATACGCGACGCCAAAACATCGCTCAACGACGTGCTCGCCATGGTCCCGTCTTGCCTCGACAGCTTCCGACTCACGTTCACGGACGAGCAGCGAAACCGACGCGACCTTCCCGAACTCACGACGCTTACGGACCGCATTCGCATCCAGCTTCGTTCGGCAGGACTCTCGACCTCGCATTCGGCCATGCTTGCCACCAGCTCCCCCTGCCCCGCCTGCCGCGCTCCCGGTCACCGCCTGCGCGACTGCACTTCACGTGCGAAGCACCCGCCCACCGGCCCCTGCCGCCGATGCCACAAGAAAGGTCACTGGGCACTCGACTGCAAGAACCGGGGTGAACAGGCACGTAGCAGCGACGACACCCAGGACGACACGTCTTCCTCCGCGGCCTCGCAACCGAACGTCGGCTATTTCGCCTCCTGCCTCTTCGCTCGTCGCCAACTCCCAACTGACGCCTTTGTAGTCGATTCGGGTGCCACGACACACATGGTCGCCGACCGATCTCTATTCACGACTTATCGTCAGACGGCACACACCAAGATCGGCGGCATCGCGGGCGGCATCACGGCTATCGGCATGGGGGACGTGGCATTCGTCGCCAAGACTGGACACCCGATCACGCTCCGTGGTGTTCTTCACACGCCTGGCCTACACGTCAACCTCCTCTCTGTCTCTCGCCTCTGCGACACCGACCGCGTTCGTCTCGCCTTCACCAGCAACGGCATCGACATCGCCAAGGACGGCCGGGCCATTGCTCACGGTACCAGGGTCAACGACGGTCTTTACCTTTTGGACGCGGATCACACCAAGTGTCAGCATCTTGCCTTCCTCTCACGCTCTGAGTCTCCCGTGCCCCTGCTTACCCTACACCGCTGCCTCGGCCATCTTGCCCCATCCTCTATACAGAAGATGATTGCTGCAGGTTTGCTGGACGGGTTTGGGGCCGGGTACAGTGACAAAGACGTAGAGGAGTTTGTTTGCAATGCTTGCCTTGGTTCCAAAGGTCACCGCCTTCCCTTTCCCGACTCTGAGTCGCATTCCGCCGAGAGACTTGGCCTCGTGCACAGCGACGTCCTGTCGTTCCCCACTACGTCCTTGACCGGGAAGCGCTACCTTGTCACGTTTCTAGACGACCACTCTCGCAAACTCTGGGCATATGCGATCGATCACAAAAGCGATGTTTTCCCGACCTTCCAGACTTGGCTCGCCGAAGTGGAGTTAGAGACGAACGCGCGGTTGAGGATCCTTCGAACCGACAATGGCGGGGAGTACCGATCAAACGCATTCACGGAGTTCTGCAAATCCAAGGGCATTCGTCGTCAATACTCTATCCCTTACACGCCTCAACAAAACGGTCGCGCCGAACGTGTCAACCTCTCCATCGTCGAGGGCGTCCTCGCTCTCCTTGCGGACGCCCGTCTGCCGGCCACCTTTTGGGATGAAGCGGCTGCGTATTTCGTTTATTGCAAAAACAGGTGCTCACACTCAGCTTTGGCCAAACAGACTCCAGAATCCGTTTGGAACGGCCAACGCACCACCGCCACCGCCCTCCACCCGTTCGGCTGCACAGCCTGGCTCACGGTCGCCCCGGACCTTCGCAGCAAGCTCGACCCCAAGGCCGCGCGCGTGATCTTCACAGGTTACGACCTCGCCTCCAAAGCTTTCCGTTTCTTTGACCATTCCATCAACAAGATTGTACTTGGTCGCAATGCCACCTTCCTCGACGACGACTTCCCCGGCCTGCCAGTCACCACGCCCGTCGATGCAGACGACACCGACCGTCAGTTCGTCGTTCCCGCCGACACGCCCGCCCCTGCCGTCAAGACGAGGACCCCACTAGTAAGGTCGGCGCACATGGACGTCTCATCCTCCCTTGATGATTCTGCCATGAGCGCCGTTGACGTGGCCCCAGGGTACACTGGCGGAACCTTACTTAATTCCACAGATACCGAATCGTCCTCGTCACCGTCGCCCACAAACCCTTTGTCACCGTCGCCTGCGCTGTCACCGTCGTTGGCAGCGTCATCGTCACCCTCGGTCTCACCGACCGACTCTGACTACTCCGCCGACCCTCTGGACCTCATCGGCTCACAGACCCCGACTCGCCTTGGCCCACCGGACGTGCACCGCCCAGACTTCAGCACGTACCGTGAGCCCGCATCGGCTGAGGAGTCGCCCGACGAACTCGACATCATTGGGCGTCACTCGCGCGATGAATCGCCGGATGAAATCGATTTCCTCACCCAACACCACCGCGCCTTCATCGCCACAGACGACGACGACCCCACCCTCGACGCCATCGAGCCCGTCAAATCGATCACTAGCGACCCCCAGACCTGGCGCGAAGCAATGTCCAGCGACGAGCACAACATCTGGGCTGAGGCCGCCGCCGCCGAGTTCACCGCCATGCGCGACGACTTCAAGGTGTTCACCATCGAGCCTCGCTCATCTGTACCGCCGGGCGCCACCATCGTCACCTCCAAATTCGTCTGGAAGACCAAGCGCAACGCAAGCGGTGAAGTCACGGGGCGGAAGGCACGTCTTGTAGCGCAGGGTAACCGACAGCGCGACGGCATCGACTTCTCAGAAACCTTCGCACCCGTCGCCCGTTTCTCCTCCATTCGCTGCCTCCTGGCTCTTGCCGCTGCCAATGGCTACCACGTTCATCAGGCCGACATCGACAAGGCTTACCTCCACGGCGAGCTCGATCATGATATCTGGATGACGACACCACGCGGTTTCGACTTCCCGAGCGATAAGGTTCTCCGGCTGCGACGCTCAATCTACGGTCTCAAGCAGGCCGGTCGCATCTGGAATCGTCACATTGACACATCACTCAGGAATCTGGGGTACAAGGCAACAGGCACTGATCACTGCATTTACTCTCGCATTGACGATCAGCAGCGGCCTCACTATATCGCCTTGTATGTCGACGACCTCCTCATTGTCAGTCCAGCCCTCGACGAGATCGAACGTGTCATCTCCGGCCTTGAACAGCGGTACGGCGTCAAACGACTCGGCCCCGCGGAGTACATCCTCGGAATCCAAATACGCCGCCTGGACGACGGTTCCATTGCTCTATCCCAGGAGCGCTACATCATGGACGTGCTGGCCCGTTTCCACTTCGACACCACGACACGCGGCACTACGGTGCCGATGACGCCCGGCCTCTCGCTCACGGCAATTCCGGGTCAGGGAACGGAGCGCATTCGTTCGTGGTACCTACAGGCCATCGGCTCCCTCCTCTACATCTCCCTTGGCACTCGACCCGACATTGCCTTCGCCGTCTCGTACCTGTCCCGGTTCGCCAACAACCCCGGCCGCCGCCATTGGATTGCCGTCAAACACGTCCTTCGCTACCTTCGCGCCACGTACCGCGATGAGCTTCTCTATGCCCGCGGCCCAGCAAAAGTCACGGGTGTGGTTGGTTATTCTGATGCGAACTGGGGCGCCTGCGTCGACACATCCATTTCAACGATGGGCTACGTATTTTACTTGGCAGGCGCCGCTGTCTCTTGGTCGTCGAAGCGTCAGACTCGGGTAGCGGATTCCACCACTGATGCCGAGTACCTGGCCTTGTCGCACGCGGGTAAGGAAGCGATCTACCTTAACCAACTCCTCTCCGAGCTCCACGTTTGCCCAATCGCTGCAGCTCACATCTTCACCGACAACGAGGCCGCGGCCGCCGTCGCTCACGACCCCGTTCGCACCTCCGGCACCCGGCACATTCGCCTCCGCGAGCATTTTGTCCGTGACATGGTCAATCGAGGTGATATCTCTCTCTCACACGTTGGCACAGCAGACATGGTTGCGGACGTATTCACCAAAGCGCTAGGCCCCAAGATTTTTGGTACACATTGCTATGCTCTAGGCCTCCGGACGCGACATCCACGGCTCAAGTCTACCTCGCGTTCGCGTGGGGGGGGTGTGAGGAATCCACTCTCCGCTCGGCTCAGGACTTAGGCGCGCGGAGCGAACCGGGCGCGGACTTAGGCGCGCGGAGTGAGCCGGGCGCCCCGGCCCAGGACTTAGGCGCGCGAAGCGAGCCTGGGACTTAGGCGCGCGGAGCGAGCCTGGGCCATTGGCTCAGCCCCAGGCTCGCTGGCTGTGGACTTGGGGCGCGCGGGTCTCTTATTGTTAGCTTCCTATTCATCACTCTTGGCTATAACTACATCGCTGACGTAGTAGAGTTGATCGAATAGGTATGTTGAAATGCATTCATCACTCTTGGCTATAACTACATCGCTGACGTAGTAGAGTTGATCGAATAAGGCCCACCTGTGGAAGGATCGGAACACGTGGTTTTCGCCAGCATCGGGTGGGGTACCCGCCAGCATGGCGTGTTTTAATTGCGGTCAAGGTGGCCATTTCTCACAGCATTGTACAGCGGAGCGACAATCCCCCTCGACCGTCCAAATATCAGCAATTGCCTTCGCCGACATGGACGAGGACGAATGGTCGTCGGCCTCAGGTGACGTTGAGGACCCCCAGGTGCGATTCCCCCTTCCCCTCGAGACTGATTTGACTCAACCGTCGAGTTCCGCATCCGCCTTAGTGACGCACCACTCTTGCCCTCCTGCAGACCTTGTTGGCCGAGTGAAAGACGTTGCCTCTTCTTCTTTTGAAGTTCAGACCTCATCAAGTAGTTCGCATCCAACCGTGCCGGCAAATGATGCAGATCAACATCGTTTCGACGATAGCCTGGCTGACATCGCGATTGACGCGGTGGAAGATGTCTTGTACTACGCTGATGCCGCGTCGCGCTTGTGTCATTATCCGGGGCCGGAAGTGGTGTCGTCTCGCAAGGCGGAAAGGACTGCTTCGGTGAGCTCTTTCCAGATTCTTGTGCCGTCGGGTGTGTCTCTCTTGGCGTCCGCTGCGCCCCTGATCGACATCGACGAACCCGACCGACCTGTCGAGCCCGCCATTGTACGCGCCCGCAACGTCATCGCTTGGACGCTACCTTCTGGAAGGGTTTTGCGATGTTTGATCGACTCTGGATCAGAGGTCGACTTGGTGGATCAGGAGGTGGTGCGAGTCGACCCGAGCTTCGCAACGGCCCGTTTGACTGCACCATTGCACTTGCGCCTCGGCACCCAGGATAAGTCCGACCGATGTGCTGTGTTCGCCACCGCTCCTTTTTCGTCTGGCGCCCTAGATCTCGGTTTGCGACCATTCTTCGTTTGCCGTGTAACGGCGTACGACGCCATCTTGGGGCTGCCATTTCTTAAGGACACAGGCATGCTCGTTGGTTGGGGCGTCTTCACCGTCGCGCGCACCGGCCCTTCGCAACCCGTCGCCCAGGATACGCACGAATGGGACCGAGCCGTCACCGTAGCACCTATCTTATCCAGTTCTGCCATTGGCTGCAATCACCCTGGGTTGCTTCCCGACGACGAGATCATCGGCCTCGAGCCACACAACCCGCTGCTCGATGTCGTCGACGATCCGGCGCTCGACGATTTCTCTGAGTCCGAAGCACGAACACGATTGGCTGCCTTACTCGAGAAATTTTCTGATGTGTTCGTAGATTCGCTACCGATGGACCAACTCCCACCGTACCGGCCAGTCAACCACGAGATCCCGTTGATCGATCCCACCGAAAAGGTCAAACCCCGGGTATACCCCCTTGCCGACAAATATCGCAGCCAGTGGGCGGAACACTCAGCTAAGTACACTCGTGGTCGATTCTGGGTTTCGGGTCCGATCGATTCTGCGGCTCCGGTCTTTGCCATTCCGAAGAAGAACTCCCAGACGGCTCGTTTCGTGATCGACCTCCGCGCGCGCAACAGCAACACCGTCAAGCGTTTTTCGCCCATCCCGGACATGACCAATGTTCCATACGAGGTGGCTCGATCGCGTTATCGCTCTAAATTCGACGTGGCCGCGGCATTTGAGCAGGTTCGGGTCATACCGGAGCACGTCGATCGCACCGGCTTCGCAACGGTGACGGGCACGTACACGTCGCGGGTCATGCAGTTTGGTGACACCAATGCGCCCAATACCCTCAACCTCTTGACCTCGGCGATGTTCCAGCCGTGTCTCCCGTTCGCCAAGATCTTTTTCGACGATGTCCACGTCCATTCCGATACCCGTCGTGCGCACTTGAGACACATCAAGATCCTGCTGATGACATTGAGACATTACCGGTTCTACTTAGGATCCAAGAAGTCCGAGTGGTTCTCAAAGTCGTTGGACTCCTTGGGCACCATCATTTCTGACGTCGGCATCGAAGTCGACCCCGCCAAGTGGGTGCGTATCCGTCAGTGGCCGATCCCTTGCAACAAGACCGATGTCCAGCGCTTCCTCGGCACCGTCAACTGGATGCGAGATCACCTACCGCACCTCTCAAAGATTTTGGAGCCGATCACCGCGTTAATGGCGCAAGCGACGTCATGGCGTTGGAACGAGCGAGAACAGCAGGCTTTCGATACCGTCAAGTCCCTTGTGCCCGCCATCCTACGACCGATCGATGGCGCCAAGGTTACCTCGGGCGAGCACAAGATGTACCTCTTCACGGATGCCAGTCGGGTTGGCATTGGCGCTTGTTTGGCATCCGGGCCCAACCGTTCGCAGGCCGTTCCAACGCGATTCTTTTCCGCTAAGTTCAACGGTGCTCAGCTCAACTATCATGTCACTGATAAAGAGTTCTTGGCTGTCGTCTCGGCGTGTCGGGCGTTCGAGCAGCACTTGATCGGTTACCCCTTCGTCATTGTCACCGACCATCAGGCCCTTCGCACGATAAAAACCCAAAAACTGCGCCAAACGCCTCGGCACATCCGCATGTGTCTCGAACTCAGCCGTTTCGACTTCGAATTTGAATTCATTGCTGGCAAGAACAACACCCTGGCCGATTCGTTGTCGCGTCTGTGGGAGGTCAAGCAGGGTTCACACGAGGATCAGGTCAAGGAGAATGAGTTGGAGGACATGTTCTTTGATGGAGAACGCCACGAATTCACTACACCCGGTGAGAGCCTCCCTGAGGAACGTCCTTGCACTTCACCATCTCCCGATCGGTTGCCTCCTGTTGATTTTGCCCTCGGGCCCCAACACGACGATTGCGAGGCAGGCTCTCCCGGATACTACGTGCTCAAGGAGGAATCGCAAGACGAGGACGTGAATGGACAGGAATTAGGGAATTTGTTCTTGAAGGAAGAATGCCACGAGTTCATTACGCCCGGTGAGAGCCTCCTCGAGGAACGTCCTTACACCTCACCTTCGCACGATCGGTTGCCCCCTGTTGATTGCGCCTTCGGGCCCTGGGGTCACGGTTACGACGCAGGCTCTCCCGGTTCCCCTCATCTGGCCGAGAACATTATGGACGCCGTCGATTGGTCTATCGGCCGCCTCTCTCCTCCCATCGCTGTCAATCGAGTTCACGCTATTGCTACGGCCCCTGCCAACGACCCGCCCATTCCGGTCGATGCCGACGCCGACGAACTCGATTTGTTGGGAGTTGCCACCGATGATGTCAACGACACCCCTGTAGTCCATCGGCCGCCTGATCCACTGCCCCAACCCTTCCTCGACACCGTCATCCGAGCATACGCCAACGATTCGCAAGCCCAGGTCATCATTACCGACCCGCTATCATGGCCTATGTTTCGGGTGACCGAGGAAGGGAGGATTTTGCGTGTACATCCAGATGAGTCTATTTCCTTGTTTGTGCCTCGTGGTCTCGCTACTGGCGTCGTCAACTCCGACAAGGTCCCATCGCTGCGCGAGCTCGTGCTTTCGGAGATTCATCGAAGTGTCGGGCATGCAGGACATCGCATCACCTTGGCCGCCATCCGTCCTTTGTACTGGTGGTCGTCCATGTCTGCCGATTGCGCCGAGTTCTGCCGTTCATGTGAAGACTGTACCCGAGGCAAGGCGTCCACTCAAGTCCCCTATGGCCGACTGCATCCGATGCCGATCCCTTCTGGTCCTTGGGAACAAGTGGCCATCGACTTCATGACAGGACTGCCTCCGGTCGAGCTCGAAGGGATGATGGTTGCTCAAATCATGGTGGTCACTGACACTTGGGGCAAGATGGTCCACCTGATTCCCCTCCCAGCCGATGCCGACTCGGAGCTCGTTGCCGAGAAGTACTACGCCACCGTCTTCCGACTGCATGGGATGCCTTCCGCCATCGTTTCCGACCGTGATCCCAAGTTCACCTCGCAGTTTTGGCGGGCATTGCAGGCAAAGATTGGCACCGTCTTGCGAATGTCAACCGCGGCACACCCGGAGACGGACGGATCGAGCGAGAATCGGATCAAGATGGTCACCCAAACCCTGCGGATCATGGTCTCGTCAAACCACGAGGCTTGGGCATCTCGTCTTGTTGAAGCTGAGTTCGCTCTTAACTCTTCTGTTGCTGTGTCCACGTCGCTGTCGGCTTTTGAGGCAACCTACGGCTACCTTCCTCGATGCTGGCCCTCGGATTCCTGGTCTGTCTCGGACGTCCCTCGTGCGGAAGCGTTTGCTCGGATCCGACAATTACGGAACCTCGACGTGACAGATGCGATCATTGGAGCACGCCTCAACCAGTCCCATCAGGCCAACAAGCATCGACGCCCAGACGACCCCGCCTTTCGGACCGGCAGTTACGTCTATCTTTCGACAAAGAACCTGGCAGTTCCTGACGGCATGAAGTCGAAGTTGTTGCCGCGCTACATCGGCCCCTTCCGTATCCGAGCGGCCATCCCTGCGACGTCCAGCTACGACCTCGAGCTCCCTCCAGCGATGTCGCGAGTGCACAATCGTTTCCATGCTCGACTGCTTCGGCCTTGCGTTGAGAATGATGCTGAAAGGTTTCCTGGGCGTGACCCCGCAGTTCTTTTTGTCGAAGACGTAGCCGACGCGGCCGACAATTCTGTGATTCCGGAACGGATTGTTCGCGATCGGCGGAACGCTCGGGGCGCTCGTTCGTTCTTGGTTCGATGGGTAGGCCGTAACAACACCGACGATACTTGGATGTCAGAGCAGTCCATTCGCCTTGACCATCCGTCCGTCCTCGACGCCTACCTCGCGCGCCTCGATCGCTCGAACCGCCGCCTCGCCGCACGGTAGACTTCCTTCTGGGGGGGACAGTGTCAGGATGACAGCGTGTACTCGAAGGAAGCCCCCCCAAGACTATGTGCGGGTAGAGTTGACTTGACCAGAGACTTGCCTCGTTTCACAGCATCGTCGGTGCGATGGCGTAGTCGTGAGGCGCGCGGGCGCGCACTCGGTGGTCGCGGGTTCGAGGCGCCCAGACCGCAGTCTTCTTTCGGTTTGTTTTATCTTTTTGTTAACCGAGGCGCGGCTTCAGGGTTTTTACCGGTGCTCCCGCGAGCAATCCTTTTTACCCCTGAGGCGACCTCTTGGAGTGGTTGATTTGGCTAAGTCCCCTCTGGGCCTGGCACAGTCCCTTCCCTTTAGTTTTACCACCTTTCCCCGGGAGCTTGGTCCGCTCTTCTCTTTTGTTGCCCCTCCTCTTCTTGTCGATCGTTTGGGAATTAAGTCCGTTACACTTGATTTCCTGCGAGCCTTTCGACCGACTCCCCTCCTCGGTTGCTCCCTTGTCGACTGCCGCCGCAACAGCCGACACTTCCAGAAATCCCCCCCCCCGTACCAACGCGTGTAGACGACGTCATCCCCTCCGACGTCGCTTGTCACGTTAAGCTTTACAGGTCAACACAAACACGCGATGCCGGATCCGCCCGGCGCCGATGCGCCCCCGCCCGAGGACCTATTGGGTGGTAATGGCGCGAGTGATTCATCACTCAACACGCAAACGCGTGAAGCGGTCACTGGAGGAACCGCGAATCCTCCAGCTTGGTCGCCCGAGGCAACTCAGGTCCGGTTGGACCATGAGAAGCTGATGAAGAAGACCTTCCAAGTGCTCGGGATTGTTCCCTCCAGCAAGTCGACCCACCGACTGATGGTCCTGATGCACGACGCCTCGACCCCGCCTTCGCAGGCGCCAGCGCTCGCACGAGCCGCCCAAAGAGCGGTGCGAAACGACGCAGCCCCGGCCTCCAATGTGATTCGAGTCATTATGGATGGTCCTGGATCACCCAGAGGTCCTGTACAGACCGCGCTGCGCAAGCACTTTGGATTGGCCGAGACGCCGTTCATGTTCGCGCGGCCCGAGGGCGTCGTGCTTGACCCCGAGGTCGAGAAGCTTTTCTCGAAATGCGTGAAGCTGAACCCGATTGTGACGAAAGCCACGAAGAGGTTCCCGATCGCTCGTCACATGTACGAGCTTGTATTCGAATCCGAGCAAGCTTGTCTTGAAGCCGCTTCAGCGGGCCCATTCCCCTACCACGGCAAGGAGATGGTTACCGAGCTCCCCAGTGCCTCTCCCCTTAACCACGTCGTGCAGGTGCGATTCACCTTGCCCTCCTCCTCCAGCGCAATCCCCGCTTCCGTGCTCCGAAAATCTCTCGATGATGCTATCACCCTTTCGTTCGGCCGCGCAGGTCGCACGCAAGGTTATACCCTGATGCAATTACAGCGGGGCCTCGCGGTCGATCCGAATGGCGATCCGATGGCCATGACCGAAGACGGGTTCCACTGCGCGTACCTTCGCTTACATGCTGATCTTTTCCAAGGCTCCATCGAGACGCAGAAGGGTGCGCTCAATGCCGCTTTGCCACAAGAGATCGAGATCCTGGGCGCCAAGTACGGCTTGCGACACAAATTCGAGACGCACTACTGCGCGGTGTGCGATCGCGCCGGACACCAGTGGGGCGCTTGCAGGAAGCCGGTTTCGACTCCGGCCACCGCCGCCCCTGTTCCGGGGGCCTCGACCTCGACTTCGACTTCGACCACCGGCTTCCGAGTTGCTGGAAAGAATGGGAAGCACGGTGGGCCTGCCGCATTGAACTCTCGTGTCTCTGGCGCGAACATGATCCAGCTGGGACCTCGTGCTAACCCCGCAGGTGCAGTAACCGCCAACAAGGACGACGCGAACGACGGCGACGACGAGTTGGTCGTTTCGACCGAACCGGAGGGCGGCGACACTGGGGAAGAGACGTCGACGCGTGCGACCCTGGGCTCAACAAAGGAGACGCAGACGACGACGGCGGCACCCGTTTCGACCCCGACCTCTCCTTTGCCTTTGTCCGGTGGCACATCGGGATCATCGGCAACCTCGACAACCTCGATAGCCTCGACGAGTCCTCGACGCCTTCGTTCGAGCTCGGCACCCGGCAACCGACGTGTCACCCGGGCGGGATCCGCCATGATCCTCGGTGCATCAGGGGGTGATGGCTCAGGGGGTCACAGGTCCGAGGTGACCGAATTCGAGGGGGGCGGCGCTGAACTGATTTAATCATGATTGAGTCACTCACCGTGTTGATGTTCAACGTCTGATCGATGAAGAACGCAGTCAACCAAGTCAAAATCATCCGTTATCTCAAAACCCTTCGGCCGGCCCCTGCGGTATTCGATCAACTCTACTACGTCAGCGATGTAGTTATAGCCAAGAGTGATCAATGCATTTCAACATACCTATTCGATCAACTCTACTACGTCAGCGATGTAGTTATAGCCAAGAGTGATGAATAGGAAGCTAACAATAAGAGACCCGCGCGCCCCAAGTCCACAGCCAGCGAGCCTGGGGCTGAGCCAATGGCCCAGGCTCGCTCCGCGCGCCTAAGTCCCAGGCTCGCTTCGCGCGCCTAAGTCCTGGGCCGGGGCGCCCGGCTCACTCCGCGCGCCTAAGTCCGCGCCCGGTTCGCTCCGCGCGCCTAAGTCCTGAGCCGAGCGGAGAGTGGATTCCTCACACCCCCCCCCACGCGAACGCGAGGTAGACTTGAGCCGTGGATGTCGCGTCCGGAGGCCTAGAGCATAGCAATGTGTACCAAAAATCTTGGGGCCTAGCGCTTTGGTGAATACGTCCGCAACCATGTCTGCTGTGCCAACGTGTGAGAGAGAGATATCACCTCGATTGACCATGTCACGGACAAAATGCTCGCGGAGGCGAATGTGCCGGGTGCCGGAGGTGCGAACGGGGTCGTGAGCGACGGCGGCCGCGGCCTCGTTGTCGGTGAAGATGTGAGCTGCAGCGATTGGGCAAACGTGGAGCTCGGAGAGGAGTTGGTTAAGGTAGATCGCTTCCTTACCCGCGTGCGACAAGGCCAGGTACTCGGCATCAGTGGTGGAATCCGCTACCCGAGTCTGACGCTTCGACGACCAAGAGACAGCGGCGCCTGCCAAGTAAAATACGTAGCCCATCGTTGAAATGGATGTGTCGACGCAGGCGCCCCAGTTCGCATCAGAATAACCAACCACACCCGTGACTTTTGCTGGGCCGCGGGCATAGAGAAGCTCATCGCGGTACGTGGCGCGAAGGTAGCGAAGGACGTGTTTGACGGCAATCCAATGGCGGCGGCCGGGGTTGTTGGCGAACCGGGACAGGTACGAGACGGCGAAGGCAATGTCGGGTCGAGTGCCAAGGGAGATGTAGAGGAGGGAGCCGATGGCCTGTAGGTACCACGAACGAATGCGCTCCGTTCCCTGACCCGGAATTGCCGTGAGCGAGAGGCCGGGCGTCATCGGCACCGTAGTGCCGCGTGTCGTGGTGTCGAAGTGGAAACGGGCCAGCACGTCCATGATGTAGCGCTCCTGGGATAGAGCAATGGAACCGTCGTCCAGGCGGCGTATTTGGATTCCGAGGATGTACTCCGCGGGGCCGAGTCGTTTGACGCCGTACCGCTGTTCAAGGCCGGAGATGACACGTTCGATCTCGTCGAGGGCTGGACTGACAATGAGGAGGTCGTCGACATACAAGGCGATATAGTGAGGCCGCTGCTGATCGTCAATGCGAGAGTAAATGCAGTGATCAGTGCCTGTTGCCTTGTACCCCAGATTCCTGAGTGATGTGTCAATGTGACGATTCCAGATGCGACCGGCCTGCTTGAGACCGTAGATTGAGCGTCGCAGCCGGAGAACCTTATCGCTCGGGAAGTCGAAACCGCGTGGTGTCGTCATCCAGATATCATGATCGAGCTCGCCGTGGAGGTAAGCCTTGTCGATGTCGGCCTGATGAACGTGGTAGCCATTGGCAGCGGCAAGAGCCAGGAGGCAGCGAATGGAGGAGAAACGGGCGACGGGTGCGAAGGTTTCTGAGAAGTCGATGCCGTCGCGCTGTCGGTTACCCTGCGCTACAAGACGTGCCTTCCGCCCCGTGACTTCACCGCTTGCGTTGCGCTTGGTCTTCCAGACGAATTTGGAGGTGACGATGGTGGCGCCCGGCGGTACAGATGAGCGAGGCTCGATGGTGAACACCTTGAAGTCGTCGCGCATGGCGGTGAACTCGGCGGCGGCGGCCTCAGCCCAGATGTTGTGCTCGTCGCTGGACATTGCTTCGCGCCAGGTCTGGGGGTCGCTAGTGATCGATTTGACGGGCTCGATGGCGTCGAGGGTGGGGTCGTCGTCGTCTGTGGCGATGAAGGCGCGGTGGTGTTGGGTGAGGAAATCGATTTCATCCGGCGATTCATCGCGCGAGTGACGCCCAATGATGTCGAGTTCGTCGGGCGACTCCTCAGCCGATGCGGGCTCACGGTACGTGCTGAAGTCTGGGCGGTGCACGTCCGGTGGGCCAAGGCGAGTCGGGGTCTGTGAGCCGATGAGGTCCAGAGGGTCGGCGGAGTAGTCAGAGTCGGTCGGTGAGACCGAGGGTGATGATGACGCTGCCAACGACGGTGACAGCGCAGGCGACGGTGACAAAGGGTTTGTGGGCGACGGTGACGAGGACGGCTCAGGAGACGGTGACGAGGACGATTCGGTATCTGTGGAATTAAGTAAGGTTCCGCCAGTGTACCCTGGGGCCACGTCAACGGCGCTCATGGCAGAATCATCAAGGGAGGATGAGACGTCCATGTGCGCCGACCTTACTAGTGGGGTCCTCGTCTTGACGGCAGGGGCGGGCGTGTCGGCGGGAACGACGAACTGACGGTCGGTGTCGTCTGCATCGACGGGCGTGGTGACTGGCAGGCCGGGGAAGTCGTCGTCGAGGAAGGTGGCATTGCGACCAAGTACAATCTTGTTGATGGAATGGTCAAAGAAACGGAAAGCTTTGGAGGCGAGGTCGTAACCTGTGAAGATCACGCGCGCGGCCTTGGGGTCGAGCTTGCTGCGAAGGTCCGGGGCGACCGTGAGCCACGCTGTGCAGCCGAACGGGTGGAGGGCGGTGGCGGTGGTGCGTTGGCCGTTCCAAACGGATTCTGGAGTCTGTTTGGCCAAAGCTGAGTGTGAGCACCTGTTTTTGCAATAAACGAAATACGCAGCCGCTTCATCCCAAAAGGTGGCCGGCAGACGGGCGTCCGCAAGGAGAGCGAGGACGCCCTCGACGATGGAGAGGTTGACACGTTCGGCGCGACCGTTTTGTTGAGGCGTGTAAGGGATAGAGTATTGACGACGAATGCCCTTGGATTTGCAGAACTCCGTGAATGCGTTTGATCGGTACTCCCCGCCATTGTCGGTTCGAAGGATCCTCAACCGCGCGTTCGTCTCTAACTCCACTTCGGCGAGCCAAGTCTGGAAGGTCGGGAAAACATCGCTTTTGTGATCGATCGCATATGCCCAGAGTTTGCGAGAGTGGTCGTCTAGAAACGTGACAAGGTAGCGCTTCCCGGTCAAGGACGGAGTGGGGAACGACAGGACGTCGCTGTGCACGAGGCCAAGTCTCTCGGCGGAATGCGACTCAGAGTCGGGAAAGGGAAGGCGGTGACCTTTGGAACCAAGGCAAGCATTGCAAACAAACTCCTCTACGTCTTTGTCACTGTACCCGGCCCCAAACCCGTCCAGCAAACCTGCAGCAATCATCTTCTGTATAGAGGATGGGGCAAGATGGCCGAGGCAGCGGTGTAGGGTAAGCAGGGGCACGGGAGACTCAGAGCGTGAGAGGAAGGCAAGATGCTGACACTTGGTGTGATCCGCGTCCAAAAGGTAAAGACCGTCGTTGACCCTGGTACCGTGAGCAATGGCCCGGCCGTCCTTGGCGATGTCGATGCCGTCGCTGGTGAAGGCGAGACGAACGCGGTCGGTGTCGCAGAGGCGAGAGACAGAGAGGAGGTTGACGTGTAGGCCAGGCGTGTGAAGAACACCACGGAGCGTGATCGGGTGTCCAGTCTTGGCGACGAATGCCACGTCCCCCATGCCGATAGCCGTGATGCCGCCCGCGATGCCGCCGATCTTGGTGTGTGCCGTCTGACGATAAGTCGTGAATAGAGATCGGTCGGCGACCATGTGTGTCGTGGCACCCGAATCGACTACAAAGGCGTCAGTTGGGAGTTGGCGACGAGCGAAGAGGCAGGAGGCGAAATAGCCGACGTTCGGTTGCGAGGCCGCGGAGGAAGACGTGTCGTCCTGGGTGTCGTCGCTGCTACGTGCCTGTTCACCCCGGTTCTTGCAGTCGAGTGCCCAGTGACCTTTCTTGTGGCATCGGCGGCAGGGGCCGGTGGGCGGGTGCTTCGCACGTGAAGTGCAGTCGCGCAGGCGGTGACCGGGAGCGCGGCAGGCGGGGCAGGGGGAGCTGGTGGCAAGCATGGCCGAATGCGAGGTCGAGAGTCCTGCCGAACGAAGCTGGATGCGAATGCGGTCCGTAAGCGTCGTGAGTTCGGGAAGGTCGCGTCGGTTTCGCTGCTCGTCCGTGAACGTGAGTCGGAAGCTGTCGAGGCAAGACGGGACCATGGCGAGCACGTGGGTGGCGAGCACGTCGTTGAGCGATGTTTTGGCGTCGCGTATTTCCTGAGCAATCGACATGTACTCGCGTAGCCAAGTGTCGTAGGCCTCGACGGAGGCAGGCATCTTCCTGAAGTCCCAAAGGCGAGCGAACAACTCGAGAGTGCGTGTAGCGTCGTCCGGTGCAAAACGAGCCTTGAGAGCGGCAAAGATGCGCGGTGCCGACAGGTCGTCGCTGGGGATGGCGTCGAGGGTGGCCGATACGTCGGCGGAGTCGATAGAGCCAACGATGATTTCCCGGGCGGCGTCGTCACGTGCGGCAAGCTGGTCGGCGGTCCAGGTCGGGGGAACGACACCGTCGAGAACGTAACCACGAACCTGGTTCGGGAGTGCAAGACGGAGTTGACGCAACCAGTTGGTGAACGACTTGGGGCCGTCCAGACGAGCGTGCTTGGGAAACACGACCTTGGATGCGGTGGCGGCGTTCCCCGGCACGACGGTGACGGCCGGGTGTCAGGCAAACAGCGATACACTGACAGCAACACTCGAAGGAAGTCCCTGAGGTAATGTGCAGGTAGAGTTGAGGTCACCAAATGCTTCCCTCCATTCAAGCATTGTGGGCGTGATGGCGTAGTCGTTCGGCGCGCGGGCGCGCACTTAATGGTCGCGGGTTCAAGGCGCGCAGAGCGCAATCTTCTCTCGGTTTTTGTTCTTTTTGTTAGCTGAGGCGCGGCCTCAGGGTTTTTACCGGTGCTCCCGCGAGCAATCCTTTTTCCCCCTGAGGCGACCTCTTGGAGTAGCTGAATTGGCTAAGTCCCCTCTGCGCCTGAGTGCCTCCCTTTTGTTTTTAGCACCTTCCCACTCAGCCTGGTCCGCTACATCTCCCAAGATCCCTTCACCTTCATCCTTCGTTTTCGATCTCGTTGGCAATAAAGTCCGATATACTTGACTTGCTGCGAGCCTCACAACCGCGTCCCCTCCTCGGTTGTCCCTCGGTCGCCTGCCCCCGCCCAGTCGACCTTCCTTCGGCCTGATCCCCTCCTCCGCGTGTAGTCAACGTCTTCTGAAGAGGACGTTGCCTGCCACTTTTTTCAAGTCCGGCACCGCCAACCTTCGATCTCGCTTGCCCTTGCTCTATCCTGCATCCTGGACGAGCAATCGTCCACTACCCCTGAGTCGTCAGCTTCCTCCCCGTTGCCGAACTCATCCCCCGCTGACGCGTCGTGGTCATTCGCCACCTCATTCACTGAGTCCGACGACGAACGCGTCATCCCTTCGTACCCCTTCTTCCATCCTTCTCGAGCTCGCATCCGTTCTCCCCACAACCGCCAACCGCTACGCCGCGAACTCGCCATGGCCGAACCCACCGACACGTCGCGAGACACCACCGCCCCCGTCCGCGAAGACCCCTCGCGCGCGAATCCGCCTAAGTCCCCGCCGACGCATTCGCCGCACCCGCTCCAGGCCGCCGCCGTCATCACGTCCCTTGAATCCCGCCTCGCAGAATCGGAAGCCCTGCGCCGCGACTCGGAGACACGCATCCGCAAATTGGAGCAGATGGTGGAACGATTGATGAGAGAATCCACCGCACCTGCTGGGGCGCAGGTCGGGGAGGCTCTGCCGGTGAGACCGGTCCCCCTGGACGTCCCCCCGCACACATTTTTGGGACGCCCGGGAGCTGCCGCTGACCCCCTTGCTCGTACCCCTGGGGGGGAATCTCACAGCGGAATTAGGGACGGCCCTTCCTCGGCGGTGATTAGCTCTCGTTGGAGAGGGACATTGCCGGACCGGGAAGGGTTATGGACCGGAGATCATCCGGAAAGGTTGGTGATTTTCACTGCGTTTGGGGAGTCGTATCTTTCTCTCTTGTGCGACATCTCCACCTCCGACCTTTTCGACACGAGCCGAGTGATCCAGCTTGTGGCGACGCTATTTTTTCGTACGACAACCCGACAGCGCCGCCAATCCCCGCTCGATTGGGCCGTCGAGGCGATGAGGGACGCGCTTGGAGAAGGGCGCCCTCATTGTTGGACGTCGCTCATGAAGGCAGTGGGACGTCGTTGGCCCGACCCCGGGTTCGCCGATAGAGTGGCTCAAGACTTCCACGGATGTCGCCAGTCGTCGTCTCGGGCTTACGACCATGTCGGGGAGTGGCGGGCGCGGTACCGTGCCTTCGTGCACGACAACGATAGTTTCACCCTGTCGCCGCTTCAGCTCGCCACGACCTTCTACCAATCGCTCAGTGACTCCTCCAAGCGGGAAGTGCGGGCGGGAATGTTACGTGAATACCACGACAACTCGCTGGTGACAATTGGGCGATTCGGACTGAAGGTCCCGTCCATCGACGAGATTACCGAGTGGGCCGCTATCGCCGACGACATTTCTCCTCCGCCTTCGGTTCCGACCCCACCAAGCCGCACCGCGACCTATGGCGCGATCGTCAAAGCTCCCCGAGTGAGCCCACCTGCGACCAACACGCCCACCGTCGACGAGAGGTTCCCGATCCGACGAGCTCGATGGGTCGACCGCGCTACTAAGTGGCAGCAATCGCACTTGTGGAAGGACCGCTCCACCTGGTTTTCCCCGGCGCCCAGCGGGGTACCCACCAGCATGGCTTGCTTCAACTGCGGACGAGGCGGTCATTTCTCGCAGCACTGCACCGCGGAGCGTCAATCCCCGGTCGCCGTCCAACTCTCAGCGGTCGCTGTGGCCGACTTGGATGACGAAGATTGGTCCTCGGTCGCAGGTGGTGACGAGGATCCCGAGGTGAGAGTCCCCATTTCACTCGAGCGTGTTCAGACTCGACCTTTGAGTTCCGTTTCCGCTTCAATGACGCGCCCTTCTTGCCCTCCCGCAGACCCCGTTGGCCGAATGAAAGAAGGGGCTTCTTCTTCAGTCGACGTCGAAGTCTCATCAAGTAATCCGCAGCCAACCGCGCCGGCAAGTGATGCAGATCTACGTCGTCTTGCCGATGACTCGACCGACTCTGCGTTTGACGCGGTGGAAGACGTCCCCTCTTATGCTGATGCCGCGTCGCGAATGCGGCGATACTGGGGGCCGGAGGTGGTGTCGTCGCGCAAAGCGGAGAGGACTGCATCGGTGAGCTCTGTTCGTGTTCCGGTGCCGTTGGGGGTTTCTCTCTTGGAGTCCGACACGCCCCTGATCGACGTCGACGACTTCGCCCGACCCGCCGAGCCCGCGATTGTGCGCGCCCGCAATATTATTGCGTGGACGTTGCCGTCTGGGCGAACGCTGCGTTGCCTCGTCGACTCTGGTTCGGAAGTGGACTTGGTGGATCAGGATGTCGTGCGAACAGACCCGAGTTTCACGACGTCCCGCCTTACCGCGCCGCTGCACTTGCGCCTCGGCACTCGCGACAAATCTGACCGCTGCGCCGTGTTTGCCAACGCCCTCTTCACGTCCGGTTCCCTCGACCTCGGCTTGCGGGCGTTTTTCATTTGCCGTGTGACGGCATATGATGCTATCCTGGGTTTGCCGTTTCTGAAGGACACCGGCATGCTGGTAGGCTGGGGCGTCTTCACCGTCGCACGGCCGGGCCCTTCGCAGCCGGTCGCCAAGGGCACTCACGAGTGGGATCGCGCAGTCACGGTGGCGCCCATCTGCTCCGGCTCTGCCATTGGCTACGATCACCCAGGGTTGCTTCCTGACGACGAGATCATTGGCCTCGAGCCGCACAACCCTCTACTGGATGTCGTCGACGACCCGGCGCTCGAGGATTTGTCTGAGTCCGAAGCACGAACACGATTGGCTGCCTTACTCGAGAAATACTCTGATGTGTTCGTAGATTCGCTCCCAATGGACCGACTCCCGCCTTATCGACCCGTCAATCACGAAATCCCTTTGATCGACCCCAACGAGAAGGTCAAGCCGAGGGTCTATCCCCTTGCCGACAAATATCGTAGCCAGTGGGCGGAGCATTCAGCTAAGTACACTCGCGGTCGCTTCTGGGTTTCTGGTCCGATCGACTCTGCGGCTCCGGTCTTCGCCATTCCGAAAAAGAACTCCCAGACCGCTCGCTTTGTGATCGACCTCCGCGCTCGCAACAGCAACACCGCCAAGCGTTTTTCACCTATCCCCGACATGACCAGTGTTCGCTACGAAGTGGCACGTTCGCGCTACCGGTCCAAATTCGACGTGGCCGCAGCGTTTGAGCAGGTGCGGGTCATACCCGAGCACGTCGATCGCACCGGCTTCGCCACGGTCACGGGCACGTACACGTCGCGGGTGATGCAGTTTGGGGACACCAATGCGCCCAACACCCTGAACTTGTTGACATCGGCGATGTTTCAGCCGTGCCTCTCGTTTGCCAAGATCTTTTTCGACGATGTTCACGTCCATTCCGATACTCGTCGCGCGCACTTAAGACACATCGAGATTTTGCTGATGACACTGCGACATTATCGGTTCTACTTAGGATCCAACAAATCCGAGTGGTTCTCAAAGTCGTTAGATTCCTTGGGCGCGATCATCTCCGACGACGGCATCGAGGTCGACCCGGCCAAGTGGGAGCGTATCCGACAGTGGCCGACTCCACACAACAAGACCGACGTTCAGCGTTTCCTCGGCACCGTGAATTGGATGCGAGATCACCTGCCCCACCTCTCGATCACCTTGGAGCCCATCACCGCATTATTAGCGCAATCGACGTCGTGGCGTTGGAACGAGCGCGAGCAGCAGGCCTTCGACACCGTCAAGTCCCTCGTGCCAGCAACACTGCGACCGATCGACGGCGCTAAGGTCACCTCCGGCGAGCACAAAATCTACTTGTTCACCGATGCCAGTCGTGTTGGCATTGGCGCTTGCCTGGCCTCGGGCCCCACTCGTTCGCAGGCCATTCCTACGCGATTCTTCTCCGCTAAGTTCAATGGCGCTCAGCTCAATTATCACGTCACTGATAAGGAGTTCTTAGCCGTCGTTTCGGCGTGTCGGGCGTTCGAGCAGCACTTGATCGGTTACCCCTTCGTCATCGTCACCGACCACCAAGCCCTTCGCACGATTAAAACGCAGAAGTTACGCCAAACACCCCGGCACATCCGCATGTGTCTCGAACTCAGCCGTTTCGACTTCGAATTCGAATTCATTGCGGGCAAGAACAACTCCCTTGCCGATTCGTTGTCACGCTTGTGGGAAGTCAAGGAGGGATCGCCCGAGGATCAGGTCAAGGAGAATGAGTTGGAGGATATGTTCTTTGATGGAGAACGCCACGGATTCACTACACACGGTGAGAGCCTCCCTGAGGAACGTCCTTACACCTCACCATCTCCCGATCGGTTGCCTCCTGTTGATTTTGCCTTCGGGCCCCAACGCGACGATTGCGAGGCAGGCTCTCCCGGATACTACGCGCTCAAGGACGAATCGCAAGACGAGGACGTGAATGGACGGGATTTAGGGAATTTGTTCTTGAAGGAAGAATGCCACGAGTTCACTACACCTGGTGAGAGCCTCCCTGAGGAACGTCCTTACACCTCACCTTCGCACGATCGGTTGCCCCCTGTTGATTGTGCCTTCGGGCCCTGGGATCACGGCTACGACGCAGGCTCTCCCGGTTCCCATCGTCTGGCCGAGAACATTATGGACGCCGTCGACTCTTCTACCGGTCCCCTTTCTCCTCCCATCGCCGTCAATCGAGTTCATGCTATCGCCGCGGCCCCCGCCAACGACGCGCCCATTCCAGTCGATGCCGACGCCGATGAACTCGACTTACTGGGAGCCGCCGCCGATGAGGTCAACGACGCCCCTGTAGTCCATCGACCGCCCGACCCGCTACCGCAACCTTTCCTCGACGCCGTCATCCGAGCCTACGCCCACGATTCGCAAGCCCAAGTCATTGTTGACGACCCGCTGTCATGGCCGATGTTTCGGGTGACCGAGGAAGGGAGGATCTTGCGTGTACATCCAGATGAGTCTCTTTCCCTGTTTGTGCCTCGCGGTCTCGCTACCGGCGTTGTCGACTCCGACAAGCTCCCATCGCTGCGCGAGCTCGTGCTTTCGGAGATCCATCGGAGCGTCGGGCACGCGGGACATCGCATCACCTTGGCCGCCATACGTCCTTTGTATTGGTGGTCGTCCATGTCTGCCGATTGCGCCAAGTTCTGCCATTCATGCGAAGATTGTGCCCGAGGCAAAGCGTCCACTCAAGTCCCTTATGGCCGACTGCATCCGATGCCGATCCCTTCTGGCCCATGGGAACAAGTGGCCATCGACTTCATGACGGGACTGCCTCCGGTCGAGTTCGAAGGGATGATGGTCGCTCAAATCATGGTGGTCACTGACACTTGGGGCAAGATGGTCCACCTGATTCCCCTCCCAGCCGACGCCGACTCCGAGCTCGTTGCCGACAGGTACTACGCCACCATCTTTCGACTGCATGGGACGCCTTCCGCCATCGTTTCCGATCGCGATCCCAAGTTCACCTCGCAGTTTTGGCGAGCATTGCAGGCGAAGGTCGGCACCGTCTTGCGGATGTCAACAGCGGCGCACCCAGAGACCGACGGATCGAGTGAGAACCGAATCAAGATGGTCACCCAAACCCTGCGCATCATGGTGTCGTCAAACCACGAGGCTTGGGCATCTCGTCTTGTTGAAGCTGAGTTCGCTCTTAACTCTTCCGTTGCTGTTTCCACGTCTCTGTCGGCTTTCGAGGCGACTTACGGTTACCTTCCTCGACGCTGGCCCACCGATTCCTGGTCTGTCTCGGACGTCCCGCGTGCGGAAGCGTTTGCCCGAATCCGACAGTTACGGAATCTCGACGTCACGGATGCGATCATTGGTGCACGCCTCGATCAGACTCACCAGGCCAACAAGCATCGACGCCCGGATGATCCCGCCTTTCGGACCGGCAGTTATGTCTATCTTTCGACCAAGAACCTGGCAGTTCCTGAAGGGATGAAGTCGAAGTTGTTGCCGCGCTACATTGGTCCTTTCCGTATCCGAGCGGCCATTCCAGCGACGTCCAGTTACGACCTCGAGCTTCCCCCAGCAATGTCGCGAGTGCACAGTCGCTTCCATGCTCGACTGCTTCGCCCCTATGTTGAGAACGATGCTGAGAGGTTCCCTGGGCGTGACCCCGCAGTTCTTTTTGTTGAAGATGTAGCCGACGCGGCCGACAACTCCGCCATTCCGGAACGGATTGTTCGCGATCGTCGGAACGCTCGGGGCAATCGTTCGTTCTTGGTTCGATGGATTGGCCGTAAGGACATCGATGACACTTGGATGTCAGAGCAGTCCCTCCGCTTCGACCATCCATCCCTACTCGACGCCTACCTGGCACAACTCGATCGCTCAAATCGCCGCCTGTCCTCCCGGTAGACTTCCTTCTGGGGGGGACAATGTCAGGCAAACAGCGATACACTGACAGCAACACTCGAAGGAAGTCCCTGAGGTAATGTGCAGGTAGAGTTGAGGTCACCAAATGCTTCCCTCCATTCAAGCATTGTGGGCGTGATGGCGTAGTCGTTCGGCGCGCGGGCGCGCACTTAATGGTCGCGGGTTCAAGGCGCGCAGAGCGCAATCTTCTCTCGGTTTTTGTTCTTTTTGTTAGCTGAGGCGCGGCCTCAGGGTTTTTACCGGTGCTCCCGCGAGCAATCCTTTTTCCCCCTGAGGCGACCTCTTGGAGTAGCTGAATTGGCTAAGTCCCCTCTGCGCCTGAGTGCCTCCCTTTTGTTTTTAGCACCTTCCCACTCAGCCTGGTCCGCTACATCTCCCAAGATCCCTTCACCTTCATCCTTCGTTTTCGATCTCGTTGGCAATAAAGTCCGATATACTTGACTTGCTGCGAGCCTCACAACCGCGTCCCCTCCTCGGTTGTCCCTCGGTCGCCTGCCCCCGCCCAGTCGACCTTCCTTCGGCCTGATCCCCTCCTCCGCGTGTAGTCAACGTCTTCTGAAGAGGACGTTGCCTGCCAGGAGACGCGGACAGGGTCGTGGGCAACTGCGGCAGCGGCTTCATTGTCAGTAAAAATGTGAGCCGGTGCAACAGGTTGGACATGGAGCTCCTCGAGCAGCTGACTGAGGTAGATCCCTTCCTTGCCAGCATGCGAGAGGGCGAGGTATTCAGCGTCGGTGGTAGAATCGGCAACTCGAGATTGACGCTTGGACGACCAAGACACGGCGGATCCGGCAATGTAGAAGACGTAGCCCATAGTGGACACCGACGTATCGACGCAGGCCCCCCAGTTCGCGTCGGAGTAGCCAACCACGCCCGTGATGCGTGTCTCGCCGCAAGCATAAACCAGTTCGTCGCGATATGTGGCCCGGAGATAGCGGAGGATGTGCTTGACCGCGATCCAGTGACGACGTCCAGGGTTGTTGGCGAAGCGGGCCAGGTAGGACACGGCGAAGGCGATGTCGGGGCGGGTGCCGAGCGAAATGTAGAGGAGCGAGCCGATAGCCTGCAGATACCATGACCTGATCCGTTCGGTGCCTTGACCCGGGATGGCGGTGAGCGAAAGGCCGGGGGTCATCGGGACTGTAGTGCCGCGAGTCGTGGTGTCGAAGTGGAACCGAGCAAGCACGTCCATGATGTACCGTTCCTGGGACAGGGCAATAGAACCGTCTTCGAGTCGCCTGATCTGGATGCCGAGGATGTACTCTGCCGGGCCGAGGCGCTTGACGCCGTAGCGTTGTTCGAGGCCCGAGATGACACGTTCAATTTCGGCCAAGTCGGGGCTGATCATCAGGAGGTCGTCGACGTACAGCGCGATGTAGTGTGGGCGTCGCCGATCGTCGATCCGAGAGTACACGCAGTGGTCGGTGCCCGTCGCCGTATAGCCGAGATCTCGAAGCGATGCGTCGATGTGTCGATTCCAGATTCGGCCAGCCTGTTTGAGTCCGTAGATGGAGCGTCGCAGACGAAGCACCTTGTCGGTGGGAAGGTCGAAGCCGCGCGGTGTCGTCATCCAGATGTCATGGTCAAGGTCGCCATGCAGATAGGCTTTGTCGATGTCCGCCTGGTGCACGTGCAAGCCGTTGGCGGTGTGAAGAGTCCACTCTCAGCTCGACAGGGGCGCCTCGGTCGTTGCGCGCACTTGCTAGCCCGCCCCCGGCGGTGGGGACTTAGACGCGCGCGACTGCCTCAGCGCGCCAGCGCCGGCGGATTCATGCGCGCGCCCGCTAGCCCGCCCCCTTGCGGTGGGGACTTAGGCGCGCCGGCGATTTCACCCGCGGCTGACTTAGGGATGTACATTGTCACGCGCCTGGGACTATCCCAGCGTGGCCCCCCCTTTCTGTTTCTTAGCTTCCTTCTCATCACTTCTGTTCGACTCTCAACCTCTCCTGACAGTAGTGGTGAACGTCTCATAGGTACGCTGAAATAGATCACTTCTGTTCGACTCTCAACCTCTCCTGACAGTAGTGGTGAACGTCTCATAGGTTATAAGCCCACGAGCCACCAGCTGGCATGACCACGACACCACCCCTCGCGACGGGTGCCAACCCTCCGATTCCCGCCGAACAGCTCGCCGCACTTACATCGCTGCTGTCGGGTCTCACCGCTGCCGCTTCCGGCACTGCCACACCCGCCACGACGTCCGGCACCACTCGCACTGCCTTTCCAAAGCACGCACGCTTGGATGGTGCGAAGACCTTCGCGAACTGGACACGCCAACTTCGCCTGTGCCTAGCGGACGACATCCGCTCGTACGTCCTCGACGGTATCGCACCCGACGACTGGACACCTTCGCAACGCTCCGCTCGCGACGCCGTCGCTCGTGAGGTCCTTGCGAATTCGATTGACTCGGCCGAAGTCTCGGCAGTCCTCGACAAAATCCCTACCGCCGACCTGACAGCGCCGACAATCTACTCGACGCTGAAATCGCGGTACGCCCCTGACGACGCCACCCGCACGCTCGAGCTCTTCTCACGACTCTGGGGTTTCCGTCCCATGCCCGGCACGGTTGCCGAATTCGACGGGTGGATCATGGACTTCAAAGCCGTTGCGCAAGAGATCATCGACACAAAGACAACTATCAATGATGTTCTCGCCACACTCCTCCTTGCAATCGCCCACCCGTCCCTCGAGAGCTTCAAGGCGTCGTTCACCGATGAACAGCGCACGCAACGAACTCTCCCCGACATTGATTCGCTTGCCGACCGTATGCGAGTCCAACTTCGGTCAACGAACATCCCCAGCACTCAATCGGCCCTTCTTGCCTCGTCGTCGTCACGTTCTACTCGTCTCAAGTGTCTCGCCTGTCGCAGCCCTTCGCACCGAGTCGCGGAGTGCCCTACGAGGGCGCAACACCCGCCGCCAGGACCCTGTCGCTCCTGCAAGAAGAAGGATCACTGGTCTCTCGACTGCAAGAAGGCGCTCGAGGACGGCAAAAAGCCCGACACCGCTGACTCGACCGTCGACTCGCAACACCATGTCGGATGTCTCGCCACCGGTCTTCTCGCTCGTCGTCGCCAGCTTCGCAACCACTCTTTTGTCGTCGACTCGGGCGCCACTTCGCACATGGTCTCGGACAAGTCGCTGTTCACGACCTATCGCCATATCGCTCCTACGAAGATTGGTGGTATTGCAGGGGGCATCAACGCCATCGGAACGGGAAACATCGCCTTCATTGCCGCCTCGGGTCATCCGATCACGCTTACCGGCGTGCTGCACACTCCGGGCCTGTTTGTCAATCTTCTCTCGGTCTCTCGACTTTGCGACACCGACGATGTCCGTGTCGCCTTCACAAAACACGGCATCCACATTGACAAGGACGGCAACGACATCGCTGAAGGCGCACGACTCGACGAAGGGCTCTACTTGCTGGACGCTGATCATTCCAAATGTCAGCACCTTGCTCTCCTTTCTCGCTCACAGTCGTCCGTGCCCCTGCTGACTCTCCATCGCTGCCTCGGCCATCTCGCACCGTCCTCCATACAGAAGATGGTTGCCGCTGGTTTGCTGGAGGGTCTCAGGGCCGGATATAGTGACGAAGAGGTAGAGAAGTTTGTCTGCAATGCTTGCCTCAGCGCAAAGGGCCATCGTCTTCCCTTTCCCGATTCGGATTCGCACTCCTCAGAGAGACTCGGCCTTGTACACAGCGATGTGCTTTCCTTCCCCGAGCGGTCCTTGACTGGCAAACGTTACCTGGTCACATTCCTTGACGATTACTCGCGCAAACTCTGGGCCTACGCAATCGGACACAAAAGCGAAGTCTTCGGCATATTCAAAACTTGGCTAGCCGAGGTTGAACTCGAGACGGGTGCGACGCTGAAGGTCCTCCGAACCGACAACGGTGGCGAATACTGTTCGAGAGCGTTCACAGAGTTCTGCAAGACACGAGGCACCCGTCGACAATACTCTATCCCACGCACGCCTCAACAGAACGGTCGTGCAGAGCGGGTCAATCGTTCCATTGTCGAAGGCGTCCTTGCCCTCCTTGTCGACGCCCACCTACCCAAGACATTCTGGGAGGAGGCTGCAGCTTATTTCGTTTACTGCAAGAACCTGTGTCAACACGCGGCCCTGGACAAGGCAACACCAAACTCCGTCTGGCAGGGTGACCACACCACTGCCTCGGCGCTTCACCCGTTCGGCTGTACAGCTTGGCTTACGGTCGCGCCCGAACTTCGCTCCAAACTCGACCCGAAGGCGGTTCGCGTTTTTTTCACCGGCTACGACCTGGCTTCAAAAGCCTTTCGCTTCTACGACACTACAACACAGAAGATTATACTTGGCAGAAATGCCACGTTCCTCGACACTGAATTCCCCGGATTACATGGCGACCCCACTGAGCAAGACGGCGACACGCACTTCGCCAGCGCTCCCACCACCGAATCTCAAACCGTTGTCAAGACATGGACCCCACTAGTAAGGTCGGCGCACATGGACGTCTCATCCCCCCTTGATGATTCTGCCATGAGCGCCGTTGACGTGGCCCCAGGGTACACTGGCGGAACCTTACTTAACTTCACAGATGCCGAATCGTCCTCGTCACCGTCGCCTGCGTCGCCCTCATCACCGTCGTCTGCGCCATCGCCTGCACTTTCACCATCGTCGGCTGCGTCATCGTCACCCTCGGCCTTACCGACCGACTCTGAAGACTCCGCCGATCCCCTCGACCTCCTCGGCTCACAGCCCCAGGTTCGCCTCGATCTACAGGACGTGCACCACCCAGACTTCAGCACGTACCGCGAGCCCGCATCGGCTGAGGAGTCGCCCGACGAACTCGACCTCATTGGGCGCCACTCTCGCGACGAATCTCCGGACGAAATCGATTTCCTCACCCGACACCACCGCGCCTTCATCGCCATCGACGACGACACCTCTGACACAGAGGCAATTCAGCCAGTCAAGTCCATCACGAGCGACCCACAGACCTGGCGCGAGGCGATGTCTAGCGACAAGCGTGAAGTATGGGCCAAAGCCGCCACCGACGAGTTCACCTCCATGCGCGACGACTTCAAGGTCTTCACCATCGAGGACCGAGCCACGGTGCCCGCGGGTGCGACTATCGTTACATCCAAGTTCGTCTGGAAAACGAAACGGAACGCACTCGGCGAAGTCACTGGACACAAGGCAAGGCTGGTCGCGCAAGGCAATCGGCAACGCGACGGCATCGACTTCAACGAAACGTTCGCACCGGTCGCACGCTTCTCCTCGATACGCTCACTCCTCGCGCTGGCGGCCGCCAACGGCTTGCACGTGCACCAGGCGGACATCGACAAAGCATATCTGCATGGCGACCTTGACCACGACATCTGGATGACGGCACCGCGCGGCTTCGACCTTCCCAGCGACAAGGTGCTTCGCCTGCGACGCTCCATCTACGGGCTCAAACAGGCTGGCCGAATCTGGAATCGACACATCGACGCTTCGCTTCGGGCCCTCGGTTACACGGCGACGGGCACCGACCACTGCGTATACTCTTGGCTCGATGATCGTCAATGTCCACACTACATCGCACTGTACGTCGACGACCTCCTGATGATCAGCCCGGAACTGGCCGAAATCGAACGTGTCATCTCAGGCCTGGACCAACGCTACGGAGTCAAGCGCCTCGGCCCGGCCGAGTATATCCTCGGCATCCAGATCAGGCGGTTCGACGACGGCTCTATCGCCCTATCCCAGGAACGGTACATCATGGACGTGCTCGCTCGGTTCCACTTCGACACCACGACTCGCGGCACTACAGTTCCGATGACTCCCGGCCTTTCGCTCACTGCTATCCCGGGTCAAGGCACCGAACGGATCAGGTCATGGTATCTGCAGGCTATCGGCTCGCTCCTCTACATTTCGCTCGGTACCCGCCCTGACATCGCCTTCGCCGTGTCCTACCTGGCCCGCTTCGCCAACAACCCCGGTCGTCGTCATTGGATTGCGGTCAAGCACATCCTACGCTATCTCCGGGCCACGTATCGCAACGAACTCGTGTATGCTCGCGGCCAGGCTCGCATCACGGGTGTGGTAGGCTACTCCGACGCGAACTGGGGGGCCTGCATCGACACATCGGTGTCCACCATGGGCTACGTCTTCTACATCGCTGGCTCGGCCGTGTCCTGGTCGTCCAAACGCCAGTCTCGAGTTGCCGATTCGACCACCGACGCTGAATACCTCGCCCTCTCGCATGCTGGCAAGGAAGGGATTTACCTCAGTCAGCTGCTCGAAGAGCTCCATGTACAACCTGTTGCACCGGCTCACATCTTTACTGACAACGAAGCCGCTGCTGCAGTTGCTCACGATCCTGTCCGCGTCTCTGGCACTCGGCACATACGCTTGCGTGAGCACTTCGTTCGGGACATGGTGAATCGGGGCGACATCTCTCTCTCGCATGTGGGTACCAGCGACATGGTGGCCGACATCTTCACCAAGGCTCTCGGCCCAAAGGTCTTCTCAACGCACTGCTACGCCCTCGGCCTTCGCACTCGACACCCGCGGCTTGGGTCTGCCTCGCATTCGCGTGGGGGGGGGTGTGAAGAGTCCACTCTCAGCTCGACAGGGGCGCCTCGGTCGTTGCGCGCACTTGCTAGCCCGCCCCCGGCGGTGGGGACTTAGACGCGCGCGACTGCCTCAGCGCGCCAGCGCCGGCGGATTCATGCGCGCGCCCGCTAGCCCGCCCCCTTGCGGTGGGGACTTAGGCGCGCCGGCGATTTCACCCGCGGCTGACTTAGGGATGTACATTGTCACGCGCCTGGGACTATCCCAGCGTGGCCCCCCCCTTTCTGTTTCTTAGCTTCCTTCTCATCACTTCTGTTCGACTCTCAACCTCTCCTGACAGTAGTGGTGAACGTCTCATAGGTACGCTGAAATAGATCACTTCTGTTCGACTCTCAACCTCTCCTGACAGTAGTGGTGAACGTCTCATAGGCGGCCGCCAGCGCGAGGAGTGAGCGTATCGAGGAGAAGCGTGCGACTGGTGCGAAGGTTTCGTTGAAGTCGATGCCGTCGCGTTGCCGATTTCCCTGCGCCACGAGCCGTGCCTTGTGGCCGGTGACTTCGCCGAGTGCATTCCGTTTCGTTTTCCAGACGAACTTGGATGTGACGATGGTCGCACCCGCTGGTACCGTGGATCGGTCCTCGATGGTGAAGACCTTGAAGTCGTCGCGCATGGAATTGAACTCGTCGGTAGCGGCCTTGGCCCACACTTCGCGCTTGTCACTCGACATTGCCTCGCGCCATGTCTGTGGGTCGCTGGTGATGGACTTGACTGGTTGAATGGCTTCTGTGTCAGAGTTGTCGTCGTCGGTGGCGATGAAGGCGCGGTGGTGTTGGGTGAGGAAATCGATTTCGTCCGGCGATTCATCGCGCGAGTGGCGCCCAATGATGTCGAGTTCGTCGGGCGACTCCTCAGCCGATGCGGGCTCACGGTACGTGCTGAAGTCTGGGCGGTGCACGTCCGGTGGGCCGAGGCGAGTCGGGGTCTGTGAGCCGATGAGGTCCAGAGGGTCGGCGGAGTAGTCAGAGTCGGTCGGTAAGGCCGAGGGTGACGATGACGCAGCCAACGACGGTGACAGCGCAGGCGACGGTGACAAGGGAGTTGCGGGCGACGGTGACGAGGACGGCTCAGGAGACGGTGACGAGGACGATTCGGCATCTGTGGAATTAAGTAAGGTTCCGCCAGTGTACCCTGGGGCCACGTCAATGGCGCTCATGGCAGAGTCATCAAGAGAGGATGAGACGTCCATGTGCGCCGACCTTACTAGTGGGGTCCATGTCTTGACAACGGCTTGGGATTCGTATTCGATCAACTCTACTACGTCAGCGATGTAGTTATAGCCAAGAGTGATCAATGCATTTCAACATACCTATTCGATCAACTCTACTACGTCAGCGATGTAGTTATAGCCAAGAGTGATGAATAGGAAGCTAACAATAAGAGACCCGCGCGCCCCAAGTCCACAGCCAGCGAGCCTGGGGCTGAGCCAATGGCCCAGGCTCGCTCCGCGCGCCTAAGTCCCAGGCTCGCTTCGCGCGCCTAAGTCCTGGGCCGGGGCGCCCGGCTCACTCCGCGCGCCTAAGTCCGCGCCCGGTTCGCTCCGCGCGCCTAAGTCCTGAGCCGAGCGGAGAGTGGATTCCTCACACCCCCCCCCACGCGAACGCGAGGTAGACTTGAGCCGTGGATGTCGCGTCCGGAGGCCTAGAGCATAGCAATGTGTACCAAAAATCTTGGGGCCTAGCGCCTTGGTGAATACGTCCGCAACCATGTCTGCTGTGCCAACGTGTGAGAGAGAGATATCACCTCGATTGACCATGTCACGGACAAAATGCTCGCGGAGGCGAATGTGCCGGGTGCCGGAGGTGCGAACGGGGTCGTGAGCGACGGCGGCCGCGGCCTCGTTGTCGGTGAAGATGTGAGCTGCAGCGATTGGGCAAACGTGGAGCTCGGAGAGGAGTTGGTTAAGGTAGATCGCTTCCTTACCCGCGTGCGACAAGGCCAGGTACTCGGCATCAGTGGTGGAATCCGCTACCCGAGTCTGACGCTTCGACGACCAAGAGACAGCGGCGCCTGCCAAGTAAAATACGTAGCCCATCGTTGAAATGGATGTGTCGACGCAGGCGCCCCAGTTCGCATCAGAATAACCAACCACACCCGTGACTTTTGCTGGGCCGCGGGCATAGAGAAGCTCATCGCGGTACGTGGCGCGAAGGTAGCGAAGGACGTGTTTGACGGCAATCCAATGGCGGCGGCCGGGGTTGTTGGCGAACCGGGACAGGTACGAGACGGCGAAGGCAATGTCGGGTCGAGTGCCAAGGGAGATGTAGAGGAGGGAGCCGATGGCCTGTAGGTACCACGAACGAATGCGCTCCGTTCCCTGACCCGGAATTGCCGTGAGCGAGAGGCCGGGCGTCATCGGCACCGTAGTGCCGCGTGTCGTGGTGTCGAAGTGGAAACGGGCCAGCACGTCCATGATGTAGCGCTCCTGGGATAGAGCAATGGAACCGTCGTCCAGGCGGCGTATTTGGATTCCGAGGATGTACTCCGCGGGGCCGAGTCGTTTGACGCCGTACCGCTGTTCAAGGCCGGAGATGACACGTTCGATCTCGTCGAGGGCTGGACTGACAATGAGGAGGTCGTCGACATACAAGGCGATATAGTGAGGCCGCTGCTGATCGTCAATGCGAGAGTAAATGCAGTGATCAGTGCCTGTTGCCTTGTACCCCAGATTCCTGAGTGATGTGTCAATGTGACGATTCCAGATGCGACCGGCCTGCTTGAGACCGTAGATTGAGCGTCGCAGCCGGAGAACCTTATCGCTCGGGAAGTCGAAACCGCGTGGTGTCGTCATCCAGATATCATGATCGAGCTCGCCGTGGAGGTAAGCCTTGTCGATGTCGGCCTGATGAACGTGGTAGCCATTGGCAGCGGCAAGAGCCAGGAGGCAGCGAATGGAGGAGAAACGGGCGACGGGTGCGAAGGTTTCTGAGAAGTCGATGCCGTCGCGCTGTCGGTTACCCTGCGCTACAAGACGTGCCTTCCGCCCCGTGACTTCACCGCTTGCGTTGCGCTTGGTCTTCCAGACGAATTTGGAGGTGACGATGGTGGCGCCCGGCGGTACAGATGAGCGAGGCTCGATGGTGAACACCTTGAAGTCGTCGCGCATGGCGGTGAACTCGGCGGCGGCGGCCTCAGCCCAGATGTTGTGCTCGTCGCTGGACATTGCTTCGCGCCAGGTCTGGGGGTCGCTAGTGATCGATTTGACGGGCTCGATGGCGTCGAGGGTGGGGTCGTCGTCGTCTGTGGCGATGAAGGCGCGGTGTTGTTGGGTGAGGAAATCGATTTCATCCGGCGATTCATCGCGCGAGTGACGCCCAATGATGTCGAGTTCGTCGGGCGACTCCTCAGCCGATGCGGGCTCACGGTACGTGCTGAAGTCTGGGCGGTGCACGTCCGGTGGGCCAAGGCGAGTCGGGGTCTGTGAGCCGATGAGGTCCAGAGGGTCGGCGGAGTAGTCAGAGTCGGTCGGTGAGACCGAGGGTGACGATGACGCTGCCAACGACGGTGACAGCGCAGGCGACGGTGACAAAGGGTTTGTGGGCGACGGTGACGAGGACGGCTCAGGAGACGGTGACGAGGACGATTCGGTATCTGTGGAATTAAGTAAGGTTCCGCCAGTGTACCCTGGGGCCACGTCAACGGCGCTCATGGCAGAATCATCAAGGGAGGATGAGACGTCCATGTGCGCCGACCTTACTAGTGGGGTCCTCGTCTTGACGGCAGGGGCGGGCGTGTCGGCGGGAACGACGAACTGACGGTCGGTGTCGTCTGCATCGACGGGCGTGGTGACTGGCAGGCCGGGGAAGTCGTCGTCGAGGAAGGTGGCATTGCGACCAAGTACAATCTTGTTGATGGAATGGTCAAAGAAACGGAAAGCTTTGGAGGCGAGGTCGTAACCTGTGAAGATCACGCGCGCGGCCTTGGGGTCGAGCTTGCTGCGAAGGTCCGGGGCGACCGTGAGCCAGGCTGTGCAGCCGAACGGGTGGAGGGCGGTGGCGGTGGTGCGTTGGCCGTTCCAAACGGATTCTGGAGTCTGTTTGGCCAAAGCTGAGTGTGAGCACCTGTTTTTGCAATAAACGAAATACGCAGCCGCTTCATCCCAAAAGGTGGCCGGCAGACGGGCGTCCGCAAGGAGAGCGAGGACGCCCTCGACGATGGAGAGGTTGACACGTTCGGCGCGACCGTTTTGTTGAGGCGTGTAAGGGATAGAGTATTGACGACGAATGCCCTTGGATTTGCAGAACTCCGTGAATGCGTTTGATCGGTACTCCCCGCCATTGTCGGTTCGAAGGATCCTCAACCGCGCGTTCGTCTCTAACTCCACTTCGGCGAGCCAAGTCTGGAAGGTCGGGAAAACATCGCTTTTGTGATCGATCGCATATGCCCAGAGTTTGCGAGAGTGGTCGTCTAGAAACGTGACAAGGTAGCGCTTCCCGGTCAAGGACGGAGTGGGGAACGACAGGACGTCGCTGTGCACGAGGCCAAGTCTCTCGGCGGAATGCGACTCAGAGTCGGGAAAGGGAAGGCGGTGACCTTTGGAACCAAGGCAAGCATTGCAAACAAACTCCTCTACGTCTTTGTCACTGTACCCGGCCCCAAACCCGTCCAGCAAACCTGCAGCAATCATCTTCTGTATAGAGGATGGGGCAAGATGGCCGAGGCAGCGGTGTAGGGTAAGCAGGGGCACGGGAGACTCAGAGCGTGAGAGGAAGGCAAGATGCTGACACTTGGTGTGATCCGCGTCCAAAAGGTAAAGACCGTCGTTGACCCTGGTACCGTGAGCAATGGCCCGGCCGTCCTTGGCGATGTCGATGCCGTCGCTGGTGAAGGCGAGACGAACGCGGTCGGTGTCGCAGAGGCGAGAGACAGAGAGGAGGTTGACGTGTAGGCCAGGCGTGTGAAGAACACCACGGAGCGTGATCGGGTGTCCAGTCTTGGCGACGAATGCCACGTCCCCCATGCCGATAGCCGTGATGCCGCCCGCGATGCCGCCGATCTTGGTGTGTGCCGTCTGACGATAAGTCGTGAATAGAGATCGGTCGGCGACCATGTGTGTCGTGGCACCCGAATCGACTACAAAGGTGTCAGTTGGGAGTTGGCGACGAGCGAAGAGGCAGGAGGCGAAATAGCCGACGTTCGGTTGCGAGGCCGCGGAGGAAGACGTGTCGTCCTGGGTGTCGTCGCTGCTACGTGCCTGTTCACCCCGGTTCTTGCAGTCGAGTGCCCAGTGACCTTTCTTGTGGCATCGGCGGCAGGGGCCGGTGGGCGGGTGCTTCGCACGTGAAGTGCAGTCGCGCAGGCGGTGACCGGGAGCGCGGCAGGCGGGGCAGGGGGAGCTGGTGGCAAGCATGGCCGAATGCGAGGTCGAGAGTCCTGCCGAACGAAGCTGGATGCGAATGCGGTCCGTAAGCGTCGTGAGTTCGGGAAGGTCGCGTCGGTTTCGCTGCTCGTCCGTGAACGTGAGTCGGAAGCTGTCGAGGCAAGACGGGACCATGGCGAGCACGTGGGTGGCGAGCACGTCGTTGAGCGATGTTTTGGCGTCGCGTATTTCCTGAGCAATCGACATGTACTCGCGTAGCCAAGTGTCGTAGGCCTCGACGGAGGCAGGCATCTTCCTGAAGTCCCAAAGGCGAGCGAACAACTCGAGAGTGCGTGTAGCGTCGTCCGGTGCAAAACGAGCCTTGAGAGCGGCAAAGATGCGCGGTGCCGACAGGTCGTCGCTGGGGATGGCGTCGAGGGTGGCCGATACGTCGGCGGAGTCGATAGAGCCAACGATGATTTCCCGGGCGGCGTCGTCACGTGCGGCAAGCTGGTCGGCGGTCCAGGTCGGGGGAACGACACCGTCGAGAACGTAACCACGAACCTGGTTCGGGAGTGCAAGACGGAGTTGACGCAACCAGTTGGTGAACGACTTGGGGCCGTCCAGACGAGCGTGCTTGGGAAACACGACCTTGGATGCGGTGGCGGCGTTCCCCGGCACGACGGTGACGGCCGGGGGTGCGGCGGCTGCGGCGGCGGCGGGTTGCGAGGCCTGCAGAGCGGCAAGCTGGGCCTGTAGAGTGGCGATTTGTTCGCCGATCGAAGATTCAGGGGAGCTGGGATCCCTGGGGGCCAAAGGCGAGGCGGGAGAGCTGTCCATGATGTGATGGTGCGATGGACGTGTGCGGCTCGAGTGGCTGGGCTCGAGCGAAAAAGCCTCAAGCGGCGGGGCTGGTAGCTCGTGGGCTTATAACCTATTCGATCAACTCTACTACGTCAGCGATGTAGTTATAGCCAAGAGTGATCAATGCATTTCAACATACCTATTCGATCAACTCTACTACGTCAGCGATGTAGTTATAGCCAAGAGTGATGAATAGGAAGCTAACAATAAGAGACCCGCGCGCCCCAAGTCCACAGCCAGCGAGCCTGGGGCTGAGCCAATGGCCCAGGCTCGCTCCGCGCGCCTAAGTCCCAGGCTCGCTTCGCGCGCCTAAGTCCTGGGCCGGGGCGCCCGGCTCACTCCGCGCGCCTAAGTCCGCGCCCGGTTCGCTCCGCGCGCCTAAGTCCTGAGCCGAGCGGAGAGTGGATTCCTCACAATTCGGTGGTCGGGCAAGCGCTGGCGAAGTGCGTGTCGGCGTCTTGCTCGGTGGAGTCGCTACGTAACCCGGGAAATTCGTTGTCGAGGAACCTGGCATTTCTGCCCAAACTGATCTTCTTGGTTGTCGTGTCGTAGAAACGGAAGGCTTTAGAAGCCAGGTCATAGCCGGTGAAGAGAACGCGAACCGCTTTCGGGTCGAGTTTCGAGCGAAGTTCAGGCGCGACTGTGAGCCAAGCCGTGCAGCCGAACGGGTGAAGCGCCGAGGCGTTGGTGCGGTCGCCCTGCCAGGCGAAGTTCGGTGTTGCCTTGTCCAGGGCCGAGTGTTCGCACAGGTTCTTGCAGTAGACGAAATAAGCTGCTGCCTCCTCCCAGAATGATTTGGGTAAGTGGGCGTCTGCAAGGAGGGCAAGGACACCTTCGACGATAGAACGATTGACTCGTTCGGCACGACCGTTCTGTTGAGGCGTTCGAGGGATAGAGTATTGTCGACGTGTGCCGCGTGCCTTACAGAATTCCGTGAACGCTCTCGAACAGTATTCGCCACCATTGTCGGTTCGGAGGACCTTCAGTTTTGCACCCGTCTCGAGTTCGACCTCGGCAAGCCATGTCTTGAACACGCCAAAGACTTCGCTTTTGTGTCCGATCGCGTATGCCCACAGTTTGCGCGAGAAGTCGTCAAGAAACGTGACCAGGTAACGCTTGCCAGTCAAGGACGACTCGGGAAAGGAAAGCACATCGCTGTGTACGAGGCCGAGTCTCTCTGAGGAGTGCGAGTCCGAATCGGGAAAAGGAAGACGATGGCCCTTTGCACTGAGGCAAGCATTGCAGACAAACTTCTCTACCTCTTCGTCACTATATCCGGCCCCGAGACCTTCCAGCAAACCAGCGGCAACCATCTTCTGTATGGACGACGGTGCGAGATGGCCGAGGCAGCGGTGAAGGGTCAGCAGGGGCACGGAAGACTGTGAGCGAGAGAGGAGAGCGAGATGCTGACATTTGGAATGATCAGCGTCCAGCAAGTAGAGCCTTTCCTCGAGTCTTGCGCCTTCAGCGATAGCATTGCCGTTCTTGTCGATATGGATGCCGTGCTTCGTGAAGGCGACACGGACATCGTCGGTGTCGCAAAGTCGAGAGACCGAGAGGAGGTTGACAGACAGGCCCGGGGTGTGCAGCACGCCGGTAAGCGTGATCGGGTGACCGGAGGCGGCAACAAAGGCGATGTTTCCCGTTCCGACGGCGTTGATGCCCCCTGCAATACCACCAATCTTCGTAGGAGCGATGTGGCGATAGGCCGTGAACAGCGACTTGTCCGAGACCATGTGCGAAGTGGCACCCGAGTCGACGACGAAGGAGTTGTTGCGAAGCTGACGACGATGTGCGAGAAGACCGGTGGCGAGACATCCGACATGGTGTTGCGCATCAGAGGTGTCGGGCGTTTTCCCGTCCTCAAGAGTCTTTTTGCAGTCGAAAGACCAGTGGTCCTTCTTCTTGCAGGAGCGACACGGGCCTGGCGGTGGATGCTGGGCCCTTGTAGGGCATTGTGCGACGCGGTGAGAAGAGCTGCGACAGGCGAGGCACTTGGTACGGGTAGAACGTGGCGACGACGAGGCAAGGAGGGCCGATTGATCGTTGGAGAGGTTCGTTGACCGGAGTTGAACTCGCATACGGTCGGCCACTGAATCGATGTCAGGGAGAGTTCGTTGCGTGCGTTGTTCGTCGGTGAACGTTGCCTTGAAGCTCTCGAGTGACGGGTGGGCGATCGCGAGGAGGAGTGTGGCAAGGACGTCGTTGATCGTCGTTTTCGTATCGATGATCTCTTGCGCGACCGACTTGAAGTCCATGATCCAACTGTCAAATTCGCCAACCGTTCCGGGCATGGGTCGGAAGCCCCAGAGTCGCGAGAAGAGCTCGAGCGTGCGAGTGGCGTCATCAGGGGCGTATCGCGATTTCAGCGTCGAGTAAATCTTGGGCGCTGTGAGGTCGGCCGTAGGGATCTTGTCGAGGACTGCCGAGACTTCGGCCGAGTCGATTGAGTTTGCAAGGATCTCGCGTGCCACGACGTCGCGGGCGGAGCGTTGCGAAGGCGTCCAATCGTCGGGGGTGATTCCGTCGAGGACGTAGGAGCGGATGTCGTCCGCTAGGCACAGGCGAAGCTGGCGTGTCCAGTTCGCGAACGTCTTCGGCCCGTCCAACCGCGCATGCTTCGGGAAGGCATTGCGATTGGAGCCGGATGTCGTGGCGGGTGCGGTAGTGCCGGAAGCGGCAGCGGTGAGTCCCGACAGCAGCGATGTAAGTGCGGCAAGCTGTTCGGCGGGAATTGTCGGGGTGGCGCTCGTCGCGAGGGTTGACGACGTGTCCATGCCAGCGGTAGCTCGATGGGCTTATAACCTATGAGATGATCACCACTACTGTCAGGAGAAGTCGAGAGTCGAACAGAAGTGATCTATTTCAGCGTACCTATGAGATGATCACCACTACTGTCAGGAGAAGTCGAGAGTCGAACAGAAGTGATGAGAAGGAAGCTAAGAAATGGAAAGGGGGCCCGCGCTGGGATATGCCCAGGCGCGGGCGAAATCGCTGGAGCGCTGAGGCAGTCGCGCGCGGCTAAGTCCCCACTGCAAGGGCGGGCTAGCGGCGCGCGCCCGAAAACCGCCGGCGCCGGCGCGCTGAGGCACTCGCGCGCGCCTAAGTCCCCACCACAGGGGCCAGGCTAGCAGGCGCGCGCAACGACCGAGGCGCCCCTGTCGAGCTGAGAGTGGACTCTTCACAGGGGGAACGACACCGTCGAGAACGTAACCACGAACCTGGTTCGGGAGTGCAAGACGGAGTTGACGCAACCAGTTGGTGAACGACTTGGGGCCGTCCAGACGAGCGTGCTTGGGAAACACGACCTTGGATGCGGTGGCGGCGTTCCCCGGCACGACGGTGACGGCCGGGGGTGCGGCGGCTGCGGCGGCGGCGGGTTGCGAGGCCTGCAGAGCGGCAAGCTGGGCCTGTAGAGTGGCAATTTGTTCGCCGATCGAAGATTCAGGGGAGCTGGGATCCCTGGGGGCCAAAGGCGAGGCGGGAGAGCTGTCCATGATGTGATGGTGCGATGGACGTGTGCGGCTCGAGTGGCTGGGCTCGAGCGAAAAAGCCTCAAGCGGCGGGGCTGGTAGCTCGTGGGCTTATAACCTATTCGATCAACTCTACTACGTCAGCGATGTAGTTATAGCCAAGAGTGATGAATAGGAAGCTAACAATAAGAGACCCGCGCGCCCCAAGTCCACAGCCAGCGAGCCTGGGGCTGAGCCAATGGCCCAGGCTCGCTCCGCGCGCCTAAGTCCGCGCCCGGTTCGCTCCGCGCGCCTAAGTCCTGAGCCGAGCGGAGAGTGGATTCCTCACACCAACGACCCGCCCATTCCGGTCGATGCCGACGCCGACGAACTCGATTTGTTGGGAGTTGCCACCGATGATGTCAACGACACCCCTGTAGTCCATCGGCCGCCTGATCCACTGCCCCAACCCTTCCTCGACACCGTCATCCGAGCATACGCCAACGATTCGCAAGCCCAGGTCATCATTACCGACCCGCTATCATGGCCTATGTTTCGGGTGACCGAGGAAGGGAGGATTTTGCGTGTACATCCAGATGAGTCTATTTCCTTGTTTGTGCCTCGTGGTCTCGCTACTGGCGTCGTCAACTCCGACAAGGTCCCATCGCTGCGCGAGCTCGTGCTTTCGGAGATTCATCGAAGTGTCGGGCATGCAGGACATCGCATCACCTTGGCCGCCATCCGTCTTTGTACTGGTGGTCGTCCATGTCTGCCGATTGCGCCGAGTTCTGCCGTTCATGTGAAGACTGTACCCGAGGCAAGGCGTCCACTCAAGTCCCCTATGGCCGACTGCATCCGATGCCGATCCCTTCTGGTCCTTGGGAACAAGTGGCCATCGACTTCATGACAGGACTGCCTCCGGTCGAGCTCGAAGGGATGATGGTTGCTCAAATCATGGTGGTCACTGACACTTGGGGCAAGATGGTCCACCTGATTCCCCTCCCAGCCGATGCCGACTCGGAGCTCGTTGCCGAGAAGTACTACGCCACCGTCTTCCGACTGCATGGGATGCCTTCCGCCATCGTTTCCGACCGTGATCCCAAGTTCACCTCGCAGTTTTGGCGGGCATTGCAGGCAAAGATTGGCACCGTCTTGCGAATGTCAACCGCGGCACACCCCAAGACGGACGGATCGAGCGAGAATCGGATCAAGATGGTCACCCAAACCCTGCGGATCATGGTCTCGTCAAACCACGAGGCTTGGGCATCTCGTCTTGTTGAAGCTGAGTTCGCTCTTAACTCTTCTGTTGCTGTGTCCACGTCGCTGTCGGCTTTTGAGGCAACCTACGGCTACCTTCCTCGATGCTGGCCCTCGGATTCCTGGTCTGTCTCGGACGTCCCTCGTGCGGAAGCGTTTGCTCGGATCCGACAATTACGGAACCTCGACGTGACAGATGCGATCATTGGAGCACGCCTCAACCAGTCCCATCAGGCCAACAAGCATCGACGCCCAGACGACCCCGCCTTTCGGACCGGCAGTTACGTCTATCTTTCGACAAAGAACCTGGCAGTTCCTGACGGCATGAAGTCGAAGTTGTTGCCGCGCTACATCGGCCCCTTCCGTATCCGAGCGGCCATCCCTGCGACGTCCAGCTACGACCTCGAGCTCCCTCCAGCGATGTCGCGAGTGCACAATCGTTTCCATGCTCGACTGCTTCGGCCTTGCGTTGAGAATGATGCTGAAAGGTTTCCTGGGCGTGACCCCGCAGTTCTTTTTGTCGAAGACGTAGCCGACGCAGCCGACAATTCTGCGATTCCGGAACGGATTGTTCGCGATCGGCGGAACGCTCGGGGCGCTCGTTCGTTCTTGGTTCGATGGGTAGGCCGTAACAACACCGACGATACTTGGATGTCAGAGCAGTCCATTCGCCTTGACCATCCGTCCGTCCTCGACGCCTACCTCGCGCGCCTCGATCGCTCGAACCGCCGCCTCGCCGCACGGTAGACTTCCTTCTGGGGGGACAGTGTCAGGATGACAGCGTGTACTCGAAGGAAGCCCTTTTTTTTTTTGTAGAAACCGTTCATCATATTGCCCCCAATTCCTGTTCCCCCCTGATTGGCCTACGGAAAAACTAGATGGAAGTCGACGATGATAACACAAACCGCCCGCAGATGCGAGAAACGGGCCAAGTCCACCATCCGATACTTCGGATTCAAGTGCCCCAGCCAAGCGGTTGCTCCCCCCCAGGAGACGAATGAGAGAGAGAAGAGAAAGAGAGAAAATGAAAAAGAACTGGCGTACTAACGACAAGAGGCCCACCCCGCACCCACTTCCCAACTCGGTCGAGACAAAGACAGGAGAGCGACTGCGCAGCTACCCTGACCCGCGAAGTCCCCAAGTCTATGCTCGGTCACAACAAGACGCGGTGGAGGCCCCTCAAAACCTCCACCTCAGCAGTCCCTGGCCCCTCAAAGCCGACTTTCTGCCTGTGTCTGCTGATCCCTCCCTTGACTCAGAACCCCGAAGCCAAAGAGCGCGAGCCACCGTCGAGTCAATCCCAAATCGCGAGCCGGTCCATGAGCAACGGAGGCAGTGTTGAACTTCGCTCCATCTCACTTCTAGGACAATATGCGCTCACTGAAGTAGAGGTGCCTCGCCTTTTGGT